CAAGACTATCACCCCTCCTCACCAGACGCCAACAGTGGTCACCACCAGCACCATTTCAACCGTGATCAGCACTTCAACCTCCACGATTACCACCACGACCCTGTCTCCTCCAATTGTTTACACATCAACTCCAGTTGTTATTACAACCACAACCGAGATGTAAGTAACCCACTCCTGCTGTTAGCGCGTAAGCTAACGTGGCTCTGATACAGTGTCTTGACCACTTTGACGACCTGCCCAGTCACCAAGACTATCACCCCTCTTCACCAGACGCCAACAGTGGTCACCACCAGCACCATTTCAACCGTGATCAGCACTTCAACCTCCACGATTACCACCACGACCCTGTCTCCTCCAACCTCTTCGCCAAGCCTAGTGGTGCCCGTCCAGTCACCATCCTCTTCATCCAGCCCAGTGGTACCACCTGCGCAGCCATCTCCACCACCCGCCTTCAAGGGTTGTATCTCAGCATACTATGACCTTAAGGGGTGCGGAAGCAACACGGACTACGACTGCTACTGCAAACAGGACGAAGTTACCACCAGCGTGTATGAATGTATCACGAACTATGAACAAGACGTGGCGCTACAGGCCCAGGCCATGGCGAGCTACCAGGGTCTTTGCGCTCAATACATTCCCCAGCACCCTGCCATCATTACCAAATCCGTGGAGCTCATCCCTACTCCTGTTTCGACACCCGCTGGAAGCAGCCCAGCCGTCGTCGTATCTCCAGCCGGAAGCAGCCCAGCCGTCGTCGTATCTCCAGCTGGAAGCAGCCCAGCCGTCGTCGTATCTCCAGCCGGAAGCAGCCCAGCCGTCGTCGTATCACCAGCTGGAAGCAGTCCAGCCGTCGTCGTATCTCCAGCTGGGACTGTGACACCGGCCCCAGCTTCTCCAGTCGAGGCCGGCCAGACCACTACAACCACTGCACCGGTCCCAGGCAGCCCTACCCCGACTCCCGCGCCGTCCAGCAGCGTCCCATCAACCACAATCCCGATCTCCGTCATCGTCACCGTCCCCTGCTCCGTCGCCGCAGGCCCTCGTCGACCAGATCACCGATGGTCAGCTCCAGGTCCCAGCCACCGGCGTCATGGCTCCCGGCTGCACAACCACCTCGCTGCTCTCAACCCAGCTCGCCGTGCCCCAAATGCACTTCGCGACCTCCGGCAGCAGCGTCGGTCTCGCAGCTGGTACCCCAGCCCCCAACGAGGCTGGTGCGACTGCCTCCTCTGCTGCTTCCCCCGTGGTCGGTGCTGCAGGTGTGGCTGGTGCCTCCGGCAGCGGCTCGGTTCTCGCCTCAACAGTACCATCGCCCACTGCGACAACCTTCAAGGGTGCGGCCGCCAAGACCTCGCACAGCGGGTTCTTCCTGTCCGTGGTGCTTGCAGCTGTTGGTCTCGTTGTCTACGCCTAAGCGTGTCCCTTGGCATCATGATGACGGTTGGGAGTGGAGTTGAGAGAAGAAGGATGTCTATATTCATGTCTTTCCTTAATCAATCAGCATTTATTTGTTCCCAGCGCCCTCTACGGTTGGTTGGGCGGGTTTGCGCATTAATCAAGACCGGTCCTGGGTGAGAGGACGATTTTCGCTTGGAGGCGACTCGCTTGAGGCTTTGTCATTGTTGATATCGTGTGGTAATAATACAAGAGTTTGTGATATTAAAGAAAAACCCCATGGCAAGAGCCTGTTATACCCGAAGCCGAATCTTTGATTGCTACGTGAAATCTTGTACCTAGACTGTACGGTGAGCTCGCTGCGGTCGAGCAACGATTTTCGAGCACCAATATTCCCCCAACAATTTCTGATAAGCTGCCCCTGAGAAGCCTTGACCGTCGAGACCGTCAAAGGGGGGGAGCTACCACTGGCTCCGGTTAAGATTTCCGCCGTCCAAGACCTCAATCGTTTTTGCTAATCCTCCTGCGCAAAGTTTGCCCTATGGATTATTCACAGGCCGTTACATTTGAGAAGCGAACCGAAGCAAACCTGTTCCGTCTCTTTGGAGATTGCTGTTGCAGTGCTAAAGCTGGCTCGCACCATATACGATCATACGGCGATACGAAAGCATCAACGATGGTGTCCCCTGCGCTATGCGACCCTCCGGCAAACCTTGCGCAAGCGCTAACTCTGTTACAGGCTGTAATATACAACGCGTCGTTGATGTCGTGATGGCCGTGACCGTCCGTATCTGAGCCGAAGTCGCTACACCGCTGCAGCATCCCTTTGCTCTTCCTTGGTGTCAGATCCCCTTCTCGGCGACCTCCTGAACAGGCGTGGCTGCTCCAGACGACCCATCTCGAACCGGACTGGCCTTCTCATCTCGAACGTCCGCACTCCTCCTCCTCCTCCTCCTTTCCTTCTTCCGGAAGAGGTTCTTGTACTTCTTCTGCACATACCCTTCCCTGAAGCAGTATCCCGGGTGGAATATATTCAAAACCAAAACCGCCACGACAACCATCGCCCCTTCAAACCCGATGAAAAGATGTTGATTTTCGATCAAAGCACCCGTCCACCCCTCGCTCAATTCAGCAACCCGGTAAATCGATCTTATGAAGATGCAGAATGTCGCTAGCCCCAGCGCGACCAGAAAGGCTCGAAACTTGGTACTGCCTCTCAAGACCGCGTGCTTCGGATCCAACGCCGCCTCGCCCATAGTCCTCATCCTCCTCAACGTCTTGATCATGAAATCCAAACACAGCAGCTGAAACATCAGCAACGTGACGACCTGAAACGCCAATCCCGCAACCATGATGTGATCGCCGGTATTGGGGCTCTTGTCCTGATGACTGGCCACCGATGCCATGCCGCCACCGATCGCTTGGAGCAGAAGAGAGATGACGTCGCAAGGGATGAAGATGCGTGGGTAAGAGAGAGGTTTGATGTGTGAGTTTTCGGGGCCGAAGGTAATGACGATGCGCGAGAGAGTGAGGTAGATTCCTGCTGCCAAGAAGGCAGGGGCGATGGTTAGGCAAACGATTTGCATCAGGAAACCGTTCTGCAGCTGGCGTCAGCACAGGTGGATGGTGTCGTCGGCAATTGCAAGCTAAGGGATGTAGACATACCTGATTGAAGGGATTATACCAGCTCATTATTCTGCCAGTGTAGCCCAGCACTTCAAGGATGCACCCGCTGACCATAGCAATTGTGAAGCCGACGAAGCGCCGCGAGAGGGCTGCTTGCAGAATGAAACAGCATAGTGAGAAGGAGAAGAGGGCGAGGAAAGCAGCGTTGGTGGAGAGCGATGGGCGGTATGCATAGTAGGACTCCTTGATGGGGCATGTTTTCAGTGTACAGGCAGCTCTGTACGCGGCCAGCTGCTTGTCGTCACGCCGGTATAGAAGGTCGAGGGCATGCATGACTATTTTTATTTTTTTTTATTTCTATTTTTTTTGACTGGATGAGAGTCAAATCGACACGAGGCTGACGAACTACCACCCGATGTCGATGCGGCTGACAACTTGGAAGCAAGCCGCTGAAGGCAAAGATCAAGGGAGAATTGCGGGCATGAGCAGCAGGACTGGTTCAGTGTTGAGAAATCATTGGACTTGGAGAAGGGAAAAGATTTTGAGGGAGAGCGGGGAGAAGGGGGGGAGGGAAAGTGAGTGAGGAGCAGCGATAGATAAATCATGGCCCATGAGGTTCTTGAAGTCGCTTGCAAGGCTCGGCTACACCGTGAGACAGTTACGGCGCCATTGACCAATCGTCCATCACTTCGGATATGGAAGCGACGGGTGCTGGTGGTGCAGGGATGACGTACATGTACATGACGGACTATGACCACTCTATCTTGCCCTTGGTGCCGAGGTGTGGTGATGTGCACAGCAATTAGCCAAATCAGCAAATCAGTTTATGGGAACCGAACCGAGGTAAAAGATTAAAGTTTATTTTAGAGTAAAGAGCATGTCGGAGAATTGGTTGGCCGATGAACTAAAACTAAATTTTTACTTAGACAGCTCTTGGGTGACGCTTCCTGATCCTGAACCCTACTTTATCAACATTACTCTTCTCCCATCTCCAGGCTACTACTGGAATTGCTACTTTGCTTGCTTCAGCAGTGAGTGGCAAAAGGTAGTCCTGATTACGTAGACTTGAAACAGAAAGGAACACAGTGTTGCAAAACACGCTCCAGCGAGAAAAGTTGGCTTGGTCTTCGGCCTGGCCTTCAATGTTTCAGCTCCTTGACCGTCATGGCCGTAATCTTATCAGTATCCTCAACTTCCGACTCTTCGCCAAATCCAACTTCCTCTTAAAGTACAAATGCCCTCAGAATCGTCCAGCCAGCGTCCACAAGTATTTTGCCGTCACTCGAAATGAAAGCCGTCAACGTATGTGCGAAGTCCACCAACACCCATGTCTCGAGCCACAGACTCGAGAGGCTCATGATCGATGTGTTGCTGAACCTGAGTTGACGGACGTTTCAGAGCCTCCGTATCGTAGCTTGGGTCTTTCCATGGCTTAAGAACACTTCGCGGCTGAAAGAGAATTCCTTTTCCTCATTATTCTCCATGACCTGACTAAAACTCTGCCAGCGTTATTTCCTGAAGTATTGAGGTTGACACTATCAAGAGTCCAAGGCGCTGTTCATTTTGCCTGACGGTATCCGATTGATAGGCGCGAAAAATCGTGCCTAGTGCTTCAGCGAAAAAAATGAGCAACCTGGGATCTGTAGCCTTCTGAGTTGATCCGCACACCCTGATATGGCGAAGTCCGAATTCAAGTTGCAGATGCAAGCTCCTCAAGCGTGAGGCATTCGTCGCGTCAGGCTTGACCTGGGATCTAGATTCGCATGGAAATGATCATAAGCAGTACGAGCGGTAACAATATATGCTTGCGGTTCAACCCTTGACTGTTGCTTTGTTGGAAGGAGTCCGGGCATCTCCCATTATTTGAAACCAGCAGCGCAGTGTCATCCATTCGGTCCAACTAACATCGTTGGCTGAATTCTTTGGAACATGACCATAGATCGGTTCTCAGATGACTTCTCACCACTTACGATGGCAGGCTAAGTACTAAAACCAGTCGTAGCTTTGCTCGCGCCAATACTTATGCCGCCTTCGCCAAACCTTTTAGTGCTGTCGACACTTCTCGTACTTGACACGCTACCGCTCCTTTTTCCTGTGTGCTTGATGCTGTTGCCCAGTATTGAGCCACGACTCTTGGATTGTGCCGCAGTTCTCCGATCGCTCGCGCCATCCATTGACGCCGACGTCTGCTCTGTTGAGGACGAAGAAGGCGGTGAGGCATATTTCCGACTTCGAGATGTGGTAGGAGAGAAGCGTCGTGGGGATGCTTTCGGCAAGGGCATATAGTGTCGAGCTGAACCCTTGTTTGTCTCCAGATTACTGTCACTCATGTCGCCGTCATCCTCTGGGTAGCTTGAGGATCCATTGACTGCAAGATGCCTATTCCCAGTACTCTTGTATGTAAGCCCTGGAGACTTCAAATGATCTCGACCGGCATATTCTGACAAAGCCTCGAATACATGGGGAAAAACCAATGTCTCAACTTCCTGTCCCCATAGGAAGTCAAGATGCTCGAAGTGGGGTATTTCTTTCGCGACTGTATGCCTGGGAAGCTCTTTGAGCATGACCCTGATATCAACTAGACTATCACTGCCACCGTAAACCAGCACGATCGGCGTCTTGATGTTTCTTGTCGGAAATTTCGCCACTCTGTAATACCTGTCACTCGCTCCAAGGCTCAATGGCGCTTGGACATCATCATCAAACATCTGGAAGCTCTTGTTTCGTATTATTTGGAACCAATGTACCACGCTCTTTGTGCTTGTGAAGGAGTACAAGTGGGGGTATGCAGCGAGCTTTTGGTCGATACTGATATTCTTGCTTGACCAATCAAAGAGAAATGAGAGCGACATGTCAATGATGCGAACAAATATCGGCGGGTACAAGATAGACTGCCACATGGTTGCAGAGCTGAGTATGCTCCGGCGTCCGAATGCTAAGAAAAGGACCTCGGGAGAAGCTCTGACCAAAGCATCGACGACTCCGTTCCGTAGACCGGCAGGTGACATGGCCGGGGCTAAAGCAATGAAGACGTCCACCTTGTCATTGAGGGTAGGATGGATGGACAGCGTCGCAAAGGCCTGAGCGGTGCCCTGAGAGAAGCCAACATAAGATAGGGATGACTGCGACGTGGTTGCGAGAATATAATCGATGCTGTCTGGGATATCATGGAAGGCAAATTGGTCCATGGAAAAGTCCCAGAACTCGCTGGAAGCTGGGGAAAAGCGAACGGACTTCTTCGAGTATTTATTGCCGCGATTGTTCCCCAGCTAGGCACGTCAGTCTTGAGTTACATGAACCGTAGACTATATGAACTTACCCAGACATCATAGCCCCTCTCGACTAGCATGAAGGGCAAACATCTCTCCTTCTCGGTCAGAGATACCCATACCTCGCTGTTCATGAGCAGGCCATGATGCAAATACACAACTTTCTTCTGCAAACTGCCACGACCCGCGTTGACCCTCATGCCATCTTCACCCTGCTTCTTCAAACAGAGACGATGTACCCCAAGCAAGTATCCATCTCCTGTCTGCACAACATGCTCTTCTGCGTAGTAGCCAAATAGAGCACATAAATCCACAAAATCTGAAGCGCCCGCGACCGATCTAATTATTGATTTTGGTTTTGATCTTGATTGACTGCCTTGTGCGGAGGAGAAAACATTGAAGAGATTCTTGGATCTGTTGTAGCAGAATCGAATGATTGGTTGGGCTGAAAGAAGTCAGGAAGCTGCACAAGAGAGCTCGCCTGAGGACCTTACGAAGCCCAAGTGTAATAACCCTTATCCAGCCCTCTAGGAATATCAGAATAAGAGATCCTGCAAGAGCAATGTATTCTCGCCTGCATGACTTTGTCAGTGGCGGGTTGGGAGGAGACAGTAAAGTAGGACGTACCAGAAGAGCCTCCCGAGTACAGGAATTCTGACCATGACTGCTGCCGATGACCCAAATCCTTAGAAACGCCGACCTTTCAGTTGTTATTGTACATGATTAGCCATTACTGCATGTTGCTCAAGATGTTTGCATGAGTGCCGAGTATGCGCGCTACACATGCACGTCACCGGCCAATCTGGCGGCCCGGGCTCGCCAGTGACAGCCGCCTTGAACCCTGCTATGCGTTTTTAATCTACTTTTACTACTATAAAATTAATAAAGAAGATAAAAGCCTTAACTCTAAGTTAAATTAAACTCTACTTACTTTCTATATGATAAATAGCTTATTTTTATTACTATAGATCGTTAACTAATTACGTCTTTATTTAAGAAAGTAATATTTACTTAATAATCTTATTTTTAATATACCTCGTCGGCCGAGTAAGTTATCTTTTTAATAGATTACTTAGAGTTATAATTAATAGACTAGCCTTATTAATAACTCGACTTAGAACTATATATAATTAATTATAAATAAAGATCTCGAAATATAGATATAGGCTAATCTGCTATAATAATTAGTTCTAGAACTTATTAATCGTTATATTGAAGATTAATCGAATTAGAAATTAGATACGTCGAAAGAAAGTATATAGATTATTTAAATTAGGCGAAGCTAGAGGAATACGTAATATATAGTATTATTTATTATTATATTCGCCCTTAAGAATATAATAATCGAGTATCTTAGATTTAATATACTTAATTTATAGACGTATTCTATTATATAGATTTATACGCTACTCTAAATTCCTTAATAGTATTATTATATAATTCTATTTTAACTTTAAGTAATAGAGTGAAAGCGAGGTTAATTTAAAGGTATTTATTATTTTAGTAGATAGAAGAAAGCTATCTTTCTTATTAATAACTTAATTCTTATTATTATAAATAATCTTAATCTTAGAAAACTTATTAAGAACTTAACTATTAAATTAGACGATATTCTTATTAAGAATATAAAGGATCGTCTTAAATATATAGAAATTAGCTATCTAATATAGGCTAAGATTATTATAAATAGTATTAATTAGCTAAGTGCTGAAGTTATCTAATAATTACTCGATAGATTAATTAATCGCTTTTTATTCTTCGAAGCTTATTAAGATATTATTACCTATATTTAATAGTCTTTAAATAAATTCCTCTATATTAATTCAACCTTAATTAGTTAGATTAGAGTTTCGAAGTCTTATATTTTTTATTAGCCTAAGGATTTAAATATAGTTTTAAAGATAGAACGTCTTTAACGTAGTTCGAGCGATATAATTTAACTTAGCACTCTTAATAATTAAAAGAATTTAATAAAAGTTACTATAGAAGTATATAACTATACTATTAAAAGAAGTAAGATTTTTTTAAATATCTTAAAGTATATAATCGACGGCCTCGATATCGTAGCGATTTTATATAAAGATCTCGTTCTAGAAAATAAGCTTAATCGCCTTTAATAATTAAGCTAAATTAGACTTTATCGATATATCGTAATTAAACTAAGTAGTAGTATTAAAAAAAATCTTAAAGCGAGAATAAGCGATAAGACTATCTTAAAGGAGAATAGAGGCGATATTAGATAAAGCTATAGTAATAGCTATCTTAGAGTTATTTTATACTCTTCGCAATATAATATTCTAAAGTATAATCTTATTAATACCTCTATAACTATTAAGAAAGAAGAGTTAATTATTAGAATAAGAGATCGCGTTCTAAATAGCGTTAGCTATAGTAATTTAATTATTATTAAAACTCGCCTATATCTAATCTTAGATATTAATTTAATAGCTATATACTTCGCGTAGAAGTTAATTTTAATCGTTAATATAATACTATTCGTAGTCTCGCTAAATTATAAATAGATTAAAGTCGATAGTAAGACTAATATCCTTTATAGAGCTAGTGTTATTTTTCTCTAAGCGGATTTATATTAAATAAAGATAGAAGTCTTCGGCGACGATCTATTTATTTTACGTATTATTCGATAGAGAAAGAATATAATATTAAGTTTAAAGGATATAAATAAGATTATTAGATAATCTAAATAAAGAAAAATATGTATTAGTTAAGAAATATATATAAAGTACGAGAGAAGAATTAAATTATTTACGAGTAAAAAAAGAAAAAATACGCCTAGCGCGAAAAGTTTTAATGGCTAAAAAAAGAATACTATATTAAAAAAAGTCGCGATATTTTAAAACTATCGTTAGCGCGGAAATCTTCTTATTCTATAGCTTAAGATACTTTAACTCGTAAAAGAAATTACTAAGAAAAAATATACCTAACGCGAAAAGTTTTAATATATAAAAAAAGAAATATTATATTAAAAAAAGTCGTAATATTTTAATACTACCGTTAGCGCGGTAAGCTATTTATACTACGCTTAAAGTTTTTCTATTTAATAAAGAAGAAATTATCTATATATCTTATTTTATAATTATTTTATAGATTTAGAGAATTATTAGACTTATATTATAGTAGAATTATTATAAAGAGATCTCGTAAGTAGTACTCTTTCTATTAGGTCGCTACTTTATCTAATATTTAATCTTATTCAGCGTTATCGTAAAGTAAGTCTCTCGCTATATAGATATTATAGTAGAAAGAAAGAATATTATTATTTATTATATATAAGTCTTCGAAGAATATAGAATTTAGTATATTTAGAAGGAGATATCGTAGATAGAAGAGCTTTCTAGCGTTTAAATTAATGTAGTATATTCTTATAATAATACCCCTACGCCTCTAACGTAAACTTTATTTAAATATATCTCGCTTATTTTTTTTCTAGATATATTAATTCGGTAGATCGATATAGAAGAGATCTTTTACTCGTCTTCGCTACTAATATTATTAATTTAGCTAAAAGAAGACTATTAATTTAATCTAGCGTTTATTTATAATATCGATTATCTAATTTAAATTATTATTATTATTAAATATTACGTTATATTAATTTAAAAGATAAATAAATAATCGTTTAATAGAAGAATTATAATTATATAATTTGAAGTTAAAAATCCTCTAATAGACTTTTATAGAGTCTATCTACTATATATCTTAATATTCTTAAATCTCGTCTATCTAATTTAAGCCTATATCGTTCTAATCTATATTACTTTTACACTTTATTCGAAAACTAACTTAGTTATTACCCTTATAAATATATTTAAAAATATATTTATAGACTTTAATATTAACGTAAATCTCTATATTAATATAAGCGTTATATTTAGTTAATAAATAGAGACTATAGAGTATTATCTAGTAATTCTACTTAAATTTATTATCTAATATCTTAGCAGGCTTACATCGACGATATATAAGATATTCGAAGTCTAATTTAAAGACGATATAATCGCTAAAGTCCTTCGGAAATCGCTTGCTATATATATTCTTATCTAAGTTCTAATAAGATAAAATAGTATCTATTCTATTAATAGTATACTAGCTATAGTTTCTATAAAGTATATATCTAGTAACGATTATATAGAGATTAAGAAATAGACTTTAATTAGAGATTTTAGTATTAATAGCGATATCTATCTTAGCGACGCTAAAGAATCAGTCTTTAGAATATAATATAATAAGGATGTGGATATGTGATAGGCCTTATTTTTGAAATTCTATGATATAGGCATAGGCGGGAACTCGATCTATTGCTCGTAAAGTTAGTTAGAATTAGAGCTAATCGACATTTTAACCGACCGTGCTTCGCTCTTATAAGGGTGAAGAAATTTTTTAGACGATATCGTAGGGCTAATCGGTAGAAATTACGGCGTATAGAGGGCTAAATTATATTAGAAGTACTTCTAGAGATTATTACCTATACTAATCGTTTAACTAATATATCGCCTAAGAAATTACTCTATTAAATGAAAAGAAGAAGAGCTATTATACTATAATGAGGGGTAAGAAGAATAAGAGTATATCTAATATCTTTCTCTTTAGAATATCGTTTATAAGGGTTTTTAGCTTTAGTCTAAATACTCTAGTAATTAAATTAGATTAATTAGTAGTTTATTCGTCGAATAGAAGATTTTCGATAATCTCGATCTATTTTAAATTATAGGTGAAAGTTATAAAGAGATTTAGTTAATCGAACTTAGTGAATAAGATAATAATATTCTAATAGAGTTATTTTATAAATTGTAGATCTTCTTAATAGAAGAAAGAAAGAACGATATATTATTTACTAGTCTAATTATTTATAATAACTCTATTAACGTAAATATCGACGATTACTTAATAGATATTAGCTCGAATAATCTTCTAATTTATCTTTAATTAATAAAGTTTATTACTTTCGATAGCTATATAGATATCGTAGATAAAATACTATAGTAGTCTATCGTAGTAAAGAAGACGATTAAACTTACTAAAATAACTCTATATTATATATCTATGAAAAGTTAGCGATCGATAGAATAGAAGAAATAAATAATATAGATCTATAATATAAGGTAAGCGTTATTTATATAGAGTTATCTCGACTAGTAGTTACTCTAACTCGTAAAATAATTTCGCTATTTCTACTTCGCTAAGTAAGAAGACTTTTATCTAATATATTATCTATATAAAGTATATTATTATATTATAACTATTCGCTAAATAAGAAGATAAGAAAATAGCGTAGAGGTATATAGGCTAGATGTTAATATGAAATACTAAATCTCTTATTACTTCGAGTCTTTATTAATATATTTCTAGTCTTAGATATATCTAGTAAGTTATTAATATCACTCTTTTAGGCGATAGCGATCTTATCTAAAATAGAACGATTATAGATACGTGAATTATAGTATTATAAGTTCTTATAAAATAGCTTATAGTCTCTTATATTTAAATTAATCTTTAGTTTATCGAATATCGATTTAAGAGCATTAATGTAGAAATTAATACTTCTAAGAATTATAGCTATTTTGCGATAAAGCGTCTAATTAATACGATTATAGTAGCTATGCCTAGCAAAGTTAATATAAAAAACGCGATCGAGAGAAAGTTATATCGTATTATGAACTAATCTTAAATATTATTCATAATGTAGATTTAACTAAAGATCGATTTTTCGCTCTCTAAAGGCGTTAGGGCAGGCATATAAGTAGTAATCGCTTTCTGAATTTTATACGTGTATGGGGCGACTAAATAATTGATAGTAATCTACTATAAGGCTATAGAGGCCGTATTATTATTATAAGATAATAAGGTCTCTTTTAATAAAACTGCGTAGTAGCTATGTAATTACGAGGTCTAGATACGTAGTTAATAGAATAGATAAATTAGTTATTAGATAAACTAATAACTAAAGAAAGAAGAAGAGAAAAGAGAACTCGTAAGTATTTAAGACTTTATTAAGTATATTAAATACTCGTCTTAGCTATATAGCTTATAGTCTAATAAGCGATATAAGCGAGTCTATTAATTCGCTTCGAGTACTTTTATTCTTATAACTATATCCTCTCTTAGAAGATTTAACTTCTAAATCTTATTATTATTACGCCTTATAATTGAATATATATAAACTTACTAGTATTATCTACGCTATCTATTATTAGCTTAAATATAATCTAAACTAACGTATACTATAATAGCGTATTTATACTATATATTCTAAGGTCTTCTTAAGTATATTATTATATTTATATACTAAATCGCGATAGTATCGCTATATATATTATTATTTTAATTAATAGAATATAGATATAGTATTATCCTATTACGATATACTATTATTATTATTACTATACGCTATTATTATATTATTACTTTATAATCGTAATAATTCTATTATAATAATCGTTGAAAGTCGCGCTAATAAGTATAAAAGACTTACTTTTAATCTAACTTTTATTCTTCTTAGTAATAATATTAATGTTAACGCTATTATAAGTAAGTACTTAATTCTTCTTTATATCTACTATCTTATCTTCGTTTATTCTTATTATAGTATCGCGATAGCGAGTTACGTATTATCGTAATAGTATAATATATATATTAATTAAGATAATAGTTAAATAAGATTATAATTATTTAAATTAACTTTATATATAATAAGTATCTCGAAGAATACTTTATAATACTTTATAAATAGTATAAGAAGTATATTAATATATCGTTAATAATATTAAACCTTCGCTCTTATAGCTCTATAGATTATTAAATACTCGTAGCCGTCGTAATTCCTACGTCTCGCGCTGTTACTAATAAGTATTTATATTTATTTTAAAGATATACTTAACTAAGAAGACTATTAACCTCTCTCGTCGCTACTTTCATCGCTACTTTCGTCGCTATTTTCATTACTACTCTCTTTATTTATACTTCGAATATCAATTATAAATAAAAGAGATATTAAATAACTAAGAGGTTACGCTAACGTATACTAGTTTCCTTTTACTATCGTTATGTATATACTCTCGTATATAACTCTTATACGATTTATATCGCGTTTTCTACTAGCTCGCGTTAGCGTAAATGCGAACGATATTCTTATAGAGATATATATATATAATAAACTCGATCTCTATTTATTAAAGTAATATCTTTTAAGTAACTCGCATTAACGAGAATATTTATACTATTCTTCGCCGCTAAATCGATATAAATCTTATTAATATATATTAGAGTACGTAGCTAATATACGTAACGACTTATTATATCGAGGAACTTCGGCGTAACTTTAAAATCGGCCTATAAATATTTTAGCTATTTTCGCTAAGTCTTTTAACTATAACTTATTCGCCCTTTAAGACTTCTATACTATTACTTTTTTTAGCTTTTTTTTCCCTTCTTTCCTTTCCTTTAATAATTATTACTTTTATTTTTTTTTTATATTTTTAAATTTTTAATTTTTTTATTTTAAATTAATTTATTTTATATTTTTTTATTATATTATTTAATTTTTAAATTAATAAAAAAAAAGAAAATATTATTAATTTTTTTAATTATTATATTTAGTTTTTTAAACTTTTTTAATTTATTACTTTTTAAAATTTTTTTTTTTTTTTTTATTTTTTTTTAAAATAAAAAAAATTTTAATTTTTAATTATTAATATAATAATAATATATAAAAAAAAAAAAAAAAAAAAAAAAAAAAATTTATTTTTAAATAAAAAAAAAAAATTTATATTTTAAAATATTTTTTTATTTTTATTTAAAAAAATAAAAAAAAATAAAAATAAAAAATTTATTTTTAATTTTAAAAAAAAAAAAAAAAAAAAAAATAAAAATAATTAATAATTATTTTAATTATTTTATAAAAAATAAAATTTTAAAATAAATTTTTTAATATTTTAAAAAAAACTTTAAAAAAAATTTTTTTTAAAAATTTTTTTTTATTTTTTATATTTTTATTATTTTTTAAAAAAAAAAAAAAAATTTTTATTTAATTTTTTAATTTTAAAATTTTTAAAAATATTTTATAAATTTTTTTAATATATTTTAAAAAATTTATAAAAATTTTATATAAATTTATATTTAAAAAAAAAAAAAATAAAAAATAAAATTTAAAAAAATTTTTTAAATATATATTTTTATTATATTTATATATAATATATTAAAAAATAATTTTAAATTTTAATATAAATTAAAAAATAAAAAAAAAAAAAAATAAAAAATAATAAATATTAAATAATAATAAAAAAATAAATAAAAATAAAGGGTGGCGTAGTCCACTGGCGGTCAGCTAGCGGACATAGGCTACAAAAGACGTAGTGTCGTTATGGGGTTCAATAGTATATTTGGTAGTAGAACTAATCTCTAAGGAACACCAAAACTCCGGGGCATGCGAAGTAGACCTATGTCCGCCAAGCCCCTAGGCATACGGGGCACGTCATTGAAACTGGACCCTGAAAGGGACCCTGACGTAGCACATGCGATGTCGGCGCCTTGGCGCAAGCAGCGCCAAGGCCCATGACGCATCAGGCCTGACAATTGCCTCCCCTCCTAGGCCCTGGTCCCCAGGCGCCTAAGCAAAGATAGAACGCTCATTAAAAAACCTTCAAACCCTAGTAGGGAAACAAGGGAAAAGAGTCGATCTGTTGAGGTTGCGATGTCGTTCCGATGACGCGGTAGAACCAACCCTTACGCGCCGTAGGCGCGTTACTGATGTGTTGTGCAACAACATTGGTACTACCTTCGAGAACAACATCGCTTCCATGGTGCCAATCAATGGCAACCTGTAGCAAGCCGACGCGCTTAGCATCGGCGTTCCTGCAGCGCTAGTTAATAGCCCCTGCAGCGAACAATATTAGATTTGGGAACTCATGACAAAACCTCGAAAACCCAGTGGGTAAAAGGAGGGAGAAGAGTTTCCCTGTAGGCAACGTCGTTCCTATGGCGCATTGCGTCCATAGCGAAGCAACGTAGCAACAACCTTTGTTGTGGGGATTCGAAGGGAGTGACCGGTAGAGCGACGCGTCCGCGACAACGTCCTCGATTGTTGATCAACAACAGTAGAAACAACAACGGTAGCTAGGCGACGCGGCCTGGTAGGCAGCAGCAAAACATCACCGCGTCGCTGCTGCCTGCGTTGCTGGGTGCTACCCGCTAGTGGTAGCGCTGCGGTGGAGGATACAAAAACCCCTTCCGGATTGTTTGTTTTTGTTCTTCGCAACTCCTAACGCCCCTCTTGTGAGTGCTTGCTCTGGCGCCACAACGTCGGCATTGATGCTGACGTGAGTGTAGTACATCTCATCATACCAGCAGTCTGCTTCTCTTTGTCGTAAGTACCTTGCTGTCACCGATCGCGTCGGTGCGCAGGCTGACAATTTTGCAGTACCCTTTTTCAACAACAACAACAACTTCAACAGTAAGTGCACAGTCGCCCCGCAGGCGCGACTACTAACCCTTGACTGTTCCTGCCACCATCGCTCCGCATGCGCATCTGCTAACAAGTCCTAGTGTCTGGTTTACCATGCAGGACTTGCTTTTGCCGAGGCGACGATTCATGTGTTCGAGGTGAGTCTCCCCCCTGCGACAACTGCAAGGCCGGAAGGCGCGGCATTGGCCGCTGTGTTGAAATCCCCCTGCACCTTCAGGCGCAGGTAAGGAAATCAATACGGCGCCATCGCCGCGCTGGATGGTCTCGGAAGCTGTCTCGCCGACGGGCTAAGCTCGGCAAGGAGATCACCCAGTGGCGCAAGTCACAGGGGCACACGGTGGCGACGGCTTCGGCCGCCCCTGCCATGATTGCAGATCTCCAAGGCCAGCTCGTGGCGGCACATGAGCGCATAGAGGAATTGGAGGGAATGAACGAGTTGCTGGAGGAGGAGCTCGAGAGCCTCCGTCGGCACACGGCGGACGTCGACGGGTACCAACACGAAGACTATGCTTCAACCACCTCCTCGTTAGAGAACTGGGTCGATGAACTCGACTCGGGATCTGACGCTGAGATGGCGGAGGACACTTGAGTGGCGACCTTTTTTCAGTAGCAGCGCTGGCGTGGGGTCCCCAGGCAGTCCTTCAATGGCTGCCCTGGGTAAAAACACGCCTACATCAACAGCACGTGCCCTGGTGCGACAAACCCCCTCCATAGCAGAGTTTAGTAGATAGCCAAACAATGCAATCATTTTATCAACCCACATCTCAACAGTAGCAAGTGTAGAGGAGTGCGCGCGTAGCATAAGCATCACCTAGGAATGTGTCTGACCTAGTCGATGGTCATGTCTGATTTCGTCGCCTCCGCTTGCTCGCCGTTGATCCATGTGGTTGATCGAGCTCTTCAGTAACAAGAGACTCATTGTTTGTTGCTTGGTGCTTCCGCTTGCTGCCCGCCTGCTCGTAGGCTTGGGTTAGCTCGCTAGCACCAGTAAGTTCGTCATCTGGCAGCCATTGGTTGTACTCTTCGCCCCAACCAGTCCATTTGACTTTGTACCAGACGCCTTTCTTGTACTTGACCTTATCAATGATTTCTTCGACCTCCCAAAGCTCATCGTCATCGATAAGATCGGGGGCCTGCATGAAGGCTTCCGCTGCGTCACCGCAATCGCGAAGGTGATAAGGCTCAAGCAACGATACATGAAAGGTATTGTGGATCCTATACGTCGAGGGTAGAAGCAGGCGGTACGCCTGCGCCCCTACCTTGTCTGTGATCCGAAATGGTCCCACGAATTTGTGAGACAACTTCTTGCTTGGGCGTTTCTGCTTCAGGTTCTTAGTCGCTAGCATCACCAAATCGCCTACCTTATAGCTTTGAGGCTGGTGCGTTTTGTTGTAGTACTTGGACTGAGCCGCAACCGCGCTGCGAAGGCGCTCTGCTGTCTCATCCCTCAATGCTTGCAACTTCTTTATCCTGTCATTTGCAGCGGGTACCTCCCCCTCGGCGGAGTCGTCCTCGATCTCCCAACGGATTTCAGGATGATATCCGTACATTAGGAAGAACGGTGTCGTTCCGATGGAGGAATGCCAACTGTTCATGTAAGCGAACTCTGCCATTGGCAGTTGTTTCGCCCAAACGTTTTGCTTATCGTTAGCGAACACGCGCAAGAAGTGTTCTAGCACCTGATTTTGCCGCTCAGTCTGCCCGTCGGTTTGCGGGTGAAAGGCGGTGCTCAGGCGCCGCTTGATTTTGGAATGGAAGCAAACGGCGGACCAGAAGCTACTGGTAAATACAGAGCCTCTGTCACTAACAATACCGTTTGGCATGCCATAGCGGCATACTATTTCGGAATGAAATACTTCCGCCAGCTGAGCGGCATCGATTGTGGTAGATACAGGAATGTACCTTACCATTTTTGTGAATCGATCCACTACAACCAGGATAGCATCGTAGACGATGCCCTTGTACTTGCTCGCTGGCAAGCCGGTGATGAAGTCCATAGAAATTTCCTTCCATGGCTTGGTGGCGACGGGAAGCGAGCTCAACTCGCCATATGGGCGATGCCGCGGAGCTTTGGTCCGCTGGCAAACGTCACATGTCTTGACATAGTCGGTGACTTGCTTCAGGCTTCCGTCCCAATGGTATTTGCGGGCAAGCAGCTCATGCGTCTTCGCAGCGCCAAAGTGTCCTGATAACGGATCATCATGGCATTTGCTAATGAGCTCTTCCCTCAAGGCCTCATCCCTAGGGATGTAAAGGCGACTGTTATGTCTTAACAGTCCCTCGGAGTCTAAGACCCATGCTTGGCTGCGTGCGCGACGCTTGACCGCTGGCTCATTGACATCAGTTCGAAAAGAGCTCACCCAATCATCATGGGCTTGCAGGTCTCGAATCAATGTTTTCATTGGCCTTTGGGGTGCGTCATAAGCAGTCTCTTGCACGGCCTTAGGCTCCCTCCTAGGAATGACCACCTGGACGCCGGCAATGCGGAATGCGGGCGCCATCGCCGCTGCAACCTCCTTGCCCCTTTGCGACTGCTCGCCGCTAGTCCAAAGTGCGAGTTTGTTCTGCAGTGTCGGCAAAAGTTTGGTATTCAACGGCGAAGTTCCCTCGTAGTCAGGGCGCCGCGATGGCGGGTCGGCAGGGTTTAGTTTGCCTGCCCGATGAAAAATCTCAAAGTCATAAGCAGCTAACTTCAGCGCCCAACGGGCTTGCCTGGAGTTTAGTTCCTTCTGCTTCATGAAGCCTTTGAGGTTGTTGTGGTCCGTTAGGACCTCAATGCAAAACGTACTACCTTCTAGGTAGTGACGCCATTGCTTCATAGACGCTACGATGGCGAGTAGCTCTTGGTCATGGGTCTCATAGTTTTGCTCCGCAGGAATCATTTTCCTAGACCAGAATGCCACTGGTCGCCAGTGGCCATCCTCATCCGGTTGCGAAAGTATGGCCCCCATACCGAAGTTGGAAGCGTCGGTCTCAAGACGTAGCTTCAAATTTGGATCGTAGTGGCGCAGAAACGGCGCGGTTGCGAAAGTGCTTCGGAGCTGCTGGAACGCCAGCTCCGCGTCGTCTGTCCACTCTAGCGGTCCAGGTTTCTTGCCATCCTTGCTCCCTTTGAGCAAGTCAGTAAGTGGCGCTGCTATGCTGGAATAGCCATAGATAAATCGCCGATAGAAATTGGCAAAGCCTAAAAAGACTTGCACATCCCGATAACTTTTTGGTTTTGGCCACTCCTTAATGGTAGCGACACGTTCCTGGTCCATTGCGACACCTTCGGTGGACACGATGAACCCTAGAAACTCAACCCGTTCGGTGTAGAATTGACACTTCTTCAGGCTGGCGTACAGTTGGAACTGGCGCAGACGCTCAAGCACTTGCTTGACGTGCCGCCAATGCTCCGCTGGATCAGCACTGTAAATCAGAATGTCATCCAAATACACCACGCACGTCACATCCACCAGGCCCGCAAGGGCTCTGTTGATGTACGCTTGAAAAGTTGCCGGTGCATTGGCGAGCCCAAAAGGCATAACCAAATATTCGAAGTGGCCGTAGCGACTGCGGAACGCTGTTTTCCACTCGTCGCCTTCTTTGATCCGGATCCGATGATAGGCATCCTTAAGGTCCAGCTTCGTAAAGACTTTGGCCCCGCATAAGCGGTCCAGAGTCTCGGTGATTAGGGGTAGCGGGTGTCGATTTTTGACAGTCATCGCGTTCAGGCCCCGATAATCAACGCAAAGACGGAGCCCCCCATCCTTTTTGGGAACGAAAAGGATCGGTGCTCCGGCTGAGGAAGTCGAGTGGCGGATCCAGCCTTTCTGAAGGGAGTCCTCCAGATAGCGCCGCAGCTCCGCCAACTCCGTTTGAGATAGATTGTATAAGGGGCCATATGGCGGCTCCTTACCGCTCTCGATCTCAATGGCATGGTCTCCCTGCTTGAGCGCAGGCAAGATCCCTGCTTTTTCGTTGGAAAAAACGTCGTCAAACTCTAGCAACTCCTGAGGGAGCTCCAGGCTACGCCCGTTTTCCGGTTCGCTTCGCGCCACCGCGGCGCACACGATTGCGAACACATTTGGCTCCTGTTCGATGGTTCGGGTAAATTTGGCCGGTTCTTCAACCTGCAATTTGCCAGCGTTGACTTTGAACCGCCACTGCTCCGCCGCTGGGTCCAGCAGTACTTGCAATTGACTCAGCCCGGGCATACCCAACACGACATCAGGGCCTTTTTGGTCAATGGCATAGAAGAGTGTGCTGCACTTCCTACCCTGACCCCAGCTGTCCACTAACCAGTAGTCCAGCTGATACGCGCCATAGCAATACATGCTTTGGCCGCTCAGCGCTTCCGGTTGCGGTAAGATGGCGTCGCAAGGTTCCAAGTCCCATTGGACCACGAACTTTTGCGAAATCAAATTAACATGCGCTCCAGTGTCGAGCAGAGCAACGAGTTGCCTCTGTTCACCCTGAAGCTTTGTCCACCCCTTCGTAAGGATAGAAGGGATTGCCTCTATTGATCGTCGTTCTTGCCTCGCTTCTGAGGCGGTTGCGAGGCCTGATCTTTTTTGCCGACACTGCGCCGACATGGGCTGCAGGCGGTTTGTCGAGGTCTGGACACTCAGGTGTCCAATGACCCTGTTTACCACAATGGAAACAACTGTCCTTCTTGTGGTCAGGGTTAAAGGATTCGGCTTTGCGCTTTGCGCCACCGTCTTGGGTGCGCGCTGCGTGAGCGCCGCCGTTTGGAGCCGATTTAGGCTTCGAAATTCGATCCTCCAGGGGCTTATCCTTAGCGGACCCCCCGAAGACTTCGAATGGGAACCGCCGCCGGAGCGCACGCGTTCCAAAATCTTTTCCTGCATAATGGCCTGGGCAAGAATTTCTTCCCGTTGTTTCGGCACACTACCAGTACTCAGGATCTTGTTCTTAAGCTCTGGTCTGAGCTTAGCCAAGAAGAAATTGGCCCGATGCTCCTCAGAAAATGGGGTTATATGGGCCTCTAGCTCCTCCAGGTAGGCCTTGAAAACAGATACCTTCTGATCGGAGCGTTGTTTGGCCTCCTCCCACTTTTCGTAGGCGAGGAGACGGCGGTTCACTGGATCCGCCACTAAATCAAGCAGGAACTGCTTGAAGAATTCGAAAGTCGTACCCCCCAGGCCATGGGTTTGGTAGTATCCATACCATTGGGTATTGGGGTCGCCTTCTAAGGATTGCATACAATAGACAATCCTTGATTGGTTGGTGGTGAAATACTCAGGACTCATAAGGAACTTGATTTCGACTTCGCGGAACCAGCGCAGGTGCTCTCCCTCACTAACACCCTTATAAGGACGCATCCTTTCAGGGCGAAGTGTTTTCGCCTTGATTGGTGTATCCGCCAGAGGCGCGATAGTGACCGGCGTAGGTGGGCCCCCGCTGGCCGTAGACGGTGAGCTGGCGTTGCGAAGCTCGCGATTGCGGGCCTCCAACGCAGCCAATTCTTGTTCTTGTTCCAGGCGACGATTTTCGGCCCTGGCGACTGCAAGACGTTCTTCCACAGTAAGGTCTTCCACTGGTGAGAAATTCTCGAACTCATCATCGGCGCCATGGCGGCTCTCGATGTCACCTTCGTTTTCCACCACACGGCCTAGAGGTGAACCCGACATCGTAACGACAATGGGCCTTTTCCTTTGAAAGGTAGAGAGATTAGAACTGTGAGGGCGTAGTCCACTGGCGGTCAGCTAGCGGACATAGGCTACAAAAGACGTAGTGTCGTTATGGGGTTCAATAGTATATTTGGTAGTAGAACTAATCTCTAAGGAACACCAAAACTCCGGGGCATGCGAAGTAGACCTATGTCCGCCAAGCCTCTCTTTCGCACTCGTATTCTATAATATATATTACGAATATTAATCTTAATAAAGTACTTCGTATATATGAATCTTTTTAAGATCTCTAAGAGTAGTAATAACGAGTAATTATTCTTAATAATTATCTTATTAAATTCTCGACAGTTAATATATAGTTATAGCGAGCTATTTAATTTTTTAATAAATAGTACTAGCGAGCTAATCTAACTAATTAAGAGTTAAATCTACTTTCTCTTAAGTATAATATCTAAATAGTTTCTAATCACTACGAGTTCGTTATATAATATATTATAAATCGAATTACTTCTAGATAGCTTTCTAGATTATAGATCGATAGAGTATTCGATTTAATTATATATATTAAGACTATTAGATAGCTCTTCTAAAAGACTTCTAATAGATTCTTAAGTTATTTAAATATACTAGAGTTATTTAACTACGTAATATTATATCGTATAGCTTTATCGTAATTATCTTTACTACTTTTAAATAGAATCTAATATAGAAGTACGATAAACGCTTATCTTAGATTATATATAACTACTATATTAACTAATAACGTAAATTACTTCATATTTACTATTACGATATCTACTTACTTTTTATTACTTATAGAAAAATCGCGATAGATTTAAAACTACTCGCGTTAATAAATATCTAAATCGATATTATAGATTTAAGGGAAATTAAGAATAAGATTATATTCTTATATATTTATAGTATACGCCTTTAAGATTTACTTTTACTTTTTTCTTAACTATTCGCGAGACTAAAGATTAGATTATACTTCTTATATAAGAGTATTTAATAACTATCGATAGTATATATTATTATTAACGCGTATTTAGATTTAGAAATCTACGTCTCTTTAATAAAAGATTATAATATAAAGATTTCCTCGCTATCGATATCTATTAGAATAGTTATCTTACGCTTTTTATTTAATATAATAATTTTACCTCTTAATAATAGAGAGCGAGATTATCGCTTAATTAATAATATACTTAATACTATAGCGATAAGTATTAGACTTTACTTTTTCCCTTACTCGATCTATAATTATATACTTTATTATTCATAACGTAATTTAAATATTTAGATAAATTTTTATAATATCTTAGCTACTTATAATTATAGTATTATATCTTAATAAGAGATATCTTTAACTTAATATAAGAGTCGCTATCTTCGAATTTAGTTCGCTTAAACTTTTAACCTTATAACGTTAATAAGAATAAACTTTTCTTTTAATCTTATTAACTCTTTATATATTATCTTTTAAACTTAGTATACTATTAACTATTACTTCTCTAATTACTTATCTTATTATTAAAGCGAGTCTTATTTAAAGTAGAAAGCTCTTTCGTTTTTCGTAGTCTTTACTTTATATCTTAATACTATTATAATATTATAATATAGATAATAGATTAAGTAGCCTTCTTTATAGCTTTTAGAGGAATTTTCTCTACTACTCTATCTTATAGGCCTTTTATATATTCTAGATTAATTATATAGTATTCTTATTATAACTAAAATATAATAAGATAGTTATTAAAGCTAACTATCGATTACGTATCTCTTATAATCGCTTTAACTAATTAATATTCTACGTTATAAGACTTAATAGCTAGATTATAAACTTAGTTTAAATATTATCTCTTATATTTCTTCTAGATAGATTTCTTAATATCGTATAATATCGTATTCTTGATATTTCTTTAGATTTACTTCTTAGTATTCATTAAGAGAGCTAAAGCCTAGCGAGTCTTTTCTTTATTCATATAAAAATTAATATAAGATATCGAGGCGATAAAATCGTCGTAGTCTTAAAGAAATATAACTATCGAGTTATAGTTATTAAGATATTACGTATTAGATATCTTAATAATACTTATCTTCTTACGACTCGAATTACGATAGTAATTATCGCTATACTTACGGCGATATTCTTATATATTCTATATTTCAATTAGCTTAAGTTTTTTAATAACTAGCTACTTCTTAATATTAAGCTCTAGAAGTCGATAGCGTTAAACTTAAATTAAGTCTATAAAGCGAGAATCTTCGTCTATAGATAAAGAGTTATTAGATATAACGCTTCGATAATTATTATTTCTATTAATAGTATAGTTAGAATTTCTATAAATATTAGAATTAATATTATAATCGCTTAATTATATAGTAGACGTATTCTAATAAAAGTTATTTACTAAGTTAAAAATATCGCTAATTAATTATAATAGAACGTTTCTACTTTATAAATTAATAGAATTAACTCGCGAGTTACTTACTATAGCTAAACTAAATAACTTTATATAAATAAAGTTATTAGAACTATAAGATAGTAAGATCTCTTTTAATAGAACTACGTAATAGCTATATAATTATAAGATCTAGATACGTAATTAATAGAATAAATAAATTAGTTATTAGATGAATTAATAACTAAAAAAAGAAGAAGGGGAAAGGGGATTTGTAAGTATTTAAGACTTTGCTAAGTATATTAGATACTCGCCTTAGCTACGTAGCTTACAGCCTGGCAAGCGATGTAAGCGAGCCTATCAGTTCGCTCCGAGTACTTCTATTCTTACAATTGTACTGAACGCTGTAGCGGCGGAATTCTTTGCAATCATCAGTGAAATTCAAGGTCCCTGGCGTCAAAGAATGGAGGATTTGATTAATGGCATGCTCGCTGGGGTTGATCGAATCATTTGTACTCGTTTCAACGCCCTTATGGCCCTGTTCTATATCGTCCACTTCTTGATCGATGTCTGTTTCAGGTGTATCGACTTCAGTCTTTCCGCTGTCGCAGTACCACCCGGCTGTCTCATCTTTCTATGACGCCGCATCGCAGCTGTCGTAAATCTGGTTTATGGGACCCAAATCATGCCGTGTAGGCTCTGTGGTATATGGGTGACGCGCGGTGTAGCTGGTAAGCCTTGCTGGAGGCTGAGTAGGACCTAAATAAGGGCTGGAAGGTGGGCTAAAAGGACGTAGACTGTCGAAAGAGTTGTTGTCAAAGAAGTCTGCTAGTAAATCTCGCAATAGAGGGTCTTCGACAGCGTCTTCCTCTCGTTTAGGAGCTTCTTCTTGACGATGTTCAGGATCTAACACGCGTTGAGAGGCTTTAAAATAGGGTGATGAAGAACGGGTAGGGGAGGAAGACGCGTCTTGGGAGGTAGCATCGCTGGGTTGAAAGGCATTACCGCTGGCTTGGGAGGAATCTGTAGGGGAGGACGTATCCGTTCGGGCTCTTTTTGAGGGTCTTCCAACGCGTTTATGAGCAGTAGTAGGTCGCTTGCGGCCTCGATTGCCAGCAGTAGCGGATTCGCCGAGGGGTGGCCTGGGGGCGTCAGTAGGGGCTCTAAGAGGCGGGCAAAAGGGGTGTACGTGCCTGAAGCGTTTAGTAACGTTTCCGCGAGGGGTACCGAGGACGATTGTGTTCATATTGGTGGAATTGGTAGAATTGATAGAGAGGTAGAAGAATAATGGTTACACAAACAGGTGGAAGGATTATCCGGTCCCGGACGGGTTTCGTGTGACTATGTTTAAATGCTACTTCGCTCCATCAATAGTAGGCCAAACTTCATAATTTTTACAGCGTTAGAAAGCGCAAAGCGAGCTCTACAATTTGAGGAATTATGAAGTAACTGTAAGTATCGCAAGCTGAGTACTTCAAAGTGTAAAACTTCTACACACAAATTTTTGATGAGGGAGCTCGGGAGGGCTAGCGGGCTGACTCAGCCGGTCTAACTAAAGAGCGTAGTGACCCTGAATTTATGATTGGCTGCACATACAAATTCAAGGTTTTATAGCTCAGCCCTACCTTATTCTTTTATATATACTGATGTCCACTACCTATCGGCCAGCTGATCTTCCTACATCTGAAACGTATTGAACATGTAGGCCTGTGTAGTACCACCTCGCTGTCCTCCTCTTGTAGCCTATCCAGCCTGCCCACCTCGCCGCCCTCCTCGTGTAATGCCTAGTCGTCGGGTCTGATGGCAACCTCGGCAACCTTTCATGTAATCACTGTAAAGTACAACGTAGATCAGGACTGTGCCTGCTCGACCGCCCACATAAATCGCCAGGAGGCTTCTCTACTCTACTTGAAACTTTCATTTTGGTACCCTCGTTTCGCTGTCTGTATTCAGATTTTCTCAAGCTTGGATACGATGCAAGGGTTTCTTGCCACGATGAGGGATCGAATACTGATATACAAGCGTGAAATTCATAGCTACACTCTGGCATCAAAGAATCTATATGTTGCTTTTGCGAAGCTTTGACTCTGCTCCATCATTAGTCCTTGGTGAGAAAATGTTATATTTACAATGCCTACAGTGTTTAGCAAAGACGCCAGGCATTTGTGAATCTGTCCCAGGAAGGTGCAATCCATCAGCTATGTCTACTCTACCAAAAGTAGAGTCTCCTCTGCCACAGTTTCCTTGAAAAGAACAATCGGACGTGGTATTCTTGTATCAAGCATTGATTCGGCTGGAGTGGACGAGGACTATCATACAATCATCCTAAACCATTACAGCATTCTCTTCAAGGATTACCGCTTGAGCGTCAACAGCTTTATCCTTATCGGATTTCCATATCTCAGTTCTACCACTTCTCGGTCAATCTTGGGAGACGGAATCTCGACTGTTGAATGGTCCGGAGATCTTCGCCTCGTACCATGCTTGTCAATCGATGGATCCATGCAATTCTACATCGCCAGATGCATGGGAAGACGATGCATGGGAAGACCTCGAACTTGGGCACCCTGCCTCTTGGCTTACAACGAAGCCGTCCAGTCCATTTTCGCTCTCGCCGCTCATCAAATCTGAATCAATACATCACATCGGTCGATTCAGATTCAGCGATAATCAGCTCCAGTATGTGCTGGTCAATTTGGTGCACGCCAGGAAAAACAATACCATCCGTGATGTCGTATTAGTTTTGAGATACAAATGGCCAAGCCAGTTCAGACTTCTTTTACAATCTGATCTGGAAACGGTGCGCTCACGCTCATACCCCAATAATGAAGCAATGCAGTAAGTCAAATCAAAATATATGAGGATGGCAGACAATTAACGAGTCCTTGAAAGGCAGTGGTATGCCTCCCGACTCCCAGAAGTGACACAGCTTGTCAACACTTTCAAGATCGAGTTGCGCGAAGCTGAAGCTTGTGGCATACGGGCTCTAGCCAAGAGTATTGAGCTGCAGGTTGTCCTGATCATCCTTGCCAACAAGCTCTTTTCGGACCTGTCTTCTGCAGACATTGCTTTGGGGCTTACCAACCGTTATTCCCATTTAGTCCGTGGTTACCGATATGTGTGGATGTTCCCTTTTACAGAAATGCACGTGGAACTCGTCTGGAACCGCTCGCAAGTAGCCCAAACTGAGCCCTTCAAGGTGCTCGCCGAAAAGAACGGACAACAAATGAGCGTGAGGAGGTTCCTGATGGCGTTTATGAGAGACGTAGTAGCTGGACGTGCAGACAAGACATTGGTGCTCGACCCTCGATCCTGCGGCAATGAGAGAAGCGCAGCTAACCTCGTGGAAGACGTTATTGGTCTATTTATGAGCTGTGTCGACAGTAAAGACATCCTCGGAGCACTGATGACTTAGCGAGGAATACATGGCCGAATAGAAAACAAATGCAGCAACGGGTATTTCAAAACGATATTTTACTCCTTTAGCATAGTGACCTCTTGAGCATTGTCGCAGGCCTTGTCATTTTCATGTAAAGTATATGCAAGACCGTATGAATTGTGCCTCCTCCTCTCTGTCAGACAGTGTTCTCCCTTGTGCGCCGGAACCCAATAATAACCATCAGACGACTTCGAACGCCCAATCCTTCTATGGGCTGCTTCATACAAAGCTCCGACCACCTTGTAGCTGCCCGCTCGTTCTGCGGCGCCCGCATTTTTGGTCCGTCCACGCCCCATCTGCCTCACTGCAATGCCTAGTCATCATAGCCCTCTGGTATCTTCCTTGGACCCGACGGTACTGCAGAACGATCGTATCAGCCAAGTCCGTCATCTTGCCGATGAGTGAGTGGGCCTATGCGCCTTCAAGCAGTCTTTGCCGTCCTTGATGGGTAGCTTACCTGGGTATGTCATCGGTATTTTTTCTCTTGGCCCATCGTTAAAGTATCTCCGGATTGGCGGCGCAATGACTAGGGACAGTGGCCCGCCGGTTCCAATGACGAAGGAGTAGAAGATCGCTGGTCTCTCGTGTGATGCCCATCGCATGTAGCGGAAGGGCTGCTGGAAGAACTGTGGGTAGGACATGTTGCAGGAGGAGACTCTGTCGATGTGATGGGAATACTTGGCTCGGGTCAGAGCGCTGAAAGGCTTGATCTGGCCCTCAAAGGGTGGGCAACTGAGGTGGGATTTTGTTGGCAATGGATCGAGGCTTGGGGACAAAAGTCGTGGAACTTATATGGTTTCGTGAGGGTAGCCCTAACCCTAAGACTTTCGGTGGTCGGACATTGCCGGTCCAACTTCGGTCTTGGCATCCGTTGCGGAGAGTCTGGAGGGGGGAGTCAAATCTTGCGCGATACACAAAATCTCAAAAAAATGACGTTTCCTGCAGTCTCCCGGAGCCTGCCCTTGACGACCTGATACTGAAGAAAGAGAGCAATTACTCATGCTATTAGCATTGTGATCTTCCGGGTAAGGAGCACACACACCACTGATAATCCGGCGATTTTGAAAGAGATGTGTGGCATCCTAGCTATGCTCCATGCGGAGCCAGAAGGCAATGCTTGTGCGGCAGAACTTCAGTGAGCCGACAGATTTCTTCTCAAGACCTCAGCAGCACTCATACCTAGCAGCGAGGCTCTGTACTATTTGCAGCATCGGGGCCAAGACGCTTGTGGTACCACATACTTCCAATATTGAACGAACGAGTAATAAGAGACATGACAGGCATTTCTACTTGTGCTACGGGAGGAAGGATCTTTCAGTGCAAAGGTACATCGTCCTTGAAAGACTTCTTCTTTCGGGGCCTCCATTGGAAGCTGTTAGACATCTCTTTGACGCCTTTGCCCCTGAGACTGAACCATAAGCCCCTTGCTTGCTTGAAAGAGCAGTGCTGACGAGAGAAATTATCGTACAGGAAACGGCCTAGCCTCGAAAGTGTACGTCTTTTTCGAGTCTCTACTTCCCTTCTAAGGTTATGTTGGGAGTCGTGAGACATGTTCTGGCAGCCTTGACTCCCGGAATCTGGCTTACGACTTGGTTTCTCTTCTGAAAGCCGCTATGCTGATGAGCGGAATAAATGTGTAGATTTCGCGATGGAGCACGAGTACAAGATCTCCCGGGGTACATGGGTGAGTGCGCCTTCGGCCACGTAAATTTGAAAGCTGAAGATAACGCAGGCCTCGGACACCTTCGCTACCCCACTGCAGGCACGTCAGCCAACGCTGAAGCACAACCTTTCTTTGTGAACTCCCCTGTAGGTCTTTTCCGAGATTCTACTTGCTTTCTGAGATCAGTTGGGATATGCCTTGGGAGTCTCTGCTCCCAACACCTAGCTTGTGACTCGCTTTCCTTTCTCGAAGAGGCTATGCTGATGAGCGAACAAGTATGGCATTAGCGCAGCTCATAATGGCAACCTCATCAACGCAGCTGAGTTGAGAGACTTCCTCGACCGAGAAGCACATCGGCATGTGAGTCATATCCGAAAGATTCTTGTCATTTCCGTACTCTCCGCATAAGGGGAACCGATCCTAGCAGAGAAAAAGATGCTAAACTTCGATTTTGGTAAAGATTAATACCGAATCTGACTCGTACGTCTTTTCCGACTTTCTACTTGCCTTTGGAGGTCTTATCGTGACTCGCGAGACATGTCTGGAGAGTCCCTGCTACCGAGATCTGGCTTGCGGCTCCCTCTCCTTTCTCAGAAGGGCAATGCTGACGAGCGAATGCACGTAGGGAATTACTGCTCAATGTATTCGCGTCAGAATTAAATACCACTGGTAAGGCGAGGATCAATTGGTAAGCCTGCCCGAAAAGTTTATCTGTTTCCGTGCCTCTGAGGAACACAATGTCCAGAGCAAACACCATATAAAGATTTTTAGGATGGAGATTAAAAACATCTTTAAGCTGGAAACGCTATAATAGTGTAATACTGACTTCTGTATGCTAGTGATGATATATTCGCCGCACTGTACGTCTTTCCTCCGAAAATCCCCACCCTACAACGTTCCCTCCTCAGTTGAGGAGCACGCATGGACCCTAGCCTTTGAGCCTCCGAGAGATATCTCTGCACCCTTATTTTCAGGAGCGAAGCTGACGAAGGCAATTATTGCAGTGGGCGTATGTATGGTACGTCTTCCTCTTTCAGGCTTTCTTGAGACTCACTTGTCTTGAATGTTATGGCTGCGGAGCAACTCACACCTATTGAGGAATCACGCTGACACACAACCAGAACGTTTGGAAGGAGGGTTTGCATGCACTGCCATGCTTGCTGGTCTGTCGTTCATCGGGACAATGAGCGCGACTAACAAGAGCTAGGCTTCGGTATTATTGGCTTTCGCGACAGTTATGGCATCAGACCTCTTGGTACGTAGGACCTGGTCTGAACACTATCATTTCTGCCAATCGATATCACATATAATTGCTGACTCGGTGACATGTAGTGCTTGGCTCGAGGCTGGCTTCCTCAGGACAAGGGAGAGATTACATGCTTTCTTCAGAGTCCGTAGCGCTTCAACAACTGGGGTACCTCAAATCGAACATTCAGGACATAAAGCCAGGCCAAGCCGTCATAATACAGAAAGGAGCAGAGCCAGTCTTTGCCTCCGTTCAACCTCAGAAAAGATATTGCCCGGACATCTGTGAGCTTACTCTCCCAAAACATTCCTCGTCTTTTTAGCATCTTTGAATTGGTTGGAAGAGCTTGCTCTAACCTGCTCAGTTGAATTCTGCTATTTTGCTAGGCCTGACAGCGTTATTGATGCTATGAGCGTCCATCAGAGTCGAGAAAACATGGGATATAAGCTCGCCCATCGAATCGCGAAGGTCTTGTCTCCGTCACAGCTGGAAGAGATTGATGTAGTCATGCCTATCCCGGACACAAGTAACACCACAGCACCTTGTGTGGCCGCACGTCTCAACAAACCGTATCGCCAAGGCTTCGTCAAGAATCGCTACGTTTTTCGAACATTTATCATGGGTGGCCAGAAAGCAAGGCAAAAGGGTGTCAGGAGGAAGATGAACGCCATGGAGCAGCAGTTTGTGGGGAAGAATGTGCTACTAGTCGACGACAGCATTGTGAGGGGTACTACGTCGCGAGAGATTGTACTAATGGCAAAGGAGGCTGGAGCAAAGAAGGTCTTTTTCGCCTCTGCTGCACCCCGTATCCGCCACCCTCACATATACGGCATAGATCTGTCGTCGCCTTCTGAACTGATAGCGCACAAGAGGACCGTGGATGAAATTGCTACACATATCGGAGCAGAGAAAGTCATTTTCCAAGAGCTCGATGATCTTATCGATGCATGCCGTCAAGCTGCACCTTCCGATCACACCGCCAGGGAGACCCAGGACTTCGAGGTCGGCGTTTTCAACGGCCAGTATGTAACGCCTGTCCCAGATGGCTACTTTGTTCATCTCGAGCGCGTAAGAGGTGAGACCAAGAAGATCAAGATGATAGAAAACGCCCGTGGCGCAGTCGCTAATGGCTCAGCCGACCCTGAAGAGATAATGATGGCTACAAATGGAGCAGAGGTGAAGGATGATGGTAGTGTCGTTGCTTCGGGGCCTTTGGATGCTGGTAACATGCCTGTTGTCAATGGCAATCATTCACACCTGCCGAACGGGAAGCGGAAACGAACATTAGAAGAACACGAGAAGCCGAAGCGAACGATGGACATTTCAATGCATAATCAAGATGATTTTGAAGTGGAGGATTGAAGATTCTGTCTACTCATGATTTACCGGGGTCGGATATTCGAAGAGAAAATACTCACAGATAATGGATGGATAGCAGGGCCATCGCCCCCATTTCAGGGACTAGTCATAGAACACTTAGGAGACTGGCACGAACTCTGACTCCGGGCAGCAATACGCAACATGCGATCCTCACCCATGTCAGCCGCATCTACAACCGTCGATACACCACTATTATGCAGTCTCTTTCTTATGGTAAAATACCCATGGTGATCGCTGGCCTGGAGTGCACGGTCGTCCTGCTATTTGTATATCTCAACAGAAGTGCTGCAGATATCCTGTTTCTATACTAGTGTCTCGCAATCTGACTCCTTGAGCTCTGTGGCTGAAAGTTCTGTTCTTCTGCCTGTGTTGTTTCTTGTACCACTCTAGAGCTGCTTCTGCCAATTCGATGTTGACAGCGCAAAGCAGGGATGAATGGGCATGGTATCCGGTTTCTTCCAAGGTCCCAGTGCACGTTCGGCTTATGGTCGTGCTTGGTGGCTTTGCGCACATAGTTTTATTGTCAATAGTCTAATGCATAAGGTTACTACATAGAAAATGTCTCGCTCCTGCACGTGAAAGAACCACTGACCCACAATATCTTCACCGATACTCAATCTCTACTGGAAGACTATGATATCCGGATAACGAACATTATGGGATATATTGACTAGCGACCATGAAAGAGCCTCCTCGGTGAGTTGGAAGACGATGCATGAAGCAAGGATCTGGCTTGTTCGTAGGAAGACTCTTGTCGCTCCCAATCATAACCTTCCTTTGCATCTCTTGAGGTGATCCAAAAGGTTTGCGGCGGAGCTGTGAGACTGGCCACAATGTGGGCAGGGTCTGGCCCTTCTTGAAGGATCCACCAATTCTGAATGGGTGGTGCGACCAGTGCATCTCTTACCTTGGAACCTACACCAATCACACTCGCCGGCCTCAAAAGTCTCACAAGGCATGCCCTCTTCATCACAAAGCTTACATTTTCCCTCGCAGAATCTCCCGTGACGGGCCAGATCGCCCCCAACAACCCAAGAACAACGGGAGCAACGTTGCTCATCGGTCGGGAAGATGCCCGAACAAAACAATCCATCCGCTTTGCAGTTCGAACAATCAGCATCCTTGAGGTTTGCGTTGCATGCTCTGCCGTGTGCCTGACATGCCTGGCACTTTCCGAGACAATCTATCACAATGTGACAAGAAGTAAGCACGAACTATAGACCTGTCGCACCGTGGACACGGAATGAGCTTCTCCTCTTGATCAGCAGGCCACGTGCACTTCACTTTCGCAGCCCTGCAATCCACGCAGACAACCCCTGTATCCAAGGCAAAGGAATACCTTGCCCCACGCAACTTTTGCATTTTCCTGGGCATTCCCTTGAATGACCACAAATATATTTTCGATGTACTTCACTTCCGTATCGGGGGCAGAGAACACTGAACTGCGGAGTATCCTTCTGCTCGTCAACAGGCGTTATGGGACCACTGCAATCGGGGTTTGCCTCTTTACATTGGGTGCATTTCCGAATTGCCCCTTGATGGTTTGCCAATTCGATGCAGGCGATGCCAAGAATATTGCATCGCTCACACTTGGCTCGGCAGCTTCGTAGATGATCCGTCAGAAGAGCCAGTGAGGAAAATCCGAGGCCACATCGGTGACATTCGAGGCTACTTTCTGAAGACTCCACGGGTGTGGTCTTTGACCGCTTCTGTCTGTTCTGCTGCTGTGGCTCGTCTGTTGATTTCCGCTTTAATGGGGTTTCTAGCTGCTGGTTTTCTTGCCGGCGTTGCTCTCCTTGCTTGCGCTGCAGGTCATCCTCGCTAGATGGGGACGTGTGTAAACCAAAGGTCTTCCGAACTACGCTGCCCGACAATTTGTTTCCGTCCCGATCTAACAGCCGGAAGGGCATGGTGTCACTCGCGGTCAGGTTCTTCTTCAAGCGCAACAGCTCTTGGGGATCGGCACCGTCTAAGGTCGCCTCCAACTTTTGCAATTGATCGATTGCTGCTTGAATATTCTCCCAATGAGAGTCCTGGATCTCTAACCGATGATTCGAAAGCTCCGATGAAGACGCATTTGATTGATGAGGGATGGTTTGCTGCGGTGAAAGTTCCGTATCCGGCGAGACAGCGGCACCGTAAAGCCAGTCTTTCTTGAGCATTTCCAGAAATTGCCACTGGGCCCATTCAGCCTTCAGGAATACCGCGAGCAACTCGTTCCAGGACTGATACTGCTGTGATCTTGAAGGGTCGTGTCATCGAATCACGACTCCAGCACTCAGGAGGAACGACGAGCGATTTTTCTAAGGCGACGTCTTTCTTGATTTGGACCATAAGTCTGTCTACCAACTCGTCTATGACTTTTGGCGGTCTTAAGAGCCTTGGCTTCGTCTTAATGATCCTATGATTGTTCTTTGTCTCAGCTATTGCATGCCCTCCCTTTGAAAGATAGGCGTGTATGTTTGCGTGAATGATGGCCATGGTTTTCTTTTGTAAATCTTAAGCGGGTGCCTTACTCCAGAATGTTGGCGTACCAGTGTTGGTGGTATCGAAGCTGAAGCTCGATTAGACTTATGACTGTGAACAAAGAGGAAGAATGGAAGTTCTTACTTGCAAGTTGGTCCCAATTGGACTGATACAACATCATCTTATTGCGCTGATTGCTCCGTACGAAAATCTGCTGACACTTCCTTTTGTAGGGATACGTTGACCATGCGCTTCCGCTGCGTTTTTGGCGATGTTTACAATTCCAGCCCAGTCGAGGCCGCCACGCTCAAGTTCATACAGACCATTTATTGGACCTTTCACCAAGCTTCTAGCCTTGGCTTGCTGTATGGTTGCGTACCACATTGTTAATTGGATGGCTCTTGGGGCTGATCTCGCTTTTGTACACGTGTGTACATATCCTGTAACTTCTCTCGGCATTCGAGATGATGGACACCACTTTCCGATAGAAGTTTATCGCAAATTACGTCGCTCAGAGTGGCTTCATTTGTTCCCAGCCACTCTTTGCGCAATAGGGTCTCCAGAACGCGCCAGGCAGACTCATCTAGCAGATGCCTGATTGGTCGGGGGAATTGCAGCATTGGCAGCACTTTGTTTGCCCCGTGCCATTGGGGATCTGGCAGTTTCCGAGGCCGTAGATGGCTGAACAGTAAGTGGGATGACAAGGCAGAATACTCTGCATCTCCACTGATTGGGAAATCTTGCTCTCTGGTAACTAGGCTTCCAAGCCGGATCAGCATACCGTTCTCTGCATACAGCGCCAGAATCTGGCTTATTGTCCTAAAACGTTCGTTGGATATGAAGCCATATTGGGTGACCGTAGAGAAGTGATATGATCCTACACCTGCCTTGGCCATCATCTCGTGTATGAAGAGTGGCCGATTCCGAGCGCGTGTCTTCCCATCCCTCCGAAGTCGGGATATCCTCCCAAGACCCTTATCGATGGTTGCCTTATGTTCAATCATATCGTGAAGGTCATGTTGAAAGATGAAAAAACCTACGCTATCGACATTACAGGTCCACAGTACGGTCACTGTGACCCTGTCGTCCCATGGGATCTCTACGCCCAATCTCGTATCAGAGAGGTAGTCACGGCATGTCCTCTACGTGACGTCGAAGAAAGTCAGAAGGCGGCGGGCAGTAAGGCGGGCGGAGTTGGTCCCCATAAGACTTTTGAAGAGCTATTTGCAGAAGTCTTTGTTGCTGCCGCCAAGTCGTGGCAGGTGTGAAATGGGCCATTGGATGGTATGATGAAGATGCAGGAGGAGTCCTTCAAGAGGAAGCAGGCTAGTTTGGTGGACTTTCTTGATGAGGAGGTAGCGAGGAAGAAGAAGGCTACGGCAGTTGAAGAACTGCCGGCTGGTGCTAACAGTGAAGGATTCAATCATGAGAGTGACAGTCCAGACATTCAATAAAGGACGCAGTATGAGGTTTTTTATAGCTCGCAGGATACCGTTCGCTTTACCGAGCAGTAGATCATATCTCAATCAATTCGGTGCGGGATCCTCAAATAACATGAACGCGCAATAGAAAATCTCGCCACGACAATTGTCCGTCAACGTGGTTGGCTGTATCCCTCGAAATACATATCCTATCCATCGAGAGTGCAGCCATGAGCGGCCTGTACCCAACCGGTCAGGCGGTTGGCAATGTCAGAGGAGTAGCAACGGGTCGCGCCGGGTGCCCCAAGATCTCCATCTGAGGCCAATGAGCCAGCATTGTAGATCCTGGCTGCCTTATAAAAGGCCGAAACGTCGCTGGCACCAGACTCGTTGATACACTGCGCAAGACCATCGCCACTGGCTGTGCCAGCAGAACCATCTCGGATCATCTGGGTGATGGTGCTGGTGGGGCATGGATTCTGAACATCACCGTTGTCGTTGCAAGTGGCAGCGCCGTCGTGATCTTGCATGAGACCCGGGTTGCGGACACCGTAATTGGTCGTCGGGGCACGAACACAGCCTCCAGACTCTTGCATCACTACAGCAAGGATGAAGCGATGGTCCACCTCTGTCTCCATCGCAACTTGCTGGAGCGCGTTGTAGATCGCGCCGACTTCGGGTCCGGAGTCATCGGACCTGATGCCAATTTCGAAGTCAGCATGTCTCTTTAATACGGCAACAAGATTTGCGAGATGTTTAATGAAAATAACATTCGGTGGAAAATGTTGTTTGAACTCCGAGTCCTGTCTTGCCACGCAAACCGCAGTACTAATTACGAGGGACTCACTCCGAAAATTGGTCGCAAGAACTGAACATCTCGACCTTGTTGTTGTTGAACCTTTCTCTTTATCAGCTTGACGCAAGAACAGCACAAATGGTTCCATACATGTCTTCAAAAGAGATCCATGCGCTTTTGGCGGGCCAGCCAGCGCTAGTGGTACCATCTCCGCTATAAAAGTTATAGGCGTCCTTGCCAGGCTCAACGCCATCATCGTTGACAATGGAAGTAACTGCGAGCTTGCTGTTGGTGACCTTCCCGCCAGTTGCATCAACATGGACACCTTTGATTGTTTGGCTGGGCTGGAAGTTGCCGCCTTTGTTGCCGAAGAACAGCGTTCCAGTCGGTGCTGGAACCGCAGAGGTAGCATCAGGGGGGTATGGGCTAGCAGTGACAACTGCGGCCCCCAAAACGGCAATGAGGGTCTATGATCAATTTAGCATTGCCCTGGGTACGTTGCGCTTGTCCGTGCTCTTACGTTCTTGCAAAGCATGCCGGCCGTGTTTTTGAGATATTTGGAATTTGAATAAGTTCGAGGCTGTGGGATGTGATCTTCGTCCCAGAAAAGAGACTTCGACCTCTGTCTTATATATCCGGCTTTCAGGCCGGCTAGCGATCGATACTGCCTTGACGAGCGTCCCATCTCCGACTCGATGTGTCACCTCCTGGGAATATTGATTAAGCCAAGCTGACCATCGCCTCTTTGCTCTCGGAATGGGTCCGTTCGTGCATTGAGCCCAGGCGTCGAATGTTTTCAGGCTCCATGGGTCGCATCGGAGAACCTCGCTACGCCTTCGATCGATTGCTCACCGCACCGGATAGCAGCGCAACTGCCGAGATGGGCCACTTGAAGAAGCAAGTGGTGACTGTTGTGCTGCATATGCAAGATGCAAGATACAAGGCTTTACGCCCGGACGAGGCGAGTCAAACCGCCGACCATGCACGAGCACGGCACTGAGTAAGCTTCACCTGCCCCGGATGGAGTGAAATCGACGGCTTAGACATGCCAAACTCGTGATGAAGAATTACATCGCTGATCTTCTCGTCGGAAGCAGTTAGCAAGACCAGGTTCATTGCTTGAAAGTCACCCACAATCGTCCACCACGTGTGAAAACAACAGGATCAGAATCTTGATGATCGTGGGGTCTTTCTGGGCTTGTGCATTGGAAAAGAGGTGTGCCGTGTAAATAATACATTCTTGGTAGGAAGTTGTGTCCCTCTGTAACTACGGTGCACCAGCAGCGTTGTAAGTGGTTTCCTGAAGTCTGCCAATGCACAGCCCCAAAGAACTACCATTCATCCATTAGTGAACTTCCCCAATGGGTTACATTGAGTGTCTATCCTTTACAACATCCATTCGCTTTGGCGCATGTCCCGTTTTTTTCTCACTTTCACAAGCATAAGCGAGCTTCATACTCGGACGAATGGTACTAACGTCAGCCAGGTCATCAAATCCGACATTCGGAGAAGCCGGGGAATTACTATCACACTGATGGCCTCGACCGTCGCGGTTTATTGTATTCTCGCAATGCTTCCCTAACTCGTCTACACAGCCCAGCGCATCGAGTCGTACCCGGGCGTTGCATTGCGGTCAGCGAAAGGCTCTTCTAGGGTGAGCAACCGTGCATGTTAGGTTCCCGCATCAGGTTATCACAGGAAGACCTCCAGAAGCGTTCAGTGTTGCTACCTCTTCCCTCAATCTTATACCTCTCAATCTGGCCGCTGTCAGCCTCTTGAACAGCCACGCACTTGCAACTCTCGAATCATCTATGAATGATGCGTTAGCTTCCGCGCTCTACTTCTCTTCTGATGGGAAATCCCAAATTCTTATGAAGTCTTCATTCGATGTGGAATTTCAGTAATCTGTGGATCTAGAGCTTCGTATTGAGATTTCTGGTCACGTATGTACGCTTGGTTGGTAAATCTGAGGTACTTGATTGGTCAACTAAGCTTAGTAATCCAGTCCGGCCGGGGAACGTATTAGCGTTACCTTAGTATCCTCCAATCGTACCCTACGCTGGATGGGGGATGGCCGGGGTACGTTTCTCATCTCATGGCTTGGCGACACGTCTCTAGAAAGCTTGAGATTTTACCGTATGGACAACCACAGCAACCAATATCAACATGCGGTGGCTCCTTAACTTATTATTCATAACCCTGCTGGGTCTAGTACAAGGTCTAAGCAGTACTGGGAGCCGATTGCTGGTTGTCGTCGAAGAATCATCTGAAACGGCGAAATACTCAACGTTCTGGGACGACCTCCAAGGCATGTTGGACAATTCATCCTACTCCCTTCAATCTTCCATTTGCGCATGCTGACTGGATTCACCAGATCGAGGCTACAAGCTCACCTTTGAGTCACCAAAGAATGACAAGCTTGCCTTGTTCCAGCATGGGGAGCGAGCTTTCGACCACATCCTTCTACTCCCCCCAAAGTCGAAAGGTACATCATCCTATGCAAATGTTGACGACTCTGGCTTACCAAGTCCAGGGCTGGGCCCTGCGTTAACACCCAAACTTCTACTACAATTCATCAACCAAAATGGCAACATACTCCTCACCCTCTCCGCCGACTCTCCCACGCCAACCTCCATCTCCTCCCTCCTTCTTGAATTAGACATTCATCTGCCTCCAGATCGCGACTCTCTTGTGGTTGATCACTTCAATTACGACGCAGCTTCGGCATCTGAGAAGCATGATGTTCTTCTTCTGCCACAAGGCTCCCGCATACGATCAGATGTCAAAAATTACTTTGGTGGAGACGGCACAATTGCATTCCCTAGAGCGGTAGCCCAAGAACTAGGAAACTCGAGCCCGCTTTTGGCGCCGATTCTACGAGCGAAGAGCACCGCCTACAGCTACAACCCCAAGGACGAAGCTGAGGTTGTGGAGGATCCGTTCGCTGTAGGAGAACAGATTTCACTGGTTTCAAGTATGCAGGCCAGGAACTCAGCCAGATTCACGGTCTTTGGGTCTGCTGAAGCGCTCGAGAACAAATGGTTCGACAGCAAAGTCAAGAGCGTAGATGGAAAAGACAGCAAGACAGCAAATCGAGAATTTGCGAAGCAGATCACTGCATGGACTTTCATGGAACTGGGAGTATTGAAGGTCGGCAGAGTTGAACACCACCTAAGCTCAATTACAGGAGATGCAGCTGGCAACGACAGTGTAGCCCAGTTGGGATATCTCAATCCCACAATCTACCGCGTCAAAAACGACGTAGTAAGTGAAGTCTTGCTCCAAGCTGCTACCAAAGGTGCTAATAGTCCCCGAAGACATTCAATATCGAGGTCTCTGAATACACTTACGATCATCTCAGTCCTCTCAAGGTTGATGCCTCAGACGCTTTGCAGCTTGAATTTACCATGCTTTCGCCCTATCATCGTCTCGATCTTATACCCATTTCTCAAACACCTAACAGCACTATCTTTAGCAGTACCTTCAAGCTTCCAGACCAGCATGGCATCTTTTCATTCCGCGTCAATCATAAGCGACCATTTCTTACCAACGTGGACATAAAGCGGGAAGTAACGGTCAGACACTTCGCTCACGACGAGTGGCCACGCAGCTGGGAGATCAGTGCTGGTTGGGTCTGGATTGCAGGTGTATGGATTACAGTTGCCGGGTGGGTGGCTTTTGTGGGAATCTGGCTGTGGAGCGAGCCTGCCTACGAGCAGAGCAAGGGAAAGAAGATGCAATAGAGATGGTTCGTTATGTACTGTAGGACTATGAAACTTCAATTCATCAAGACGTACGCAGAACATCATTAGCGTACTTTTCGGAGAAAAATCTGCCCAACCTCCAGAATCCAGATTCAACCACTCAAATCTGAACGTCAAAACTATTCGTTACCTTGCTCTCCACTCGTGATACTATGAGCAGCAGATTACCTGGACCCTCCATGTCGAACTAAACTTCACCACCAACTACAATAACTCACCTCGGCCCACCACCATGCCCTCCTCGTGCAAAGACATCCGTAAACCCCCCCACCCTCCCTTCCCCGCCATCTCTTCCCCTCAAACCTACCACTGACTCTCTCCCCTCTAGGCGCGGCCCTAGCAACCTGCCTGCAAAACTCCGACTGCGTCATGATCTACCGCAACACCCCCGCCGACTGCCTCCGCCCCCCGCTCGTCGACGGCCTCCCGACCCGCTGTCGGCAGCTCAAAAAGGGCTACGGCGAGTGCAAACGAGGCATGATCGACATGCGGAAGCGGTTCAGAGGCAACCAGCCCATCGCCGTCAGCAAGGAAATCGAGGGCGAGAAGGGTGGGCAGCTCTATGGGGGGGGAAAGCGGTGGGAGAGACGGGGATCGGAGGGATCGGGAAGGCGGAGGCGGATTTGGTGGAGGGCGCGGATGGGGAGTTGCGGAAGAGGGAGAGCTAGGCTGGGGAGTGGGAGGGGATACGGTGCAGAGGGGTGGCACCGCTTTGGTGTTGCGGTTGTGGGTTGTGGATTGCATGGGCTTCTCTTCCTCGTCTGGTCGGGTCTACGTTGAGATGCCGGGGGCATTGTCGTTCAGGTAAACGTGCGTCTCAGGGACTTTCGTGCAACTGCTGACCGTGCGTGTTAGACCACTGACAGATCGAGTGGTCTAGTTATCATCCGCTCTGCTCTTCTGAAGTTCTACAGGCTTAGTGTTCGTAGATACTATGGAGTATGACGATTGTTCGACTGTCCGTGCTTTTAGCAAGGCAAGTGTAATTCCCTCGAGTAAATTGTTCTTGATTTTGTCTCAAGCGCTTCATTGATCGTTCCCACGCTTATCGTTGGATTTGCCATGCAATGCACTCATGGCGCTTGAGGAACTCGCCTAAACGCGTGGTAGAATGCATTGGCTTCTCCACCCGTAGCTTATCCCTCAGCGCCAGCCTTGATGCTGTCTCCTGCTATAAAGAAGAGAAATCCGCCGCTACACCTTGTCCTTTTAGACGCGAGCGCCGTCACCTCGATGGCTCTGTGGCTCGTCCCCCATAATTTGTTCATCTTGTTGGTCTGCATAGCTTCGTCGAGCGTAGTGCCGTCCCCTGAGCAAGGCACTAACGATGGTATTCCGCTGGATCTATCTGTTCCCATGAGCGACATCACGACTTTCAAGAGAACCTCGTCATTGGATTCTTCTTGGCCAGCCCCGTACGCTCCTAGTGCGCCGGTCAACATATCTCTAACACCAGCTAAGAATGTATCAACCTTGACCAACCTCCATCTCACAGCACCAAGGATTAAATGTGATGCATCGACTTACGGTCAAGGTCTGAACATTGCCAGTTGCCAAGAGGCCTGGGAGCTATTACCCACAAGTACTACCCGTCGAACGTTTGGACTGCGGACAGAGGGAAACTTTGATATTCCTCTTCCGTTCAGGGTTCTTAGCCGTGAGTATGATCATACTCCGTGGTCTGCGATTGATCTTGCGCACGTTTGCTGAGGTGGGACCCAGATGACGGTCTCTGCGCCGTTGATATCACACGTAAAAGTGATGTGATCTCTGACATATCAACGGGCGACGAGCTCTCTCGAGCTGCATCGCTTATTCTTGGTATATGTGTAAAAGGTTATATGCAACAGGGCGGTGTCGCGGTAGACATAGGTGAGCAAGATCGTTGAAACATTCGATAGGAGAGAATCGGCCTTCGCGTTTGGAGAAACACAGTCTTGATTCTGGGCGCAGCTGACTCGGTCTTGCCCTCCCAGGTGAAAGCGGAGGACTCGCCATACGAATGGTTCCGTATAACCCTTCAAATGTCCAGTGCGTGGGGACAGGGCCACCCCCAGGATCCTGTCGCCCGGTGCTGGATAGGATGCCTGCATCGTACGTGTGATTTTGGACCGACTATTCCTTGTTTTAATGTGAATAAGATTTCGAAAACGTGCTGCGGGAGTAATATTTCTGTTTGGCCTAGGTTTCCTCGATACACGCCAAGAATTGAACGCTGACTTCGAAATACTCAGCTATAATCAGGAAATCTTTGGCCCACGCAACGGAGGGACTGAGCACGTAGATGTAGAGCTTCCACAAGCTTTCGCTGAACGTAAGAAGCTTTCGCTCATTGCCCTCGAGGATCTGTTGACAATCTGAATGCATATAGCGTTTGGACGATGCATTATCACGGCAAACACCATCGGCCGGCCCATTTCAGCGGCATGGTACATAATCTATCTTGCGGCCACGGCAATTGATGCGATGTGCGTTAGGCGAGGCTTGGTGGGAGTCTTGAATCATCTTGGTGAGAGTGGCCAGATGACTCGTCCTGAGAAAATGGTCTGAGCTAATCCATTTCTAGGGAGTGATGGCAGCCTCTTGGTCACAATCGGAGACCAGAGCCCTCGAGCAGATATGGCGGCCTTTTCATGAGCTTCTTTCTTGAGGAGGAAGCGTCGGTATCCACGCAGCAAGAAACACATCGATGAAGCTGACCTTAATGGCAGGAAAAATTGGACCCACCAGATCATAAGAAAGAGGGCATCGTAGACGGAGCTTTATATAGCTCATCTTACGATAAGTGAGCGAAGGTTATCTGAAGAAATCTAGGACGCGGTAATGCATCGTCAAGATGTATCAAATGCTTAACTCCATCATGCCTGTAATGGCATCCCACTTCTTTTCTGAAAGTCCTCCCCCACAGCATATCCCAATCCTTGACACCTTCCCAACTCATCGAAGCCCGCGCCTATCATCTGCTCAGTAACCCACCTGGCGGTCTTCGTATGCAAGGTTGCTTCTCTTTCAATCCCACAATCGACTTCTGCTTTCCCTGCAGCAAGAGCCTGGAACACCACTGTCTGATCCTGCATATACTCGTCCACACACCCGCCATGCTTCAATTCCTTCTTGAGGTCTTTCACGACCTTTGACACTAGCCTCTCGCACAATTGCTCCATGCTCAAGCCTCGTGCCTTTTCGTCAAACAGCCAGTCGCGTCCAAGTCTGTAACCATTCGAAGTTTCTGCAACAAGAAGAAGATACAAACGCTTCTCACTTCCAGAATTCTCGTCTACGGGAAACAAAATCTCGATTTCAGGGCTGTACGCGAGCAATTGCGCGGTCACTTTGTCTCTGATTCTGTTCCTAGCTGTAGCTTCTGGCGCAAGAACCGAGACGTGAACTTTGGCCAATTCGCCTCTATCCTGGAAAGAGAATGTTGGGAGTACGAATGCCTGAGGCAAAGGTTCGATATCGAACGTCACACTACCGATCTCACTTCTTCCAGTACTCCAGCCTCTTTTATGTAGCGAAGTTGTGATCGGAGGAATGCTCAACTTTTGAGAAAGCATTGGCAGAAGAACCTGCGAAAAATATTCGATGGATGGAGAACTGCTCACATTCGTACCGCCTTCGATGGTAACACGAAGCGGTACGACCGTCTTCTGGCCTTCCACATTGTTGCAATTTGACATGAGTAGATACGGGAGTATTGCTTGCAAGACTAAGAGAATGGAGCCGGGCGAGGACATTGGGATGTGAGACTGGCGCCGGACCAATTGACCATTATCGAAGATGTCTTCCCATACGCCTTCCTTTTCGCCTTCCGTTCTGCTGACGTGTTCATTCTTGACCCTTGTTGACTGTAGTCTCTGCTCTGCTGCTAGAGGGTCTAAACACTAGTTGCCTACTTTTTACCTCCATGCCTTCAGTCGTCGCGGCGGTAGCATTACTTAGCCATTTGACTCCGGCAAGATGAGATGCTTTCAGGCCGGAAACTTTCCCTGGCCGTTTACCTCTGATGTCGGTGACATAAATTGGTATTTGCGTCAGTGAAGAGAGCGAGAGCGCAAGGCGCAGCAATTGGCCTCCACCTTCGAGAGTAGTACCGTCAAGGTGTATTGGGGTAGGTGATGTCGGATACCCCTGGCCGGACATTTTGATGAAAAGACCGCAGTGTTTCCTGAAAATTAGGGGTTCGAGCCAAGATATCGGGGCGTTGAAGGAGACAGATTCAAGGTTAAGAACATAGACAGTAGCGAAGGCTGAGAAGTGAAAGCGCTGAGACCTGCGATTCCTTTCGCTCTTGTATTTGGATGAGTGGCTCCTTCGTCCTTTGCTTGTGACTCAATCGGGTATTTATGAATGACTCAGTATGATGCGGTAAAAGGAATCACGACGAGCCAATCAAGAAACATTGAATCGCCCTACTTTCGTCCGGCGATCAATTCATTGGAATTGAGAGAATAGGCAATATAATAATCGAAGGAAGTGCAGCTACAAGCAGCTGTTCGCTCAACCGGCCAGCGCCTGGTCTGCTGCCAATGGCTTGTTGTTCAGCTCACAGGAAAAGCTGAAGCTGAAGATGCATAGGAAAATGATTGGAATTTTCTCAGCTCTGATGAAGGGTCTTTGATGACAGCAAATCAAGCCGTCGCCGAGACCAGAGTAAAAGTCTGATCCTGGTGAAGCAGGCAAAGTCCTAAAATCAGTCTCCGTGGTGGGCAGCCCTGAACCTGAACCTGAACGCTGGCTCCACGCTGGTTACGGGGGCTTCCGCCTAGCGTTAGCCCCCAAAACATGCTGTTTTGCACCCCAACCTGCGACCTCGAGTCTGGTTCTTTGATGTCTGCCAGCTTGAATATCGCTTGCTCACCACGGAGTAGGTGACCACGATCTTTACGATAGCACATGCTGTCCGGAATGATAGGCGATGACGACTGCTTCTTAGACCCTGCCCAAAGTCCTGGTCTGGACGATGAGAAGCCTTCAACCTGTCGACATCTGAATACTCCTTCTTTGGCCGAACGCAGTAGTGAGTACTGAGTACCTGGGTGACCTCGAAAGACCATCAAAGAACAGCGGCAAAAAAGGCCGCGGCATGTTTCAATCTATCGGATATACTCCTGGGATTTCTCACGTTTCAATTGTGTGCTCTTGCGCGCCTGTCATTTTGCAGCCGCATCACTAGCGCTGCAAAGTAACTTCATCGACTCCCATGTGTTTCTCTATTCTTAGTCTCTTTTGGCCGTCAGTCTCCAATTGCCTGCTCTGTGTATCGGTTCTTTTCCCGCATGCCTTTTCTTATGCTTGCTGTACGTCATGAAGATGGCACGACATCGCCCCTGCAAGAAACCCTAAGCTCATTGCCTTCAAAACACCGATTTTCTTCTTCGGAGGAGGATGCTGGACGCTGTCGAGCCCATGAACGGCGCCGCATGGACACAATGGAAGACTCTACACCATCAAACCAAGGACCTGTCTCCATGGCTGACCGAAGACATCCGAGCTGAGCACCTACGGGCATCAAATCATAGAGAACCCTCAGCCTCTCCTCCAAAACATGCATTCGCGCAGATATGGGCGAGCGTACAACAGCGACGCTGGAAGGTGTTGGCTGTAGTTGTAGCCATATGCAGGTTCGATGCCTTCTCCTCAGCGGTGATAGAACATCTGTGGTCTAACATGTGTGGCTCTCGTCAAGCCTGTGCATTTTAGCGGCTATCCCTGCTTATCTACCAGCAAAACAGCCATCGACAGAGCCAGTGCCAGCGCCTATACGAGTGCAAGGAATCGCAACGTTCAACGACTACGCGGCTCAAGGGGATACAGTATGCTCCAATGCGAACAGATCTACCACCGCAGGTGAGCTATCCCTCATCTGCTATCAACCCTAGGATTCTGATATCTTGGGACATCGGTCACTGATCGAATTAACACAGATAATACTGACATCTTCGCCGCCGCCGCCGGTGACATTAGTAGAGATATCTCTACTGGCTTGTGCACCGGTAGCCAACCGAACATGGACTTCCAATACAATACTAGCGTCTGGTCCGTCTCTCATCCCGCTGCTGGCATGGCCCTTTCTCGCTCCCCCAATATAAAAATCCCTTCCGATGCTCATCTGACTGAAACCATCTTTCAGCACAGCAAACGGTGGCCAATATCCATCCTCCAATTACATCCCGCCATCCTGTCCCCCAGTAGCAGTACAGTGCGGCACCTGCTACCGCGTCGACAATATCGGCTTATACGGCTCTTCTTCCAACGACCGAATTTATGGAAGTGTTATCGTCGAGATAGTAGACGCGTGTCCGGCCGGGAGTGCGCAGAATTACTGCAAGACGGACGTGCCGGCCGATGAACGATGCGGAAGTAATCAGACCAACAGCTTGGACATCGATGTCAGCGCTTACCAAAATCTCACCGCGGGGATGAACGGGGGTGTGGTGTGGGATACGGTGAGTCTCGGAGTGGGCCGTGTGTGAGGTGCTTCACTGATGAGGTTGCCCCAGAGTCAACCGAACCTGAGGATTAACATCACGCTGGACGTGCCATGCCATAGTTGAGAAGAAGCCCATACAGATCTCAACTTTCCTCAAGATTTATCCCTGTTCCGGCAAGGCATCATGTTGGTTGGGCTTCTACAATCTCAAACCCACAGGCGAGGGATCCCGGCCTAAGTCAATTGTCAAGAAGCCGTCGAGGAAATGATGAGTCTATACCAAAAGACTGGTATAACAGCCCAGCGTTGCGTATATCAACGTATCAAGAGTTCAATCAGGTAGACGGTCATTGCTACCCCCAGCTTTTCTCTGTTTCTCTGGGTGACTTGCCTGGAAGAATGTCACAATTTGGACTTAAAGACGCGTTGCTTGGCACAGAACAATGCTCTACTGTATGCTCCGTATATCTTTACATCTAGCTACGCTCTCTCGTCTTTTCTTCCTGCCTCTCCTCTGCTTCTCCTTCCTGTCCAATCGATGGAACGAAACCCGTCATTTCAGCTCAGCAATCCACGACCCCGCGTCCCATCCTGCCAACTTCTCCAGCCATCGTCACTCACTTCCAGCACCCCCAACCCCACTAGGAAGTCAATAGAAACCCTCCATTCGTATCAATCACCGACCCCGAAACGTTCCAATCCCTCATAACGTAAAGATAACTCTCCGCCACATCCTCCGGCCTCCCAATCTCCCCAGTCGTGCATTTACCCTTGATGTGTTCCATAAAGCTCTCCATCTTCTCCTTCGCCATGCCATCCCAAAGCGGCGTCAACACCGCCCCCGGGCTTATCAAATTCACCCTGACAGGCGCCAAATCGAGTGCCAGACTCCTCATCATGCCGTGCAAGCCCGTCGCATAGCTGGCCACGATCGACCAGTCTTTGTTCGGTTTCCGACTCACGCTGCCGGTCGTCAGGGTGATCGACGACGCCGGTCCGGGGTTGAGATGTTTCGGCGCGTGCTTGGCGAGCAGGAGGGGCGAGTTGAACCGCACCATGGCCGCTTTCTGTATAGATTCCAGGGTCGCATCTTCGAGCTTGAGCATGGCGAGTTGATCGCCGGCCGTGTGGACGATGTGGTCGAATTTCGGCCCGCCGCATCGCTCGAAGAGCTTCTCGATGTTCGCTTCGACGCCGGGGGACGACAGGTCGCACGCGTAGCCTGCGATGCGGCCTTTGGCGCTCGGGTACGCCGTGAGGAGTTGGTCGATGCTGGAGTCGATGCGGGATTGCTGGGACGAGGAGATGGTGACCGAGGCGCCGAATTCGAGGCAAGCTTCGGCAACACAGTAGCCTATACCGGAGCTGCCGCCGATGACGAGGACGCGGGCGCCGGCGAGCTTGTTGCTGTATTTTTTGCTGTCGGCCATGATGGGGGTATTTGGGGTGTGATGATGGCCCGGTGGGGAAATGGGATATTAGTTGTAGATCCAATTGAGGTTCGTGATGAGGTTGGTGAGTTTGTAGAATGGAATGCACGGCTCTGATCTTATGTGCGTATGCGACAGAGGAGATTATAAAGGTGAGTAGGGATGGGGGAAGAGCAATTGGAGAGTGGAAGAGACGACGGACTTAATCGGCTTTAAAGAAAAGTATCTCCCATTCGTGACGTATCCAACGTATAAGAGCCCGGCAGATCGCGATAGCACTGGAACAGACTTCGAGAATATATTGAGAGTAGTGTAATAGTAAAGGATCAGTAAAGAGGAAAGATGAGAAAGTAACGGGATCTGAGGACTCAGCACTAGAAGTCTGGATGAGGGTACAAAGGATTTGAAGAAGTAGAGCCTCAAGACACCGTTCTGGGAGGGCGCGCAGTAATGGAAGATTCAACTTCGCAACGAGGTATAGATTAACATGCACTGTTAACCATTATTTGTAGCAGAATCTAGATTTTGTTACATTGACTGATGATTGGGTCTAAGCCTTCCATGTTCCATCAATCTGTTTTTTTCTTACCTAGTAGAAGTGTCAGCCTCAGCGTCCAGCAGGAGATGACAGAAGACATGGCTTTGTCAAACTTACAAAAGGAGCCACAACGGTCGTCCCCACCGCCAAAGCCACCACTGTCAATACAAGCTGTAGCTTACTGAATCCCTTCCCCAGCAGATCAAAAGCGCCTATGGGAGAAACCCTCGAGAGGAAGAGGTCAACATCCCCAAACGCGAATACCAAACTCGTGCTCTCCAAGAGCGACGGACTGGTAACAACCTCGGAAATACTCATGAGCTCTCTTTTGTGAGTGAGGATCCACTTAGGCTCGAAGTCCAACATAGGACTATACTTGAATAGTCCCTCTTCCATTTCAGCTGCTGTAGCATCCCGACCAACCGGCCTCCTCGGATCAAGGAATGCACGTGAGATGGATACCAGTGCATTAGTATCGGGAAGGACGCAGAGAAGGGAGCGAGTAGTGATTCCTTGAAGTGTGGAGGTAACGGAGATAGAGGAAATAGCGCCGGGGATCAAAAAGGTTTGGGACAAAACGTGCGGTGCGTCATATGTCCCATCTTCGTCTGTGAAGGCAGGACTGGTGGACGAATAGTTGGAAGATGTCTCAAGTGAGCCCCGATCATTGGGGTAGGGTGATTCGTAGAGCTCCGATACCACCAATTGGTAGCCCTTCAGTTTCTGCTGATCAATCTCAGACACGTCTTGCGAAAGAGAGCTAGTCTCCGAGAAAAGCGAGTAAGCGAACCAATTCTCTGAGACGGTGGAAGCGATCGGAAGGCTTATGTCAACTCCAGCGTGAGTAGCTGAATGAATGACGGCACCAGAAGCCGAATCCAGGATATAGAACGTCGCTGTCGAAGCCTCCGTTCCAAGAGCTGTGATAAGTAGGACGTTGGGGTTCAGGTATTTGTACAACACATTGCGGTCTCCGAGGACCTTGCCAATCGATGCTACAGGGTCATGAGAAGGTCGAGTAGTGACCGTCTTGACTGTCTCCCCCAGCGCCGGCGTGAACTGCCATGCCAACGTCGGCTTTGGACCTTTCCACAGGGCCCAGCCTCTGACAACATTGTCTTCGGCATCTGTCACGATGGTCGTCCCTATTTCAAAATCTGCCTTGGGAAGTTCTCCAATGGATCCGTCATCATTGACTGGTATGAGAAGCTGTTCTCCAGATGCATCCGTGATGGGGACAGACGTCTTCAGAGACTTGATTAGACCTCCAGGCTGATACTGCACGATTGTACCCGTATTGGTTTGGACACGCAAGAACTCTCCTTCTTTGCATCGTACCAGTGCAGTATTCTGTTCGGCTTCGATACTAAGGACTCGCCACTTTTCGCCCGCCTTTAGGGTAACAGCCTGAATACTCCAGATAATTCTGCCCTGTGTACCTCCATCAAGTGCGGCAAGCCGGCCGTTCTCTGTAGCAACGATGACAATTTTATGAAAGCCGAAGCTATCACGGCGTAGACTCTGGTCTTGAGAGCCTGCCTTATCCCCAAGAAAGCTCCCTAGCACTCGGGCAGGAAGAGTTTGTGCCCAAGACGGGAAATGTTGTAGATCTCTTGCATGACGTTTGACTCGGTGCACGTACGCTGCGATGACACTACGGTGACTCTCTGCTGCGAGCTCATCGGCCAGATTCTCTTCCTTGGGTATCTCGACAAACGCGGCGGCGACTGCACCGGTAAGACCTTCGGGCCTCACCCAATAAGGGTCGCCGTTGCGTATGAGTTCCCAGTCGCCTGAGGGCAACGTCAGAGCAGACCTTACCGCATACGTCGATCCACCCTTAGATACCACCTCAGAGGTAGCATGAGAGATGTCCTGCGGATCCACCATTCCACCATGGCTTTTGGGACGGATATCCCAATGGCTGAGTATGGACGGTCCGGTCGAAGATACCAAGATGCTCTCGAAAGCAGTATGTCTGGCGAAGTAGACATTGGAACCTTGGGAGCTAGCTGAAAAGGCACCTTTTCCACCGAGGCGCGGCAAATCATATGCTTTTTTTATATCAGTATCGACATGAAACACCTCCGCCCAGTGCGAGTCTACACCTTGATAGTGTACGAGGAAGTGCGGATGAGCGGTAGGAGATCGTGGAGTGTGAACAATTATTTTTTCGGCTGACTCGCCGCTGCTGGAAGGAACATTGAGAGTTGTAATTTGTTTCGTGCCAACCTTATTGACCTTCAATGTCTTGAGAGCTTTATCGGTCCATATCAGAAAAGGTTGACCCGAGTTTGCGCCGATGTGCAGGATTGAAGCCTCTGATGTAACGTCGCTGTCTGAGTTTAACGCTATCGACTGACCGATCTGCTTCCCATTTGAAGGGGCCAGCTCTGCGACTTTGATTTTGAGACCCTTGAGGAGCGCCGAATGCAACGAAACGGTGAATATGCGATCTTGTGATGATACGACGGCATAGGGTGCATCTCCACTGTGGTCAATTAGCTTCGCCTATATCCATAGAACCCATCCGCTGCTCTTCTGCGTACCTCCCGTCGCCGAACTCCCAGAACACCTCTCCAGTATCGGCAGCCAAATTTCTGACAACGAAACCTGAGCCCTCTCCTTCACTGAGTACTAAGACATATTTTCCACTTTCGGCTGATAGCGTAACATCTACCACTTTCGTCCCATCTCCACCGTCCCACTCCCAGACCAATCTACCATCTGTTGCATCCCACGCCTGGACCTTCCCATCCACCGCACTAACGAGTGTATCACCTCCTTCTCCTGCAGTCAACAGACCAGGAGTAGTATAATTATGGGCCGAATCAGCCAGTCGCTGTCTCCATATCACCGCGCCATCTTTAGGATTGATTGCACCGAGCACTAGCTTCTCCGAGAGCGTGTAAAGAAGTGAGGCTTTCGACGCGGCCGAAGGACGGTGGAAGAAAGTGGTGTGAGCTTGGGGAGGTCCGAGCAGGGCGTGGTGGGAGTCGGTTTGGTAAGCCTCGTCTGCGAAGATGGCGTGGCACAATGACGCATAGAAAAGGGCGGCAATTGGCAGTAAGATTGGCGCACAGAGGCGCATGATCAGCGAGGAGAGAGAGGAGGCCTACAAGCTCAATCTATCACATTGTATATTGTACGGACAGTCATGAGAGCTGCCCTGAATGGTGTTTAGCGGACTGGCAATTTAGCCGACCTGCCCGAGGCCAAAAAACCTCCGATCGGGCGGAATAACTTCGCCTCCGTAGAGCCAGACAGAAGCAATGTCATTCTCCACTCATCACCATTTGCTCATCCCCGTCTCTGTGTTTATCAGCTTCGGAAATTAATCATGAGTCTTGTTTATGGTGCATATGGGGGCACTACAGCTCTAGGGGTCGTGGGACTTTGTACGAGAGTCCAGTCCGCATCTTCGTGCTCAGCGCTGACGGGCGGCAGATCTACTATTCACTGGAGATGGGGAAGCCTTCAATGTTGGTGACTCGTCGAACTATGCGCAAGAGCCGTATCTGATGGTGCCGATTACTAGGTTGGACAATTTTTAGAGAGCGTATCGCCATATGCATGGGCAGATCTAGGCATTGGTCTCTGCATTGGGCTATCAGTTGTTGGGGCAGCATGGTATAGAAAGGAATACATGTCTTGGGATGGCAGATACTAAGACATTTCATACAGGGGAATTTTCATCACCGGCTCCTCGATCCTCGGCGGCGGTGTCAAGGCACCTCGAATAAGAACAAAGAACTTGATATCGATTATCTTTTGCGAAGTCGTGGCAATTTACGGCGTCATCATGGCCATCGTATTCTCCTCAAAACTGCAAATGGTTGAGGGAGAAGCTGCCTACTCAGCCTCCAATCAGTATACTGGGTACGCTCTTTTTTGGTCGGGCCTCACAGTTGGCATGTGCAACTTGATATGTGGTGTCTCGGTGGGGATCAACGGGAGTAGCGCAGCACTGGCCGATGCTGCGGATCCAAGTTTGTGAGCGGGAAAACTTTCTAACAAGACCATCGAAAAGGCCCTGCTAACGGTCTATCTCTAGATTCGTCAAAGTACTTGTTATAGAGATCTTCAGCTCTGTCTTGGGATTGTTCGGGCTTATCATCGGCTTACTCGTATCTAGCAAAGCACCAGCATTCACAGCTTAGTCGATCTCGAGCGGGAATGATCGAGGTGCGCTACATGATTGGCATGAAAAGGCGTTTTGCAGAGGTGGACTCGAGAGATACCTGGAGCTCTCATGCCAGAACTTGTAGAGTATCTTCGATTCAGGTCAATCGTGCCTCGCATTACTTGTTCCGCAGCCACGGAGAAGCGCCTGTTGAGCTGGGGCAGATTCCTGCCCGTTTGACCTGTCAAAGCATATTGCTGTCATTCTTGAGAGAACCCAAAGTAGACACCTACACTACATATGTTGAGGCTACGGCACAATGATAGAGTGTCTGAGCAGTATGATGTTAGCTGTTGATCATTCTGCATTGTAATCTACTTTTTAACGCCTATCCTGACAGCTTCGACTCCTCCAATTCTTCAACCCTGCAGACCCACGAACTCCTAAGATTATGCTCCACAGCATGCTATGTCTATTTGGATTTCGAGGGTTGACAGACAAAGTGCTAGGCGATAAGCATGCCCAGGAGTCGCCCAATTGCGATGAGATGAATTATACTTGAGAATAGAACGCCATCTCCAAGACCATCACATCTATAAAAAAGCAGGATCAGTGCCACTCTCTTCACTAATTCTCATCACACTCCTGCGACCTTTCAAGAAGCTGTCAACCAACTTGTGGTTGTTCCCGGCTTGGGTTTGGGGAACGTCTGAACTTGGGGCAGGACTGTCCGAATCGTAGTCCTTTTCGCCAGGTGGTGTGTGACGAGATGCTTGATTTTCGTTCCGAGGTGACCACTTTCCCAAAGACGTGCCGCTACTGCTTTTCAACCGGCGAAGGCGTTCTACCCTTTCTGGGCTATACCGGATATTGGCTGTGGTAGGCGAGTGCCTTTGTTCTGTCTGCATTTTGAGAGACGAGTGTGAATTTTTCTGCCGTAGGCCCCCGGATGGTTCGTGGACTCGACTGAGAGAGCGTCTCTCACTCTCCACTTTTGAAATTTTACGCGAATTCTCAGAAGCTCTACTCAATGGAGCGTTATCGTTTTGTTGGACGTTACCTGCATTAGCTGAATGGCGAATATTCATAAGAGGTGACCTATCCAGCGAGCGAGAAACCTTATGCTTCGACGCTTTTAAAAGGTTGGAGTTGCCTTGGATGATCGCGAGAGGCTGCTTGAGGATATCAGTTGGCGACTGCAGTCTACCAATGTTTACGTCGTTACTATCAACCTGTGCATATTCCCTTCTGTGGCCGCTGTCTTTGACTGGATGCGCGTCATACGTTTGTTCCTGCCGCGTCCCATAATCTTCGAGGGAAGCCACCTGCGTAGCCATAAAATTCCTCCAATTTCCACTTGACGCTTCGGATGAGTATCCATGCTGGATAACGACAGGATGAGCTGACCGCTCGTTCTTGCCAGGTTGACCCGTAATGATGATAGCAGTCCCAGCTTCACCACTGCTCTCGGACATGGCAAGCGAGATCGAGCTTCTATTTGCCTTCGGTGTATCGCCACCTGAGGATCTAGAATAGACACTGTCCGATCCAGTGACGCTATCATTGCGTAGCCGGCCGGTAACAGCACTCGAGGGGCCCTCCAATTGCGGACGATCCTCAAAATTGATGCGGATTTGAGAGTCAGCTTCGGTCTCACTGCTTGCGTGCATTGCACGTCTGTATGGGCTTGGGTTGCTTCTTTCGATGCGCATAGATGGGGGGAAAAACGCCGATTTCACTTCGTGGAGGGGTCTTTTTGGTAGCTGAATCCCACGCTCATTCATCTCCGCAATCCGTTCTTGTGTGAGACCCTTTCCTAAGTCCGAAAAGCCTTGCTGCTGGTAACTTTTATTAGTACTCTGGCTCTCATATTGTAAGAAATTATCGTTGAAAGATTCCATCGCAGAGGGACTGAAGATCACGGAATTTGATACCTTTGCCCCACGAGAACCTGAACGAGAGTTGGATTTGGCTTTAGCGCCCTTGCGGATGCTTGATGTTCTTCTGGGAGCTCGCGTAGACAGCCGAGCCTTGTGATGGCTGGAGCTGCTATCGGTCCCTGGCTCACTATCGTCCAGAGCGGCCTCGCGGTTGTTTTGGTCGATCTTCTTTTGCAGCGCAGAGAAAATCCTATGCGGGTCTATTGGACCACTTACACGGCCTGCACTACTTTGCCTCACTGGTTGACGGAAGCTTGCATACCCATTGTTGCCCTCCTCATACTGGCGAGCAGAAGACGATGGCTGATGTGGACCTCCATCTTCCTTTATGATTGAAAGGCGCTTCCTTTCTAATGTTTGCGGCATGTTGATCGTGTTTGCAGCTGTGGAATCCGTCCAACTAGTGACCCTTGATTTGCCGTTGCTTTCATCGTCATCGCTATGGGCGCTTCGGATGCTACCTGGGCGAGCACCCTTGTCAACGAAATTTGGCGTAGTATACATTACTGATTCTCGAGAGCCCACGCGAAGGAGGAGCTCAGCGTCGGGTTCCGGCACAGGTGGATAACGCTGCTCTTTGCCATCGGATGTCGAGATGTAGTCCCCATAGTGAGGGTGGGTTGCCTTGATCTGCTGCACGGGAATCGTATCTTCGGCGTCTGGATGTCGCTTGAACACCCGCTTGAACTTCTTTTTGATCGTCTGGGACAGGTTCCTGGCTCTGTGGCCAAGATCTTTATTCTTCGGTGGTTCCACAGACGCCAATGGAGACGCTATTGCACTACCGTAGCTGTTGGTGCTACTGGTACGAACAGTCCTACGGAACCCTTTTTGGGATTTGCGACGATTGCCAAGGCCAAGGAACGACGGTTGCTCTTTCAACCTCTGTTGCTCTAATTGACGAAGATACTGATCTCGGGCAAGCTGGACAGCTGCATCGTTGGCGACGTACTGCTGACTACTGGTTGATATGCGATCCGTAACACCACGGAAAAAGGAGTACGACTTTCGTAGGCGAGGATCAGGCACTTGGAGCGGCTCGTGGTAAGCATCGGAAGATTGGAGTGATTGACGATGAAAGTGACGCCTGCTATACGGTATACCATCACCGAAGACCGCAGACGGAGTCTTGCCGGGGCTAAACATCGACTTCGCTTTTCGGAGCCTTCGGTACGATGAGGGGACAGAGGCATTATCGCTTTCGCCGAATTCTCCAATTGGCTGAGCTAAGGCGGTCGATGCCCTTTCATCAGAGTAGATGGAGGGCTCGATGTTCCGAGACCGGGACTGCAATTGGCTTTCGTAAGGATTGTGGCTTGTCCTGGAGCCAGGGGCCTCTCTACGAGTGATAGAGCGATTCCGTGATGGTATAGCTGTTGGTCCTGCGAAACGGACACTCTGCCTCCTCCCAAGCCTTGGCCCAGCATCTTTGTTCGCTATGGAGGTTGTGTCTTGCCCATTGGGGGCTTTTTTGGCCATCTCGCGCTCATTCGCGCGTTCGAAGGCAAGGTTGGCAGCAGTAAGAGCTTCCTGATGTGTAGTCTCGGCATTGTTTGTGGTGGGTGACGTGGGAATAATTGATCGAGGCCTGATCGATGGGGTTGATTTGGCTCGTCGAGGCTGTTGCGAAGCGCTGCTCGTGCCGCGTGAAAGCATACTGGGTCAGATTGCGTAGGAGACCGCAGGCGGCCGATTGTAGGCAGAAAGGTGAGTGATGAATGCTAAATGAGTTAATGTATCCAAAAGGGATGCCAGTGACAGAGTCGATGAAGAAACAAACACCGTGAGAGAAAAAGGTCTGAGAGCGCCTCCTGCCAGAGAACATGCTTGATCACCAGGCAACCGAATGGAAATGGGAGGAAGGAGCTTACAGTTCCAGACGGTACCTACCTTGAGCCAAGAACAAAGATGGAGAGAGCTGGACCAAAGCCTTTTGAGATCCCAAACAAATTTCGCATCACTTTGTGATTTGAAAGTGGTCAAGCCGTATCGTGAGGCGAAAGCCGGACACTTTATCCCGATGATTTGCCACTGCAAGTCATCGAAATAGATGCTACCGTCGGTCTGAGTGGGCACGAACCCAAAGCTGTAATACGAAGAAGGCGCGAGTCGGCAGTAGTGAATGCTATCTCATATTGAGAGTCTGCATATCGATGGCCACATGTACATAGCCACTTCATCCATCAATCCGTGTACTACACATCGCTTATGAAAGATACTCAGGATCTTGGCTGCTCTTAGTTCTGGCGTTGTTGTGGCATGGGCGGAGAACAAACGGTGTCCTTCCCCTAACAGCACACACGATCTAATTCCAGTGGCCAAATTGGACGGAACAAGCCCAATGTAGCCACCTCTTGACTTGCAGAATCGTCGACCGGTCTACAATTTGATTAATCGTATCCTCAAGCATCAGGATACTGGGATGTGGGGTTATAAGTTTCAACTGTTCTTCCTCAGACTGACGGTATTGGGGTCCTAGCGTGTTCCACAACCATTCATCCTGTGGTCGCCGGCGATTGCTCTGCGTAGCGGATCTTGCTGGTGTCCAGATTGCAGTCGTGACGTAAACTTCGCCAATCCGCATTCTTGAAGAGTTACCCCTGCGACATAGGGTTGTTCCGGATCACCCACGAAGAGAGATTCTCAGTGCCTTTTTCATACAACATTTGTAAGCGAATGGTATGACTGGCGTTTCTGTTCCACCTTGGATAGCCCAAGTTGTGGTGGAGAAGCATGAAAATGCAACTCTTCTGAATCATTTCCCGAAGTTGCCTGTTGGTGAGCAGCTTGTGTTAATGTTTCGTACTGCACAATCATGTCATCGAGATCGTTAGTCTAGCCCAGCAAGCCATAGATCACGTCAAGCGGACCTCTTGGCTCTCTGTATCTGACCATCTGTTCATGTAGAACACACCCAGGACATCAGCTCTGAGACCTTTCTGCCCCAAATCTTCGAGTTCCACGATCTTCTTCATTCGAGACAGAAGATCTCTGTATAAAAGGTGAATTGGGGTTGCTTGGCAGCACCTTCCTACATGACTGGAGAGACTCTCGCCGAGTGCGTTGAAGGTGTCTTTCGGGATAAGGACGTCACCACAAACATTCGTCACTTTCCTAGCGACAGCAGCCTCCTGTACGGGTCACATGCGTCTCCACGTCTCTAGCAAAGATCGTCGAAAACCCGAAAGAGGAGGGTCCCTACACCAGTTGACTCTTTGAGACACTTTCAAAGAATTGGTCTTTGGAGCTTTACCCTTCATAATTTGACACGGTCCAGTGCTATGTTTGATCGCTCGGATTGCAGATCATGACGTCCCTTCATGGTACTTGCTGGTAGAGCCCAATCAAATGACGACTCGTTTTGGTGATTGATTGATTGAATTGATACTCTAGACAGATGGCATTTGTTTTGGTAGATCAATCTGGGAGGCGGGTCACGCCGCCCGAGGCTGAAATCTTTTTTCTTCTAATTTCTAGACTCTATTGGGATAGTAGTTCGAAATTAAATGTGCTGTATGTACGGAGGTCTGCACCGAAGCTCCTGCACCTGCCAAGACGCCAGTCTTTAGTAGCCCTAACCCTGTTGTCGGAAGGCGACCCTGTGGTGAGGGTTCTATAATTATTTTCTGGAAGCGCACTTGTTGAATTTCAGAGACCTCTGTTAGGTATGACAGGGGCAATGGGCTCCAGACTGGGCTCAGGTCAGGCGCAGTTCGGAAGCAGGTCTAAGCGCATTGTCCGCCCCCGGGCACACCCGACAGCTGGACCCTTTTCTGGCAGTGTTCGACAGCTGGACCCTTTTCTTGGCAGTGTTCGACCCACGTGAAATGCTTTCCACGTTTCCTAGATGCAGAACTCCGTATCATTTCTACTATGAGCTCTGACCAAGAAACGAAGAGGGTTAATAAGATAAACAATGCAGACAAGGCGTCACTAGGTAGGTGTTATAATGAAGCGAAAGATTGCAAGGCCACTCTATTCGCCTTGCTCGACTGGATACTCTCTTCCCACAATATAAAAAACTCATCTTAAAAACAAGGCCGCCTCTCACGTTGGAACAAATCCAAAAAAGCAAAGCTTTCGCTTCTCAAACATTAATGCTACTCGAAAGCAACAATATGCTAAGTATGTACTGGGAGAGGGCTACGATGCACTCTACATTGCAGGACTTTAAATCTCGACAGTGTCGGTCACCAACCTCAGTCTTACCCCAGGATACCCGGGAATGTGTAACTCCCATGAATCTACGCTGTTTTCATATCAGGGCCTGCGTGATACTTAGAGGTTGGATTTCAAATGTGAGGTACGATGCAATGCGATGATACGCAGTCTGTAGGGACATTCTATCTAGATATCGCTTTGGCATTGCCGCATGACTCCAAGTGAATTTTGCCTACACCATAATGTGTTTGAGCCACTCAACCTTCGAACTTCACTTTTCGATACAAATGATTTTCAGAAGCCCGTCACATCGAGGGTAAGTCGATCCACTATGTGCGAAAACTGCGACAACCTCTCATCTGCCTTGGCTTCTTTGTCCGTTAGTACCCACAATATGGCCAAAACCAATGTCATCGATCCTGAAGGGGATGTCATCCTCATCTGCGGCAAGACTGAGTTCCAGGTCTCATCCAAAGTCCTGAGCCTGGCATCGCCGGTCTTTAAAGCACTCTTTAGCCCAAGTTTTGCGGAAGGACAGCCTACTTCAAGCAAAGCCAGTCGTATCCAACTCCACGACGATGATGCAGAAAGTATGCTGTTTATGTGCGCCGTCCTCCACCATAAGTGCGCTTTCTCCAAGGGCATCGGTCTGGAGAGACTTGAGAGGCTTGCTGTCGTCACTGATAAATACGATGTATGTATGTTTTCAAAGACATATTCGTCCGGGCGAACACATTGATTTGCTCGCAAGTTGTATTTTGGGAGTGGTGGGAGCAAGAGGCCCTTGTCAATTATTTTTGAATTGTGTTGTAGCGAGGGTCATTGCCAGGATGAAGACACGCTGACTTGGGGAACTTCAATAGTGTGTGTGTGCCATGTGCTACTGGGGAAGGTGTGAGATTTATAATACCAAACACACCAAGGAACCCAGCCGCCTGCTCTGGCCAGCTTACGCCTTTGACGAGGCCCAATTCTTTAACAGCCTTACCAAATTCATGATGCTAAACCTACCCAACGACGGTAAAGCTCAGACCGCGTCAAGAAAGTACGGCATACCAGAGGAGATTGAGAGCCATATTCCGGAAGGTTTAATTGGTAGGTCCTAAGAGGCACCCCCAATTTTCCAAATCGCTCTAAGGTTAACGTTGTCAAAGAGGCCATATTCCTTGCCGAACAAGACGTCAAGAGAGAAATGCAAATCCAAATTGAGCAAATCATCAGCCCCATTGCGGAAAAATCCACTGCAGGCGATCTCATCCTAGGCTCAGACGACATCATTTTCTCCCACTGCGATTGCATCTCCATCAGCTCGCTTATCAACGGCCTCTCCAGGCAAGGCTTATGGCCTTTGACTTCGGCGGTCCACCGCCTGAGCATCTCAATGTTGTGCAAGAAGCTCGAAGCATGTGATGTTGGATTGGCAAGCCGTATCACTAAACTCAAGAAGTGCTCACGCTGTCCAGAGAACGTGGCTGCTAAGGTCGCCAAAATCAGAGAAGCTGCCTTGACGAGGTTTGAGGGTCTGTGCCTTGATTGCATCAAGAACCCCGGGAAATCACCGGAGCAAAGACTTCAATGTCGAGTCCCGCACCAGCATTTTCGAGGACTACCACGGCAGCTTCCGGTCTCAGAGGGACAATAGCCGGATCCAGGTATCAGCAAAGTGGAGATTCACGATTAAAGGGAGAGCCAAGATACTTGGACGATTTCGACTGATTAGCTTAGACCCACAGTCGCAGCCAGACGATATGAGCTACCATCTTCATATTGACAGACATAAATCGACCCATTGGCGACATGAAACGCATTTCGTTAGGGTATATATGCATGCTTTGCTCAACCAATGGCAACTCCACCCTCGTCTCCGTCATTGACTTCCAGTTCTTCGTCCCCTTCTAGACCTTCACTATCCCACTCATCCTCGTACATGTCCACGTCCTCTTCCTCACTCACATCTTCCTCTTCTCCATCTTTCACATCCTTATCCTCCCCACCCGCTCTCTTTTTTCTCGCTCCTTTTTCATTTCTCTTCCTCAAAACGTTCTCCTTCTGCACCCTCTTCCGCTCTGCTTTCTCCCTTCTCCTTGTATCCCAGACCTTCTCCATTTCTTTGATCTCCTCAGCCGTCTTCTCGATGGATTCATGCCACATTACTTTGCCTTCACACACGCCCTCCTCGACCTTCGTCATGCGTAATTTCATCCGTGGACCGAGCTCGACAAGCTTTACAGCTCGCTTCTCTACGTTCGGTCGTCCCATTGAATGTGGTTTCCGGTCGCCGTTACTTTTCCGCAACGCCGCCATTTGTTTCTTGCTCAGCACCTTCCTCGTACTCGTTTCCAATACCTCAACCTCGGCATCCGTCTCCACCTCAGTCTCGCTGCCAGATGTGAAGCCACCACCTGCGGCTGAGGGGTCAAGCAGGTAATCCGCGACATCTTCCAGCTTGCCTAGATTGGGAAGCCCTCGCTTGCTCTTCGTGTTTTGCTTAAGCATTTTCTCTGCAGCGTTCAAACGCTTGATGCCCCGTGAGAGACCAGTACGGCGGGTTGTGATAGCATAGTGGCGAAGATTGAGAACATAAGCGCCGTCTTCTCTTGATTCAGATTTTGGGGTATTCGAAGTAGGCGACGCTTTTGATATCTCGCGATTTAGCAAGAGGACGCGGCGGATGGAAGATAAAGGAGTTGACTGGGGTGATATAGGCGGTAATAGAGATTGAAATATTGTAGTTGTTAAAGATTCGAGGTGTTTTGGTACCGTAGGCTGTATACCATCGGCTGTAGGCGAGATGAAGTTGTTCATGACTAGCAAAGGCGCCGTGAGGTATTCTTTGCCACCACCTTGTGGGCGTTTTTGTGCCTTTTGCACATCCTTACAGAGCGCGTACTGCTCGACTCGAAAATGTAGTGTAGGTCCTCGAGGTGTGAGTGCAAGGCGGAGATTTGTATTTCCGGTTGCAGAGCGGGAGAAGAGTAAGAGATGAGATACACCCAACGGACCAGCCATAGCAGTATAGTCTCGTAGTCTGTTTGAACGCCTCTCTTTCAGACGACTGGCCGTACCCGGTTCCATCACAGAACGGACATCCTTCACTAGCTGGCTGACTCTGGGTCCAACTTCTCCTGCTCCGATCCTTATGACCATGCTCCGTGGCTCTCTGGTAGCTGATGAGTTGGCGGTAACTCCATTTGAGGGCCCATTGCGGGCACCCACATGTGTACGCTTCTTAGTACGTCGTCGCGCCATTGAAAGGTGTGGAATTTGGAGCGAGCTGTTTAAGGTGTACCAATTTTGCTTGTAACACTTTTAAAGACCTCGCTTAGGCGGCCCTTATCGATAGTGCTAGCGTCGAAATGTTTTCTCGTGACAAAGTCCATTCTGAACAAGCACAAATTCTGATTATGCACTTTCAGAAAGACTAAACATGTCTCCCATACAGAAGAGAAAGGCCGATGGCAGTTCACACAAAGATGAAGGGATACCATCCAAGAGAGTGAAACATACTACATCTACGCACACAAAGCAAACAGCGCCGGAACCCGCTAAAGAACCTTCTCCACAACCGTCTTCAGAGCCATCACTGGTAACAGGGTCTACGAGTGAGGTTGAGATCGAAGCAAAAGGCCATGCTTCGAAATCGTTCCAGGACCTTGGGATTATACAGTCGCTGTGTGATGCATGCACAGCATTGGGATACGAGGTTCGCCTCTAATCGCAATCTCGGTTTCAATTCTTGCTGAAATCCTCAGGCCCCGACTCCGATTCAAACCGAAGCAATACCTTTGGCTCTGCAAGGAAGAGACATTATCGGGCTTGCAGAGACTGGCAGTGGGAAAACGGCTGCGTTTGCACTTCCAATTCTACAGGGTGAGCTTGTAGCCGTGATCATCATCCCACTTGACTCATACTGACGAGTCATCAGCTTTGATGGAGAGCCCGCAGTCATCCTTGTTCGGTCTCTGTCTTGCACCTACTCGCGAACTTGCCTACCAAATCGCCCAAGCATTTGAAGCTCTGGGTGCCCTCATCTCGGTCAAAGTCGCCGTTGTGGTGGGAGGAATGGACATGATCTCCCAATCCATTGCCCTGGGCAAGAAGCCTCATATCGTAGTGTAAGGCCATTACTCTATACCGCTATGCTATAGCTGATTTCTTGCAGTGCTACACCTGGTCGACTGCTCGGTAGACAAACCCTGTTCAATGACTGTTCTCATGCACTGACTCCCGCCAGACCACCTCGAAAACACAAAAGGCTTCTCTCTACGGTCAATCAAGCACTTAGTAATGGACGAGGCTGATCGCCTTCTTGACCTTGGTATGCTACTTACTCATGGCAATCTTTTATAACAAGAGAAGACCTAACTCCAAAAACCCCGACAGACTTTGGCGCAATCATTACCAAGATCCTCAAAGTCCTCCCACGAGAGCGCCGCACCTGTCTCTTCTCGGCTACAATGACCTCAAAAGTCGAGAGCCTCCAACGAGCTTCCCTTTCCAATCCTCTCCGCGTCTCCATCAGTACAAACAAATACCAAACGGTCTCCACCCTCCTACAAAGCTACTGCTTCATTCCCCACAAAGACAAAGACGTCTACGTGGCATGGCTTATAAACGAATTCGCTTCAAAATCCGTAATCATTTTCACTCGCACTGTCAACGAGACTCAGAGAATAGCTATATTGCTTCGGGCTCTTGGGTTTGGCGCTATTCCGCTCCATGGCCAGCTCTCGCAATCTTCCAGATTAGGTGCACTGGGCAAGTTCCGTGCGAGAAGTAGAGATATACTTGTTGCTACGGATGTTGCCGCTCGAGGTCTGGATATACCCTCGGTTGACGTAGTCCTCAACTTTGACCTTCCCCACAACTCAGAAACTTATATCCACAGAGTCGGCCGTACGGCACGAGCAGGGAAAAGCGGGCATGCGATCAGTATGGTTACTCAGGTAATTTCCTCAATTTTTAAAAAAACCCCATTTCAGTTTTCACTCAATAAACCATTTGGAGAAGCTAAATGAGCCTTTTTACAGTACGACATCGAAGTATGGCAGAAGATTGAAGCAGCATTAGGGAAGATGTTGGGTGAGTACGAGACGGATAGGGCGGAGGTGATGATTCTGGCGGAACGGGTGGGGGAGGCGCAGAGGATGGCTATTAGGGAGATGAAGGACTTGCATGAGAAGAGAGGGACGAAGGGTGCCACGTTAAGAGGGAGAAAGCCTGGAGGTGGCAAGAAAGGTAGGAACGATATGGATAGGGAGGAAGGCTGACTGTCCAAGAGTACAGCAAACTAAACAAACAATAAAGCCATCGAACCAGATTTCAGTATGAATGATTTCTCATTCTGTAATGCTGAGCAAACTTTTAGACGCCAAGTCCCAGTCCTACCGCCAATATCCATTGAACCTCCCTTGCTTCTGTATAGCTAAAAATGTAATCCATGCACAGACAAATGTATCAGACACCGGCCCTCTTAACAACATCCGCAACCTTTGCTGCCAAGTCATCTGCCTCACCCCTCGTGGCGGCCTCTGCGTAAACCCTCACGGCCTCCTCCGTGCCACTCGCCCTCACAAAACTCCTCCCATTCTTGTACTTCCCAACCAATGCATCGATCTGGGCCTGAACGCCTGGCGGACTCTCTAGTTTCCGTTCGGCATCGGTTGTCTTGAAGATATTGCGGTCTGCAACTTCGATCCGTCCAAGACGGTTGGGGAGATCCGTGTACGTGAGATGCCACTCTTTAGGACCCCAAGCTTTGTGAGCGAGAATCACTTCCACAAGGAGAAGATCGCTGAGAGCGTCCCCAACAGTTTGATTTATCAGGGCTGTCAGGGCGCGCAGCGTGTCGAGAGCGGAGGCTTGGGCTGGTGATTGAGGCTCATATTTGCCAATGCGCTTGAGGGCCAAGTCCGAGAATACGACAGTACCATGGCCGTTGGCTTCGAAGTAGACGCCCACGTCGAATCTAGTCGCTGCATGGTGAAGATGCTTCACACCCGTTGGTGTACATACGACTGGAAGCCTGAGATCCTGGGTGATATATGATGTACTGGCGCCGTTGGCGTAAGCAGTTTGCACGACACCGACTTTGATCTTTTCGCCGAGGCCAGCGTTGCGGGCGAGGTCACCGATGAAGAGGGCGGCGAGGGTAGCGATGCGGTCACCGTCTAATAGATGAAAGCTGGAGTCGGAGTCGTTGAAATAGTACATCAGCCTATCCGCGTCGCCATCGAGAGATGCGCAGCGTGCCGAGGGGGCAGCGTGGGACGATGGCGGTGGACGCTGATTCGTCTTGACAAAGTCTGCTCCGCACTGTATCGTCATGCGTCAGAGACGACTCTTCGTGTGAGTACAATTGAGAACAATCTACCTGATGATTCAGACGCTCTGGCTCGACGACATTGTCGTTGACGACTTTGATCTCAAGGCCACCTTCAGAGGCAGAAGACAGATACTTGATGAGCTCCCGCAGCTTAGGTCCGCCTACTCCATTTGCACAATCGACAGTGACGGGCCCGTTGAATTTCCGAGTCCCTGTAGCAGCTTTGAATGCGGCAGCTATTTTCTGGTAGTATCCTTGCTCGGTTGGTTCACCATATTCATAAGGTGTGCTTTTCGTGTTCAGACAGCGGGTGATGTAATGGAGTTGTGGTGTGGTAAGCAGTTTGTAGTCAGTATACTCCGTACCAGATGCCTCAAGAGCTGCCAGAAGGGCAGAAACGAGGCGAGGTCCAGAAGCTCGAGTGTCTCGCGCAAAGACCACGCGTGCTTTGTTCTCCGTTTTGATGTTCAAGTCGCTTGTGAGCTTATCGTAAATTTCCAGGAGAGCCTGGTCGGAGGGCGCGTTTGCAAGTGTTGTAGCGTATGTTTCCCAAGAACCCTGAGGCATTTGTCAGAACGGCTGACTACTCTGATATGATGTATATTGTGGCTATACCTCGAGCATCTCACCCTGAAGCTCAGATCAGCCAGTGTACCCGTCTAACCCTCGCAATGCCTACCATCGGATCCACCAATTTCACACCATTGTCCTCCGGAGGATTGTGACTCGCAGTGATCATTACACCTATCCTCTGGCCATTCAACTTCCTTGAGCGCAAGGCTGCGAGCAATCCAACACGATAGACGACAGAGTCGAGAAGGGAGCTGAAGCAGGCGTAACGCATCAGTTTCGGTATCGCAGAAGATGGTAGCATTATATGCGTTTGTAAGGAATTGGCTTGGGAACGCACGCCTTCATGCGAAACTAGATCAACATCATGTCAGCCAAACTTGGTCGGTTTTGGGATTGCTTTGAGCACCCACTCCTGCAGTGCCATATTGAAAGGTGCGCTCGGCCGGCTTAGGATACTTGGCTGAAGCCAGGACGATTGGATTTTGTGAAGTCATGCTGCTGAGCTGTTTTGCTATGTTTGGGTGTTTATGAAAGTGAGAATGATAAAGAGTAAGCAAGGTAGACGGAATGTCGGGGTTAAAGCGCTAGGAGCGAATGGTAGGAGAAAATCCCCACGCCCGTTGTTAGCCCAAACGTCATCCCTAATAGTCTCGCCTGCACCTTCCCTTGCAGGATAAATCGGCATCATCCCAATGGCAAGTGGCAAGTTTTCAGAAAGAAGTTGCAGTCTGATGAGATAGATCATTTGGTCTTTATATCGATGCGAGGCGTCAACGCGAAATCATTTCTTTTTCTTTTTCGTGATTGAAATCGCTTCAAGAAGAAGTTTCAACAGCGGGAAAGCCTCCTCGCTGGTTCTGTGTATCAGTTCAACTGCTACGGTTCCTAGCACCTCGCCTGGCCGCTAGATGTTATGAGGTTCGAGAGACTGAGTGTTTGACGTGTGGCGTCTTGATGAGAGATTTGATTGAGACGATAATTTGTAAACAGTCGGTGCTCAGAGCACCATGGGAGAGTGATGCATAGCTCTATTTAGGCTTTGAGTCTTTCTCCAGCAATGTCCTGCTGAGCGTCTTTCACAAGAAAACTATAAGAAATGGCAACATCAGCAAAGATTAGCTGAACATGAGAGGCCCCATGTGACTTACTTGTACCACCAGATAGTCGGTATGACCGTTCCCAGGTGCCATAGACTATGAGCGTCCACCATTCCTCCTAACGGAGCAAAATCCAACAATTCCAAGCTCATGGCCATAATAATCCACGCAACGATCATGCCAGGCCATGCTGCCCACGGCTTCTTCAATTCTTGATACGTCTTGTAGCTAAATCCGCTCCACAGAATGTTTTGCACCACCCCCACCGCGACATTAGCTGCCATGTTGTACACATAGTCCCAATGCCAAAATGTCAGGTAGGAGACATGCGCCGTATACAACGCTGCGCACACGAAGGTCCATAATCTTAGCAATGCTGGCTTGACGGCAGGCTCGGCTTCGTCTAGTCTGAATATCCTGATAGGCGTGTAGTACAATCCGTAAAGGACGCTCGCCCCTGCAGCAAAGTAGTCCAATTTTTCTGTGATATCAAAGTCTCGTGTATGAAAGATCATGCTGAATACCCAGCTTGCCATACCGACATAGCTGAAGGCGATGTAGTAGATCTGCAAAGGATAATCGGATGGGATCCTATCCCGGATCTTCGCAAGGCCATTCCGATGTGCCAGGAAATTGAAGAAGGAGAAGAGGACCGAACAAGGTTCTTGTATGCCCAGAAAGCGAAAGAAGGGCCATTTGCCATGGTACTGGAGGACAGGCTTTAGCATTGGAGGGTCTCTAGAGACACGACGGTCTGTGATGATATGCTGGCAGACATAGTCGCAATTGGATGGGCAAGTCCAGAAGAATAGGCGCAGATGTAGCGCTGAGAAAAGTTGATCAGTACTGCTATCTTGCTGAATTGGCGCGATGCTTACGAAGGACAGAGTTACCGCGCTGGCAGTTCTCATCGACACAAGTCTGGATCTGTGAGCAATCGACTCTGTCATGCATTGGCTCCACATACTGATATACATTCGCGAAAGTCCGGTAGCCGGTCCCCAAGAGACGCAGAGGCAAAGGCAGGGAAGAGTAACAGAAACCAGAGGCATATGAGTCGCACCCCCAATGCGAATTGTCGTGTTCGCATTATTTCTGAGTGTGTGTGCACTACAAAAGAAAAGAGTTGAAGAAAGAGCACGCGATTGGATCGAGTCGAAATCCGCTAACGATCGAGCTTATCTCTTACTCTACCTTTAAGCTCGAGGACTCCTTCGGAAGTCTTGGTATTCATTTCCCCCTAAGAAAAGATGATAACAGCGTTAGCACGGTAGTAGGCTATAATCTTAGTAATAATAGATTATATAATCGTTTTTAACACTTAGACGAGACTATTAGTCGATGTTATTATAAGATCTTAAAGATTATATATATTCTATATTAGATTTTTTTAATTATTTAAAAATTTTAATCTCGTTTAGCCTAAATTTACGCCTTATTTTAACGACTATCTAGATGTATTAGACGATATATATATCGTTATTTATATATCTATAATAGAGTATATACTATAGCGAAATAGAAAGGATACTCTTACTTAAAACGTTTTAGCCGTATATGATTTTAATATGCTATTTTACTATATATTATCTAACTGAGAAGACTCTATATATAACGCTTTAGTACTAAGAGATACTATTTCTAATTACAACTTTTCTATCCTAGCGTAAGTACTATCTCGTCGACGCTAGATATTTTAATTGTAATTAACTACTAATTTCCTATATAAATATACGATATTATTTAAAGGAATAATAATAGACTAAAATAAAGCTCGAGAATATAAAGAAATTATTTAATCTACGTTACTCTTAACTACGAAATATTATTAAAAGAATATTTAATATACTTAAACGACGATTTAAATCTATTAAGAACTCTATAGAGTTTAGTATTTCTACTTAGATAATAAACTAGTATATCTTAACTATAATATATAACTTTATTACGCTATATCGCTCTCTTAATAATATTAACTCGAATATATAACTAGCTAGCGAGTTTAATAGTAACTCTACTAGTAATTTAGATTTATTAAAGAATAAATACTTTACGACTATTAAAATAGATAAGAAAAGAGATAAAATCGCCGAAGTAATGTGGAAGGATTATTAAGAGTATATTTCTTAAAGAATGATTGCGGAGATGCGTATATAAGAAGTCTTATTAATGAGAGAGACTTCGATGTGTAAGATCTTAAATATAGTAGTATTTAGCTAATTCTACTTCGATATACTTAATATATTCTTCTATCTACTTATGCGCCTCTGTTATTTACCTCTATAACTAATCTTTTCTAATATTATTAGATATTATAATATATATAAAAGTCTTATTATAATTTAGAAATACGTTTACGACTTTTATATAGTTATTATTATTAATAGAATTAAAGTCTTTACTTAGTAGAGCTATAGCTTTCTTAATAATAACTTATAATATTTCTTTAATTCGCTATATTTTCTTCTATTGCCTTTATAATATATCCTTTCTCTTTATTTCGTAGATCTTTATAATAAATCTTCTACTTCTTTAATAGTAGAGTCTATAAACTATTCGCCTATCTTTTTAAGACGCTTAATTGACGATATAGATATTACTATTATGAAGCTCGTATATCTCTTTTTCGCTATGGTCTATGATATATCGATATCGGATATAACGTTTACATCGATAGCTTGTGAGTGTCTTTCTAGTGTCTTTCTAGGTCTTTGAGTATTGATATGTAGGGATAGAGAAACCGTTTTGAGAGTGGGATCGATAAAAGATTAAGAGGTATTATATGGCTTTTTATTGCTATTCGCTTAATAAAGTAAGTATCGAACTCTTTAACGTATAGAAGAGAAGTTTAACGAAGCTCTTTTATAAGTTTATTTTTCTAGAAAATATTAGCGAAGTATTATTAATAAGACGGTCTTCTTATATCTTAATTTAGACTTTTTATTAATCGTTATTAACTATATAAAGTATAATTCTCTTATTAAAGTTTTAGCTACTTAATTTATAGCGAAGATAACGATAAAGAGTTTATTTAGTCTTATATGAAGTTATCTTTCTCTATACTTAACTTTATTTAACTTACTATCTTATAATTATTATAGCCTATATAGAGCTAATATATATATCTATATCTCCGATTTAAAGCCTATATCCGAGCGTTTATCGTTCTTATATTGTTATTTATTTTATAATATAGTTTAGCCTTTATAATAGTGATCTATTTAAGAATTCTATTAATCTATTATAATCTATCTACTCGAGCTAATACCTCTTCCGATACTTTATAATTAATGAGAGGATTACTAAGAGCTTTTCTAAGAAAAGATGATAACAGCGTTAGCAGGCTTCTGGATGTTGACATGGTTACCACACTGACGACGATATTCGGTGTCGTGAAAACATTTTGATCGAAACATTTCTACATATCGATGGCCAGATCTTTAACCCTACCAATGTCAACAAACTAGAATTGTCTGACAGCTTGCTCTGCCACTAGAGTAACCCAGCGCTTTTCAACGCCGAATTTTTGAATTCTCCACGACGTGGCGCCTATCTCTGACTCTCTCACGGTTCCTGGCCTTGTACCCTATCTCAAATACGTAAAAAGGCACAGTGCTCAAAATTCTCGTTAATAGTCTCTGCCCGTCTGCATCCTTGATTTTACCTTTTTTTCGTAGTTACCTTTTTTTTCTTTTTTTTTTTTTTCTCCGCGGCGTTCTCTTTCCTCGGCTTGCCTCGTTGAAAGACTGTGGAAAGCCAATCATCGTGGAAAGCATTCAGATCACGATGAAAATTACAGATTATGTGTTTGTGAGTGTACATTTGAATTCGTTCATATGTTGTTATCACAATCAATAGAATCTCTATCTCTACAATACCCCCTATTCTTCTTATCCGTTTCATGAACGACTTGACCCCCCATACCTATCCTCTCGCTCACTCCTTCTACCTTCACATCAAATGAGGTTCCTACGGCCCATAAGCTCCCGCTAAATGCGTCAATCCTTGCACTGCATCCGCCAACATCCTTCAAACGGTCTCCAAGCCAGGTTTCGACAGCAAGTGCAGAAGGGATAACGGCCGGCCATAAACTCTCTCCACCTTGCCGCATGCGTACAGAGGGCCCGATGAGCTCCGATTGCGGATGTGAGCGGGCGTCCGTGCGCGTTTCACGCATGCATTCGAAAATGAGTGATTCGTTGCGGCTGGGGGAAGCGGACGTAATGTGTGAATACGATGGAGACGAACTTTTTCAGCAATGGGGTCGAGGTAAGAGGTTAGTGGGGGTTCCGAGGCTGGCAGGGAGGGTAACTATTGAGGATGCATTGGTAGTGGAATAGGGACGGTTAACGGGATTATGATTTACTCGAGATCATCGGGCTGCTCTGTGGTCGGAAAGGGAGAAGATGATACAATCATGAGAGGGTCTGCTGCGAAAGCACAGCTGTCTAGATAGCTTAGAATGGCAAAGTAAGAGATAAGGAGCACATGGGTCTTGGTATATTGGTCAGAAATTGGGGAAATACAACCCCAATGGAACGTTGCCAAGAGTTTCATGCCTATACCATCTCTAAAACTCTGTTGCTTTATCGCCTTTTTCATCTCAACGCTTCACTCTTTCCCCCAGGCAACATGCGTGCCGCTGATGATTTGAAGAAAGATGACCGCGAAACATTGTGTGAAGGAGGTATGCTGACCGCAAAGGAGGAAGAAGACTTAACCCAAAGCTTCCTCCGTAGCTGTTATGAGAGAAAACTTAGGCAAAATTGAGAGGTGGTCGTATAAATTGTGTTTCGCAATTCGTAATAGTAGCTGAAAGAAGAGGGGAAAGCAAAAAAAGCAAAAAAATATATCGTATACGATATTGGCTAAATCACAATCAGAACAAGAAATATAAGATGATATCTTGAGGACTCACAGAAGCGGGGGATCGAACCCCGGGCCTTCCGCAGGCGAACTCTTGATAAGTGCAACTACGAAGAAATTAGAATCCGAAGACGATGGCAGCAGATAATGGAGTAGCCTACAGCGGACGCTCTACCACTGAGCCACATCCCCTACTGAAGATCAAGAGTTAGCTCCTATTGCAATATTCATACCTACTATGTGTCATGGCAAACCTTGGTGCTGCAAACCTGCAGTAGTCTCGATAGTCACCCTAAGGCTCAATTGAGTAAAGCACTCCGAGTGGATTTGGCGGATACATCACTGGACCCCTGGTCAATGCCAAGACATATTCGCGTCGGGCCGAGATTTAGCTTGCGAATAATTGAACGAAAATCAACAAGTCAAGCTTCCTACAGAGATTGTGTAAATACAGTTTCCTTGGCTAGAAACGTCGCTCAAGTTGGAGCATGCAGTGAAATTCGATACATTCACCCTCACAACATGTCTCAGGGGTCCAGTGTCATGCCTGTACCGACGCAGGCAGATGATAAAATGGCTGGTATGGATCATGCAGAGGTTCATTACTTCAATAGGTACTGAGCTTTCCACGTATGAGGTAACTCATCCTGACCGCTGTTAGTTACAATCACCATGGTACTTATCGGGCTCGTCCTTAGGCTTGAAGAGCATGCACTGACAGCTCTGTTCCCCACATTTAAGGCATACATGAAGAAATGTTGGTACGCAGGTCCTCAAACTGACCCAGATTGCTGTGAGGTATTCTACTGACGCTATGCGGTATATCAAGAAAGATGAAGTCCGAACCAAGTCATACCAGAATGCGATCTACCAGAACAAACACCTCTTCAAAGACAAAGTCGTCTTAGACGTAGGATGTGGTACAGGGATTCTCAGCATGTTTGTGCCCATTACCTCCCTCCTGCAAATCGCCTGGAGATTCACATTGACCTGTCAGGTTTGCGGTCAAAGCTGGCGCGAAACATGTCATCGGAGTAGACATGTCCACGATCATCGAAAAGGCACGAGAGATCGTTGAAGCAAACGGGATGACATCGAAGATATCGTTACTACAGGGAAAGATGGAGGAAGTGCAACTGCCTTTTTCAAAGGTCGACATAATCCTTTCTGAATGGATGGGCTACTTTTTGCTTTACGAGAGTATGCTTGATACCGTCCTCTACGCTCGGGATACTTATCTCGTACCTGGAGGCCTGATCTTCCCCGACAAAGCAACTATTTTCATGGCTGGTATTGAGGATGGCGAGTACAAAGACGAGAAGATTGGATGTGCGTTGACTGGGAAAATTTGAATAAGGGTTCAGTGCTAAGCTGCGCATAGTCTGGGACAATGTCTACGGCTTCGACTACACGCCTTTAAAGGACACAGCCTTGACGGAACCACTGGTGGACACGGTAGAAGTCAAAGCCTGCGTGACCGACCCCTCGAGGGTGTTCTCAATCGATCTTTACACCGTTACCGCCGCTGATCTTGCATTCCAAGCCCCGTACGTTCTGAACGTTAGGAGGGTCGACTTCATACACGCCTTAATCGCTTGGTTTGACATCGAGTTCACCGCATGTCATAAGCCAATCTCGTTTTCCACTGGTCCTCACAGCAAGTACACTCACTGGAAGCAAACTGTCTTCTATCTGCGAGATGTTTTGAGAGTCGAGGAGAACGAACAAGTAACAGGCCTCTTGACAAGCAAACCGAACGAGAAGAAGAAGAGGGATCTTGACATCACGATCTCTTACGAGCTTCAGACAGACGATGAGAGCAGGTTTGCCCAAGGAAATCTTGATTACAAGATGTAAGGACACTTCCTGAACATCAGACGGGCTCTTTACTGATATTGTGCAGGTGCTGATGATCTGAGTAATTGATCACTAAGGCACTCTCGAGGATGGATAAATGGCCGTGTTCGTCATTTTGATGCAAGCATGCATAGCGATTTTCATAGAGGAATGACAAGCTGCAAAAATTGAATTGAGATGATGTGCGGAAGAAGGGTTTTGGTCAGACCACTTTGACGGCCATCAAAGGCGTCTTCATCTACAGTGCCAACAGAAGCTATCATCGATGACCGTTAGTAATCCAAAGCCCAGTGGATAGATATATGTGGTTAACAGAGGGCCAGCAGCGACATATCCACAAAGTCCGCTACGCCGAATTGTTGCGGGCAACTCGATGATCTTACACCGACCATGCCGATACTCATACCTTCTCATTTGTACTAATCTCGTCCGTTGTGTTATCCTCTCCTGAACGCAATCGGTCTCGAACTCTCATCAGTGCTTTACCGAGTAAATTCTCTCCCCAATTACCCTCGTTCGCCGCCGCATTCGCAGCGCTGTAGCCCACTCCCCAAATTTTATCGTACGGTGACGCCTCCACCAACAACCTGTCGCCTGTCTCCAACAGCATCTTCCTCGGATCACCTTCTTTTGACTGGGTGAATTTCCACCAATTTCCTTCTTCGACAACCTTCTCTCGCTTCGCATTCCATTTCTTGCCGTCAAACCCTTTTACCTCCCTTCCCAAGGCCCTTTGCTTGCTTGGTTCTGGCTCGAGCGCAATCTTGTCGGCTACATCTTGATTATCGAATAAGATGGCCTTGTGATACATCCTGGCTTACAATTCCATAGTCAGTATTGCCTACGACAGTTTCTGAGGGGCACATCAAGCCTTGAAACATGTTTGGAAGCTAAGGACTCCTGAGACAAGTCTAATCGACGGGAAAGATACGTACATGTATTGCTCAGCGGTGACGAACGTCATTGGTAGGGTGCCGGTGGAGGAAGGTGCGGTGAAGGCCGACGGGTACCATTGGGACAGGAAGCCATAGGGGCTCTCAAATTCGCGCCACTAGTAGTTCTCGGGCTCAGCGTTTCATACCCAAGACTACAAAGGAGTCGTGAGACTCGGCACATAGTATCAAGTAGGATAAGAAGGATTGGAGAGGTAGCTTACGAAGAAGACGGGCCCGCCAGCGGAGGAGATGGTAGAAGATGCCATGTTGTTCAATGGCACGGAGAATCTGGTTGAATGGGGTTTTCAAGTCAAATGGGCATTGGACTGTCGAATCATGCAGGAGGAGAAGTTGTTTAATACGAAGATGGAAAGTGGTGTTCAAGGAGAAAGTGTTTGAAGAGGAAGGAAATGGTGTATCAGACAGCTACGAGTTCCTGCTCACAGGGAGTCATTGAGAAGCTTTCAAATGGAGTCAACACAGAGATTCGCTCACATTTTTACGGACTCATATCGAAGAAGACTTAGCTCGGCTGAAAAGAGAAGCCTCTTATGCAACGTACAATTAGATGTAATGTTTCGAGGGTCAAGCGGAGAATAGTCCGGCACCACAAATGCCTCGGCTGCGGGGAAAACTCTTCCTCCCCGCAAAGTCGTTCCTTCAAGACTGCGCGTCCTCATGACTTTGCTCCATCGCTTCTAAGGCTTCTCTTTCTAGCCAAAGCTGAATTTCTGAGATCCCGGGATAGAGGCTTTGCTTTGTACATAGACAGTCCAGTATGAGTGGCCCCGGCGCGGGATTCGAATATCCTTCCCAGGAAGTTTCCTGGCTGAAGCGGTACGTTTTTAAGGCTCTGTCGAAGGACAGCGAGAGCAGCTGACAATTAGCAGAGATGTCTTGTTGTTTGCAAATAGCATCGGCTGTACGGCAGATGAGCTTCAGTTCCTCTATGCATGTCTCGACAAGTGCCACCAGAGGTATCTGCTTACAAGACCAGGAACTCCATCCTTCTTTCCAGACTTTTCCAACATACCCTGTAATACTCCGTACGATAACTGTCATGCCCATGACTCTAGGGACCAACTGACAAATTTGCCAGCCTTCAAGCACACCGACCAAGAGGTCATAGATTTTTACGCCCGCTCAGCTGCAACGCCCATACCCAATGTACCCAAATTTGATAGCCGCCGTGTGGTCGATGGTCAGCGGTCTATGAAGTTTCTTAAGCCCTTGCCTCCTACAAGCGTAGGCAAGAAATTTGAGCTGCGGTCCAAAGTTCTTGGCGTATATGACAAAGGCAAGGTGGGGACCGTAATCGAGACGGAGACGGTACTTGCAGAGAAAGGTGGAGATGTATACACCAAAGCTGTAGGCAGTGCGTTCTTCGTCGGACAAGGCAATTGGGGTGGGCCTAAAGGTGAGGATGAAAAGTGAAGCGAGTTTCACCAAGTGGTTGACGAAGAGAGAAGGTCCAAGTACAGTAAACTACCCACCACCAGAAGGGAAGAAATCGGACGCAGTGCATACTCTGCAGACAGCCAAGGAATCTGCCCATCTATACAGGTGAGATGCTTGCTCTCATCTTGTTAAAGGACGACTGACATCTTAGACTCAATGGCGATTACAATCCTCTCCACGCGACCCCAGAACCAGGTCAGGAGATGGGATTTGGGGGTGCCATTATGCACGGACTCTTCTCGTGGAATTCTGCTTGTCACGGCTTACTGCAGACGCTTGGTGGTAGTGATCCTGCGAATCTAAGAGAGTTTGAGGCAAGATTTGCAGCACCGGTAAAGCCTGGAGACAAGCTTGTGACAGAAGCTTGGAGGACGGGTGAGGTCAAAGATGGATGGGAAGAAGTAAGATTTATCACACGAGTGGAAGGGGGTAAAATTGTTTTGAGTAACGGCAGGGCGTTAATGCACTGTACGATAACAAAAAGCAAGCTCTAAAAAAATTTATCAGTGGGAAGATGTAATTTCAGGAGTTGAATATCTTTCTCGACAACAGACTGTAGAAGAGCAAACCAAAAAAAAATCGATACCAGGGAGACTCGAACTCCCAATCTTTGCCACCGGAAAGCAACGCCTTGCCTACACATCATTTAGGAGTCAGCATCGCTTCACCAAGGCGCAAAACCTGAACTAATGGCATAGTACTGGGTCTTGCGGCGTACCATTAGGCCATGGTACCAGTTTATAGTCCAATATCCGAGTTATTTCACACATTTGGGGAATTAAAGTCCAACTATTTACTTATATATTCAACAACAATTAGCCACGAAGAGCTGACTCGTAATCTTAGCGTGACTAAGCTAACAGGCTTGGCACTTGAATCGACGTCAAAGTCCACCCAGCATCGATCTACGACAGCTTCGCTACCTATCCGAGTGTTTATTCCAGTAATCTGAATCTGCCGCCATCATGTCCACACTCGAAGATCTCGATGACATGGAGAGAGAGGAGAAGGAGGAAAAGAAGGACGACGGCGACAAAGATGGCAAGAAGCCTGATCAGGACGGTGACGCAGAGATGAAGGACGCGGACAGTGATAAAAAAGGAGAAGAGAAAGAGGAGGACATATTCGACCCTGAGATCCTACATTCAAGCACAAGAGACATCATCACGCGGCGGCGACTTCTTGAGAACGATATGAGGATCATGAAGAGCGAGTTCCAACGCTTGACACATGAGCAAGCAGCGATGAAGGAGAAGATTAAGGATAACCTAGATAAGATTGAGAATAATAGGTGCGTCTAAGAAGCGTACGGGTCATCCTAGAATCTACGGTGCTGATGAACGCTTACAGACAGCTCCCTTACCTCGTCGGCAACGTCGTAGAGCTTCTGGATCTCGATGTCGAGAAGGAGGCCGCGGAAGAAGGTGCCAATATCGACCTAGACGCAACTCGCATTGGCAAGTCCGCAGTCATCAAAACCTCCACCCGCCAAACCATATTCCTCCCTCTCATCGGCCTCGTCGATCATACCGCTCTCAAACCCGGGGACCTCATCGGCGTCAACAAAGACTCATACCTCGTTCTCGACACCCTACCCGCTGAATATGACAGTAGGGTCAAGGCTATGGAGGTCGATGAGAAGCCTACAGAGAAGTATACCGATGTAGGTGGTCTAGATAAGCAGATCGAGGAGCTTGTGGAAGCTATAGTTTGGCCTATGAAGGAAGCGGAGCGGTTTAAGAAGATTGGTATCAAAGCTCCTAAAGGTACATCACCTCCTTCCTATGCTTGTCTCCTGCCAAAGCCTCCATAGCTGACCAATCCTTTCCCAACAGGGGCGCTAATGTACGGCCCCCCGGGGACCGGCAAGACCCTCCTCGCCCGAGCCTGCGCCGCCCAAACAGACGCCACCTTCCTCAAGCTCGCGGGCCCCCAACTCGTCCAAATGTTCATCGGCGACGGCGCCAAGCTCGTCCGTGACTGCTTTGCCCTCGCCAAAGAAAAAGCCCCCTCAATCATCTTCATCGACGAGCTCGATGCCGTGGGCACTAAACGCTTCGATAGCGAAAAGAGCGGGGACAGAGAAGTTCAACGAACTATGCTCGAATTACTCAACCAACTGGACGGCTTCGCATCCGACGACCGCGTCAAGGTCCTGGCCGCCACCAACCGCGTCGATGTGCTTGACCCGGCGCTGCTGCGTTCAGGACGTTTAGATCGCAAGATCGAGTTTCCACTGCCCAACGAGGAAGCCCGGGCACAGATCTTGAAGATCCACAGCCGAAAGATGACGGTAGATGATGCGGTCAACTGGCCCGAGCTGGCGAGAAGTACGGATGAGTTTGGGGGAGCGCAGCTGAAGGCTGTGTGCGTTGAGGCAGGGATGATTGCGTTGAGGAAGGGGATGGTGAAGATTGGGCATGAGCATTACGTGGATGCTATTGCGGAGGTCCAGGCGAAGAAGAAGGTGAGGCTTCCTTGGCTCGCTCGGGCCTCTATCGGGTGAAAACACCATGCTGACATAGCTGTAGGACACGGTCAATTTCTACGCTTGAGAGTGGTGAAGATCGAAGGGATCAGCTTCGCTAGGGTCTGGCGGAGGGAGATAGACCGCTGTCCATACATAGCATGGCGATGGCGCGCAGGGTGTACTCGATATCCTTGAAACCAAGCATCAAACGAGACTGCGAACCCTTCTGTGGGTTTTCGACCTATGACTGTCCTGCCCCGTTCGACACGTATTCTCCAAGAGATCGCCTCTACACAGTACAACCAGCACGGAACCCACAAACGCTGTTGCTAGAGGGCCAACCAAAATGGCTCAAAGACAAGGCACAGTCAGTTGGAGCTGGATATCACGGCAGCTTTCACCAAGCATGTAATCAATTTCGTGGATCGCACAAAGATTTTCCTTCAATCTAAATTTCTAAACATCTGCCGTAGGTCTGATACCACATTGCTAACTCCGCTTTCGCCTCCGTCTAACACGAAAGACTTTTCCACCCAACGGCCTAAGTACAAGTTTTTGGTGGCCACATGCAAAGCAGCCAAGAAAAGAAGATGCGAGCCTCGTCCCAAAGCTCGAACGAATGCCATGAAAGGGTATCATGTTGTAAGCCCGAAGCTCACTCCGACTCGGAAGGAGTCTTGTGAATGCAAAAAGCCCATCCTAATGTTTTCCTGAACCGTCATGAAACGGGATTTCCTGAGCGAGAGTAGCCATGCGGAAGATGCGATGATGTACTCTGGAATAGAAGACCCGTGATGTCGAACATTAAAAGTCCACCCAAGAAAAGAACGCCGCGATGCTGAAGGTTCCGATGCTTGAACGCCTGAAGAAGTCTATTGAAGCGCCGGCTAGAATGGTAAAAAAAAGAGTCGTAATCCTGAAGAGGTGTTTTGAGCCATATGAACATGTATGCCGGGTCATTATTTTTCCCTGATTCGAAAAACGCCGGACGCCCCCTTTGGTGACCATGAATATTATGTATTGGTGAAAAAATGCTACCGAAATGTTGGCCGCAATCCGTTGTATTAGGTTGTTAGCTCGTGCTCCTCCAAGCGGATTGACGCTGCGTGGTGCAGTGGTCGATATTGTGAGCTAGAGATCAAGAAAGTGAAGGAAGTACGCGTGGAAAGCTCCAGTACCGTCTGAAGGACTGTGCAAGCGGTGGTAGATATTGGCAAGACGTTACTGGACTCATTCGTCTCGTCGAGCAACGCATATCGAAGCTAGCCGACGACTGCCTGAGGACCGTAGCTAGGAGCCATGGAGTAGCGTTCGTAATGTGGCCCACAATAGCCACAACCGCAAGTAATGCCATGACCGTGAGGAATGTATTGCTGGGCATATGCTGTGTAGTAGTTTGACTGCAAGGCGTTGGAACCAAGAACTTGCAGTGGCGGAGGAACCTTCATAGCCGGATACGCCTGCTGCGGTGCATGACCATACCCGAAACCACCATGCGTGTACCATTCTGGTGTAGTGGGACCTGTTTCGGGAGGCGAATAGTCTGTTTGAGAACGCAACGGTGGCCATTGATCATAGCGAGGTATATTCCACTGTGAATGCACATGGTTCTTGTACCCGTTGCCAAGTTGGTGATCAAGGTATGATGCTGTCTGGCGATCTGTTGGAGAGGAGCGCTGGAGCAAAGACCTCTGCCTCTGCACATTGTTCCCGTTGAAGGCGGTCGACACACCAATGTGAGTTTGCTCCAGGGATTCCGCCAATGCTACATCGACCTTATTCGCCTTGAAGGCTTGCCAACGTTGATGCCACAACAGGAAGCCCTCCGGATCGTCGGGATTGATATGCATGTTCCATTTGATGTCCATAAGCCATTCCACCTCAAGGACATTAAGCTCGCAGACTGGTATGCTGCTCACTTCCGACCAGGACCGATTTTGGAAAGTATTGTCATCCAAAAATTTGGAACCAAGCACGAGAGCTGTGGTAAGCATACGGTATACTTGTCCACTGCCGTGATTGTATTTGCCACTATTCGACAGCAGAGTCATCCGCTCAGCAAGGTAGTGAAGTCCAAGTAGGATAGTCGAGCTCGGCAGCCGGGTCGACGAAAGAATCTGTGAGACGTATTTGCGAAAGTCTGAATGCACTGAAGATTCCGAGCGAAGCACACTTCGAGTCATGTCAATGTCTGCAAGGCAGATTCTAGAGGCGTAGATGTCATACATTCCTTGTGCCATCTTGGACACAAAGTCTACCATGTCTTCCATCTCGTAGTCCAAGTGAACCGCGACACCACCCACAGCCTTCTCTTCTTTAGGTTGAGGGACACTTGGAGCACTAGGAGCACGATTGGATCGTCCATGGTGCTGATAATCTTCCAGAGAGCGATCCGGGACTCTGATCGGCGGTAGCAGAGGGACGCTTGATGCAGCGTAAGAATTTGCGGCGCCTTGGAGATTAGCGTAGTTTGTAGGCCCATGACGACTGTTCTCTTGAAGGTAGGCGTGCCGTGAGATTGGCGCGAGGGTGTACTGCGAGTAGCGTGGCAGGACTTCCTGTCCTTCAAGTCCTCCCAACTCGTAGTTGGGAATCTGACCTAGCGTGTGGATTGCAGGAAGCTGCCCGGTAGCATGAGCACTGCTGGGGTATGCATCATAGTGGTCGGGAGGCGTTAGAGGCATCTGTCGTGGGAGTGTGCTCGAGTAAAAGGAAGGCATGATCTAGCAACGGTAGCCAAGAGAGGCCGGAAGGCTGACCCTTAAGACGAAGATATTGGGTACGGAGCGTCGATGACCTAGATACCCCTCGCATTCACCTATGCTAACCTGCCACTGCCACCAGCGCGAAGCACGGCTTGGCGAGGCTTAGGAGAGAGTCCGGTATTCAAACACCTGGATTTGATGTCATGGGGGATTTCAAGTTTGTATTGAAGTTGTACTCCGATGTGTAATCTAATTTGATGGTGGTAGTCGTGGTCGTGAATCGTTGTTTAGAAAGATATGTCGTCACGCTGAAAGTACAAGATCGCTAAAGTTGAAAAGCCTGAAGGAAAGGGAAGATGATGATTGGAGGATTCTCTGCAGTGTGTTGTTAATGCGGAAGCATGCAGTGTTGCAGATTCTTTGTCGGTTCCTTAGTGATCAGGATTGACTCAAGGAGCCACAAGTCTTAGTGAAAAGCTCGTTTAGCTTGAGATGAGTTGTCGAAGTCCTATCAAGCAGATGTAGAATGGTGCAGAAGGGGGGAAACCTGGTGAAGGTTCTAAGCGTGCAGAGCCATGGATCGTAGCCTGATGGACGGAAACCGTGTGATAGGAGCAAGCAACGGAGGTTCAGCTGCCAAATGTGCTCTTTGTGGTCTGATGCTGAGACCCAATGTCAACCGGCAATAGACGGATTGGATGTAATTGAAACGCTGGATGCCAATTTCTTTCACACTTCCGGAGAACTGTCCCAATTCACGTGTCAAGACTCCAAAGATATTGGCAAGTACAGACAGGATATTTTTAATGTCGCAGCGGAAGGGTGTTGTTTCTCTATGTCTGGCAGGATGTGATTCGGCAAGGAGGGAGGACTGGAGTGTTGTTTTGGGGGGGGAAATTAAGAGTAATCTCTTTAAAGACCGCCTTCCGCTCGGCGGGTGTTGGAATAGAGCGGGAGGCAGGAGAGCGTGTCGTGGTAGAAAGAGAAGGTGGAGGTGGAGGTAGAAGTGGAGGTGTTATGGCACGAGGAGAGGGATGAAGGAAGAAAAGAAAAGAAAAGGATTGGTGTGGTGTGGTGATGACGATGAGCGGTGATGGAGGAGGAGGAGGCAGCGATTTATTTCGCCAAGTCTCAAGGGGCGCCCGCCAAGCCAAAAAAAATTAATTAAAAAAATTAGAAAATAAAGTTCGTCCCGGTAAAACATGCCGCCCGAGGGCCGAACGCTAACTTCGTCCAACTGTCCCCTCGGTCGATTGAATATTAATTTGCAAACAACCACTGTCATCTCATAGACGCAACATCTGCAAGTCTAGACATGTAAATACTCTCAATATTACTAATAGCTTCTCTAACATTCTAAATTCTTGTTAGGCCGGCATCTCCCAGGATATCGAATGTATCTACCAACGATGCATCTACCAACGATGCAAGCTTCTATTCTCTCACACCTCTATCTTCACCGACTCCCTTAGTCCCTTCTACGTCCCCATCAGCTAGCCCTCGACAAATACCTACCGTTCCTTCTCCATCAGCGACAGTGCAGGAAGTACAATGTTTCTTTAGAGACTGTTTCCTTGCATTTCGTCCGTTATTAGATCAAGAAGAGGCGGAGATGGAAGCAAAGAAATTAATGATTGATGGTGTTGGCCTTTACACATTCTCTGCAGAGGTATTTCGCGATGAGTTCGGTCTTTCAGGACGCGACCAATCTATGATATTGTTGATATTTAATGGATACTATAGGTATGTTTTTAAGTTATATCTTATAAAAGACTTTATCTCTTATCAACTGATATAGACATATGGCGATGTGTTCGGTCATGAGGGCAATCTTGATATCTTAAATGGAGTTTGGCTTGTAGTTATATCTATAAAAACTTTATCTCTTATTAACTATATAGCATAGGCAAAGTCCTTTCCTTTTCTCAGATTTCTCCAAAAGGTCTTTGTTGCCGTGGCTGCAGGAAATGGCATCTATCAATTCTGGAAAGACCCCAAAGAAAAAAAAGCTCGCAGTCACATATATCTTTGCGGCCATCACCACCTTCGTTTCCTTCGTATACCAATTCATCTCTACTGGATGGGTTATCGAATCAAAAATTTGGCCAGAAAAATTCAAAGTGCGAAACCCAGCAGAAGCAGCAGCAGCAACTCCCCGGACACCATGGTGAAACAGAAGCATGGCAGCCTCAGAATGGCGTCAGGATTCGGCGTCAATATCGCCAAGACATAGATTAAGTAAATAAAAATAAAATCGAACTCAACACAGAAACATTTGCCGGATTACAAATGCGAGAATAATCAAATAACTTTCTCTTGAAGGGGCGGCTCCTTCAGCTAAGTAACTACTATCTATCAATCAGTCAGTCAATCAATCAATCAATCAGGCAGGCGTTGGTAAATCAACAATGGATCATGACTGTTCTTGCCAGCTATCTATCTGCTCAAATTAAGCCTATCGGAAAATCATTATTCGTGTTGAGTAAGGTAAGGTAGACCGCCTTGTCTGACTGCTTATAATATTACCGCTACGGTGGGAGTCACAACCAGTGACTTCGACTCCTTGGTCCTTTCTGGGACTTGCATCCGAGAAGAAGATCTCGACTACGAATACGAAAGCTTCACAGATTTGCACATAATGAGAAGAAATCCTCTGATTAGAGTACATTATGGTAGAATTGGATTCGTGGCTTTTCGGATAGGCTTCAGTCTCGAAGCTCCAGTGACATTGTGACTTCTTGCCAGTACCCTCAACGACTAGACAACTGGTCGGACCAGAGCCTGGCATGCGTGGTCTGTTCATGCGTTTCGTCAGTGAGTAAGAGAATGAAGCTGATTGGCACTGCATGTCTGACTTCGGCTGATACATAGAGTCAGACACGGGGAAGTGACGATTCGAGTATGGCTTTTCCCCGTAGTCCTAGTAGAGCTAAGGCTCCCGTTTCCATACAAGTGTCCTGCAGCTAAAGGAGAACCGCTGCGTTTCCGACATCAGATGAAGTCTTTCTCATAGTACATAGCCAGGTTTCTTCCTAGGCAGAAGTAGACCTACTCAAGTGTTGTAAGTGATTCGTAGTTGCGCTCGAGCTCCATCGTCCTTGTCCGTGCCCCAGCGTTCTTTCCATGCTTTCTCCACTGCCCTCGCCTCAACGAACGCTTGACGGCAACCTTCCGGTAACTCGGCAAGCAAATGCTCCGGCAGACGAGTCAGCTCCGTTTCTTCGTCAGGTCCTGGATATCCCAATACTGATGCAGGGGGAGTTTCGAAGTACGTGTCCGAGATCATGAAGTTCCGTGTGAACACTGGTGCGATATCTGGAAAAATTGTATTGGCCGCTGGTTCGCGGCCATCGGATAAGTGCCCGTTGATCTGATCAGCTGCAGTTGGCGAAGTTCTTGGCGTTGGCGATGTAGGTAAAACCTGCTCCCACCGAGCGTGTGTCGGCTGCATGATCTTGGGATATTGCATGACATTGGTGTGGACGTCGTATACGCCGTTCAAATTACGACGACGCTGGGCCGCGAGAGAAGAATTGAAGCGGCTGGCAAAGTCAGTCAGGGATTTGAACTTGAGAGCTTGTGCCTTTTACCTAGCTTCTCGGGCATGCTCGAACATCCAATTTGCTCCAGTGACAATGATCTTGCGCTTTTTGCCTTCAACGGCTTTGCCATTGACTATGGGCACGCTTGGTGCTCCTGTGTGGTAAACGGCGCTTGCCCCATGCCACGCAACAAACTTGTTCTTGTCATACTCCTCGCCACCACCCGGTAGATCGTCGTCGGGATTGGCTAGTTCACCCTCGACATCCCCGTTGGCACGTGCTGTAGCCGCCTGATAATCATCTGTGATTTTCTTGCCACCAATTATAATTCTTGCCCCAAATTCTCGAAAGACAGAGCGGGCAGTGACAACGCCAATCGCCCTTCCCTTGTATGAGTGAGGAATAAGGCCTCGCTCGATCAAATCTTTCTTGGCCTCTTCTGCAAGGATGATCTTGTACAGCTGTTTGTGTTTTTGAAAAAACAGGTAGCTGTCTCGAAATCCGATGCATCTTGCGGGCTCAGTAGATAGCATGTAAAGCCGGTCGCCCTTTCCTTCGATTGAAAATGTTCTGACGCGATATTCTCTGCCCCCCTTGAGGTGTCCGTTCACATCGACCTTCTCCTCGCCCTCAGAGTCCGGGGGCAGCTGTACTTCATCGTCCTTGACTGGGGCCATATTGCCTTCCTTGTCCAAAGGTACTTGCGTGACATGTGACGGGCCTCCTCTTGGCTTACCCCATCTACCGCCTCCAAAGCCACGTCCACGCCAACCTCCTCTCTTCCTCGGCGTTCCTGCTTCCGATCCGGTATCTCGTGACTCCAACTCATCCGCTGCACCTCGACGACTAGATCCTCGTCTGGCAGGTCTTCCGCGCTTTCGAGGTTTGAGTATTCGTCCAGGATTGGGCGTGGAGAGGCGAGAGCCCGCATCTGATTCGGCGGCTGGTGTAGCTTGGCCGTCTTCTTCCTCCACTTCTATTTCATTCTCCTCTTCATTCTCACTTCCATTTTCCTGAACACTTGCTGCGGCTGAAACTGGTCCATCTACCATTTCTTCGTCAGAGATATCAGGCGCTTGGGGTGTTGTTATTCCTGCCAACAATTTGTCAGCGATGTGTGAGTGGACCTCGTATATTACTTCGTATGCTTGACAGTATTTGTAGAGAAAAAAACTTCATCCTTACTTTTCGCTGCTCTTGCAGCTTGTGCCCGAGATGTGCGGACCATGACTGTCACTTTCCAAGCTTTCTTATCGCTCTCACACAAGTACGTCAAACGCTATGTGTAGGTTATGTTGTCTTGGCGAATTGTGTTTCCTTGCTGACTAATAGGTGGATTTAACCGGGGATCCTCCAGACACGCTAACGTACTGTCTCCCCCCTCCGTGAGGAGTCTGATAAATTGGATTTCCTGAAGCTCTTGTGAAATATTTATTAATTGGCTCATGCGAATATTCAGCTCAGCTCCTGCGAATTGTACACCGGTCCGAAGTACTTTACATACTGCCCAAACATGCCAAACGCCCCGCCCGTTGGTGTTGGACTCAGTGCCCCGCGTAGGCCCCAGAGAGCCTTTTGCGCCTCTTGCCGTGCTCATGAAAAAGCACGGGGAAATTGATGGCGAAATGATACTTTACTTTTACGTTAGGCTAATAAGTTGTTGGAACAGATGTTGTAAGGTAACTGTAACATATGGCACATGGAGATTTCAGGCGAGTTGTATGATAGTTATCTTATGTTTGTACCTATGTATCTACCTCTGAATTCTGCTCAAGATGGGCAAGGAAAGCTTTTAGCATCTCTGTAAGGAGGAGTACTCTACGACATGATGCCAATTGTAGACGTGCAATAACTTCGTCCTGCACTCCTGCCAGGCTTTGCTGGAATTCAATTTATTGGGCGGAGTATTCTAGCCAAGTTGGAACTTCTTAACTTCTTCCCATCGAATCGGGCGCTTGGAGGCGAAAGTTCGGAGAGATCCGAGCGAGAGAGAGAGAAAGAGAGATAGTCCAGTCCCGCCCGTCCTCATCCAAAACAACCCCTCCCGCCATACGGAACTTACTCGCACTCTTTCTGCAACGGCAATCCAAGCTCGCTGGCAGCGACCAAACTGGAGCAGATGGCTCATCAACTGAACACTGATTACTTGAGGCGAAAACTGCTGAATCCACAGAGGCGAGTCTCCTTCCCTGCTTCATCACCCTCGCTTTTCCCCCCATTTTCCTTTCGCCTTTGCCCCCGCAGATCCAGCATTTCTGCAGCTTTCATTCTCGTCAATCTCCAGCATTTGGCCCTGAGAATTGGCTTACTCTCTGCCATTGCTGTCGCAATTCATATTAACTGTATCAACCGATGGTCTTACCTTCTAAGTCCCACATGTCATACCTTATCACTCTCCATGACTTCGGGGGTTTATTAGCATCAGAGCTCCAGGAGCTAGTGCAGATCATCTGGCTCCCGAGCTTCCCTGCCAGGCCAGTGAGCCGGACGAAAATTGTTCCCAACACCACATATCATACATAATCCCTCGCCCCAGCCTTTTCTCGCCCGTCAACACGTCTCTCATCTTCGACCACGACTTTGCTTACTCTACTTTCCTGCATCTTCAACACAATCACCCCCAATGCACATTTCATATCTGCGAGCCTTTGCCACATCAATCTTCGCTCGCCCTCCTAAAGCCTTGTGCTTTCATCATTCATTTTCGTGGAATAGTAAACATCAGGACAGCTACTAACACTCACGTTGGATAGTCACTCGGACGATGAGACTCATAGTATAGGATCAGCACCGCCATCCGGCGTCGCCACACCTCACCCGGACCCAACTGACAAACGATTGCCCGGAATATTGCACAGCTATTTTGGACAGGTTCGTGAAAGGTCTTTCACAAGTCCCAGCAATCCATAATATCCCTTACTTGTCTACTTCGCGCATAAAATGGAAGTTTTCTCGTCCAAGCTCGGTCGAGGGCTTGCGGGTGGCGCTTTGCCCACAGCTCCTAGCTCACCTGGCGAGCAACATGGGACAGATCCGCAACAGCCCTTGCTCTTACCATCCCAGAAACAAAAGCAGGATCGAAGACGTAATTCCATGACCGCCCCTGCGTACCCAACGCCGCCAACTTCATCCTCTTCTTCATCTTCAACACGCAAAGTGAGCGAGGCTGGCAGTGATGGCAGCTCCCAAACACGTGATGCTGACACGTTCAATTCCTGTCATCCTCTTCTGCAACGGCAAGGATCTGGGAGCAATATTTTGCCAGTACGCACCCGCCGACAGACTGCCGGCTTGAACCCCCTCTCCAGCATTACGACGAGCTCTTCTGTTAATGCTGCACACATTTCGAACCCCACATCCTCTCGTTCATCATCGATACCAAGCACCCCAACCTCGGATACACCTGGCAAATCTGCACTTTCTTCTTTGACTTCACACCTGGAACTCACAAGGCTAACTGATCACGCGGCTTCGCCGCGTAAAAAGAATACCCCTCCACTGAGCCCACGAGCGCTGTCGAACGATGACTCAGAGTCAGTCAGACAAACCCCACCTACCACGGATCAGGGCAATGAAAAGTCCATCGTGAATGGAGCTACCGCAGCGCCGACACCTCGGTCATCGCCCCCTGTCGGTCCTCCGAAAGGAAAATTATCAGTAACAATAGCAGGCGCTCGGGGTTTAAGCCCCAGTTTCAATCCATATGCTGTTTGCGCCTTCGAAGAGATCGAGTCGATTGCCACCGGCTATAGGCATGGAGACGCGGAAACAAAACCCGGGGCAAGAAGCAGAGACCAGTCTGCTGGTGGTGTCCCAATTAAAGCACCCAATGGCGAAATGGGCAGGTCCATGGCGATCCCGATGAAGAGTCGGCAAAGTAGCACGACAAGTCTCAAAGACCAAAAGGAGTTCAAGAATGGTAGAATCACTGATCCCATATGGAATCATGAGGCGCTTTTGTAAGAATCTCTCATAGCCTCCATCCTTTGCTTTTTGCTGATAGATTTGGACAGTGATGTCCTTGGGAAACATTCTGAGGTGAGCATCAACGTTTACGACAGTGGGAATCACGAAGCGTTTCTGGGCCTCGTGAAGGTCAATCCGGACGTATTCCATGGGAATAAGAGAGTAGAGGGTTGGTACAGACTGGAAGCTCGGGACCCCGAAGAAGATCATGTCTCTGGCGAGGTCCACCTCGACTTTTCTTTTCAGAAAACGGACAAGACAAAGTTCGGACCCGAGGATTTCCAGATATTGAAACTGATAGGCAAAGGTTTGTTGGACGTATTACTCAGAAATATGCTGCTAATTTAGAATTGGCAGGTACCTTTGGCCAAGTTTTTCAGGTGGTGAAGAAGGATACTGGGCGTATCTATGCTATGAAGGTCCTTTCAAAGAAGGTTATCGTGCAGAAGAAAGAGGTGGCTCACACACTTGGGGAGCGCAACATCCTAGTCCGCACAGCAACAGCTAATTCCCAATTCATTGTCGGACTCAAATTCTCCTTCCAGACTCCTACCGACCTTTACCTTGTTACGGGTTTCATGTCCGGCGGTGAATTGTTCTATCATCTCCAAAAGGAGGGCAGATTTGACGAAGGCCGCGCAAAGTTCTACATTGCCGAGCTCATCCTGGCTCTTCAGCATCTACACCAATACGACATTGTATACCGCGATTTGAAACCGGAAAATATATTGCTTGATGCGAATGGACACATCTCACTTTGCGATTTCGGTCTGTCAAAGGCCAACCTTACCAAGGACCAGACCACCAATACCTTCTGTGGAACTACAGAATACCTGGCTCCAGAGGTATTGCTCGACGAAGCAGGATACACCACAATGGTGGATTTCTGGTCCCTTGGTGTGTTGGTATTCGAGATGGTCTGTGGATGGAGTCCATTCTATGCCGACGATACGCAGCAAATGTATAAGAACATTGCGTTTGGCAAGGTCCGCTTTCCCAAGGATGCTCTGAGCACAGAGGGAAGGAATTTTGTCAAGGGCCTGCTCAATCGAAACCCGAAACACCGACTAGGCGCAAAGAGAGACGCGGACGAGCTCAAGGAGCATATCTTCTTTGCAGATACTGACTGGAACGCAATGATGAACAAAATGGTCGTGCCGCCCTTCAAGCCCAAGCTTAAAAACATACGCGATGTGTCCAACTTCGACCCGGAATTTACCAATGCCCTACAGAACTCTTCTTCACTGAACGAGCGTGCAGCAGCGCTAGCTGCTGGTGCCATGCCGGCCTCGACTCCGCTCTCACCAGGCATGCAGGCGAACTTCAAGGGCTTCACTTTTGTCGATGAGAGTACCATGGACGAACAATTCAAAGGTCAAGATCTGGAGACGATGGATGAGGATATGGAGGATGATGATGGCTGGACACAGCTGCCCAGCACGAAAACTGATCGAGGGGACCGCATGAGTGGGATCATCAAGACCACGTCTAACGATGATGGAGTTTTCAACAATGGCCATTTCGACATGTAATGACTTGGACGACAATGAGCTCAAACGATGGACGGGTTGATGGGACCTGTCCTTGGCTCAAGGGCCCGTGCTTTTTACATGCCGATGCCTTCTTGCTGCGTGCCTCCTATTGCCTTACGACTGGGGGCAGGAGGGTTGTCTGCTATTTGAGCGAGCGCTTTTGCGGGGGTTTTCTTTTGCATGGCAGGCGTCAGAAGCAAGCATGAACGATGGGCACGAGATCGAGGAAGAGATCGCAGTGGAAAAAGCCAATGCATGCTGCGATCGCTGTACATATTGTGATTCTTGCTCTACCTCTGAAAAGACAAACTGAACTCTGCAAACCATATTCTGGCTTCGCCGTAAATCAATGTGCAAATCAGAGCCGGGAATCCTCCAGGATGCTCGAGTGTTCTTTCAGGGGCTAGGATGACGGCCCATGGTGTCGGGAAGGAAGAAAGGCGAGATTCGTAGTCGATCTCGATCTCGAGGCTTCCGACTGGATGGGGTCTTGAGAGAGCGCAACGTCACCCGATCCGTAGCCGTCGCCCCCGTCAGCGTCTTTCGGCTTCGAGCTCAAGAGCCAACGGGGAGAGGAAATAAGGGGCGGGCAGCTGGGTCGACTGAGGGGATCGGTCGGGTCGGGTCGCGGGTTCCCGTACGCGAGAGGGTCGCAGGACGAGGCGGAGGAGGCACAGGCTGGAGTCCCTGGGCCCCGATCAGGTAATGGTTAAGGATTGAAGGGGTCGAGACTCTCGGCTCGAGTTCGGTATATCAAAGGGGTATAGACTTTATTCCAAGCTGGCTCAATCTCGCAAGGTTACTAACGAAGTAGGCCATGATCCAAATGGCCCCTCTCCTTGACGACTCGTTCCCTAAAAGAAATCCAGCAAATCAACCCTCCGATACCTCGGCCTCTCAGTATGTCTGGATGATTTCGAAGTCAGCATGTCTCTTCTGGAATCAAGATATGAGTTGTGGGACAGGTCCTGGGAGTGCGTTGTCCTCACAGAGGTTTTGGAGCTCAAAAATTTGCACGAATCCGGCAGAAATGGCACGGAAATGATAACTTACTGCCACCACTTGTAACCCCCCGGGTTACTCGCATTCCACAACCCTCTGCACGAATCCTTGAACGCCATCTCATCCCTGCCACTAACCACATCCGGAAAATCAATCCACGCCTGATCACTCCCGGGTACATCGGGCTCGAGACTGTAATCGATCTTGGAGCCAATCTCGCCGATGAAGCCATTGAGATCGAAAATCTCATGCACGAAGTCTACGCAGGTTTCGGAGTCAGCATGGTTCCTCTCACGTGACAAACCGAGAAAAGAGGCACGTTTGAGGAGTAGAAAATGTCTTTCGCTGCCGAAACATAGCCTTTCACCTAAGTAAGAAGATAACTCTGAAGAAAATTGTAGCTTTCTGCTCTCGAAACAAGGATTGTGACCCTAATTTAAAACCGAACAGAAAGGATTTACTCCGAAAGGTACGTACCTTCTTCTTGCACGACGACTTTGAACTGCACGGTGTTCCATGCCTCCTCGAGTCTTAGCTGGGCGGCGCGGCGGGAGGTGAGAAGGCTGTCGGGCGCCATGGTGTGAGCGTTATTAATGCTGTTCCAGTCACTCGGCAGTTCGATCTGGGCTCTGGGTTTGCAGAGAGCCTGGAGCAGTCCGAGGTGATCTGAGGGAGCTCTTATTGTACGGAGCCGCGGGAAGCCTTTTGCCCTAATGGAATCTGCTAGGTTTACGTTCGCAGAACCGGGAACGATGATTTCCCAGTGGAGGAACTCGAGCAGGTGAGATGCGATGATGGGCAGGATGGCTATTTCTCCTTCAGCAACTTCGGGTGAAGTGTCTTGTACCAAAGTGAACCGTCTGAGGTTCTTCAGGTGGAGGAGCAGATTCGAGATGGCCGATATGTACATGACGTCTAGGTTGATTAATGAGAGATTGCGAAGAGAAAAGGCGTTTGTAATACGCGAAAACTCTGAGAGGCCCCAGAAAGTGACCCCTTCGAGATCCTGGAGACGCAGAGAATGAAGCGCTGGCAGATACTGCAGGGTATAGTCGTCAAAATCGTCCATATCGAAACTCGAGATGCACAGGTGTTTCAGGGCTGGTAATCGATGCAAAATCCCTGGTCCTTGAACTCTGCGTGGATCTCCATGGTTCTTGATACTCACAAAGATGTCCTTTTCTAAGATTCCAAGGCCAGGGGAGTGAAGGAACAACGTTGTTAGCGAAGTCCAAGCATGATGGAAAGAGACGAATGATTCCTTCTGCTCTGGATCCATTAGACCAGGAGCCAGTTGCTTCTGACTCCGCTGGGTTATGGCGGCGTTTTCTCCAATCAACCACATCTGCTCTTTCAATTTCTTTCGAGTTGACAAGGCATGGGTTAATCGATCGAATTCATGACCATAGACGGGATAAAAACCGACTAGCCTCTCAAGGTTGGGACAGGCCATGACTAATGATGCCACTATATTGATCATGTCTTTCCTCAAGGGGTCACCCTCGGCTTGAAGGCAAGGGACCTTGAGCTCGAGGACGTGCTGCGCAAGGAAGCTTCGTTCCCGCAGTGTCCGCCTTAACAGTTTTAACCGTACTCCAGTCTTCATTTTGTATTTCTTCATCTGTTCCTTCGAGTCGGGTCCCACAAGATGTATCCGATCATACCTACGAACGTATTAGCCGCATGCTCCTCCATTTTGCAACGGCGGGCCGCATTTGCTCACATCCGCTTGACAACAGCTTTGTCCCATGCTCTGCTGGTCAAAGCAAGAGAGCAGAGATCTCGAAGATGACAAGTTTGGCAGCTTTGCGACGCTGGATCTTCGTGGAGTACTCTCAGCTGTTGTAATATGCAGTCGTAAATCTCCAACGGCAGACCTTGGAAGACTGGTCGGCGAAGTGTTTTAGGACGTAACTGTAATTGGCTTGAGTGGGGCGATCGTCTAGAGACGAGTGACACTGGAGTGCTTGGGGCGGTTGAGTATGTATAGGTGGTAGCGGAAGATCCAGTGCTTTTCATACTTGTGAATGAGGAGATTGACATTCTCGGAGATTGGAAGAGGTTCATGTCTGCACCTTTGGCATCTGATGAGAAGGAGGTCCTTGGCGGCGGGATCGGTAGGCTTTGAGCTCTCAATGCTCCGAGGGGCCGGCGGGACCTGAGTTGTACAAATGTCAGCTTGTGAGAAAGGGTCAATTGAGGCTCCGGATTGCCAACCTAGACGCCAGAGCATCGTCAGGCGCAAGACGATCTTTGTGTTCTAAATAGATATCCATTGCCATTGAGCGACTCGACATACATCGAGGAGGTTCTTGAGAAGGGTAGAAAAGATAGGAGCTACAGCAGGATATGGGAGGGATGTTGGGATGCTATATTTTTACATAGCAATACTAGATGCAAGACCAGGAAGAGTAACGACAGGTATGAATGATAAGGGATGAAGAATACTTTAAGTTAAGAGGACTTTGGAAATTGAGGTGGGATGAAGAATGAGGGATATTTGACGCCACAGTTGAACCAGTTGGACCGTTCACCAGCCACAATAACTTTACTGTATTCCAATTTCCATGGAATTTCCCGGAATTTCCATGGGAGATCTACAGTGGGAGAGTGGGAGAGTGGTACGTATACCCTGCACCATCCTACTTTAAACATCCTTGGATATTCTTGCCGCAACGGTCGCAGACTAGGTGCTTAGCTTCCCGGCACGTCGGTGAACACAGAATATGTACGATCTGTTTCTACACATACCTACTATGGCAATTGTTGATTCCACTGTCGTTATGAGATGCTTTAGTTGCCTGCACCTGTTGTTGCTGTTGCTCCTCCCCTCCTCCTCCTCCTCCTCCTCCTTAATGTTGTGGATGTACCCTCTCTTGAGTGTGTCTGTGGACCTGATAGCGGTGATGACTCCGTACGGATACTTCTTGCGATTTTCCACAATATTGTTTCATCTTCACTGACGTGAGCTCTTCTTCTAGCCCTTCTCTTCCTCCACATTGCGATCCTGCTCCTCATTGACCCCGTTGAGATGTAGATGATTCAAACCATAGCCCTTGCCCTGAGACTTGCCACCGGGCGTTATCCTGCTGAGTTGCCCATGGTCTCGACAAGTGCTACTTCGCAGACGGTTTCAACGTAGGCTTCGAACCGTCGTAGGTGTAGCTGTCGTTTACCTTGACCCGATAATTTATACGACCCAGGGTTTTGCATCAACTGGGAAGTGTGAGCAGAGCCACATGCAGTCGTGTTCTGTGCATGGCGAGAGGGCTGTTATTAGCCAAACCACCACCAAGCTCAATACTCTCCAGATTAGCAAAATATTCCTATGGCTTACTACCCTTGGCAATCTGCTTGTTCTTGGATTTGGTCTTCTGTCTGAGAGGAACTACTGCAGGGCTGCTCTTCGCGCCAGCTCCAAGCTTCTCGGTCTTCAGAGTCCCTCCCACCGTTGAAAAGCGGCTTGTGGTCTATCTAGGCCTTGCCCTATGACTTTTCCATCATGCACCATGATGCAAACTCGACAGTGAGACCTGCTCAAGGCAGAGATACAGGTATCAGTCAGTGCGAGGAGACATCCTTCCCTTTCAGTATGTGTAGTTGAACGTGACGGACAAATTTGATGTAGTGTAAGATTGAGAACTTGGTCAGTAGTGAGTCAAACGGCGACTGAGATAACTGTTTTTGTTATTTCCCTGATGTCCTTTTTATACGAGTAATTGAAGGAATCCAGGTGTGACACTATCGCGAGAATTTAAACCCTGAGTTGCCAAGAGCCCGCCGCGACCTTTCCGGGTCTTCAATAGCTCTCCTTGTCGTCAAAGACCAAGACATTCTCTACCTCCTCTCTTCTCAAGCTGGCCTTCCCTTTTAATGCGGGGTGCTCAATTATATCAGCTGCAATATCTTGTTGACTTTTCATCTACTATCAGAGTTCCCCCATCTCCTTCACAATTATGCCTACCGCAACCGAAGGCTCTCAATCCCTCCAAATTCCTGCTCTTCCCAGCGAGATCCTCATGGTCGCGGAGACACAATGGCTTTTCACCGAAGCGGAACTCCTACAAACGCCTTCAATCCTCGACGGACTGGCCCCAGAAAAAGAACGCGAGAACCGAAGCAAGGGCGTGAACTTCATCCTCCAAGTCGGCATAATGCTCAAGCTACCTCAAATCACTCTCGCCACAGCCTCCGTCTTTCTCCACCGTTTCTACATGCGGCATTCAATGCAGATTTATCACTACTACTCCATGGCCGCAACGTGTCTCTTCCTGGCCTACAAGGTCGAAGAGTGTGTCCGAAAGATGAAAGAACTGGTAGTAGCGTGTGTAAGAGTAGCGCAGAAGGATCCTCACAAGAATGTGGACGAACAAGACAAAGAGTATTGGCGGTGGAGGGACAACATATTACAATATGAGGATCTGTTGCTGGAGGCCATCTGCTTTGATCTAAGCCTGGAGCCGCCATACAAGACGCTTTTCGATCTTCTCATGCAGTTCGAGCAAGGAGATAACAAGAAGTTGAGGAACGCCGCCTGGGCTTTTGTGAATGACAGTTGCCTGACCACACTGTGTCTGCTCTTCCCAAGCAGAACGATCGCCGCCAGCGCCCTTTACGCGGCTGCGAAACACTGTGATGTCGCTTTCCCGGATGATGCGAGGGGAAGACCTTGGTGGGAAGTCATTGATGTTGACGTAGGTAGCATCCGCAGAGCGTGCAATTACATGGCTAGTATTTACGAAAGCGGTCCAGCGAAAGCGGGCAAAGAGAGTGGGATGTATGAGCGGACTCCGGGAAATGGGGACGAGCGAGAAGACAAGACAAGATCCGCAGGGGTCAAGATCGAGGATGGTCGAAGCTCTGGGGGTAGTAACGACGGCCTCGCTTCACCTGTGGTCGTTTCTCCTGGGGGCAGCCAAGCGGGAGCCAAAAGAGGACGCCAAGAAGAAGGAGAGGCGGAAACAGAGCAAGCACCGTCCGTAAACGGTGCCGGTCATGAAGCGAACGGGCACGCCATAAACCAAGACGGTTCCAGGAAGAGGCAGAAAGTCAAGGAGGAACCCTCTCGGAACGGCTTTGCTCCACAACCGGAGCAAGGACCTATTCCACATCGTCCCACTACTGCTCCAAATTCCGAGCAGCCAACCGACGCCGCTCAACCGGATGGTGCAGCTGTTGCACTGGCGCGGGATACGAAGGTTGGAGTCGGCTTGGAGAGCCCCAATCTGGAGGAAGATGGCAGTGAGGAAGGTGAAGTGGAAGCATAATCTACACCATGGTAGGGGGAATGACGAGCAGAAGTGGGGCACAGCGCAACGGGTTCGATGCGGTACTCAAGATACCCAATGTATGGGCAATTTGGAATACCCTCGAAACCCTAGAGTACTTGATAATTCAGCCAATAGTGCAGACTGTTTCAACAGCAGTGGAGCCCTTGCGAACCTTCCCCGTGCATCGTGGTGCGTACTCCCAACACTTAGGTCTGCTAGTATGGAATATGGCAGTCGTCATGTGCAGACTGCCTACCTTGCCGCTGTCATCCCTTACAAACAATGGTTCAGGCACACGAATATTCAGGCACAGGTTTGCACAGTAGCTTTTTACTTTCATTTCTCCTCTAGCCTATTTTATAGTACTGGAGTACACGCACCACCATGGTGGTGCTGGGTAGCGAGCTTCCCCAGACCTTGACCACCCCTGAGCATTAAATTATTCCACAGGTCATCGAGTCATTCGTAAGCATGTAGAGCTGGCAGCATGAAATGTAATGACATTCGCCCTTGCCCAACACTTTCATCGAGTGAACCGCCCTGTGGTGTCGTTCTGAAAATCCAGATGTGATAGCATTAGTGACCATGCAAGCCACCTCGAGGACTTTGTTTGAATGTGTGTGAGCAAAGGAATTGGATCTCTCAATGTTGAGCAATCCTTTGACTGCACCCCTTTCGGATATCACTCTGAGGAAAGATCCATGATAAAATGACTGACAACGCAAGCTGATCCGATAGAATGGTGTGTGAAGAGAGAGAGGTGTGTGTTTTGTCACGCCGCCGGCCAAGGTGCTCAAGCCTTGCGCGACTAAGCAGCAGGCAACGCAGTGATATCACCCTTGCCCTCACCGAGCCATTCGGAGTCGATCAGCTGCTCACGCATGGGATACATGAGCTTGTAGGCGGTACGAATAGTTCCGTCGCTGACACCTGCTACTCCGGATATCTCCTTGGGAGACTTTGGCTGACCCATAAGATGCGAGGCGGTGTAGATGCACGCTGCTGCAATGGACAGCGGAGAGCGACCGGCGAGCGAGCCGACTTTATCAGCCCTCTCGGCAATATTTTGAGAGATAGTAGTGATCCGGAAGTTGAGACCGAGCTGGTTGCAGAAGCGGTTGCAGAGCGCTTTAGGATCAACCGATTGTTTAGCAACGTAATCGTCCTCGGTGTTGACGAGTTCTTATACATCCATGTTAGCAAGACATAATGAATTAGCTTACCTACCGAAAAAGACTTACCGCCAGCCTGCTCGGCCATGATCTTTTTCTTTCTGTTCTCGGAATCGAAGAACTTCTCAAGAGCCTTAAAGATCCTTCCAATTTCCGCCTTGGAGACTTTGGTCAACGCAAATATTTCTCGAAAGGTTCGAGGCACACCCAGCTGGCGGCAGGCAATGAAGATGCAGCCAGCAATAATTGTATCCTGGGATTTGCCTTTGAAAGCTTTGGCATCGTCGACCTTCTTGAACAGATGCTTCGCATAATTTGCGACATTCGAAGGAATATTGATGGAGTCACAGAAGGCTCCAAGCTCCTTGTAAGCGGCCAAGAGAGTCTTGGTAGACTTGTCGTGAGTAGCCTTGTTCTGAGCTCGATGTAAATCACGGCTTCGACCATTAGCACCATCGTTGAAGGCGATAGAGGTCTGCAGCTGAGAACCGTTCAAGAGCGGGTTTGCGCCGTCTCCAACACGAGAAGGATCATCGTTTCCTTGATCGTCATTCGAGAAGGTTCGCCACTCCGAGCGAGTATCGACAATTCTGTCACCAAGGACTAAACCACACGAGCCGCAGACCATATCACCACAAGAGAACTCTTCTTTTAGGTTCGGAGGGAACTCTTTGCACTCGGGACAGATCATCGTATTGTTGAGATTCTCCTTCCATGTCTCTTGAGACCCGTTGGCCATTTTGGATGCGAGCACCTTGGAAGTGAGCGCCGGCTTGTTGAACCGCTGCTTCGTCCTCTTCTTGATCCCTTTGGATGTTGCAGCGAGGTTGTGTCTAGGAGCGCAACAACGGATGAAGAGTGGAGAATACAGTTTGGCGACTTTGAAATAGGGCGGCGAGAGTGAGTGTTGTGAGAAGAAGTGTTGATGGCTAAGGGAGCAACTGTTCCACTGGCTGCTTTCCGACTGCCAACCAAGGCGTCCGTGAGGTTCAGAGGTTCGGAATCTCACAGATAGTCAAGAAAGCGAAGACATACAACGGTACGACCACAAAGCTGACCGGCAACCCTGAATGATCGTGTTGTTGAAGGTCGACCAGACGATGGCAGTGATGTGAAGGATGGAAGAAGGTTGAAGGAGGAAGCGGTGTTCAAGTAGCGAGAAATGATGACTCAACCCTTGTCGTTCAGCCTCACTTTTTAGCGTCCACTTAAAAGGGCCGCGCTAAACTGCAAAGCTAGAAGGAATGAGCGCTTTCCAACCAGAGCTCAAAACATTTGACTATTCGAGATCCGCCAGACCTACATATCAAAGATGTTGCAGTCTCTCAAGGCTTCGGTGAGTTCAATTGGTTCACAGTATATTTCCACTGCCTCTGCTGATTCATTGAAGCGCCTTCCACTGGCCCGTGCTGCCCGGCGTCAAGCTGTCCTCCAGCGCCGAACATTCCTTGCTCCTACAGCAGCGCTACGAGGTTCGTAAATACCGTCATACTTTCCGACGGATGTCTGGCTTACTGTGTCTTGTGAAGCCGACCTCGTTCAAGATCTCTACCTCAGAGAATTGAAGGGCTACAAGCCGCCTCCAGTGAAATCGTCAGACTCGGAAGGACATGTACAAAAGTTCTCGCCACCGAAAGCTCCTCAATCGCCTGAAGAAAGCGACATTGCGAATGATCTGAAGGCGTATGAGAACCAGCAGGTCGAAGTCGAGGGACAAGCAGCCGGAGGAGAAGCTTCTGCTACAGAGGAGGATTGGTTCGAGGAGGAAGAGGAGGAAGAAGCGCCTGCCGCTCATTAAGTGTATACTATTCAAGGCTCGGGCGTGCATGATTTGAAAGGCTTTCTTATACGGTTTCACTCAGCTGGGCTAAGCTCTGGCTACGTAGAGCAATACCATGAGTCGGCTGGGCCTCTGGTGCTGTTGACTCGATTTCGACATATTAGGAGTTGTGCAATTCATCAGCGCCATCTCATCTCTTCATTTGTGGGGTGAGCAGAGTCGACCTTCTGCTGTAACTATGCCCTTTGTCCCGCATCTTATGGAAGGCGTCTCTCTAGTCAAATCTCATCACCATTACTGCTCCTCTCAAACAGCTAGCGCGCATTTCATCGATAAATTTCGAAAACGCTTCCAGGACTGCAGACTAGATCATGTATGGTATACCAGTGTCACAGTTTCAGGGCTCCACGGTGGGCATCTGCATTGAATATGCATTCTGGCTTAGCGAGCCGGATAAAGTGGAGCTTCCTGTCAAAGACATCAGACTTTCCTCGAACAAAACAGAAGCATGTACAAAATTTGATTTGAACCCTCTTCCTTTCCCTCATAATGTCCGTAAACACAATTAGGATTGTATCTATGAGTACTCATACCTATGATTGTTTTTGCGACTTTCTCTGGGTCTCAGGTTGGGGAAACCCCCCGCACTCGGCTTTGCATCCGTGAGATATTACGTCAAGTTACGGTCTGAGCTGCCCGTGTCTGTGCCACTGCCGCATCTTAATGTACTTTTCTGCGTTTGCTGCATTGCCTGTGCTTCTTCATCCATTCTGTCTATGGTAAACTCGTCAAGATGTCAACACCAATGGAAATAGAAAACCATGACTGGCTCCCCACTGCAGGCGGGGAAGAGGGTAAATCCAAGGAGAACCCTTCCAATCTTGCTCCACCGCAAGAGGGATCTCGCCGTCGAGCCGACACTATGTCTTCTGTTAGATCTTATATGGGCCTTAAACCGGAAGCACCAATCGATGAGGAGCATGAGCATCTTGAGCATCACGAGTTGTTGTGGAGTCGGATCCGACTAGCCCTTAGAGAACCCTTTGCCGAGTTCTTTGGGACATTCATCATGGTGCTCTTTGGGGATGGCTCCGTGGCTCAAGTGCTGTTGAGCGCCAGTAATACTACCAGTACCATAGCACCAGGGGGAAATGGCTATGGGAGTTATCAGTCAATATCTTGGGGGTGAGAGTCGAATTTCATGTCTTTCGTGTTGTACAGAGATAGCTGCTAACCCACAAATTCAGATGGGGCATAGGGGTAATGCTAGGCATTTATGTTGCAGGTAAAGATCCTATTTGAGACGGGCGAGATCTCTTTTGATGAGCCTGCAGGTGATTCCGGAGGTTTCTTGAATCCTGCAATCACTTTTTGCTTTTGTCTTTACCGCGGCCTACCCTGGCGCCGGTTCCCTATTTATTTCCTTGCTCAGTTCCTAGGCGGATTCGTTGGTGCAGGGGTCATCTACGCAAACTATATTAACGCTATCAACAACTACGAAGGCCATAACATTAGGACCGTTCCACCCTCCAAGACTGCCACTGGTGAGACAACCCCACGATTGTCCAAACACTGCCGAAATATGGCTTGGCTGATATCCCATGAAGGCGGGGTGTTCTGTACATACCCTCAGGCTTTCCTAACGAAGACAAGCCAATTTTTCTCGGAATTTATTACGGCTACCATTCTTATGTTTGTCATCTTTGCCCTCAAGGATGAATCCAACCGCGGAGCGATGGGCAAGACCGGAGCTGGTCCATTCTTTCCCCTTGCCTTATTTTTCTTGATCTTTGGTCTGGGTGCATGTTTTGGCTTCGAGACCGGCTATGCCATCAATCTAGCACGTGATTTTGGCCCCCGATTGATGTCTTATGCCGTTGGTTATGGTCACGAGGTTTGGTCCGCGGGAGGATATTACTTCTGGAGTAAGTGTATTTCGGAAAGTTTCTCCCTAAAGGGTATCGAGACTTGGGTTGCAGGACACATTCTGGTGGGGGATAGAGCTGTTCCCACTCCTTAAACCCGAACATCTTTTGATTTTAAGCATGGTTGCAGAAGAAATGCTGACTGCAATACTGTGGCAGTTCCCGTACGTACACTTCGTAGAAGACCTTCCTCTTTGGTACTGAAATTGAGTCGCAAGACATGTTTAGGGAGCCAATGGACGTGCTCTGCTCCCGAGACCTGTCTTGCAACTCAATTATCTGCCTTGAAGTAGCAATGCTGATCCCGAAACGTGCGTAGATGGTCGCCTCGTTCCTCGGTTGCACGTTCGGTGGATTCCTCTACGATTTGTTCATTTACACGGGACCGGAAAGCCCCATCAATACCCCGTGGATGGGGCTCAAGCGGTTGACTCAGCCACATAATTTGATAAGACAGAAAAAAAAGTCCGCCGTATAATCATCAGATGTACACTTTGTGACCACGCCGGCTGGATAGCGTGCCGGAAAGCGTTCCCTGTCCAGCAGCAGCAACTATACCCCTGCATTCCAGATTTGGGGTAGCCTATCCGACCGAGGTGATAAGAACTTGTACACTGGGAATATTGTCTGAGCCGAGCACTGCGTTGGAGGGAACTTGGAAAACTGTACACGGGTCTGATTGTAGAGTAAGGAATTATGTGTGTGTGTGTGTGTGGTGGGGGGAAACTCTGGGTTTTATTTTCTACCGCAGGTTTGTCGTCAGCGGCTGTATATAAATAGTGTGATCCAGAGATCTGGGCCGCAGTGGTGGCAGTGGTGGAGAAGCGACAAGACCGACGGAGACCGACAGAGAAGGGTAGGGTAGGGTAAGGTAGGGTAGGGTAGGTAGTTCATAAATAATGATAGAGTACTTTAGAGTATTATTGGGAGAGAAGTGTAAATAGAGTCATAAGACCGAGCATAGGTAGAAAAGTGCAAGCGAACCCCACGACCGCTGCAGGAGATGCATAATTATCAAGGAAGGAGATAGACGTTGGATTGGTCCGGGAGGCCAAAGGATGTCTCAATTGGCAGTTGCAAGCAATTATTTACCTATTTATTATTGGGGACACCAATTGAAATCCAAGGCACTACTTTAGTCAAAAGCTTAATTGGAAGCCATGGTCCCATGGAGCCAAGAAGATGGCCTTTGCCGAACAACCTTATATCCGCCAATTCTCCAATCGAGCCAATTTATTAGTGAAGGGACAAATTGTCTATCAAAACAAAATCTTGCTGTGCCCGCAAATACAAAATCATTAAAAATCAATAAAAATGATGATAATAATAACAAGAACAATAGTTGCAGAAAGTGAGTCGTCAACATCCATCATTTCATCGTGTCATTATTCTTGCCAAACATGGAAACAGCTGACGTACCATCCAGACCTGCTCAAACAGGGGCAAAGCAGCCCTACCTGAACATATTTCCCTCTTTCTCTTTCATCCACACCATCCAAACTTTTCTTGCCTTTGCTTCATTCATGTACAAGATACAGCACCCTGCCTCGTGTGGAAACTTGCGGGCCCGCGAGGCACAGACCTATGAAGAATATCGAAATAAACAACTTTCACCATCCTGACCATCGCGTTGGATTACGGCAGCAATCCTAGAACTGGATAGGATGTCCAATGGCTCTACCCTTCCTGGCACCCTCTCGACACCCGCCCAAGCGTATCCTTCGCTTCAAGTCTCCGGCCAAGATGACACCACTGCCACAATTCCTCGGTCTGCCAGCTATACCCAGCTTCCTGCAGATGCCAAGGTAGACGCGACACCCGAGAGAGAGTCCAGTCTTTCACGAAGTTTCTCCGAGAACGTCTTGGTGAACATACAAGGGAATGTATCAAGTCAAAGCTCTGCAAAGAAGAGGTCAGAAGACGCTTCCAAGGCACGGAGGGGATCCTTGAGACGGCTAGGCTCAAGCAAACGGCAGAAGGATTCCGACACGCAATTTACTATATCTAAGTTCACCATTGGGCCTGACCCGTCTTCGGAAGACCTTGCAGAGGTATCGAAGGTTCGCAAGGACGGCACCACTCAAGGCACCGAGCGTAAGGCGCCTTCGGTCGCGGGATCGATCTCAAGCCTCGCTCGAAAGTCATGGATCAGTAAATCACGATCGCCTTCGCCCTCTCCAACCAAATCACGGCTCCGCAAGGAAACGGGGCCTGCAGCCGAATCAACACATCAAATCAATGGCTCGAGTCCTGCGGTTGATGTGAAGACATCTTCCTTGTCTGCTGCCGAAGTAAAGGATGACGCTCCAAACCTCCCTTCAAACATTCATGCTAAGGCAAGTCTGTCGCGGCGTAACAGCGTGCTCACGAGGTCAAGAAGACCGCTTAGCTCACTCTTGAGCAAAGCTTCCCCTTCCGAAATTCCTTCGGTCCCTCCCATTCCCAAGTCGTATTCGACGGACAGACTGCCATTATCCAGCAAACAGTCGACGTCGAGCAAAACTCCTACTGTCCCGAGTTCATGGTCTTCCGAACGATTGCAGGGGTTGCCAGCAGAAACGCCGCGAAGGAAGGATGAGCTCTGGAGTGTGTTTCGAACTCTTGACGGAGAATACCAAAAGTGTGTTTATTGAGAATACTGAGTATCCAGGGTGATCTACTGACTTCGTGCCTAGATTTCAGTCTCGACCGAGTACTATGAAGACCGGTATTGTTCGGTCGGTCCTTCTGCCGTTCTTGAGGAATCATGCCGAACACCCTTCAAGTTCATCATTGAGGCCAGAAGATCTTGACCGTCGTACTTTCATCCTCAACAAATGGTGGACAGGCTTGTTGGAGATGCTGAATGGCAGACATGGCGAGTCAGTCTCTGGCAACGATAGACCTGCGATTTTGGAGGCTGTCACAGCACTTATGGCCAGACCAGAGTGGACTCTCCCACTTTCTTCTATCGCCACCAGACCAACCAGGACGACTCGTACTTCATTGAAGTCTCAGTCTACAACTTCTTTGGGGTCAAACATATCGGACTTTTTGGCTGACTCTGTGCACCACAACGTGAGGAATACGTTTACACAGAACCTGCTGGCTCAGATGGCATATGTAGTTGATAAGATGTCCACTCGCAATGTAGCCGCGAGTGTTGTGACCTTCTGTGGCAAGGCTACAGCTTACGCTTTTTTCTACTGTGAAGGTATCGCCGAGATATTGGTGAGACTGTGGGCAATACCTTCAGAAACACTGCGACGCGTGCTAGCCGAGGGTAGCACACAAAAGCAGCCCGAAATAGATTCTGTATCCCACAGAGTCTGTACTGCGTATCCACAATGTCTGCATTCACTAAAATTGAAGGCTCTCCGACCCATGATGAAGTATCTGCGCAGCAAGCCCCAGTCTCCATTGCCGATTGCTACTACTCTCATTCCGTGGCACGGTCCATGGGTCAGTAGATGGGCTGGCAAAGATACCGACCTTTTCTTCGTATTCACCAAATTTTATACAGATCTAGCCTGTCGTTTCCTCCCAGACCACCCGTCTCCAGAGGAAAGAATGGCTGCGCCTGCGTGGGTTTTGGTCCAGGCACAGATCCTTACAATCTTGGATGCTACTATGCAACAAATGAATAGTCAAACCTCTATCAGCCAAGTTGGTCCGTCCGTTACCTTCGACGATTTGCTCGGAGAGGCAGACGCCAACGCCACGATGCTGCCGGTTCCCACTCATGGCGTTGTTCGAACAATGGGTGAAAATCGCTTGATCATGCTTCTGAGGGAATGTTTATCAAGCTCAACCATCATAGCAGCCAAGTCTCGTTCCATCTTTGCACAGGCTTTCAGCAGCCTACTCGAAGTCGCCGCTCGACGGACTTCTATGTACGATCACAACGCGTGCTTTACCCTTTGCGATTTTCTTGAGGAAGCCATACTCATTTTGCTACGATACCAGCAAGAGACCGATGCTGCAATTGCCGTTGTTAACTGGTCTTTCTGGCTCGACGTATGCAGGCACATGCTGCAAAGCCAGAACAGCATGACTGAAGTCCGACTTTGTGCTTTTCTCTACAGTATGTGGTCAGCAATCACGAGTGACGAGGCTAGGAGGCGCGAGGTATGTCTCGATTGGCTCTTAGCCGAGGACACCTTTCATGCAAATTTCAACCATTGGTGTCCAATGGTCAGAGCTTTTTACATGCGGCTCATTGTTTGGAAGATCGCAAGGCTGAATGGCAGCGGGTCTGATGTCAATATGTGAGTAATGGTCAAGCGGCTGCCTTTTCTCCCGAACTAAACATATTGCAGAGCCATACTGGGGGCCTTGGACCACCGCCTGCGTCAAGTCTATCGCATCTTTCTCTACATCCAAGAGAACGCCCAAAGAAAACATCTCGCAGCTCCTTCCACGGCACCATGCAGCCCAGCTCCAGGCCGATGCCTAGAGATCGTAAGAAACGACTCACAAATGGCTCCGGGTGGCTCGTTCCTCACATTCGATGCCATCTTATCATCTGCTTCGACTACAAAGACTAGTCCTTACCAGAGCCACAACGCACAAGAACTAGCTTCCCCCAGCAATGCAAGTCAGCCCCCCAAGGGCATTGAGGATACGAACAAGTCCCAAGACGGCGGTAAGAAACGATGGAACCTATTCAAGAGCATCATCCCTTCCAGCTCGCCCAAGGACCGTCCGAAAACAAGCTCAGCGAAAAGCACGCTAGCTGCGTCACAAAGCTCGCCACCACCTCGTCACGGATCCGCCGAAGGTTCGGCATCAAAGACTGCGATGAATGGAACTGCAGGACCGGCACCCTCTTACCGAACACTGTCCTTCAAGATCTCCCTCGAATGGATAGATCAAGACATCAACAATCCTGCGGGTAGAGATCGACGGCTCTATCCGCCCAAGCTTCCCCTCCCAGCTCAACTCTCCCTACAGACTCGTCAATCCGAGGACACCCGGGACAACAGCCCCCTCGAGCCTTTGGGGGTGACGGCCGGACCGAGCAAGTATGCCGGGAGAGCACTTGCCGAGTGGGCTATCCTGATCACCGAATGCCAAAACTTCTTTGAGAGGCGCAAGGCTGAGGGGGGTCCCTTCGTACCAGCTGGTAGAGACGCCGACGCTCGGTGTTGATCCTTTCCGCAAGGTCCATGTGTGAGGAGGTGCGAGACTTGGGAACGTGAGGGAGTGCATCATTACTGTCGAATTGGCTTGTACAAGTGCTTTTTTAGGAAACCCGAGCACGGCTTTTTTGATTCGGGCCAGTGACCCTTTGGGTTTCTCGGTTTACGCACAGCATTCTGATCGCATTGGGCCTTTTGGATATGTCACGCAGGAAATGACAGTGCGGCTGATGCATGCATGCGACGAGCAGCGTTTTCATTCTTTGGGATACCCATTGCATTATTGTTTTGCATAGACGATCACTCATTTCGGGGTTGGGGATAGCGCCGCTGGACGGCATTACTTGTGACGCACTCGTCTACGCAAAAGCCATGCCCGTGATCGAACAGCCGTTTCCCAATGATATCAACTGCCCAAGCGCCCGCTTCAAGGCAGCTAGCTGTAAGAGTACATGCCCATGTCCACCCGTATGCCAGTACAAGTCCATTCCGCTTCACGGTTCGCCAGCTTTTGACCCATGCCGACGGGTCGAACATCGACCCTTTTGCACAGAGCCCAATGATGACAAGCCGGCCGATGGATTACGTGCCAACGCCTGAGCGAGCACCGAAAGGAAAGAAACCCTGGAGGAAACGCGCCGCGAAGAGGTATCGATATCCTGAGCCAACATGCCACATGCACATATGCTATGACACCCGCAATGCAAAATACCCTTTTCCCCAAGCCGTGTACGTGGATGCTGCAAGAAAAGTGTACCGATCAAGGTGATCGGGAACCAACGCTGGCTCGCTCGCTCCCTCAGCCCCAAACAGAGGCCTGAAGGGACTTGTTATTGGTATTGCCCCAAACGCCGCTGCCAGTGCCCCACGCCATGCCAGCGTCCTTGTTGCCGCTCGACGTCGGGTTCGAAGCCGCGGATGTGGATCGCTCGTTTCCGTTATTAGATATAGGATTAAGATTGTCATGGTTCTGCGCGAAGCTGAAGCCCAATGGAGAAGGGGAGGGGGTGGTCGAACGCTTGTTGTTGAGGCTTGGGTTGGTCGCTTGGCTTTGAGAGGGACGAGTACCGATAGGTGCTACACCGCTAGGGGCTGAGCCTTTGGCTTGACGGGGAGGGGAGCCGCCGGGGGAGGAGGTGGAGGTTCGGCTCGACTGCTGGGCGGCGCTTTCGAAGAGGCTAAAGCTCTGGCTTGGAGGGTTGGATGCTGGGGAGGATGTGCTGTCGCCGCGAGAGCGCTGCTGTTGCTGAGGCTTTGGAGATGGGCCGGTTGCTGCAGCTTGTTGACTCTGATCGTTGGCGTTCAATTGGCCCCCGGCTTCAGCGATCGCAGATTGTGCCTGGTTTTGGCCCATGGTGTACGAGTCATATGTGCGAGGCGACGGTCCGCGGCCACCAGCACTTGTGTTGCCTGATGTTGGATTGGATGGACGAGGCGTGTGGCTCTCGTCGCCAAAGCTGCCGCCTTCGAGATACTGGTTGTTCTCGTTGCCGTATAGAGCACGATGCTGACGGGCGATGAGTTCCCGGCGATCCTCCTCGTTCATGGTATTGGGGCTGATTGCGCGGTCGGATTTGCCCTGCGTGGAGACATCTACCACAATATCTGATCATCAGCAAAAGCTACACTGCAGCATGGAACAATTAAGCCTACTTCTGTTGTACTGCTGCTCCTGATGATAATTGCGTAGTTCGCGCTCACGTTGCGCGGCCATGCGGCGCTTGGCTTGCAGCATCTGCTCTGCTTCATTTGGTCTTGGCTGGTGTCGCTGGTTTGCGTAGAAATTTTGAAGGTTCGAGCTAGACTGAGGGCGGATCTGATCGAAATCGCCGATAGAGTGGTGTCGCTGGGGAATTCCGCCCATACGAGGGTCTGTAACATGCGGTCAGAAAATCCGAGTCCATGGGGAATAATGCTTTACGCACCGAAATCGGAGAAGGCTCGTGGACCTCCCATCATGGGCATGGAGTCTCGTCTCGAGGGTGGGCTGAAGAGCTTTCCGCTCTTGCTGAGGTTGTCGAGGGCGCGATTGACTTCTGTAAGTACGTCAGTAACAGTCCAGAGCAAATTGTAGTCCATTTGGATGCTTGAGACTCAATTTCGCGCTTGCTAAAATAGCAGCGCACGAAGGCCCGCGCAGAATGAACAAGGTAGAATGCTCAGGGACATACCTTCTATTTGAATGTCGAATGCAGCCACATCCTCGTGTTGCAAGGCCGAACTCGTCCCTGTACATCCATGAGCTTCTGTCCGTGGACCGAGTGTTTATTCAAGAGGCCTACCTGCCCGCGAAGGAGGTGGAGGTTGCTCCCATGATGCTTGTTGTGCCGGTATTTGCCACGATTGCGCTTCGTAGTATGACATGTTGACCGTATATTGGAGCTTTGTTTTTACGAATGTCTCAGATCCGTAGGCGAGGAAGGATGGGACGGAGTGAAGACTATGAATGGAAGACAGACAGATTAGCACACGGACGATCAATGTTTCCAATTCGCTGGTTGAGCATTGATGTACATGTCTCGTTTTGCTCCCACCAACATAACGCTGGAAAGCCGTTTAAATTTTTTTTCTTCTCCTTCGGGGTCTTGGCAAACATTGATACTTACAGAAGAGAGAAGAGTCCTGGTGGTGCCTATTCCCTTCAGATACGGCACGCAGACAATAATGAGACAGGTGGCATCCAGTGCAAGAGGAAGGGAAAAAAAGAAGGAATCAAAAAAAGGTACGGAAGAGAAAAACATTTACATGAGGGAAGATTGATTTTCTGGGACCGTTAGGAAGTTAAATTGCAGCACGCTTGTCTCCGGTGGGGTTGGATTTTGTCCTTTTTTACTTTTTGGCAAATTGATAGGGAGAGTAAAGTAGTATTCAAGGGTGGGCAGGCAGGGTAGGTAGCGGTAGGGGAGGGGGGAGTACTATACGGTACTTCATATCTTGCTCTCTCATTTCCTGAAGATAGTGATAGGTATAATAATATAATATAACGGTTGGCTCACTTCTTCACGTCATGAATTGTTGATTGCGCTCCATGGAAAGAATTGCCATGTGCTGTTTGTCCTGTGGCTGCGTGCTTGAGAGAAATGGCTGCGTGCTTGAGAGCTATCTCGAGCGTCTTATCACATACACATTCACATTCACATTCATATCCACTTAATCCCCCCCTTTTGTTAAGAGTAGACCTTGGTCAAAGGGTGCCCCCCACCACACCTGTTTCACATAAACATTCGGGCCTTACTCTAATCATAACAACACCCTTATTTCCATGTGACTGTGAGCTACCCGTATGGAGTACCATGAATCTGATTCGACCACGCGGCTATGAAACGATGGGAAACCGCAACATGATGACCTATATGCGCCTCGTGCATGTGCAAAGTGTGGCACGCTGGTGGCTGGAGAGATGGCCCTGCTTCAAGCTTCTACTTGGGAAGGCATCGTGCTTCCAGCCAAAGAGTCAACCCGTCAGGCATTTCCCACCAAAATTAATATTCTTGAGCGCTGCTCTCCTTAAATGTGGGTACATTCATCCTCAACAAACCGAAATAATGTACCTCGCCATGGATGTACTTCCAACATGGCAATTGACAGGAAAGTTTCTCCTTCTCGTTGTCAGGACAAGCAACGGTTTGGGAAGCATAATCACAACCTCCCTCACAGCTGCCGCTATCTCTGGCAACTTATCGTCGAAGAAGTTATCTTTACTTGAAAGCACAAAGTAATTTGTGTGCTCCACTCGTAAGGTAACGGGTCCGGCCACACGAGAAAAGAGTCGTGGCCGGTAGCCTTCACTGACCTTGTGTTACTTCATCGGAGTTGAGAATCCACAACTGCTGTTACTCAATGCCACTCGGTGTAGAGAGGAAACACATCAGCGTGTAGGTGATTGCAACGAAAGCTTTAGTGAGATCAGAGCTCAGTCAAGTGTATACTACGAACGACAGGTCTCGCGATACGATTTGCAAGATTGGATCCTGCAATTGAAGATGACGTTATCCCCCACTATAAGAAATAGAAGCCCCGCAAGCTGCACATCAACTATACAACTATCAATCACCCCAAGTCAGAAACTACACCAGTCACAATCAGCCCATCAACGGTACTAGCACATCAAAAGTCACAATGGTCAAAGCAGGTACGCTTGCCTAGAGAGCCTTCCATCTACCTCACTCCATGCGTTTGAGCAAGTTTGAGCCGCTGCGCTTGTCATCCCACCAGTCATACCCTTCTAATACCATCGGTACCATCAAAACACCTGCATCACCTTCAATCTTGCATCATCTCCTATCCTCTCAAGATCTACCAACCCTTTCAACTCATTCCGCCACGTCCGGCGCGCTTTCCCCTCCCCTTTCTCACTCACTCCGCTCCTCCGCGAATCCCAGCTAACCACCATCTCCCCACGCAGTCGCAGTCCTCCGCGGTGACTCCAAGGTCGGCGGCACCGTCACCTTCGAGCAATCGTCCGAGTCCTCCCCGACGACCATCTCCTACGACATCAGCGGCCACGACGCCTCGGCCGAGCGCGGCATGCACATCCACCAATTCGGTGACAACACCAACGGCTGCACAAGCGCTGGACCCCACTGTAACTACCACCCCCCCCATCCCCCTTTTCAATCCATGAACGCCTCACTGACCTCACCCCCCTCTTTTTCCCTTACCCAGTCAACCCGTTCTCCAAAACCCACGGCGCCCCCTCCGACAGCGAACGCCACGTCGGCGACCTCGGCAACTTCAAAACCGACGGCCAGGGCAACGCCAAGGGGTCCGTCACGGACGAGCTGATCAAGCTGATCGGACCGGAGAGCGTCCTGGGCCGGACGATCGTCGTGCATGCCGGCACGGATGACCTGGGCAAGGGCGGACACGAGCAGAGTAAGGCTACGGGCAACGCGGGTGCCCGTCCCGCTTGCGGTGTCATTGGCATCGCGCAGTAGATAGGGCAGTGCGCTGAGAACGGTGGGATGGGGAATGAGAGGTGGTGATGCGTGATGCATGATGGGGGATGAGGGCTGTGTAGACGACGAGGACAAAAAGCTTCGCAAGTACGGGAAAAGGTCTCGAACGACATCTGCATTGCTTGAATATCATTTCCAACCCTGGCTACTCTCTCTCCCTCCCCCAATCCGCCCGGTTCCCCAACTGCAACCTCGAAGCCACGTCCCCAAGTCGGGCTCCTAGTCCTCCGTCAAGTCCCCATACTCCCAGATACCCAGCCTCTCCCCCTTCGCCTCCTCCTCCTTCACCATCAGCCCTTCCACAATCTTCCCCCTCGCCTTCTCCCAGCCCTTCAACTTCCTCGACACCATCGCCGCCCCCTCCGCCACGACCTCCGCGTTCACGCTCGCCTCCTCCCCGCCCTCCGACTCGGCATCGAACAGCGTGGTCCACAGCGTGCCGTCCTTCTCCTCAAAGTCCACGCTGGCCACGAGCTGTTTCTCACCCGTGACCTGCTGCAGGAACTTGACCGCGTCGGCCATGTACTCTGCGCTCGTCGGGAACTGCAGGAACGATAAGGCCGCGTCCAACGCTTGGGCCTTGAGTTTGCCGAGGGAGAATTGCGGTTGGCTCATCGGTCTCAACTCGCTCCACGGCAGGGTCTCGCTGTTGCCGTAGTCGAGGAAGATGACATCCGCCTTTTTGGCCTCGCGGTCATTCCGTCTGATGCGTGCACGGTACCATTCGCCGTCTTCGGAAAACCGTGCCGCTACGAGGTCGCCCGCTTTGGGTGGATTTGGGAGGGACTTTTCGGAGGAGGGAGGGGAGCGATGATAGTTAGCGAAGGTAGTCATGAGGCCCGTGAGTGCGGCGGATGTCGTTGGTCCGATGAGTTGAAGCTTTAGGTGGGCGGTTGTGGGGTCGATATGAGTGACAACGACATCACGGTAGTCTTTCTTGACCGGTGCGGAAGATTCGATGTGGCCATTGGTAGTAGCTCCATTGAGATTGGGGTCATCTACCCCGTCTTCGATAGAGGGATCGTAGTCCTTCCATATGCCCTTCTTAGCCGCTTTTGCTTTCTCTTCGGCTGCGAAGAGCTCGCCGCCATGCTCAGACTGCTCGGCAGAGTATGTGTGAACAGTAGCGAAACCTTCTTCGAGAAGGAGTTTGGCGAAGTTTTCACGGTTTATGTAAAGAGTGCCGATGAAAGCACCTATTTTGTCTGTAGCCTCGACATCAATCTCGACGTCTCGTTGAAGGCAACGTCGATTGGCAAAGTCATGAGCCTCCTGTCCGAATGGTTCGGATTTTTCGTTTGCATTGCGGGCTGAACGCGGAGCTCGAATGCCAGAGAGTACGAATGTGAGTTTGGCGTTTTCTCGGGGAACGAGTATTGTGAATCTAGAGCCGCCTTTGACGAAATCGACAATTGCTGGGATTTTCTTCTGGCGTTGGAGGACCGACGATTGAATTTTCGCTTTTTGCAGGCTTTCTGAGTAGTCTTGATACGCTTTGGCGGCAGGAGGTCTCGGGGACCACATTCCTTTCTCTCCTTTTTGGGCAGCTTCTTCTGCGGTCAGAAGCTCGTCATAAGCTGGGCTTCGATCCTCTTTATAACACGTTAGCAAACGTGTTAGGAACGCATAGCACAATGCTTACCATCGTCTCGTCGATGCCGGATCACAGAAGCATAGCCAGCTTCGACCAGCTGTAAAGCCATATTTCTATTGTTGATCATGATAGTGACTACATCTCGCTCTTCGAAACCCTCGGTTGCGGCCTTCTGGCCATCGACGGTGACACGCACGTGTTTGCCAATCAGCTTTTTCCTCAAGAACTCTTTGGCCTCCGCTTGGAAGGGTGCTTGCTTCGCATCTGTAGGCTTCGGTTGCCGAATGCTACTTAAGCTTACTCGCTTTTCGTCCCCCGATTTGTCTCTTAAGTAGACAGTATCCGCTGTTTGTATGCGGGTAACCGTAGCGTCCGCTTCACTGGCTCCCTGCATACTGTTGGCAAGTCCTTGGAAAAGCCCAATCCTCTTGTCTTTTGCTTGCTTCTCAGCCTGCCGAAGGACAGACATTTGGCCGCCAAGCATTGTTGAATGGAAGTCGGTGCAACGTGCTAATCCAGCCTCGAGCAGAAATTTGGCGATGCTGCCGTTTGGGTGCTTCACTGTGCAGACCAGTGTGCCTTGTGGGCTCAATCCTAGAACATCGACCTGTACGGTCCTCTGTAGTAGTCTTGACTCGACAAATTCATGTGCCTCTGGACCAAAAGGTTCGGCTACTTGTTCTTTGCCATCAGATGGGTTTGTTCGCTTAGTCGCTGGTGCTCTTATACCGGCCACGAGCACCATTGTCTGGACATGCTTTTTAGAAGACAAGTATAGCCGCACAATCATTCGATCGCCAGTCAAGACACGTTCAACGATGCCCTCTATTGGCTTGTCTTTGTATTGCTCAACAAAGCCTTTCGGGTCGGCGATCTCATTGGCGTTCTCTATATTCCCTCCAGTGGACGCCCAAATCCCTTTCGAACTAGCCTTAGCGCTCGCTTCGGCAAGCTCCAGCTTCTCGAGGAGAGCCTTGGAGGCTTCAGATTCATCTTTGCGACCAGCATCCTCCCTCAGCTTCACCCAGCCTTCTGCGGCTGCTGCATCAGGCAACGACTGTCCGGTCTGGAGGTAGACGGTACCGTAATCCCGCTTGGCTCCTGTTGGGATGCTATAGAGGATAGTGAATTGTATGACTTTACCTACCGTCATGCGACGGAGGTAGTCTCTGGAGTGAAATGCAAACGGCTGCAGCAAAATTCAACGGCTGCTACACCATGACACCACATTTGCCTTACCTCATCTCCTTCTCTCTTAAGCCTTGGTGCGCTGACATATGCTAGACTCAGCGTTCTCTCCTGGGCAGGATTGTTGACGCTAGCTAATATAAGAGTGTCCCCTGACAGTACACTCTTGACTTTTGCTTGGTTAATTGGCATGGCGACTTTTTAAATATATCCGTGTGTGATACCCTAAAACTTTTCTTTTGAAGGATGAATGAACTCGTGTACTGTCGGTGAATTAAGTTAGCTACTGGCTTAAATATTCTAGACATTCATAGCCTTAGAGCTCTTGACAAGGAGTGAGAACGGTTCATTAGATGGAAGGAATTTCATCTGCAAGAAAAGTCTGGCAAACATGACGAAAAGCAAATCAAATCTTTCGATATAAAAATGTTTGGGCTAATCTAGAGAGGCACGAGACACTTTGTACCTGGTGATTAACAGTGTATTATTTGTTCATACACTTACCAGACAATTCTGTGACCAATTCAACTCTAACGCTGCTTGTATTGGAATTCTGAGCTGAGTCTATGCAAAGTTGGTGTCCAACAAAGTTTCTTTCAAAGGCAATGTTGATGCAGCACAAGAAAAATCGACGACAAAACTTGTGCGGAATTATCCGTCAGCTGTGGCGTCGCAAAGCTTTGCGACGCCACGCTGCCACAGTGATTGACATATATGCAACTTCTACCATACCATTGCTCCTTCCCATGCCAGTCGGAGCCTCTCCCCTCCTTGGCTCTTATCCGCTGAGATGTCTAATCTGTTGACATTCTTTGATCATGGTTGACCCTAACCCATGTGCAAGATATCAGCTCTGCTTTCTTTCTGTCAGTCATCCAGTCCATAAGTGCGTGCCGTTTGTGAACGAAGTTGGAACCAGGCCAGCTCTGAGCTCTTCCTATCAGCCTCAACCACAATAGCGAGGCTTAGTGTTGAGCAAAGCTTGAAAGTTGCAGCTTCAGACCATGGGCCGGAATGCCTATTACCACGTGAATTTTCTTATCGTACTGCGGGGTAATATGGGGAGTATTACATGGTGATCGTCTCATATTTCATGCCTGCGGGCATCTGTCTCTATTGCTTACTTCAATGCTTCGGTTTCTATCCTATTCATTACGCCAGCTCATCGGCTTTATTCCCAATTGGAAAGTTCAAGATGACCGCCATAGAATCTCCCAAACCCGACATTAACGGAGACCCTCCGCCTCGCCGCTCCCTGATTGGGACGTACCCCAATCACTGGCTCCATTCATCATCACCACCAAGCTTCGACCTGACCCGTCCTTCACCTCCCGAATATGCTCTCCCATCCCCAAAAGACTCCATCTCCCTATCGACGACCACGACACCAATTGTCATCTCACCCTCAAAAACCGCACTCGTGATAATCGACATGCAGAACTTCTTTCTCTCTTTATATCTGGGTCGACCGGCTGATGGTGCTGGGAACAATGCAAAAAGGCGATTGCTTGACACTGCAATACCAGCCGCAAGGAAGGCGGGGATACAGATCATCTGGCTCAATTGGGGTCTAACTGACGAAGACATTGAAAATATGCCGCCAAGTACACGGAGGGCGTTTGGTTTCGAGGCTACTCTTGAAGGGCAGGGCAAAAACAAGTCCCTGCCGGCCATTGACGCTCATGGTGTAAATCAGGCCGCCGCGGACCATTTTATGCAAGACAAGAACGGGGTGCTGGAGGAGAAAGAATTGACCGAGAACGGGAAGCCGAAGAGGATATACAAGGGACTAGGTAGCGAGGTCGGCCCTGTGAGCATAGAAGATGGCAAAGTTGTAGACGCGGGAAGGCTTTTGATGAGAGACACGTGGAACGCAGCATTGCCACCGGCTTTGGATGCAGCCTACAAGGAAGGACAAGTGCTGAAGGAGAAACCCGATGTGTGGATCCACAAAAATCGAATGTCTGGCCTTTGGGGTTCTTCGACGCCGTGCACAGAGTTCCTCGAGCAAGCTGGCATTAGCACATTGGTATTTGCAGGGGTCAATACCGATCAATGCGTGGCAGGAAGCCTTCAGGATGCATTTACGAAAGGGTGGGATTGTATTCTTTTAAAGGACGCGTGCGGCACGACCAGCCCAGATTCTGCAAGGGAGTGTATAGAGTTCAACAGTGCGCGGACCTGGGGCTTTGTCACGGTTTGTAATGGTCTAGAGAAGGGCGTTCAGGCGATGTTGGAAGCTCAGTAGAAGGGCGATTGTAACAGGTCAATGATCCATTAGGAAATGGATAGAACTGCAGATGATATGGGGAGTGAGACCGAAAATCATAACCCTCTGCCTGGTCAATGTCAACAATGATATATGCCTCATTTCTACAGGGGGGTATGACGGAATTGGCTCGGAAATATAATGTTCCGGCCCCCCACCAAAGGTAGAGTCTGATGAGTAATGCCTCATTAGACCCCTTAATTGCATCGTCATCCCTTTGGTATTAGACCGCATTTGGATGCCCGTAGTTTATCCGAATTTTAGCTCCGCCTTGATCCGATGTCATAGTTGCCTCTCAACAACTTTGCTTTTCACGCAGCTCATCTATTAACATCGTTCACCTTCACGAACAACAAGCCTTACAAACAATACAGAATCATGACTAGCTCCCTTGAACAGTTGAAAGCCATTGGCACCACAGTCGTTTGTGACTCGGGCGACTTTGCTACCATTGGAAAGTACAAGCCACAGGATGCTACCACAAATCCTTCCCTCATCCTCGCTGCGTCCAAAAAGTCAGAATACGCCAAGCTGATGGATATTGCCGTCGAGTACGGCAAAGATCATGTCAGTGCCTACAATTTTGAAGCACCCTGGAGATACTGATTATGGCACGCACAGGGCAAAGATTTGGACGAAAAGATCGACTCGACGCTGGACCGCCTGCTTGTCGAATTCGGAAAGGAGATTCTACAGATTGTTCCCGGAAAGGTCTCTACTGAAGTCGACGCTCGCTTCTCTTTCGACATCGAAGGCTCGATCAAAAAAGCTCTTCACATCATTCAAGTATGTACCAATCCCTGCATCTACTTTCTTGTATACTGACGTTTTTTTAGCTCTACCAAGATATTGGCATCGACAAGTCGCGTGTCCTCATCAAGCTCGCTTCGACATGGGAAGGTGTCAAGGCAGCCCATATCTTGCAATCTGAGCACGGTGTGAACTGCAACCTGACCCTCATGTTCTCTCTGCCCCAGGCCATTGCCGCAGCCGAGGCTGGTGCTTTCCTCATCTCGCCTTTCGTTGGCCGTATCTTGGACTGGTACAAGGCAGCGAACAAGAAGGATTACACACCGCAGGAGGACCCTGGCGTCAAGAGTGTTCAGCAGATCTTCAATTACTACAAGAAGTTCGGATACAAGACCATTGTGATGGGAGCTAGCTTCAGAAACGTTGGCGAAATCACAGAGCTCGCTGGATGTGATTACTTGACTATTTCGGTTCGTCTCTTGAACACTCGAACAAAGGCTTTGTTACTGACATGGTTGCCCACAGCCCAATTATCTAGAGGACCTCTACAACTCGAAGGAGAAGATTCCTCAGAAGCTGATTGCCGAGGATGCCCACAGCCTCGACATTCAAAAGAAGGAGTACCTCAATGATGAGGCTAAGTTCCGATTTGACTTCAACGAGGAAGCAATGGCTGTGGAGAAGCTCCGAGAGGGTATTTCAAAGTTTGCTGCTGATGCTATCACGCTCAAAGGTATCCTCAAAGAGAAAATCGAGAAAGCTTAAGGTCGTCGAAAACGTGCAGCGAGTATGTAATTAGCCTGGTCTGCTTATGAAATGAGAACACGACCTACAGCAATGGGAGAGAACCTAATACTCAATTATAACTGTGATTGGCGGTTGGCAAGCACGAAAGTCGCAGTCTTTGAAGGTCTCTTCTAACTCCTACGAGCTTGAGGTAGTAAGTGTCCCAAGCAAATCGCTTAAACATATGCCAAATCAGCCCGAGCAATTGCAGAACAGAAAATGGGTCGGACAAGGGAGTATTCTGGGGATTTGTGACACTACTCTAACAAATGCCTCTTTTGCTGGCACAACCGCTCCAACGTCTGATGGGCTTCCAACCCACTTTCTCTTTCGGCACACCTGCCTTCATTCTATCGAGACTTCAACCCCTCTCGCCCCTCTTCGGCGCCAATACCAGCTCCAAGTCCAAGGAAGGACGACAGCATAAAATCATGAGTAATCCCTTCTGGAGCTCGCTGCTTTTCTCGAATTCGCAATCTCCAACCTTACAATCTAGCTCATGGCCCTACCTCTTGCAGGACTTGCAGGAAAGACCGCCATAATAACAGGCGCGGGATCAGGTACGTCTCCTGCACACGCTTCTCTACTGCTTCCAATAGCTTCAAACATTCTAAAGAATAATCTAGGAATCAATCTCTCCTTCGCCCGTGCTCTCCTCACCAAACACTGCAATGTCCTCTTCGCAGACCTAGCCCTCCGCCCCGAAGCTCAAGAGCTTGTATCCAATCATGCCAATCAGTCGCAGTCCCCCGCCAAAGCAGTCTTCCAAAAGACAGACGTCCGAGACTGGCAACAGCTAGAGCGTATGTTTCATGTTGCAAGCAAAGAGTTTGGAGGTGCGGATATTGTCTGTCCAGGTGCTGGCGTCTATGAGCCTGTGCGTACCACTAAGCCTCTATTGGCTTTAAATTCGACAATTGACGTTCCCGTAGCCCTTTTCTAACTTCTGGCATCCACCGGGGAAACCTCCTTCCGAAGACGATCCGACATCAAACCGCTACGCCATCCTCGACATCAACCTCACCCATCCAATCCGCACAACCCAGCTCGCCATCTCCCACCTCCTCCTCCTCCTCCTCCCCCTCCCCTCCTCCTCCTCCTCCTCCTCCTCTTCCAACAAAGAGAAGTCCTCTCCCAAATCAATCGTCCACATCTCCAGCATAGCAGGCCAAGTGACTCCACTCCCTGGCCCAATCTACAATGCGACAAAACACGGCATCAACGGCTTCGTCCGCTCGCTCGCACCCCTCGACTCTCGACTCGGAATCAGAGTAACTGGCGTCGCCCCAGGCGTGATCAAGACGCCACTGTGGACCGAAGCGCCGGAGAAACTCAAGTTAATCGCTGATGACGATGCGTGGGTGACACCCGAGTTCGTAGCGGACGTTATGGTCTCGCTCGTTGAGAATCAGACTGTCCGTGTGTCGGCTGGCTTGGGCGCCACGGGGAGTCGATTGAGCAGTGGCGACGCTAGGGAGGGTACGAAAGAGGTGGCCGTCGAGGGAGGTATGATCCTGGAGGTTGCAAAGGGGAGGGTGAGGGTTGTGGAGCAGTTCAATGATGTGGGGCCTAGTGGGGAGGGCAATACCGTGGGGAATATGAGGGTTGCGGAAGAGGAGATCTTGGAGAGGCTGGCGGGTGGTGGGTGGGGTGTTGATTAGGAAAGGGAGGAAACACGGGGAGGTCGTCTCCTGCTTGGTAATTGGGGGAAACAGACCGTTCTGAATGGCGTGGGAAGAGGGTGTGAGCCTATAAACAAGATTCGGAATGGCGAACAAGCATCTTCTCGACCTGACCATGAACCTAGGCACTGCGCTTGCATGAATGAGTAACACAACGAGCGTTGACGAACGTATAACATTGCGAGAGCAAGCCTCGCTACAGCCATCAAGCTTGACCAAGTACCCATCCACCCAAGCCCATCAGGTCCCCAAACAAGCCCGATCAGACCACTCGCATCTGAGGCATCAAACCCCACACCATTCTGCCCAAACAGCCCCAGCGGGTCACCGTCCCAGCAAAGCCCATCGCGAGGGGCAGCTGTTGGCACCGTCGAAGTGGACGAGAGTCGCCGTCCGTGCTTTCGTTCCCGGACCACCACGCCGTTTCGCATCGCCACAGAATGAGTGAAAGAAAGAGTGTTGCGAGAGCGGCAGCGAAGGGGGGCGGGGGTTTGGATCCTGGATGTTGGTTCGTGTCAGGTAGGATGGGGCAAGATGCTGTTGTAGGGCAGTCAGTAGACAAGGATGGCAGGAGCGGTGATGCAACCTTTTCGTGCTCCGTCTCGAGTTTGGGGGGAAGTGCCAGGGCGGTCGAGTCCGATTGCGTCCCTTCTCCGGGCTCGGAATGCGATGGTGTAACGTCCTGGGTAGAGGCTGTCGATAGAGGTTGAGATGATATGCTTCTCGAGCCTGGAGAGCTACAAGTTCCATGCTCGAAGACAAAATGTGTGAGGTTTGTGCTGCTAGATGTCCGGCTTGGTTGCTGTTGGTGAGTCTCCCGAGCTCTTTAGAGCCATGGGCTTTTGAGTGAAGTGCCTAGATGGTCCGTGAAGCTGTGTGCGTCCCAAAACCGAGGTTCGAAGCCTGAGATATCTGGACTTTGTGCTGCGAGTCGCCCTGCGTGATTGTAGTTCTAGTTGGTGGTCTTGGTCTCACGGAGGGTTTGCATGGGGAAGCAGCTTTGATGTCATAGAATTGCTATCTGGTAAAGCACACTATGGAACTAGCTAGCCTGGGTCGTAAGATGTCGTAAGCCTGGCATCTCCCAATTGTTGTGGGTGGCCAAGCTCAAAGACCATCGGCAATTGTGCTAGATAGCATTAAGTCGTAAATAATGTCCGCGCCCAGATATGCCTCCTGTGTATGCTAGATGGTTCGAGCTAGCCATAGGTAGGTGTTATCCCCAAAGCTCGATAGTGATCACAAACTGGCAAGAAATCGTATGCAACAATGTCTGTTCCGTAGGAAGCTTGCAGCAAAGAATTCATCATCCGCTCATGCCTGAGTTGCAACAGAAGCAATTCTCCTCTTCGTAACCTTCCCTGCCTCATACTTCTCCATGTGATCCTTGTAAAGCTCGAGATCGCCATCGTAGGCGTTCGCAGGATCGAGAGTCAGGTCTCCCATCGAGCGCATGTCTTCCGGGACCATCTCGGGCTTGACATAACGGCATGTGAGGCCGAAACGTAGCTTGTCGGTAGGTGTGACCATGTGCTATATTCGGTTAATCTCCAGTCAATATAAGCATTCAAAAAAAGACTTACTTCGTAGTAGACCTGCATAGGAGCACCATGCATCACCATGTAATCACCATGTCGGAGGTCCAACTCTAAGACCGCTGGGAGGTGTCTTCGATTCTCCCTTGTCAAAAGCCAAGGCCACTTGAGCAGCCGCATCAAGCTCGGCAGTGCTCACTGTCTTCGCCAATTCGTTCAGTTTGCGGCGCTCTTCAGGTTTACGACAACCGCGCAGGATGGGCTGGTTAGGATCGTAGTGTTTACGCCCCTTATCCTTGAAACCGCACCAGTATCTCATCTTAAGGCGCCACTTCATCCTGGCTGGGCAGCCCAATGAAATCGAAGCGACCGTAGGACCGAGCGATATCTCACCATCGTCGTGATACTGCGAGCGATTAGCCAGATGATAGCACACATAGATCGGAGGTCGGAACAGGGCACGAACATTCATCTTCATGGATTCGAAGTATCCAATCGCAAGAACCTCGTTGAAGTCTACAAAATCTTCATCTGCGACGGTGCGCTTTGCAGCCCAGGTCATACGACGCACAGCCTCCTTGATACCATCAGGAGCGTCTGCAAGGCTTGTTGAGTTATCGTGTCCCACGACGTACTTATAGGGCATCCCCTATGCTAGGTGTAAGTATGAGAGCAGGAACTCGATGCAAGCTAACGACTCACGAAGTTGTGACTGAAATGCCTCGAATACGTTTGTTCCACTTTTTACTTATCAGCTATTTCAATTGTAACATGATTCGGAGAACACTTACCAACGCTCTGTTTCATTGGCAGCCTCTCGAGCCCAATATCTTCCTTCTGTAAGTGGCAGAAGAGATCGTCCGGTCCACCAGGTGCACTGTTGATGACGTTGTTGGAGTTGAGGTGGGTGATAATAAGCCCATCGCCGAGCTGGTAGACACACTCGCGGTATAAGCCATGCTTTCGTACCTCGCAATTGATACTCGGTTCCAAAATCTTGTCTTGGGCCACGCCATGACCTTGAAAGCCATAGCCAGCCTCTCCCATCACACTTGAGGCTGGAATCACATCCATCGGAAGCTTATGCACAAATGGGCAGCCTTCAGTGCGGCACCTCCAAGCATCCCAGTGTCGTCTTAAATTGCATCGACCGCAGAGCTTACAGACAATGCCCTCCCAGCATTGTCTAGTCGCAGGGAAAGCCTGACCGTGAGTCGCATTGGGCTGGATCAGCTCGGGTTTCATTGCATATGGTGGTATAAAGCCGTCAAAAGTCTGACGCTCCTCCACAAATGCAGGATTATAATCCTGAGCCTCAGGCGCAAGGATGTCGTTGAGCGTCCAGAATGAGACACACTTGCCGTTAAGGCACATCCATCCTGACATAAAAACTTGTGGTTTTGTGACATTGCATTTAGAACATTCCTTACGTAAGGCCTTGATACTGGTGGGGACGTGAAACTCTGGCGAACCCTCAGCGGCATACCAACTCTTTTTGTCAAGGTCCGTTTTCTCGAACCGGAACTTGACAACGACATGACCGTTGCTCTTTTCGTCCCAGTGATCTGTGATGTGGACATCTGGGGTCACACAGTATCGGTGGGGGATCCTGGATGGGCAATGAATGTTATTTTGCCCTGTTGAGAATCAATACCACTAAGAAAGGTTATAAGGACGGCAAGACGCACCTATAATCAGATGCATAGGTATTTTCTCCTTCTCGTTGTTGATGAAGGCTTTTATTCTCCCATTCTCCGAGTCGTGGTCTTTGATTTGGCAGATCTCGCCCAAATCGTTCTTTCCAATGCCGCCTCCCCTAGCACAGATTAGAACTATAGCCATTGAATCAAAAATGCGGCTCTCACGCTCTGGTAATCGTGACGTGCTCATCCATATATGCACGCTCACCCTGGTCCTCATCAAGCAGCATCCCAAAAACAAATCCACCATGAGTATGGCCAGCGCCCTGCCAGCAACGAAACCAAGGAAGAGCTTCGCAAAGCTCAGGACGGGTCTGAAGATGTGTTAGCTTTGACGGTTGACATCCATCGGCGAGGAAGGTTATACCTCTGCCCACACTTCAGGCTCACCCCATGGTAAGGGACGTGTGTCTTCGGCGGACGCTGCCAGGAATCTCTCCTTTGCGGTTTTGGTTTTTGGATTGCCAGCTTTGCGTTGCCTCTTGGGAGTTGGAGCGTTAACTTTCTGCTTCTTTTTCGGCGGTGGAGCAAGTGCTGTTTTGGCAGTCTTCTTTCCACCGGACGTAGCTGCTTTGCGCTTTTTTGATTTGACCAAAGCGGCGCCAAGATTGTCTTGCTTAGACCTTGAAGGTTTCTTAGAGGGACGACTGTTTCCCTCATCGTTATTCTGCTCGGCGTCAGAGTTATCGCTATTCTCATTATCTGTCCCATTGTATTCGCTGAAAGTGTCAATGTCTGGCTCATTAAGCACGGGTTTGGTCGAGATATCAGGCTTTGTGGACGAAGACTGTGTCTCCTCAAAAGCATGATCGCCTAAGGTTTCATCACTGTCAGTGGCTCCGATAAAGGTGGGACCACTGTCAGATAATGAGACAGCTCCATCCGGCACTACTTTAACGAAGGGCAATCCTGGTGCAGATAGCATGGTTTTGCTAGGCATTGCTTGGATTGTTGCCGGCAGCTCAGGATTGAATGTTGGTACTGGCATACCTTGCAAACGTTTTGATCGTCGTAAAGTGTTTCCAGATTGATCGCCACGGTCGGGGCTGTTTGCAGTCTGTGGACTCTTGGCTGGAATAATTGAAGGGTGCTTGGTCTGGCCGGTCTTTGTAGACACAGCTTTTGCTGGATGGAGAAAGGTTGTCAGCTATTGCATACTTCAAAAGATCATACAAGGACAGAAGCATGGGTCTTGTGTAGGTTGTTGAGCGTCGAGAGTTGTGAAAGCGTAGACGGGTTGTAGACGAAGGAAGTGATGTTTGTGTGGGGTGCAAGGCCACGATCACCAGGATTCGACCCATCAACGCATCCCGTGAATTACACGCCCGATTCGTCTCAGACAATGTCACTTAAACGTGGATATAGCGTAGCAGTGAGCGTTGGGTAACGTCTCTTGAACGTGGATATAACGTAGCAGTGAGCGTGTCAGGTAACGTCTCTTGAACGTGGATATAACGTAGCAGTGAGCGCCGGGTAACGTCTCCACTGCGAGTCTCTTGACATTGTGTCTTCTCAACCAAAAGCGCAAAAGACATATTGGACAGGGGATTGTGCGGAGAAACTTACATTTTGCCATGTCGAAGGATGAGGGACTTCCCCGAACAGACGCTGACGTAGCACAAGGTAGTCTTAGGTTGCAGTTTTGAAAGAGGGTATTAGTTGGGGGCACAGGTATCTGCAGGCCTTTGCGTCAAAGAACTTTTGGGAGGGGGAAGCTTTTGCAGCAGAACTTTGTGCAGGTTTCATGAATTCACAGAAGAATCGAGGCAAAGACGACTTGGAAGACGCAGGCTGGAGAAGGAGAAGGAGATATGAGGTCGGTGGTTGATGGCTGTCTTGGAGAAGATGGTTGATTTTGAGGTGCGGAGATGTAATGGAGATGTGACGGAGAGAAATTATGTGGAAAGAAAAACTGGCTTTGAATCCAATCAATGGAATGGCAGACGAGAAGCTAGCCTCCAGTAAACTGCAAGATAAAGGTTGGTAGGGAGATGTACGCCTTGAAGATAATTCTTGATGTCGAAGTTCGGAGAGGAGATGTAATGGAGAAGAAATTTAGTAGAAGAGATTTTTGGGAAGAGAAATCGGCTTTTAACTTACTCGATGGCAGAAGTGACACCGGCGGGTTTGCAATTCATCACGGAAATGTGAATTCAGTGAACTCGGCTTGACTATTTTGGGCGTAGTCGGAATGAATGGATTAGAGTTCCACAAGCTTCGACAGCTAGATTCACAACGACTGCCAATATTCATCAAACCCTGCTGGACCAAGCAGTCCTTCATCTGGGCTGGAGTCACAGATCTGTATTCATCATTAACGTTATTCATCAGGTTCAGGCAGTGGACTCATTCATCCTACGTAGCGCCAAAAAGTCCCGTTGACAGTCAACAGCATTCATCAAGCGCAGCAGATTCGGCAGTGATCTTCTTCATGGCCATAGTGACTATTTTAGTTGCGAGTAAGACACTTCGCCACTGGCAACGTCTTCACTCAGGCTCAAAGAAGCTGGGGTATGAGGGCTCCTGCGCCCAGCCCTCACAGTCACTCTGAACAGACTTGGACAACAAGCTTCCTTGGGACGAGTTTCCTTACTCAGGTTTGGCCCTTAGACGTGAGAAAGTTCAAGGTCGGTGTCCTTACAGAAGCTTGACTAATTTGGAGGATATACTCACATACACGTCACCTAAAGCAGACCTTCGGTGTGATGCCTTTCTGGTGAACGTCTTCAGTGAAGCGCGGAAGCCAGTCAAAAAGACATCTCCATAGACAGTGCCACTAGCCAAGCTCAGAGATAGTTATTGCTGAGATAGATCAAGTTCAAAAGCACCTTCCATCGAGCTCAGCAGGACTGGTTCATATGACTGTCCTTACTTGTCATGGCTCAAGTGCCTTGAATTTCAATTAGCTCATCTCCAAGCCCGTTCTTCCTTTCGACCCTTCTTGAAGAATTCATTTCACAGTCCAAATACCTTCAAGCTTGGCAGAGTATGGGAATCAGGTGTTCTGGGTTCACACACTCTCCTCCCGCCTTCCTTTGTGTCGATTGAATCCTGACTACCTTTGGTGTGGTGGACATTGATTATCGCGCAGAGGTATGTATGCATTGGGGATGACCTTCCGCCACTGTCCAGTTCCTGTGATTGGGGTCGGCAAGTCACCATTGGATTGAGCGTCTCTAACAGCCGTTGAAGAATCCATTTTGTGCATAGGAGAGAGCTGTGAGTCGTCTCCAAGGCCTGCATCGGTGCTGCAAATAGGCCTTGCACGGTTCGAGATTCTGCGTGATACATCTCGCACAATGCCAACAGGCTCAGAGCTTTGGTCATTGAGGCTGGCAGAGAACAGCAACTCTGTTTGAGAAGGCAAAAGCCTCTAGACATTCTGTTGTTCGGATTCCAGCAGGTCGAGGGGGACAGACTGCGATAGTCCTGAGCTCAAGTGTTCCTTCGTAGTCTCTCCTCGGAGCCTTTTCCATAAGTGCTTTGAACTACTGTCTGGCGCATCACGACCGCGCAACCAAAAGCTTCTAGGGCCCCTCACTCAAGCACTGGCAACTTGGCAGCCCTTACATGGATTAGGTCACCGAAAACCCAGGCCCATAATTTTCGCTGTCAGTCTCCCAAGGGTGCGATGTGGCCACTTCTGCTACCATGTTGCTTCCAGGCTGAAGTCGAGCGAGGAATTGGGCAGCGTATTCTGAGACGTACTGGTGCGCTCCGACGGTGCTTCCCGAAGTCCTAGAGCGAGCCCTTGGAGAAGATGGCTCCGACGTCCAGTGTTTGTGGTCGAAGAGTGCTATCTTTCTCCCAACGAGTTGGTGCTGGCAAGCTGGTGCAATGAGCAATTGTACTTGCGAATTCCGAGGTACGTTTCCTGTTACATTGCGCCGGCAATGGGCTGGCGCTGAGGTTGCTGCAGCTGAGCTCTTGTCCGACACATTCTCAGATGCGTGAATTTGCAGGCTGTCGGCTTCTAACAGCGCCAGACTTTGGTCTTCCACGCAAGCTCGACACCATTATTAGCCTGGAAAGTCAGCCTTTCCCTCTTGTAGACATATATATATGTGTTGAGCCGAACAGTCTGGATGATAACGTGCAGCGACGATACAGGCGAGTATTCTAACGGGCCGGAAATCTCCTCTTCAACACCGGTTCCTGGGATCGTTGGGAAGTCTGTACGCAATAACTGCGAGCTCATATCGCAAATTTCTTTATTTGAGGCAGCTCAGAGGCTTATCACGTTCGCTGGCTGGTCTTCCCACTTTGTCCGAAGACTCTTTGGGGTCCATTGCTGTTATCCCTGTGTTCCAGAAGTACTGACATGCCGGCAGCTGCCGCGCCTTGCTGGCCAAGTCGCATTGAACGGTGTTGTCGAAGGATATATGAGGGTCTTCGAAGCTTAGTCCGGAGCCTCTATACCTTGTTTTCCCAGACCATGCCCAAGAATCTACGGGTACGTTGCGACTCTTGTCGTCTCAGTAGCACTAAGGTGGGTAGTAAGGAATAGAGACTTCCGGGTATAGCCGCAAAAGACCACTTCCCCGCAAAGAATGCCTCGGTACTCTACCGGACTGGCTCCTTTAGGAGTGCTGACGCCTTTTTTTGCTTCTTTCCCTGTCATCTTCTCTTTCTCCTTCGTCAATCAGATCTCATGATTACATTGGTATCTTTCTTGCGGAACCTGTAACATCATCACGATGGTTTTTCTCCCTCCTCAATGGGTTCCGGAGCTGCCTTTCGATCCACCAGATTCCATACCCATCAGTGAGTTCATGCTGAATGAGCAGTATGGTCGCTATCCTCTCCACCATGCAAGGCAACCCTTCACGTGTGGGCTGACTGGATTCGGGTACTCGGCTCTGGAGGTACGGGACCGTGTTGATCAACTAGCAAGGGCACTGTCAAAAGAGCTTGGCTGGAGGCCGAATGGAGGAACCGAGTGGGACAAAGTGATTGGAATATTTAGTGTCAACACCGTAGGGACAATCCATTTATACAAAGCGATAGTGTGGGGCAGTGGCTAATGCGCAAACGAACATAGATTGACACTCTAACGTTGTCGTGGGCTGTTCATAGCTTGTCTGGAATCGTGTCGCCAGCAAACGCAGCTTACTCGCGGGCCGAATTGGAGCATCAGCTGAAGTCGTCCGGCTCCAAAGCTTTGTTTACGTGTCTACCTCTTCTACCCCTAGCGGTTGAAGCTGCTGCAAACTCTGGAATTCCAAAGAACCGTATCTACCTGCTTGCTCTACCTAAAGAAGCTACCGGTGGTCAATCGTCCCCACCAGAGTTCAAGACTGTGGATCAGCTCATTCAAGATGGAAGAAAGCTCCCCCTATTGGAGAAGTTCCAATGGCAGAAAGGCGATGGTGCAAGGAAAACTGCTTTTCTTTGCTATTCAAGTGGTACCTCTGGTTTGCCTGTATGCATCTCTCCATGCAATAACGCAACACCTGCTGATGCTACGTAAACAGAAGGGCGTCATGATCTCCCACAGAAATGTTATATCCAACGTCCTGCAAATAGCGACGTCCGAGAAGCCCTATAGAGATTCCGTACAAGAGCCGGGCAGCAAGTATGGTATGACAGAAGTTGCGCTGGGTCTATTACCACAAAGCCATATCTACTCTTTGGTTGTTATCTGTCATGCAACCACCTATAGAGGCGATCAAGTGATCAATCTCCCGAAATTTGAGTTTAATCAGTTCCTCCATTCCATTCAAAGGTTTAAGATCAATTCACTTCCCTTGGTGAGCCAGGCTCCCTTCCACCCCACATCTCCTCTGCTTCCCGATCTACGATTGTACAGATTATCTCCATAGTTGAGGAAGCCGGATCAAGCTTGGCTGATACATGCATTCTTCATAGGTACCGCCAATCGTTATTCTTATGGCGAAGAACAAAGCGGCTTTAGATAAGTTCGACCTCAGTTCGGTCCGATCAATATTTACTGGCGCAGCACCTCTGGGTGCAGAGACGGCGGAGGAGCTGCAAACGCAGCATCCTTCTTGGAAAATCAGGCAAGGTTATGGTAGGATTTCCCCAACGGCCCTCGCCGTTCTGGGCTTATGTTTGCTTACTCTGCTTGTAGGTCTTACCGAGACAAGCACCGTAATATGCTCCACCGCAGTTCACGATATATTCCTTGGATCGTGTGGCTCGCTCATACCGTCAGTTCAAGCAAAGATTGTTTCGATCGAAGGCACGGAGATAACGGAATACGACCAGCCTGGCGAGCTTGTGGTCAAATCACCCAGCGTTGTGCTAGGATACCTCAATAATCCTCAAGCAAATAAAGAGACATTTCAAGATGGGTGGATGAGAACCGGAGACGAAGCCGTGGTGAGAAAGAGTCCCCAGGGAAACGAGCATATCTTCATCGTGGATCGAATCAAGGAGTTGATCAAAGTCAAAGTATGAGGCCTGCGAGATGATGTGGTTGAAGAACTGGCTAACACCGTCTTTAAGGGCTTACAAGTTGCGCCTGCTGAGCTCGAAGCTCATCTTCTGACGCACCCTGCTGTTAGCGACGCAGCCGTCATTCCCGTCCCTGACGAGGCCGCCGGTGAAATCCCAAAAGCCTTTATCGTCAAATCGTCATCTGTGGGTCTGGAAGACAGTGATCGCATGCTCATGAGAGAAATCCAAAAACACGTCGAGGAGCACAAAGCCCGGCATAAATGGTTGAAAGGAGGTAAGCTTCGACTTTTCTCGGACTTGTATTCGTCCAACTGGGTCTCCATGGAGGGTAAGTGATTGGACTAATTCATACTAGGCGTCCAATTCGTTGATGTCGTTCCTAAGAGTCCCAGCGGCAAGATCTTGAGGCGCTTGCTGAGGGATCAGGATAGGGAAGCCAGAAGACAGAAGGGGCCCAAGCTGTAAATGACGCATTGATGCACAACTTTTTGGGCATTGTAGTACGAATAACGAGGAAGGGTTCTGCCTGCGAGATTTCACATAGACCTGTATATTAGCAGACCAAGGTGATCAAGGCTTCGCGCTTAAAGTCTAGCTGTTCTCCCTCTCAGTTCACACTAACAAGCAGACTATCAGTATCCATGTCGCTCTTCGAGGTCAACAGAAATATCCGCGAATAACCGCATCCAAAGCAGTAAAGGATTCTACGGGCTGCGTCCCTCGGTTTGAAATGATAGAGAAAGCAGATGAACGCTGACGACTTAGTGCACTTACACCATCTCGTGCATCCATGAGTCAATTGGTCTTCTACAGACCGCCATTCTTCTCATCCCCAAGCTCTCAACCCCACAAACGACGCCCAACCGGTCTTTTGAACAAACATGTCGCACCCGCCCCCCTCCGCCGAAGCTCTGACCGGCTCCGAAGGCACCGCTAAGGGATCCGGACCTATCAATATACCAGAAGAAGTCGCCATTCTCGAAGTCGTCAACAAATTCCTCTCGTGTATCAAGAACAAAGATCGCGCGCTGATGCATTCGTTGGTACTACCGAAGGGGGCAACGACACTGATCCGTCGAGGCAAGGCGGTCCATTTGAGTCTCGATGAAGTGGTGGAGCGGATCCCTGTGGAGTCGAAGATGGAAATGGATGAGCAGATCTACAATTGTAGGGTGCATGTTGATGGAGATTTGGGCGTTGCGTAAGTGCAGTTCTTCAATTCTTTTCTTCCCAATCGGAATTGCATTTTGAGGGAAGACATGCTGGGGAAGTAAAGCTCTGGTGGCTCTACCTTCTGTCCTAATTGGATCCTCGAACTTTGTCTCACAAATTCCTTTACCAAAAACGCAACGCTGATCTCTAGATGTGCAGGTGGACGCCGTACCTCTTCCTAGAAGATGGCAGGCTGAACCATACGGGAACTAATATCTTCAACATGTGGAAAACGGAGAGCAAGGGGTGGATCATCACTGGCGTTGCTGACATCGCTAGGGAGGTTAATGAGAAAGCTTTTGATGCTTTTGGAGAAGCAGAGGAGTGGAAGAAGTCACAGAGCTCATGATAAAGATCGAAGCGCTGTTGTGCAATGTTATGGGAGAGAACATTTTTCAAGGAATGGAGATCGAGGGGATCCTCGGACGTTTCGACCTCGTCGAGTGCTTCCGTACTGGGACTAGCCTTAGGGCTTGATAGAAATGACGATTTTTCTACACAAACTTTGATGCCGAGTGCATTTCTAAGCAATCGATGAGAAACCCATCGTTTCCCCGTTCCTTCACTCCCAATACTCTCTACCTCCTTGAATTTTTTATCGCCGTAGAAAATCACATAAAAGAACGTCTACGGATACCATGGCTTCCTCACATCCCCCAAACGGAGAAGACGAATCTTTAGAAGATGAGCCCGCTCTCCTAGACGCCGCAGAAGCGGCAGAAGAGATACCCTCGGACCTCGACGAACACATGGATTCCGACCCCGACGATGACCCCCAAGAAGCCGAAATCCAGCTCCAAAACGACTCAAAAGCCCACTTCGACTTGCATACCGATTCCATCTTCACGATAGCCCAACATCCTCTTGATCCCTCTATAATAGCCACTGGCGGAGGCGATGACACTACTTACGTCTTCTCCGCCGAACTCCCCTCTCCTGTCCTCCCTACATCCTACGAATCCAATCCTTCGGCTGGCCGTCCCTCCTTGCAGCCCATCGCCAAACTTACAGGCCATACGGACAGCATCAATGCGCTAGTATTCACGTTACCAAATGGCGACTATCTCCTCAGTGGGGGCCTCGACGGCCGTCTGCGCGCCCATAGCACGAAAACCCAGTCGTACCCTCTAGTCGCAGAAGCGCAAGAAGTGCCCGAGATCAACTTTCTCGTACCTTGTCCAAACCCTTCATATCCAAATACTATTGCTCTAGGCGCTTCAGATGGCAGTGTCTGGGTCTACACGATCGATGCAACGGATGAAGGAGCCCCACTGCAAGTAATACAGGCATACTACTTACATACGGAGTCATGTACCGCTGGAGCGTGGACACCGGATGGGAAAATGCTTGCAACAGTCAGCGAAGATGGAAGCCTCTACGTTTGGGACGTTTTTGGGGAGGCCTCCGCCGCTGGCGCTGTAGGGAGCGCAGGGAGCCAGGCCGTGGTTGGCTTGACGACGGAAGACCAGAGATTCGCAGTCGAAGGAGGCTTATTCAGCGTTGCCGTTGCGCCAGGAGGTGCCTTTGCTGTGGTCGGTGGAGCAGGAGGAATGATAAGAGTTGTTGGTCTACCACGGCTCGCTGCCACGCCGGCGTCGGCTACGCAAGGCATGAAAGGTGGAGGCTCCAAAAACAAGAGTGGAGGAGGTAGGAAAGCTGGTGGTACTGAGGGCGCAAGCTCAGGACAGGCAGGGCAAATACTTGCGAGTCTCCAAGCACAAGGAGATTCAGTGGAGACACTTGCTTTCAGCGCACCACCACTTACTCTACTCGCAGCCGGAAGTGTGGATGGGGACATCATGCTCCTCGACACTGCGCATCGGTTTGCCGCAAGACGGCACATACGGGAAGCGCATGAGGGATTCGCGGTTGTGAAAGTTGAATTCGTGCCTGGTTCTACGGGATATCTACTCACGAGCTGTGGGCTTGACGGAGTGGTGAGGAGGTGGGATACAAGAGGTGGAACAGCGGCGAGTGGACAGGGGCTTGTTGAAGAGTGGAGAGGTCACAGAGGAGAAGGGGAGGGTGGAGGGGTGCTGGGTTTTATGCAAGGAGGAGGGAAGAGGATTGTGACGGCTGGGGATGATGGTGTGAGCTTAATCTTCGAGACGACCACCTAGATCTGCGTTGGACATGGGCATAGCGATGGCGATCTGGTCGCATCTGGCATGAATAAAGAGGCTATTGCCTCTTATGAATGGACGAACACGTATAGCTCAAGCTTGGTCAAAAGAGCCATCTTTGAATCCTAAATCCCGGAATCCCTCGTTTCGCATAATCTCTGGATCATAAGTAAATCTGAATTCCTGACCGGAACCATCTCCTTCAGCCCTGGCGTGATCTCCTCCCTCCCCCCACAACAATGCAACCAATCAAATCCGCCGCTAGAGCAACAGGCGAACTCCGCCTCTCTCCCAACGTCACCCCATCACCACATCCACCCATTCGCTTCACCGATCTCCCGCTCCGGCACAAACACCTGCAATCGACCAGCCGAGGCATTCTCAGGACCGTTGGAGAGACTGGAAAGCTCGTGCGCTGTCCTAGGACCACAGCGACGCGCTCACATACCAAAGCCGGTAGTACCTGCACTGAAGGGGAAGGAGGTTGGGAGATATGGAGAAAGAGAGGGGGGACGGTAGAGGAGGACAGATGCTTCTGGTAGAAGTGTAGTACGGGAAGAGCGCGGAGGGTGGAGAGTCGGTGCGGGGAGGACTTGTGAAGAGCAGGTATGTTTGCGCAGCGAGTCTACGCCTAGCGGTTAAACGCTAGGCAGCGATGGATTGATTGCCTTGTCGCCCTGTTACCTGGGCAGGCGGAAGTGCGGTGTATGACTACTCGTCACCCTCGAAGTTAAATCTCTCGGACATTTATGCTAACTCGAAATGTCTGTACGGGAGGGTTTCTGGTAGGGATTGCAGGAACATTGGCCTCCAAAGGGCACGGGGTTTTTTGTGTCACTGTTGTCTAATTTTTAATGCATTGTGGTCTAAAGAACCGAACGGTGCTTGCGCTTGATGTATCTATATGATAATGGAATAGGAATGCTGAAATCTGGGGTTGGTGCCGATACATGAGGGTCGTGAAGAAAAGAATTTGTGCTCGTGACTTGCTGGGAATGCTTGATGCCATGAAGAGGTTTAACGGATGGGGATTGTGTTGGTGTGGGCGAGAGGTTGCGGCATGGGAGAAGCGTCCAGTGTGATAAGGGTTGAAAAAGAGTGTAGGTCAGAAAAAAAGTTTGTCGGGTCTGGTCAAGTTTTGATACACGAGATCAATGTCTATACGCACTTCTATCAGCGTACTTCCCAGTGATAGACTCGACTCAACTTAACTCACTAGGCAGCAATATGTCTTTCGTTTCGAATGTTCCTCCTTCATTTCGTAGGAACCGGGTGTGAGCCATTGGCTTTGCGTTTCCATGCCGGTCTTTCAGTACTCGATAGCATAGACGTCTTTGCGGCGCCCGCAGGATGAATTGGTGCACCACAAGTTGAATCTGAGCGACATCAGACCATCCCTACAATAACCGCACGTCCAGGAGCGAGGCTGGGGTGGAGGAGGAGGAGGAGGAGGAGGAGGAGGAGGAGGAGGGGAGGCCCGACTGCTGGTCTGGGATCGGCTCGTCATGTTTGATGGGATTGCTTGACAACGGGGACGATTTGGAGGTGGGTGATAGAAGTGCTGATTACGGGTTTCGCGGAGGTTTTGGTGTGAGGACGCAGGACCGCTCTCGGAGCTGAAAGATTGTTGGCGGTGCTTTTTATGTTTTCTTCTCGAGATACTGGAAAGCTGGTTTGTGAGGATGTCTGAATTGGAAGAAGGATGAGCGTTGACAGCTCTTCCTTAAATACTAAAGGAGGGGGCACTGTTAATCTTCGTCAGGGAGGCGCTAGTCAGGAGACTCACCGACCCTCGACACACACCGGAATTGATGATGAAGCATCGCCCTTTGAAGGCGGTCGATACATCTCCTAACCATCATGTTAGGGCGAACGAAGCTTTGTAGAGAGTCCCTTAAAATTCCGCAAGCTCGAAGGAACGCTGACCGAAGTAGTGAAGCTTGGAAATGATTTCCTGCTGCGGTGGTCAAAGTCCTAGACGCAATGATTCGTTGGGTTATAGCGGTTGGGCCCCAAGAGGCCCGGTCAGCAGTTTGAAAGCTTCGCTTTGATAGTAGGGGTATGATACGTACCGTGACGGCTCATTAAAAGATGATGCTCCAATTCCCACATAAAGCTTACTGGAGGCAGAAAGAAGGCATCCGTGGCTATGCACTGTGTTCATCACATAGTGATAAACCGTAACCTTGTGTGCTGAAGTCCAAGTGCCGTTAGGATGTAAATAATGCCGCAATGGATGATCGAGTATGTGGGGCTTAGACCTATGGACATTCAAGCTGGGGGGGGGGATACTTGACCCGAGACCTAGTAACCGGGACCAAGCTGCACGCTGAAGCAAGATGGTGAAGCCGGAAGAGCTAACTCTCCGGATGGGGAAGGCTGTGCCGGTCGGAAGCCTGTAATGCCATGTGCTCGCCACGTTGGCTGGTAAGGAGCGTCAGCCACCATGCAGCCTTGCCTTGCTAATGCGCGTAATATCTCTTCGTCACTCTGTCGGGCTCGCAAGCGACTTGTGAAGCGTGATGCAGGTTTTGAAAGAATCTGTGATGCAAGGCAAATGCGTGCGAAAGGCATGGGAATCTGACCGTAGCGCAGGTGGCCAAACAAGGTAATCATGACGCCCATAACTGACAGAACATAACTAGTGCATCTCGCTGTAGTCCTTGCGTTACAAACATTGTCTAAGAACTGAATATGTAGTCTCTCGTATTTAGAGTTGGTTGATGGAGGCCTAATAAGCTTCATATTGGGGCGTCTACCAGCCCTCAATATCTTACAACACCTCTCTCTGAATCTTGGATGTGCTTTCTGTGAGGTCCAGGATAGGGGGAATGAACTGGTCACTGAGCACAAAACCATTAGCGCTTCGTTGAAAATAACGTTCCAAGTCGATTATAAGGGGCACCTGCCAATATTTACTCCCTTGTGCAATAATGACACCTGGGATGATCACATTGACGGCCGTTGATGACGTTCGTACAGCTAGATTGCGCCGCCATGCTGTAAGGACCGCTGTTGCATTTGTGGCAGTACCACCTTGTTGGCGTAGTGGTTGGTCGCTCCTGAGCGCGAGGCCTTCGCGGCGCACCATTTCCCAGTAATCGACGCACAGTGTACATACTTTTACTGATAGTCTCTACCAGTTTGTAGCGGTAGCCTGCGGGACTAGATAAATTCGGGTCGACGATAGCAGCGACGTGAGCCCTGGGGAGTGGACCTGCTGGCACATTTAGTGGTAACCAAAAGGTTTTATGGCAAAGAATCCGACCTTCGAGAACGGTAGGTAAAGATTGGACGGACAATAGCTGGGTGTTCGCATTGCCTGGGGCTCGTTTGGGTAGTAACATATTATGAAACCGAGCATCCCAGCCACCATCAAGACGGTTGAAGGGCAGAGCAAGCATAATGGTCAGATAAAGCGGCATCTGAAGGCAGTTGTATAACTGCTGTAGGGGAGAACAGCGACATCAAAGGAAATTCACGAGTCAAGGGGTATGGATTTCGGACTTGAAGGGGCAAATTGGGGGATGATACGTGACACATCACGGACGATGTACGATCTGACTGAGCCGTACAAAGTGTGATTTTGGCCTGCAAGTTCAGTGCTGCTGTATCATTTGCCCGAGAGAGGCGGGAAGATAATGTGAAAGGATGCAGATCATAGAAAAACACGACCTCCTCACGCAAAACTGGTCAATGCCACCCCTGACGCTTACTGCGTTCTCCTGACCCTGGCGCACACCATCATCTGGCCGAGGTCGAGTCGCCGGTGGTAGGATATGTCAATTTGACTCACGGGCGTAAAGACGGCGTAGAAAAAAGATCCCACAGATTAGTCTCCTTCTTACCGAGTCCTGAAGCTCGTTTGATTGGGCTCTACTTGGCACTACGCCTGGCGAAAAGATGTCCCGATTCAAAATCCTGATTGTCTTCCTCAGTCCGTGACTGTTTAACGTGATAAGTGCAATGAGAACTTCGAGGTACCTTCCAATGTGATGCGGCGAAATCATCGAGACGTAATTCAGCGAAGGGAGTCAGTATGGAAGGGTGGCGAATCATGAGACTGGTCAGAATAGCGGCAAATGATACCTTACTATTCGGACAAGACTTCCTTTTCCGATAAGGCGGTACCATCATGTCACCTCAGCTCAGGGTCAAAGCTTAGATCCCTAGCCGCCATTTTGTCGTCAGGCTACCGTTATACTGTGAGAGAAAGTGACGGTCAATGGGATTGATTTGATTTGGTGTCTCGTGTACAATGAGAGTGGGCGCCAGCCGAACCAGTACACCAGACGTTCCCTCTCTGTACGGATATATTCAATATATATAGCACAGCGCTCGCTGCAATGGCCACGCATACTGAAGATTCCGCGGCCCGGCCGAGGATACATTGCTGCACCGCAGATTACAGTGTGCGGCTTGGCGTGGGGTTCGCTATATGGCGAGAGCTTCGTGATTCGGTAAGTCCGGAAAGCCCCTACATCCCTCTAAACTATGAGCTCAAGTTGTAAGGCTGCACTGAATGAAGTGGAGAAACACATATCAACGCTCCAAAACATAGCCCACTTCATAATGCAAACGGAATGGTTATTGTATCTTGTGGTAGAGATGACAGGGCAAGCATCCTTCTCAAGATAAAAGAGTGGCAACTGGGAGCAATGTTTGGCTGGGAGCTTCGCATTAAGGGACTTCATTTACCCAAAGAGCGGTGAGAATCTGGGCTCATTTTCGATGACTTCGAGGCTGGGAAGCCCTAGAGTAGTAATTGACGCTTCTTTTTCAATGACTTCCGCAAATGCCTGGTTGCCTACAGGGACTGAGTCGGAGGACCCGAGGCCTGCTCGCTCCCACGCAATGATAAAGTATTCTGGCTGATAGAAAATGGAGGTTGCTGAAGCGTCAAGGCCGCAGCTAAAGACCACGTATTCATTGGAGGTTCGACACAAGAGTTGCTGTTGTTGATCTCCTCCAAACTGGCGCCGAACTACGGAGGTCCTGGTCGCCAAGACTCCCGTCCTGCACCAAGATCTCGGATAACGCCCTCTGGACAATGCGATGAGAAGTGCTTAAAGATTGCACCTAATTCCAGCTCAGTCTGGAGGTCAATGCCCGTATCACACCCAAAAGCGTTCCCTAGAGTTCAATTTATGCGCTCCCAGAAGATATTCGTAGTTCCAAGATCACCACCTAGGTTTCTCACTCCAGGGGAGCCTTCCGAAAGTAGGGTTAGGGCCGGTATGGGGGCTGTCCAGGACTCTCGGTGCCGACTTCCCTGCTTCTGTAAGGTAAACGGGGTTCGTTTCGTTACACCTAGTGTAATCTACTTCTCAGCGGGAAGTGTTGAGTCGTCGAGTCATTGAAAGACAATATGATCATTAAGTAGTAGTTATCAAGTCTTCCCTTGCTCTCGAACACTCCATTTCGAGCATTTACCTCCCCAAAGGACCAGGCATTTGTATCATGGGCTGCTGACGATTCCTGGCCAACACCAGGCCCATCAATTCAGTGATCAATGGCCCCCAATGCATCTATCAATAAAGCTACGAATTTATGGGTATCCCGGGTCATTCCACTGATCCTAATCGGACTTGTGGGATATGTGTCTTGGGTCGAGATAAAGCTGTTATGCGGTAAGGGAATCCCAAACCGCTTGGCTGATTCATGCTGACGAGCATCAACAGTGGACTACCTCCTCAGACCTTCCACCACCCTCCACACTCCTCGCCCCGGCCCAGCGATTGGCATCCTTGTCATATACTCTGTCCTTCTACTCCTCTTCGTCTTCACCTATGCCCGCCTTCTCTTTACCGTTACCGTCACTCCCGGATACGTTCCACGCTGCAGTCAGTGGCGTGCTCTGCGAGAGAGCAAAACGAAAGCGAAGGGACGGCGCAATCAACGCCATAGGAAAAGATCCAGCCAAAGCTCTAACGGAAGTACTGGAGAGAATGCTGGAGGGGAAAGCGCAGAGAATGGAAGGATCTCTGGCCACAATTATGGGGGTGGGGCATCCACAGCGCCTACGACTACAGAAGCAGCGCCTGGCCTCCAGGACTTCTACAGCAGGGATGCATTCGTCTGCCAAACAGACGGTCGCCCCAACTGGTGCTCTACCTGCTTGAATTGGAAACCAGACCGAGCGCACCACTGCCGTGAGATTGAGCGATGCGTTCGCAAGATGGATCACTTCTGCCCTTGGTAGGTGATCTGTTGCACAGTCTAAGCTACTGAGTGGAGGGCCAAACCCCAGATAGCCGTTCTCCTTATCATCAGATCCAGGAGTTTCTTATACTGACCGCGGCTAGGGTCGGAGGGGTGGTCTCTGAGACGTCGTTCAAATTTTTCATCCAGTTCGTAGGCTGGACTGCAATCTACTGTGTCTTCAATCTCACCGTTGCAGCATACTTTCTTGCGGAGTACAGAAGAGAGGTGAGCGGACTTCGCTGCCTTGGTTCCGAATATGGACTCTCGTAAGGCTGCGACAAAAGCCACGAGGCAAGGCCACACGAGCCGTTGACTGTCTTACCGACAAAGCTTGTTTCAACGTTCACAGATCATCAGGCTAATAAATACCCTGTGCAGACCCACTCTCTTCATGTCCACTGGCTGGTCGTTGTATGCTTGTAGGTGGACCAGCAATCTTGCATGTATGATAGGAACTGATGAGCCTCTAGGGGCGCTCTGTTCGGTCTATTCAACCTAGGCATGACTGGCAGCTCCCTCCAGTTTGCCCTCATCAATACCACGACCATCGAAAACCTGTCAAGGAGGACCCTAGTCTGGACACTGGCCATTCACATGCCAAAGCCTCCAGAAACATCGATCGGATTTCGTACCGTCTCCTTCTCAACGGCGACGTTGACTACAGAGTCTGACGCGCCTGCTGAAGAACAGGCATCAGGCGCTATAAAGACCTTCGCGATCCTGCATACTAAGCCTGGAGAGAACCCTTTCGACCTCGGGCCATATCAAAACTTCAAAACTGTGATGGGAGATCATTGGTACGACTGGTTACTGCCGATCAGGTTTAGCCCATGTTGCAACCACGATCGGAGAGATGGTCAATTTGCCATGGGTCCGGTCGTCCAACGAATGCGGGCTGAAGCGGGTATCGCCAGTGTAGAAGAAATTAGCGATGAGAAAATGCATAGAAAGCCGAAGCGCAGTAGACGGCAGTCTCATAGAGCTAGAGCTGCAGTTGCCGCACCGGAAACAGACAGCAATCAAGACGAGAAGAAAGGTCGTGATACGGGACACAACAGAGATGAGGCTGACGATATTGATCTAGAAGCCGGCCTTGGACATACAAATGGGCATGTACATTAACACATTGATTCTCGCATTGCATAGCGTAGGAAGCATTAAACGTTCCTGGCCGAGCCTGTTGGTTTCAGGATTGCAGCTATACCTGTGATACAAAGTCTTAAGATCACGCAGAACGAGTCTCATCGAGGTCAAACTTTCCCTCTAACATCCCGACTGATCTGGCAATCATCCAAAAAGTACGGCAAGTCTGACATTTCGTTACCAAAGTTTCTAGCTACAAACGACAAAGAAAGAATCAAACATCATGACCAAAACACCAACCACATCAGCAACAACCACACAATTTGCACCAATCTCAGCTCGCGTCCGCTCCAGAACTTGCAGTCAACTGTCCCATTTCCTATCATCTGTCCCCTTATCCTCGTTGTATCTCTCGCTTATCCTTGCATGTCCCACTCAACCACACAGACAAGCTCTCGCCTTTAGCATTCATTGCAAGATCCGCACCTGTAATGAGGACAAATGCCACATCTCTCAGGGCAAAGAACATTATTGTTGAGGTGACCGCAGTCGTGGCAAACCCAAAACCCTCTCTGATCCGAGGGTTGGAGGTGGTGGATATTGCCGGAGGCGTCTGAGGCGGAGAGGCAGTGGTTGGCCATTTTGAGAGAAGTGATTATTGATCGCTGTGGAGAAGTGGTGTTGGATGGTATGGGGTGCTGAGATGCCGGAGGGAGTTGAAGACGATGTTTGGCTTGAGCAGAGGGCGGGAGGTGAAGAGGGCGAGTTGGGGATTGACGGAAAGGGCGTATGAGAGGGCGTACAAGAGGGCGATCTGTGGGAAGTTCGGGGCAGAGCGGTTGTGCTTGAGGGCCGTTGACTTTTCGGGACGATGGAGAGTCTGTTGAATGATGATAGCAGAGATTGGGGACATCACAGAGGGTTATATATACTCCCCATCCCACAGTGAAGCTCACCGCTGACCGTGCCAGAGACTCTGATCCCACTCCTCCTAATCTCACCGAATTCGCCCAACTCTGCTGACTCTACACAGCACCGTCATCGATGACAAAGGGATGAAGATATTGATCTCGCCCTGCAGGAAGAGGATGGAAATCGGTAAATGGTGTTTCGCCTGAATGAGGCATGTCCTAGCGAGTGTAGAAGCAGCGGGGAAAGCCAGGCTGGAAGGAATGCTGCTGCGTAGAAGCACCCAAAGGATCCCTCCTCGATCCGAGTCAAAGCGCGTTCTACAAGGCGAGAAGGAAGGCAGCTCCACTTTTCCCGTCAGACAGACACAAAAGGCGTTGTGACCCAGCGGTGGATGAAGCAGGATGAGTGAGCCAAGTGCACGACTGCTGCGGAAATCCAAACACCCCTTTCGTTCCCTACAGTCGGCGCTCCCCGCAAGGACGAGAAGCTTTCAAGGCGAGAGAAGACGTTTGCTCCACTTTTTTTTGGTTTTTTGGGGGGTTTTCGGGAAAGGAAAAAAACAGGCGTTTCTGACTCTGCAGGACCCACGAGGCAAAAAAAGGGGCTGCGCAATGCTTAGAGGCAGGGGGGGAGGGTCCCCCAAGGCAATCCTGCGAGGCAAGGAATTAACCTTTTGGTATTTTTTTCTTGGTATTCCATGTTTGCGTAACGGAAAGTAAAAAGAAGAAACACTGCGCTCGGTTGCGCGGACGGGAGGTTGTGGGTATGATGACTCTTGCTCCGCGGTTGGGGGGACAAGCTTCGAAGGGAATCGAAGTCTGACCGACGGGGCGGGCGCCTCGTCGGGGTCGGACGGAGGAGGACTTTTTCGGTCGAGTGGGACTGCCGTGGCGAGGAGTGGATGGAGGGACTTTGGTGTTAATGACGCTTTCAAAACGCCGGGCGAGAAGGGTCGAAGGTTGGCAGAGTACGATGGGGATGCTAGCTCACCTAAGAAACGCACGAATGAATTATATGGGCAAATCTAACGCTGGGCCACACAAAGTCACATTTTGGGATTCTTCGAAGGTTTGTGAAATATGTATGTTTGGCTTTATGTTTCTCTGTCTATGACAATTATTACAATGGTGAATCTCTGATGTTGCACACTGGTCTGACAACATGAAAAAAAAAACGGACAGGGACTTCCAGCACGACACAGCAACCCATCATCTAGAAACCAGCTCCCCTCTCCAAACATCATCCTCTCGAGCATTTTTGTAAGGCTATTAAATCCAGAGCCACCTAAGCCTACCTCAACATATAGTCGAGATAGTGGGAATAGATTCCATCCGGAGCCCACATTCAGCGTAGAGCTGAGGGGTGGGACGGAGTCATTCAGCGCCCCCTGCTCCAGCGAACTGGAACAGGGGGCGCCGAACGGCCATGAGCAAAAGGACCCCAGTTCATAGCCTGAACCCGAGCATCGCCGAAGCGGATGCCGAGCCCCGATATGAACCAATCACAAGCCGTCCGCTTCAGCAAAGCTGAAGTTTCGGGATGAAGAAGTCCTTGCTTGCTTGTTCGAGAGGAAAGATGATGAGGAGGGTCGCCAAGTCTTTCGACGACAGGAAGGTTGTCCGCCGGGTTGTCGAAAAATGAGGTCTGAATCGTTCAACTGTTCCACCACAGCACCACCACCGCCACCACCAACCCCTTCTCCTCCCCACCCCCCCCCCTCCTCCCCTTCCCCCCTCTCCACCCCCCTACCACCCCCTCACTCCCCCACCCAACGAGCCCCCCTTCATCATCATTGCCAATCCAAGCTGCGGCGCCGGCATTGGGGGGTAGACGAATGTGATAGGCGTCGAAGCGTGACGTGAAGGCGCTGGCAATGGCGTGTACCGATGGGAGTATACATTTTTGTACACGATTCCATGCTGGATCTTGGAATGGGGATCGGATTTCAGCCCCGAGTACAAGGAGAACAAGCTGAAAAGGATCATCAACAACATCATAGCGTAAATGAACAAGGCCCAACTGCTGAACCTAGTCGGGGAGTGACCGTGACTTTCTTGACGGGCAGGTCCGTGGTGTCTGTCGCCATATCCTTGGCGGAACGGAGAGAGTCTGCGACTTTCTTGACGGGCAGGTCCGTGGTGTCTGTCGCCTTATCTTTGGCGGAACGGAGAGGGTCTGCGACTTCCTTGACGGGCAGGTCCGTGGTGTCTGTCGCCATATCTTTGGCGGAACGGAGAGGGTCTGCGACTTCCTTGACGGGCAGGTCCGTGGTGTCTGTCGCCATATCTTTGGCGGAACGGAGAGGGTCTGCGACTTCCTTGACGGGGAGGTCCGTGGTGTCTGTTGCCATATCTTTGGTGGAACGGAGAGGGTCTGCGACTTCCTTGACGGGGAGGTCCGTGGTGTCTGTTGCCATATCTTTGGCGGAACGGAGAGGGACTGCGACTTCCTTGACAGGCAGGTCCGTGGTATCGGTTGCTCTATCATCGGCAAATACATCGGGGTTCGTTCCCACGTCTTTGACCTCGTTGAGCGGCATCGTCGCAATAAGCTGGCCGGATGCCAACCCCTTGTAGGTATCCTCCGGTATCCCCGATAGTTCGTATGCAACGAGCGCTGGTGCTTCATAGAGTCGGCAGCCTGGACCTAGAGCCTTTAGGCGTCGGTCGATGGCGTCGGCCTTTGCTGGGGTACATTCGAATAGGCTCTCGAGGGCTTCTGACTGTTCCTTCGCTCGTCCCTTTCCTCGCACCTCAAGTGTCTCGAGGTTCTTTGCTTGACGCTCCAGTGACAGTAGCTTCTTCATCTTTCGACGCATGCTCCCTCTAGCATGCTCTCCAACATCCTCTGAACCGTCCGTCTCCCAGTTTGCTGCACCCGCTGCCTTCTTCTCTTCACTTGTCTCCGCTTGCTTCGACATCATTACACCCTGTTGCTGCGGCATGGAAACGTCGGACTGGTATTCGTCGCTCTGATCACGAGAGGAATAGCCAAGGTCTTGACGCAGTGATTTCTTAGCGCGGGGAGTCTTCTCCAAATCTAGACTGCCCTCATCTGTTGTGTACGTTGGTGACGCGGGCGGTGTGACCTGTGAAAGTATATTAGCATGTGTAGGGCGTCTGGGCTGGATAAGGGCAGGAAGGGAGAGGAGCCCATAATGTGGGCAGAGCTGCTCACCTGGCTACGTTCGGCTTCCATGGGGGTCCCAATCTGTGATTGCAGCAACCTCGTACGCTCTTCAATATCTCGCTGCACTGCGTCCGATAAGTCGCTGTTTCTCTTCCAACCCTGCACTTTCTCCTCGGAGATCTTGGTCTGGAATGTCTTATTTTCCTTTTCTTGGAATTCTTGATTGGCCTGCTCCAGCTGATCTGCCTTTCCTTGGAGTGCTTCCATGTCTGATTTTGTTGTCTGATGTTCCTCTTTTGCAGTTTTGAGCTCCGACTCTAGTAGGTCTGACAATCCTTGGAGTCCCTCCATGTCTGATATTAATGCCTGAATTTGCTCATTTGCAAGTTCGAGCTCCGACTCTAGTTGGTCTGACAATCCTTGGAGTGCTTCCTTGTCTGACTTTGTTGCCTGATTTTGCTCTTTTGCGATTTCGAGCTCCGACTGTAGTTGGTCTGCCAATCCCTGGAGTGCTTCCTTGTCTGACTTTGTTGACTGATGTTGCTCTTTTGCGGTTTTGAGCTGCGAATCTAGTTGATCTGCCAGTCCTTGAAGTGCCTCCATGTCTGACTTTGTTGACTGATGTTGCTCTTTTGCGGTTTTGAGCTGCGAATCTAGTTGATCTGCCAGTCCTTGGAGTGCCTCCATGTCTGACTTTGTTGACTGATGTTGCTCTTTTGCGGTTTTGAGCTCCGAATCTAGTTGCTCTGCCAGTCCTTGGACTGCCTTCATGTTCGACCCTGTTTCCTGAAGTTGCTCCTTGCTAGCTTTCTGATCCGACTCCAGCTTTTGCAGCATATCGTTATGGCTCTTTTCTTGATCTTTGAAGGCCTTGTTGGCTTGTTCTAGTCGCTCAGCCTTTTCCTGAAGGGCCTTCATCTCCGACTCAGCTTCTTGGTGTTGCTCTTGGGAAGCTTTGAGGTCTGACACCAGCTTCTCTCTGTCTAGCACGTCGTCATCTAACATGTCGACGTCGGTCTTTTCTCGATCTCGGAAGGTCTGGTTGGCCTGTTCTAGCTGAATCACTTGTTCTTGGAGTGCTTTCATGTCCCCTTCTGTAATCTGATGTAGCTCTGCGCTGGCTCTGAAATCCGATTCCAGGTTCTGGATGTGCAGAATGTAGTCCTGGGTCTCATCTTGATCTTTTAAGGCTTGGTTGGCCTGTTCTAGTTGAACCAACTGTTCTTGGAGTGCTTTCATGTTCCCTTCTGTAATCTGATGTAGCTCTGTGCTGGCTTTGAGATCCGATTCCAGGTTCTGGATGTGCAGAATGTAGTCCTGGGTCCCATCTTGATCTTTTAAGGCTTGGTTGGCCTGTTCCAGCTGGTGGGCCTTGACTTGAAGAGCCTTGATGTCAGACTTTGCTTTCTGATGGCGCTCTCTGCTAGTGTTGAGATCTGACTCCAGCTTCTCCTTGAGCAGCTTCCCGTCATGAACTTTATCTTGAAGATCTGCGACTTCTTCTGAACAGCCTTGGTGCTCCTCCCACTGTTCCAACGCTTGATGGAGTCCTATCTGCTCCGGTGTCCCTTGGACCAGCTCTTCCAACGAAGCGATTTGGTTCTGAGCCTTTTGTGCCTTTGATTGCCATTCGGAAATGGTCGCCTGAAGAGCATCTTTCTCTTCGGCAGGTTTTTCTACGGACCACCCATATTTTTCCCTCCACGCTTGTAGATCACGTGCCGCAGTTTCGTACCTACGTTCCGCATTCTTAAGCTGGCCCTTCTGGCTGCCGACAAGGTGATCTGCATGGCCTTTCGCGTTTTTGGCTTCTTTCTGAGCTTTGTTCGTAGCCTTTTCGCAGTTCTTGGCATGCCTTTCGAGTTTTGTAATCGCATCCTTCTGTGTTCGGAGTAGCTTCATCAGCTGATCGTTTGTGTTTTTGAACTCGGTTTTTTGACGCATTTCATCTTCCGCCGCTTTGTTCGCGTCTTCCAGCTTATTTCTAAGCATCCAGATATGTTGTTCCGGTGTTCCCGCCATTTTTACCGTGGGTGGGTCGAAACCGTGTTGCAAGGATTGAATGATGCAGAGGATCGGGTGAGGTGCGAGGTTGGTTGGTGTGGATGAAGAAAAATGTGAGATGTGACGCGATGGGTTATGCGAGGTCTGTACTGGGTAATGTGTTGATGAAGTGTAAAGTAGATGTGAGGTCTGATGTGCTGGTTCAAGCACTGTGTGTAGTATGTAGGATTGATGAAAGAAAATGCGAGACTTGACGCGGTGGATCACGCAGGTTGTGTGAAATCCATGAGTCAGAGTGTTGGTGATTTTTGAAAGTGAGGTTTGCTTTGCTGATTTCGTTTCATTGCCGGATGCGGAAATTTCGCGCTAGTGGAAATTCACGACAAGGCATAAGTCACTTATCATGGGGGCACTGAGGCTTTGTCTTTTTACGTATGTGACAAAGGGATCGAGATCATCTTTCACCATACCTTCGCCCCAACTTGATGCCTGCTAACCATGTATTTCAGTGTATCAGTTGCTTCCCTTAAGATCTAGCCGTGTCGTAGTGAGACGCTCTCAAACTTCGGTTACACAAGCACTCAAGTCCTCTTCAAACATGCAGACTAATCCGGCATAAGCCTCGGATATGTCTTTCAAACGTCAAAGGTCGTACTCTGGCAAACTCTCGAGGCTGTGACTAGGGGTCGCTGCCACAAGAACTAACTCCAAGCACGGCCAAGAGTACTGCCGCTGTCTTGAATATTACCTCGGGCACAATGAAGCATAGTTGGAATATCAATCTCCTTTCATAGAGGAACACAACGCAACGAGTATGAGGTTTCGCCGGGTCCCAGGCCCTGCAAAAGAAGAAGGTCAACAAGTTGATTTAGAGGAAAATTCAAACATCTTGGTTGAACCTTTGCGTGCAATGCCGAGATTGAACTTCGCTGAGCACATAGTAGTCAGAGTTTTGCTCTAGTCCAAGACGCCTGCTGACTCTGCGTCAAGAACCATTTTGTCGTGCCTCCTGTAGATGCCCTTGCCATATCAGCATACATCAACCCGATACGCCAGCACATGCCCAATCCATGTTATCGCTCGAACTCAATCCTTCCCTTCTCTGCAGAGTCAGCCTCTGCATCCATGCCTCCCAACAGGTCTTCTTCTACCTGCAGGCTCCCACCCCTGCCGACTCCTACAACTGCCTCCCTCTCCCTCCAATAATTCTCTATCACCCTCTCTCACACTCCTTCTATCCGCCTCCACGCCATACGCTCCTTTCTCTTCTTCGTCGTCGAGATCGGTTTCAGAGCGTTGTAACGCACTCCTCTCCATCTCTCTCTGTGCTTCGTCTACCCTCTTGCGGACTTCGCCCGCTACTCTCATGCCATCGCTCACGATGTTGTCCAACACACCTCTCAATCCCTTTACAGGTGGCACAATACCACCTCGAGGTGCGGCAGGCACGGTGGGCGTGGGTGAGGAGAAGGTCGTCAGTGGTGTTTGAGAATGTGAATGAGCAGGATGGTCCGAAAGATGAAAGGAGGCTGGGAAAGCAGATTCAAAGAACTGTTGGAGCAGCTCATCGGCGAGAATTACCATACGGAAGGTTGGGAGAGTGATGTGAAGAGGGTTGGACGGGTCGAGGGCGATGTTGGCGGATCGCTTGGATATGGATTTAGACTGGGTGTGGCTTAACGACGAGGTGCGGCGAGGTAGCGCGGGAGGTGATGGATTCGAAGGCGAAAATTGTTGAAGCAACGTGGGTTTGATACCGAGGTCGAGGAGGTCTCCTTCGGAATCGGAGTCGCCAATTGTGAAGTGGTCCATACTGATATTGAGTTCGGTATTAGGAGAGGAGGTGAGGTTGTTACTTTGGTTCTGGGGATGGTCAGGGTCCGCATACTCGAAACAGCGACGAATGAAGGCACTGATGCTGCCGAGAAATCTTTCATCTGCGCTTGAGCTTTTCGGATCGACCCCGTCGTCAAGAGTGGAAGCGATCGAGATCGACGATGGTACTGAGCTGCCTCCAAGACCTCTCCGCGTCAGGAAGAGCAAAGCTTCCGAAATGCGTAGAATGCCTTCTCTGTCGACTTTGCCGTCATGATCGTCATCGTACAAATCGAAGAAATAGCTAATGCTAGTCATGATGTCTGTTGTACCTTTGACGCGTGCAAGACCCGTGACCACATCTTGCAGGCTCAAGCCGTCATTATCGTCCTTGTTCCACTTTCCATACAGCCGTTGCATAAAGTCGTGGTCTGCAGGCTCAGAGTTGCCTGCACCCCATGGTGACAGCGAAGGGCTTCGCCCTCTTCCGCTGTGCCCAGAATATACGCTGCTCGCCCTTTCGGACATGGAGTCATTGTGGGATGTAGGTGCATCTGTGATGGCCCACCGGGTGATCCCGGCTAGAAATTCCCTGAAACTATCATAATTCATCAAAGTGGGGCTAGGTCCCAAACCCACACGACCTATCTCAATACTGGAATTGCCTGGAATGCCAGTAACGAGTTCTGTAGCATTGTCGTTTCTAGCTTTGGCCCGTCGGTCGATGTCTTCCCGCATGACCTGTATACGTTGCTCCCTCTCATACAATATGCCATAAAATCGATCGTAGAGGAAGCCCAGATCATCCATGCTCAGACGCTTACTTTCAGGTCCTAGATTTCGGATCGATGTCCTCTTGGCAAAGCTCTCAATGTTGTCAAGCACGGCATCTTTGTGCTTTGCCCGTTGTTCGGATATTGTGCTTTGAGTGATTCCTGCAAATTCTTTGAAGGCAACCACCATGAGTTCTTGAAATTTAGTCACAGCGCGAAATTTCTCATTCTCCGACTTTGGATGTGCCGATTCTTCCAAGCGCGAGAAGTAGGTTTTGAGTATTGATATAAAAGCGCCATCGTCAGTGATGTCAAGGAGATCCTCTCCGTTGATCCTCAGAATGGCGAGGCCGACTTGGAAAAGCACCTTCGGACCCTCCAAGAAGAAAACATCAAGAACTCGAAATGCAAATATCAAAGGCATAGAGTTAATGTAGAGGGAAAGAAACCAAGGCAATGATACCACAGATAGCTGTACGTCCGACTTGACAAGATGTTCCCAAAGTATCGGCATTGTTTTTTCGACCAGAGATTCGAACACCCGCTGGTCTAAAAGCGTACCGTACATGGTTGTAGAGTAGTAGCCAGGCAAAAGTCGATCACACAAAACAGAGAGCAGGAAGAAGGCTTGCGTTTCAGACATATAGCTGTGCTAGTTAGCGGTAGCCATCTTTCCAAGGCCTGTATCTTACATGAGAAGCGCTGCGACCACAATATTCATAGCTTGGCAGTAGCCTACTTCTTCGTTGATCCAGCTGTAAGCAGTCAAGACCCGTCTAAGACGTCCGATACCTTCTTCGCTCTGGAAGCCAGGATATTCCGGCAAGCTCCGATTCAGGTCCTTCTCGATCTCGTCAATAGCCAAAGATTCACGTCCTGAATATCTTGATAGCGTGTCTGTGAACAATCTCGGCTTCTGGAGCCGGATGTATAAGGATCCCGATGTGAGCTCCCATGTTTCTCCACGAAGACGGTTTGGCAGGCCAACTCTGATCAACTTATGAAACGTAGGTTGTCGGATGAGTGTAGCGTTTCGACCATTATCTGACTGTTGGTCAGTCTTTGCCATGCAAATGAAGACTTCTTACCGACCTCGGAGATATTCTCTCCATAGCCTCATCTTACTCTGCTCCCTCAGCTTCTTGGCATCACCTGGGTATCTGAATACCATGCCAAGTCCTGCGTCTGGTGGCTCCTTTACTCCATTCACCAACAAAGCATTCTCCCGCTCCGCTTTGTTGGCTCCAGACAGCAGATACTCGGAATAGCATTCGCCGATTACTGCTTTCAGATTCTCCACCTCCTTGACTCCGTCCCTCAGGCCCTTCTTCATTCCATCACAAAAGCGTTCCGAGGCTTGTCTGCTACCCGCAAGCTGTACTGTGAAGCGTTGAGCATCGCTTGAGTTGCCCTGCTTGCCCGAGAGGGCAGTAAATCCATTCCATGTCGTGATTGCCAATGCGAATAGACTATTGGGTGTTTGAAGCCGCTCAACCCTTCGAATAGCACACAACGGTAGGGTGAACCCATTGCCTGCAGGCCCCGCTCCTTGAGTCTGGCCAGTGAACGCGCTTGAAGCCTGCGTGCTTGCACTGTGGTGGAAGCTGGTAGGCTGCGTGGAGAAGCACAGAAAGCTTTCGCTCAAATGCAGCTTCCCTACGTATGTAGTCCCTCGCTCTTGTGGTTTCTGCTTCTCCTTTGGCCCTTGTGCTGAAGCTCGTGAGCTGTGTGGTGCAGACAGGGACAGCTCCGCAGTGATCTCGTGCTGTGGCGTTTGGGAGTCTGGAAGGCGGAACTGGAGGCGAAAGAGAGCGGCCTTGGAAGGACTTCCATCGGAGTTTCTCGTGCTTGGTGACGCTGAGGGATCAATGAGTGATTGGGCCTTTTGGACGAGCGAGTTGAAGGTGAACATGGCTATAAGCCATGCAATTCATTGGGAAGCTTGGAAAACATAAAGGAGGGTCTGGTGTCATGGGCGTTTTTCAGATGTTCGCCATGATTTCGCTTTACTGATATGGGAGGGGAGCTTACCCTAACCTAGGCACTTCACCAGCGGCTGAGTTTCGGTAGTGCTTGAGGAAATATTGATTATGAGAATTGATATGTTTTAGATCCATTGTATTCAGAGAATAAATGCATTCGTATGCAGATTCGTGATTCATCATCTATCTATCCCAGCTAGATCACAGGCACGGATTCAACATCCCAGTCCGCTAGGAAAGAGCAAGCTATGTGAAAAGGGAAAAAGGACTATGGACACCACTGCCACACAATCTAAAGCCATTCATCTCTCTCATATCACATCCATCATCTCTTCATTGATCGTTCCTATGTGCTCATGCCAATGTTCTACTCTGCCCATCTATCCCCTTCCCTCGGTGTTCAACCTTATCCACAGATAGCCAACCTGTATATTAGCGATATCTGCGCGGTGGCGGTAGGCCGTAGGTGATCTCCCTCTCTACCACACGCTCTTCGTCCCATGGTGGTGGTGCTGGTGGGAGTGCTAGTGGTCTCCGGGGCCGCTCGAGAAATTCGCGCTCAGCCTGGATCTCACGGATGCGTTCGCGGCGATCACGTTTGATATCTTCGGTAAGTTCGACAAGGCGTAGAACATCCTCCTGTGTGGGTCCCCACCATTAGGAGAGCTGCTTAAGAAAGTAGAGGAGGGAGGACAGAGATGGATACTTACGTAGCGCAGATACTCCATTACATAATAGAACTCGTCAGTCTCCTCGAACTCATAGCCAACTTCCTTAATAGCTTCCTCGCTGACGAGGTCTTTTGTGACCTCCGTCCACATTCTATCTTTCTTGGATTTCTCTGCTTCAAAGCGCCTTCCTTTGTCTCTGGTATCGATAATGGCGAGTTCACGGACATCTTCTTCTTCACGGCGCTCGCTACGACGGACACCGTCTAAGGCGCGGCGACCACCGGTCTCGCGTTCGAAGACAATGTCTTCGTCATAGTGCTGACCGTTACGAGAGCCACTGTGGGTATCAATGTCAGTCAAGGTACACTTGAGGAGGAATATATGGCCCACCTCTGACGAATCTCGATCCGCTCGTCGCGTACAGGAGCCGGAGACGGGGATCTCGGGCGAGGGGGGGTTCTCGTGCGAGGTGCTTCACGCTGGAAAACAATGTCTTCGTCATAGTGACGGCCGTTACGAGTACCACTGTAGAAAGATGTCAGTGAATTAACAGTCTGGAAATACGCTTGACTTGCCTCTGACGAATCTCAATGCGCTCGTCACGGACTGGAGCTGGAGAAGGGGACCTTGGACGGGGAGGAGTTCTCGCGCGTGGTGGTTCGGGTGCTCGCTCGAAGCCTAAGTACTGTAAGCGGATGAAAAGCCAGCAATTACTCTAGAAGTACTCTACCATGGTCTATATGACGGTGATGTGTTATGATTTCCTGAACGATCGGTGGGGCTCGTACGGGTTCCGGCTCTCGGACAAGTACAGGTACAGGTACAGGTTCAGGTTCAGGTTCGGGTTCGGGTTCAGGTTCGGGAGAAGGCGACCTCTCATTGCGCCTGATAATAATTTGATCCTCGTGCCGTCCTCTGTACTCGTCATGCCGGAAGATAATATCGTCGTAGTTTCTTTCTCTGGATTTCTCACGGGTCCTCTCACGAGGCCTTTCCCGCTCTCTCTCGCCTCGCCGTATGGTGATATCCTCTTCTCTGAAGCCACCTCTGGATCCTGCCCTGGACCGACCCTCGTCGCGGCGGACGATAATCTGCTCATCTTCCCTGAAGCCTCCTCTAGATCCTGCCCTGGACCGACCCTCGTCGCGGCGGACGATAATCTGCTCATCTTCCCGAAAATCTCCTCTTGATCTGGCTTGTGGTCGCTCCCGCTCACCACTGCTGACAGTAAGACTCTCCCTCTCATAGCTTGCTGCCCGCGGCCTCCGCCTCTCACGGTTTGAGATGACGATCTCTTCCTTCTCGAAGCCTCTTTCTCTCTCCCTAGGCGGTCCCCTAGACCTCTCGTCCCTCTTTATTATGATCTCCTCATCCCTGAAATCCCTCTCTTGGGGCCTCTCCCTCTCCCTCCCGTCCCGTCTGATAATGATCTCCTCCTCTCTATAGTCCCTCTCTCGGGGCTTCTCCCTCTCCCTCTCGTCCCGTCTGATGATGATCTCCTCCTCTCTATAGTCCCTCTCTCGGGGCTTCTCCCTCTCCCTCTCGTCCCGTCTGATGATGATCTCCTCCTCTCTATAGTCCCTCTCTCGGGGCTTCTCCCTCTCTGTTTCTCTGACAGATATCTCCGTCCTCGCGGGGCTTGGTTCTCTGATCACAGGCGCCCGAAAAACGTACTCCTCTCGTTCCTGGCGGACCTGCTGTGGCGGCAGAGGTGCTGGTTCTGCTCGACGGTAGACGTACTCCTCCCTCTCCGTCGCCACAGGGGCGCCCCTAGGCCTGTAGGCTATCTCCCTATCGATCTCCTCCCGTTCCACATATTCTCTCTCTCGTGGCCTCTCACGCTCTCTCGGAGAGCTCCTGGCAACAATCACCTCATCCTCCATAAGCTCCCTCTCTCGTGGTTTCTCCTTCTCTCTCGGTCCTCTGGCAACAATTACCTCGTCCGCTTCGACTTCTCTGCGTCGTGGTCTCTCACGTGAGCGCTCTTTCTTTTCTTCTCGCAGGACTAGCGGTCCAGCTTCCCGCCGGCCGTAGTCATCTCGAAGGAAATCTGGTTCCCGCTCTGGCGCTCGCCGACGCTCCCGTATCTCTATCTCCTCGTCGTATACAGTACGTCGACCACGGCCGCTGGGTGGGTAGTAATCGCGTTCGCGCTCTTCATAGATCTCACTCGAAGGGTAGCCTCGCCGTGACATGTTGCTTTTTGTGTGAGTTGTGAAGCGTGAGGGAGCAGAGTGTCTTGAGCAGTAGCTTGTGGGTAAGTATTTCTAGACAAGAGTGGAATCATTCAAGGCATGACAGTCCTCATCTGCACGGTGGTGATGTCGTTAAAAATCTACGTAGTTGAGTGAGAGGAGGGGTGCAAGTGCAAGGCTGCTTGGCGAAGAGCTATTATCTGATTCGCTGATGCTCATCCAATTACGGCTGCTTCGCAGGATTGGGCTCTCATTGCGGTGAGACGATCATAAGTGTGTGGCTGAGGACGTTTAGAGGTCGGCGTCATTTCACGATAAAATGGATACGGTGTCAATTTTTGGCAACCTTCTACATAAGGCGGAATAGTGCTGTGATTACGAGTATGCTAACACTAGGCAAGCCGTATGTTTACGGCCGATATGGTATGCTTTGTGGAGTCACGGACTATGGAGGAGACCGCAAAAACAAAATTGCCATGGGATCGAGGAAGGTATTCAACGAGAACAAGGCGCGGCCAAGGCTAAGTCATTAGGCTAAGTCTCTCAGAATGTACGACCGCTTCGTCCGAGAAAAGTCCACCTGGCAAAGATGCCCACATAGAGCTGTACTTGGTCCACCAGCCACGAGAGTAAATCCTTCCGGCAGTGATATCAAGAGCATACATAGCAATGCAAAACACGTCATATCCAATTCTCCCGCAGTAAACTCAAGAAACAAACATTGATTCGAGTGTGAAGGGCTAGATCCATTAAGAAAGCTCCTAGTCCTGGTGACGAATAGATCTAACGTTCCTTGCCATTCAGACCATCCAGGGAATCTGTGCCTTTGAAGGACGCATGTTTAGAGCAGGCGGCCGCCTATCATTGTCCGTGAGATGCCAGTCCATGAGATGTTGCAATGCAAAGAAATTCGACCAGGCATTCGTCCGTTGAGCTAGGTCCAAACCCTTCCAGTAGTCCAAAGCATGGTCGAGTGGCCTCGACTCAATCCCACACCCCTGGAACAACGGGGTAGTGGCCAGACACGAAGGTCGTTGTCCGTCATGAGGAAAGAGCATTATCACTTGAGAAATCATTGAGCAGCTTTTCCTAGCTCCGGCAAGACGCGACTGAAAAGAGAAAGGTGCAAGCAAAAAGTCTGCTGTATATGGTATCCGGGCCATTAGGTAAGGGTATAGCGCGCGAGTCATGAAAGCAGGGCGAGATCAGACATCCTCCCAATAGTGGCGGCCGTGAACCTGGCCTACCAACAGTCTTCAAAGAACTTCCAGCCTCTCCAAACGCATTCGGCCTCCTTGTAAGTCGAGTTTGGTCCGTGCATGATCGCTAGTCATGAAATCTTGACCTGAGAAAAATTACATATCCGGCATGAACAAAGGACATTGCGCATATACAAACTGTGGGATCCGACGTTTCGAGTAAACCGGCCTCGGACCGGAAGGAATTTCTGTGACTGGACCGCAAGATGTCAATGGCCATGTCATAGCTGAAATGATTGGAGTCTCAATCACGGAGACAGCCAGGTAGATCCGGAGGATGTTGTCAAATAGATAGAGCTGCAGGATATACTCTCTAGCGATCCGTTTGGTGATGGACCGGAGATCTGGATACCAAATAAGAGATGAGATTCCTAGAAGCCAGAAAGGACACTCCCATCGTGGCAGTCACCAAAGGGTTTCGGCTGTCCAAGTGCTAAGGTAGTTCAGTGGTAACAACGCCGTAGGTTTTTCCCTGAAGATGACAACAAAAGATACGGCCAGATCTGGCTAGACTAGGAAGATCATGTCATTCTATCTTCGAGAACGACGTTCCTCCCGGATGGGCTCGGTCCTGTAGCCATCTCTCATTTGAGGGGAATCACGCGGGTCGTATCCACGTGGCACAACTCCGGAAGGAGTAAAAGACCCACCTCTACCAGACTGAAGGGGTGGTATTGTGGAAACGTAATCATAGGCTCTAGGATCATCGACAGCTCCATGCATTGACACATCCCCAGGCGAGCTCACGCCGTAGGAAGGATAGCTAGGTATGGTTCTGGGATCCGGGCGTGTATCTAATCTGGGGTCTCTAGGGTCCATCCTGGGATCTCTAGGATCCATCCTGAGGTCTCTCGGATCCAATCTTGGGTCTCGCGGATCCAACCTAGGATCCCTGGGATCCATCCTGGTGTCCCTAGGATCTGCTCTGGAGTACGCCCTGGGTTCTTCTCTGGGGTCCCTGTATCCTCCTGTACCTGGGTATGTGGTTGCTTGCCTGTACGAAGGGCCCGGATTGGTATACTCATCTCCGTAGGTATAATTTGAATCATTGGTGCTAGGCCTGATAGAAGCAAGATGTCCTGGGGTTAAGTACCCTGAGGTTGCTGGATAGCTTGGGCCTGGTTGATAGCTCGATCCTGACGGATACACAGATCCTGGATATGCGGCAGATCCAGCCCCAGTCGAGTATGCAGGCTGTGGAGGGGGCACCGCATATGTGGGTTGGGATGGAAACCGTTCGGGATACGGGGGTTCTTCTGCACCTGTTCTCATTTCCTGGCGCCGACTGGTTTCGGATTCTCCGTAGGATATATCTAAACGCGCTTTAATTAGGTAGCTTGTGAGACCAGCTGAGAATCTCACCTTGGCCTCTTTTTCTCATTTCACGATTCTCCGCGGCGTACAAGTTGGAAAGTTCGATTAGATCATCTAACATCTTCTGTTGATGGCCAAGATGTGTCAGCAAATGATCGGAGCAGCAGCTGGAAGAGGTCAAACTGACTGATGTGAATGGTCGGACAGCAGTGATAACATAACCGTTATTCCCCTAAACGGAAGTCAGTGAGAGAGCCTCGTCACTAGCAAGCACATCGTCAAACATTGTAGGTTGAGGGCCTCGAGTAAGCCTCGGGTCCAAGGTATTTGCAAATCTCTCGCTGCAAGACTTCGCGATGGATGCCCTCGCCACTAACGAAAAACTCATTCAAGGCATCTTGCCTTTGCTTGGATGGTCTTGGTCTTTCTCTTTGGGGGGGCAGGGACAGGTTCCTCCCGGCCTCCTCTGTCTCCTCTTCGGCGATCACGGTCGTCTCGTGTGTCACGATCGCGACGGGACATAGCCGGGCTCCAGGAGATATTTGGTGTGAAGTAAGTCTGGCCTGGCTCACAGCAGAGAATGCGATGGAATAAAGAAAAGAGATACAGGAAAAATGATTCCGAAAGTTGGCAAGGCTATTTCTGTTGGGCAGCGAGATCCAGCGGCCAGATGGATTTTCCAGATTATTCGCGTTCCTTGGGAGAGACTCCACCAGCTGGCTCCTTTTCACAGTGATAGATGAAGGGAAAGATGTCCTAGTCCGAGATGGAAAGTGTTTTGATAGAGGAATGCAAATGCAAAATGATGAAGGTTGGAAAGTGGTCAATGTCGAAAAGCGACGAGGTGGCAATAGCGGGGTTGAGGGTTTTTAGCGCGTACAGTAAGCTACGAGGGTCCGAGCGTATTCAATTTTCAGGCACCAATGCCGCCCACTAATATGCCTCCGTCTCCCTCTTACTTCGGTGCATCAAAAATGTCGTCCCCCATCCTTCAACTGCTCCCCTAGGTCAGCTAGGTAGGACAAGATCTCGTCCCTGCCTCTCTGCTGCCTCTCTGTTTCCTTCAGGCCTGCGCGTATGGCTGTTAGGCTACGTCCTCCTTCTCCATGCGCTCCGTGGCTGCCTTGCCATCCGTCAACCGTGGGATGGGGCGGCAGCTTGACGATTGCTTTGCCGCAAGAAAGCGAGGAAAGGGGCGACGACACGGCCTGGCAAGGGGTGGGAGCGGGCTAGAGATTTAATTAGTCAATGCCAATTGATCGATTCACAAAACTTAGGACTACTCACGCACCGAGGGATCGATCGCTGTGGACGACCAATCGGGCCCTATTCGTGCGGCTGGCGCTATCCTTCATCGAGAGCCTCCCAATCAGGAGGTGATGGAGGCCTTGAACGTGGCGAGTGGTCCGGTGGTCTTGCACTTTTGCAGTGGCAGGAAACTGTCGACATGTCAAGGGGTGGGGTTCAAAGAGAGATAAGCGTTGGGAAGTGAGAAGAGAGAAGTGAGATGTGCGATGTCTAAGTGGGAGAAGAGCTGAGGTAGATAGGAGAAGCAGGTACTGCAGAAAACAGTGGCCCTTTAAATCTGGATGCACTGCACAAGGTAGCTGTCTATGTGACTGGACTGCACTGTATTCTACATACGAGTAGTGCATGCACCAAGAGTATGTACACAAAAGTGTCAGAGACTTTCACCCAAAAGGCCATTTTACGTTGTACTGTGGCCCCATCATAGTCGGGTGTTTCATTGGGTCTCTTCTCCACTTTTCCGGCATCTCAAGCACTCGCAATTGCTCAATCTGAGTCCCAGTTATTCTCCCTGGCTCGCTTATCACGGAGAAAGCGGTACATGACCTCTCTACGCCCCATGAATGAGAAGTACCATGTGGGCTGTTTGTGGTCGCTTCGACAACCGCGCACAAAGTCGCTCTCTCTAAGAGTGCCATGCTGTCAGTAGTCCGCGTCTGCATCTCCTGTCACGGGCTTCGTTCTGTCCATGCAATCGAGACACAAGCCATCAAAATATGATCGCGTTGTGGCCTGAGCAACCTCCACACCTTGCTTGTAGTCACTGCGGCAAGAGGGACAAGCGTCTTTTTTGGCCTCAAAGGGAAATCTTTGAGCCGCTCAAGAATGGTCGTCATGTGGGATTTCTGATATATACGCTCGAGCGGCCAGACCTCGATTGTATAGAGTGCTTTCTCGTAGCAAAAGAGAGTCATCTCTTTCCACTTGCAGCGTGCCTCGAGCAGTCTTTTATTTGGACGGAAAAGCTCGTTGTGAAGCACTGTTCGAAGCCGTCCTTTCGCGGCGTTGAGCTGTTTTTATACGCTACGTTAACACTAGACAACAAATTCGGGTCCCACTTTGACTTACGGATTACACGGCTTTCAACCCGCAGATCGCGGTGGATTGTGGGATTGTGTTCGGTAATATGGCCAACGGAATTGTAGCTCAAGAAGTGCGTCGCTCTCACAAAGCCTTCCGCATGATCAAAAATCCAGCATGGATAGAGCAAAGAACGTGGGTCCAGGAGATCAGTATTGTGCCTGCCTTTGATGGTCCAATTTTTGTAGTACTGATCGATGTTTTGCTTCTGATACCAGTCCGCGAACCAGGGTTTCAGCATGCTGAGATTTAAGTGATACTTATCGCAAGCTGTTACAAGACGCCACATTTCTTCCAACGGTACATCGTAAACCAAGTCAGTGTCGTGTAGGATCCGGAACCAAATAGCCATACTTGCGACACTGTCCTCTTCGAGCGTGACCAAATCCGTCTGAGCTTCTCTCCAGTGAGAAGGGCGAAACATTGCCGCGAAGGTTGACGAATTTTTGGTCAAGACCTCCCGACAAACTCGAAATTGTAGGTTTCGCGTGACAGGCCTGTTGCCATTGCCATCTCTGATCTGGTCGTCATACTCAATCACTTCGACAGTCACATCTCCGTCTTTATCGATGACCATTACGCCGGCGTTCATCGCGGGACACCCTCGAGCTTTCCCCGCCGCAAGTCTGATCATCTGTTGACGGAGCTCTTCATCGCCGAGCGACTTCTTGTTGAAATTGCTCTTCGTGAGACCGCCGATCTTGACAACTTCGATCTCCTTGTTCAGACTTGCCAATGCAAATGTCTTTGCGTTTTCGATGCCCGGCGCATTGTCGCCATTCGACTTGGAGTCGAATTCTGGTTCTTTGATCTCGACACACTTGGCCTCTAGACTCCATTGAGATTGAGCAGTGGACTTATCCTGGATAATCGTGGGGGGCGATTCCACGATAAGCTTGACTTTGCAGGTGCCTTCAGTCTTCTTGTTCCATTGAAGAACCGTGATGCCGTCGTCGAATTCGACACCGTATAATTTGTTTGGTCACCAGTTGGTGACTCGAGTCGTACCCATGACTCGCTACCTGCAGTCTTGGTGAAAAGATCGCCGCGAGGCTTTGAGAGCAGTGCTGATTTGATTAGGCTGGATCGAAGCCGGTTGAGAGGCTGATGTCGAGGCCATTGCGAGATCTGTTCGTGATGTCGATAAGATGAAGGTTTTGAAAAGAGAAGGAGAATAAGGCAAGAGTGAGATCGGAATATGTTCGAGTTATGGGTAAAGTGCAGTGCTGGAACCCAGACCTGAACAGAGGATGAATGGTAGGTAGGAGAAGGATAAAGGAGAAGGGCAGTGCTGGGACCCGATCTTTCTAGTAGACTTGTTCCATGTATCAAGAAGGTAGAGCGCAGTGCTGGAATCAAGAGATCGTATTTGAAAAGGGTCTTCGTCAATTTGTTGTATGAGGAAGAGAATGTAAAGAGATGAAGTCTTGTCTAATGACTCGGGTACTAGTACAAACCACGCTAGTGAATGTCTTCACACAGTAGGTTAGATGGAGCCGAGCACAGTGAGTGAATCCGAGACACGACTTCACTTCGATCAATGCCTTTTGCGTGAAGAGTGAACATAGGATTAATCTCAAAAGAGAGGTCGTTGCATGAGATCCAGAATCTCTTTCGTTTTGGTCCAGAGATACTCACTATGGCTTTGATATCTGCAAGTATCTATTCTCAGCCTCTTGAGCATCGATCGGTTAATAATTGAACTCAAGTCTCTATTTCACAGCTAATCAGATCATTGTAATGGCCCTTCATTACTCCACAAGATGTGTCAAACAAAGAAGCAAGCTTCATTCGAAGCCACAGCACCAAGGTCACGTCTAAGGTGTCCCAGGCCTTGAAACCATCAGCCATGATCCTGACCCTTCCATGTCTCTCAAGACGTCCTTGGCCCGCTCTACGCAAACTTCAGAGTTAGTGTAATTCTCTTTGGGTAATACACCAAGACACGATACACTTTTGAAGAGCAGAATCTCCTTTCACTGCCTTCTCTTTGGGTAATAGACCGAGAACCGAAACACATTTGCAGAGCAGAAGTATTCTTTCACTGCCGAAACATGGCATTTCTCCTCAGTAACAAGATAATCCTGGAGGAATGAAGGTGCTCTCTGCTCCCGAAATCTGGAGTGCGACCCCGATTTTCCATCAAACAGACAGGATTTACACCGGAAATGTACGTACCGATTGTATCCTCGTCTACCCCAATCACACCGCGCAAGAAACCCTCCACCCCACCCCACTGTCTTTCCACCATCATTACTACGGCCCTCATAACCTCTTCTCTGGCACCCACCATCCTGCTAATACCATTGCTATCAGATCCTTTGAAGACTGGATGTCTCAACAACCGACCGACAGCTTCGGCCTTCCAAGCTGGCCCCAATCCTTGCTCGCTCAAATGGTACTCTTCGGCCACTACCTCAGCGGAGCAGCCCGCCAGTAACAGAATAATCATGATAAGGACACCGGTGCGATCTTTGCCCGCCGTGCAATTGATGAGGATGGGCGTGGGAGAGGCGCTGCTAAGATGACGAAGGATTGCTTTGATGGCCGGTCCAGAGTGGAGAAGGGTAGAACGATAGGCCTTCTCAAATCCCTACGGAAGTCAGTTCCCGTGGTTCCATCCGAGAGGAAGATCTTGCCTCGGTGCCTTTGCTGGCATAGTCCTTGAATCGTACTGCCAGAGCTTCTGGAGCAAAGTCCTCGTCGCGGAAAACAGGAACCAAGATCCGCTCTGGTCCATCGGACGATCTTAACCAGCATTCGTACTGACCGTCTTCTCTCTTCGACCGGCCGACTTCTAAGAAGCTCCGCAGATCGAATATCTTCTTGATGCCCAATTTCTGAATCTGTAATTGACCTTCTTCAGTCAAATCATCTAAATATCCACTCCGATACACCAACTTGCGGCGTACAGAAACACCGCATGAGACAGGATAGCCGCCAATGTCACGGAAATTCTTGACAGCTTCGACGTTGACGAAAGACGGGTGTGGCCAGTCGCGTATAGCGTCAAGGGAAGGAGTCATCTACATCAATGCCATCAGTCATCCTATCATACTTCGGGTTGGCCACATACCCTGTTCGAATGCCTCAAGTATTCCGTCACCGGTAGCCTCTCTAGGCTTGGAACATCCTTGTATCCGCTTAACCAAGGTAACCACATCTTACCATCACACCCACTCCCGCGTTCTAATCTCCTCTCAAGCGTACTGGTCACGGCGAAGGCTAACATCCCCAATTCTCTGAGTGGCTTATGGTTGTCTGTCACTCACAATCAGCATCGAAAAGAATATCATTGTCTGAGAGGCTCACTCTGTCTCGTCCCCAAGTCTACCTCCGCCAAGCCCTCCAGACCCACCATCCGCCATGTATCAATCAGCGTACCAATCTCCACTCCGTACCCAACTGGAAAGTGCAGCTTCACCAGCAACGATCGGCGTGCTGCGAATTCCCCCGCCAGCGGCTGCCGAAATCCTGCGAGTTGGGGAAAGTGGATATTCAGCAGCGGCCTCGCCACAAGCTCATTCACGCGGCCGCCTTCGTGTGGGCGGTATTCGCCATTGGGTTGTTTGAAAGGCCGGTCGAAGCAGCCCCTAACCATCTGGATAGTCTCATCCATAATTAAAGGTCCTAGGATACCTAGCAAGTGTGCTGGACTTGGATCCGCCGTGTCTCCATCCAGGAATGCCACGATATCGCCATCTGTGACTTGCAAAGCGCGCCACATGGCATCGCCTTTTCCCTGTGAAGGGCCTAGCTCTGAGGCGATTTCCGCTCGCTGGAGGACAGAGGCGCCATGAGCGGCTGCCACAGCACCTGTGTTGTCGGCGGATTTGTTGTCGATGGCGATGATAGAAGAGACGATGCCCGCCAATTTCAAGGGGTTGATTGTCTCTAGGATAATGCCCGCGATGGTGTCTGCAACCTCGCGGGCAGGAATTACAACAACGATCTTCAGGTTACTGGCCGCGACAGCAGATGCGAGAAGAGGCACAGAAAAGTCTGTGTGGTGATATCGACAGGACTCGAGCCAATCTTGGAGGTCGGGGTCACCGTACGAACCCATGGTTGCGATATATCGCTGGCACTGGAAGAAGAAAAGGTCTAGCAAGCGAAGTAAGGATGCCAGCCTGGATACTCTTCAGGATGGAAAAGAGCAGACACACTTATGATAGTGCGCAGAGGCATGAAGTCATGTTGTCGACTTGCACAGAGGAAGAGAATATATGAAAGGAAATTGGCTGTTGGGCTTCAACGCGGAAACGCTAGAATGAGGACCTTTATATGAAATGGGCTTGGAAGTACATGTGGATTACCGTCATCACTATTCGAAGCAATATTGAATAGCTGCGTTACTCGACATGGAGGTTTTCCCAGAAGGGGAGATTTTGCCAAGTCTATACGGCGATGAGCGATCTCAGAGGCTGAACTCAAATGTCTTTCGTGCAGGTCAGCGAGGCGGAGATTCGCAAATGATATTACTTGCCAAATTGTGATCCATTCTTTTTTGGGGGGAGTGGGACCAATGCAAGACAATCGGAAGTACCTGCATGACGATCCAGGCGTGGACCAATGGCTTTGCAGCTCATATCGGTGAACGGCTAATCACAACGCCAGTAACCGTTGAAAGCCACGCGGTGAGGTATAAATGCTCAAATGATGTTGTCTTATAAAGAAATTGCTTGTCCCCGGCCCTGGGAGTCTGATCTGCAAATTTGAAAGCGAATACGTTGCCTCCCGCCCACCCAGAATGCAGACATACCATGCAGGGTAGTCTTCAATCGTTGTCTGAATAGTATGCAAAGCTGCCCGTTCCGCCAATTTGCGCCGGAAGTAGATGCACCGAGCCGTTGCGACATGGCGGGTGAAAGCAGAGCTATGCATGCTCGATGGCGGTGGACTGCATGAAGAAACAGATTGTGGTCTGGCAGATGACGAGCCGAAATCATGCCCGTGTCCATCATTCTGAACATTGTCCGACCGGCCACTGCCGATGCCGTCCGCGGCCATGTTTCCCGTGACCATCTGAAGTGCGAGGCCTCGAAGAGAGCAAAAAAAGCGAGCATCGCCGGACTGCCGCCTAGGCCTGATTGATGCCCGCTTCCTCTTCTCGGACGACTTCACTAATTCAGTTCAGGGCACGCCAGAAAAGCACACAACCGAGCTGAATGGTCTCGACGGCAGGGCATTAGGTCATAAAGCTGCGCGCCGCCACCAGCAAATGATCGTTAGCATCCGATGTTCGAATGCAAAAGTCGCGGTGACCGAAGCAGGCGAAACCGAAGTACTTGCAGCAGGGGGTGTCAGAACGAGCGACAATCTTGAGTGCTGCTCTCTTTCAGACTTTGTAGGGATGAACCCGAAGATAGGCCGTTTAAACATCAAAATAGGTAGTTCAATCCGGGTATGGGACATGGAATATAGGTCTCCCAGAGCTGAAATTACCATATTCTTGGGGATCATTCTGTCACAGTCCGCATGAACAATATCCACCTAGAATTCTTGTGCATTGGTCAAGATTTCCTTTACGAATTAGCCTCCGAACCTGTAAACCAATAAGAACAACTGTCTCGTTTATGTGGACGTATGGTAATGTGGTAGAAACTCCCTTCACTGTGGTTACCGTACGTGTAGGGTACAACCTCCACTTCAGCTGCCGTGTGCGGTGCGCTTCGGATAGCCCTAGCCTGAGCGTTTTGCTTCGAAAGAGGAGTTCGAACCAGGGGCTCGACGTGCTGTACAGTTTACAGTCACGGCCTTCTTCCAGGGCAAGCACGGCAGGCGCGAAGCAGTAGCAGCTTCGAGCCATCATGAGCCCTCCAACAATAAAGATCGAGCATCCCAGTCGGTCTCTCCGCGTATCAAGATCCTCCACGCACTTCCACCTCTCGGGTCTAGTGTCGTGAGAACTGCGACTAGTTTATTTACAGAATAGATAGACAGATGCTTTTGGAGAGAGATACGCATGCAATCTACCAACATCACCTCCCGCCCTTCGGCCCCCTAAAACGCCTCCTCTACATACCGCTCCCCCAGCATCTCCCCCACACGCCCGCCGAGAATTTTCTCAAACGTGCTTTTAACCTCCTCGGCGGCAATCTTATTCGTGCAAACAAAGGCCATGCCCTCTTGCTTGAGCAACTTATTCCTCAAGTACTGCGGAGAGCGTCGGAGAACATCATATACACGAAGTTTCATCGGGTTGCTAAGTACAATGTCCAGCATGTCGATGAGGTTGAGCGACATAGCTTCGTTCAAAACATCGACCATTAACTTCAGGTCTGACTGCTTGAAACCAAGGAACAAGGAAATCCCTGATCCTTGGCTTGGGAGAGGGCGCCCCGTCGCGAGAGCGTTGCGGATTATGCCCATGCGCCATTGTAGGAGACAGCGTACAGGGCCAAAGCCAGCACCAGTTGCGACGACGATGAAGGGTCTCAGATGATTCTTGCGTAGTATGCTGCCCGATGGAGAGTCGACAATGCGGTACCTGAGCGACGCTGGTATAGCGGAGTCTTTCATGAAGGTGTCACTGAAACGCCCCCCAGAAAGGACTTTGACCATGATATCGACCCCGCGTCCAGTGGATATACTCACTCGATTGTAGCTCGAAGAGTAGTGTCGAGACGAAGCGATAGAGTAGGTCCTAGTATGTAGCAGTGGCATGTTTTGACACAATTCGCATTTCTGACCATCACTCATGTGGACTATGCTGCTCTGGAGGCGCTCCAGGACCTGGTGGACCGATAGTCTGCTCAAGAGTGCTCTGGGCAGGCCTCTCTGAGATGCTAATTCTACTCCCTCAAGACATTCGACATCCGAGAATGGGAGTTCAAGGTCGACGTACTCCGTCAGAAACGATAGATAGGTCGGGTTTTTCCAATCCAAGCCCAAATCCACATGGTCAGAACTTTTGACGCACAGCGACCGAAGCGCTTGGTTGACCTTTGATGGTGTATTTGATGGAAGGATCTGTATACAGCTCATCTCTTCAAAATGGTGGTTGTCGAAGTTAAATGTCACAAGCATCGATCCTTCGTGCGTCCCTGGTCTTGCGCCAACGAGCGAAAGCGAGCCAAGTGTCGAAAGCAGTCGGTCCTGGTAATCCTCGTACTTTCGACCGAGCTCTACCATTGGGGTCACCCTCACGAATACGGCGGCTTGCTTGTAATCGGTTGGCGATCTTATTACGGCTGTTGAAAGGCTTTCGATGCTTTGATCAACAATGCTGGGCTGTAGCTTGTTCAACCAGAATTTCAAAGCGGAAAATGGGAGCGGGTCCACGGCCATATCCGCCTGGAACACACCAGCAGCCAATGGATAACCTCCAACTTGCATCAAATGGTCGTTGACCTTTATTGCCGCCCCGTTGTAGGTAGTAGAGTAACGACTGTCACCATTACCAAAAACAGCGAATTTGAAACCCTGAACGCGATCCATGAGTCGCCACGATAACATATTTTCGCAGAGTTTGGAAAGACTAAGTCCATTCGACGGAATCTCGCCTTGGCCAGAGCTACTGACGACTAACAAGAGGATGTTTCCCGCGGTGAGATCAGAGGCCTGCAAGCTATTCAAGGGCTCGGAACGAGAGCATAAATGTAGACCGGAGGAATCTTTGATGAGAATGTTCAACCATTGGTGAAGCTTGTTGGCAAGCCTTTCTGCGATTATTCCAGCACTGCAGAAGAAAACTGAAATAAACCGATTGCTATTTGTCGGTGACTGTACTTCATGGGTCCGTCGTAACAGCTGCAGGTTATTTCGGAGAAGAAGACTCTCGCTATGCTCAGTCGTGGGCCCTGTTTCTATCTCGTTCTTAGACTCGTTTACTTCCTTCTGGGTACGATGGCACAGTTGCAGCCTATTCTGTCTAAGAAAACTCTCGGTTTGCTGATTCATGGTCCCTGTGTCTGTCCTCTTTTCTGCCGCAATTGCCGTCGGTTCTTTAACGACGGCCATGGGTTTCAATATCTGGGCGCCAGCAGGACCTTTCTGCTTCTCCCTTCTCCAGACCTTGATCGGGTCTTGCCCGTGTTTGCAAATCATAGGCTTCGGCTGGTAATTGGGAGCGCCGCCCCGATGCCAAAGAGGAATGATGGAACCTTGTGGTGGGGCCAGCCAGTAAGGATCCGCCGGTAGTCTGTACCCATTTCTCTCTCTGAAGTCATCATCGTATCGACACCACTTCATTGAGGCAGTGAGAGTATCAGTGATGTTGACTTTTGCTTGAACGAAAGACCAATGAACTGCGTAGTTCAACTCCGCTTGGGCTCGTGACAGCATTGAAAGCTTTTCATACTCTGGAAGGTCCTCGAAGACCTCGAAATCGCCATGCAGCTTATCGCGAGTAAGCCCAAGGGCATCGATGATATCCGGGAGGACATTGTAACGGAACGAATCGGCCAAGTCACGAACCCCTATTTCGGCATCCATGAACCTTGTATTGTGAGCTATCAAGAGGACAAAAAGATAGACGAGTGTACACACCAGCCAATGAAAGGTGCTGCAGTGTACTGAACTCCGCCAATATCAAAACCCAGTCTCGTTAGTGCTGGAAAAGCAACCCATTTCAGGTCCAGCCTTTCAAACTCGGTAGTGTACTTAGGATGTCGAATACTGACCAATTTTCGAAGATATGTAGGAAGCTCGATCATGGCTGGACTGTCGCCCTCTGCCATTGCAACAAGCGGTAAAAGATCCCACCGGCCCCGTGGCTCAGGAGGCTGCCACCCGAGATCGATCATTGCATTTGTTATTTCAACACTCGCTGGGTCCCCCAAGACTGTACCGTCCTTGGGGTCGTATCCAGCGAATTGGAGGACTTGATGGTTCCAGATCATTGGTCCTCTAGCGTTGACGTTGCGTGGTGGAAATACGAACACTGTGGGCTGGACATTGCCTCCATTGAAGGCATCGGAAACTCCTTTGACCAACTCGGTAACCATTTCTGCACTCGAGGTGACCCTTCGCAGGTCGCAAAGCTTAAGCTCCTCGCAATGGGATCGCATGATGCACTTCCTTGCATTTCTCCAAGCTCGACGAATACCAAATTCGAGCTCTTGGTGCGTCTGTGTCCAAGTTCCACCAAGGTTGGCGCACGAATGATCTTCTTGTACGACACCTTTGACTGAACCAGCTTTGATCTCTCCCTGCACCTGGTCCCAGCGACTCTGGAATGCGTCTTCGCTGTCATAGAAACCTTCCCCACGGAGGACTCGTAGGAAATCTACTGCTTCTTGCTCGACTACCTGAAGCGAACGGTTTTCGCCCACTATTAAAGATATAGAAATTAGTACCTCATGGGATCACGAAGGGGCAGAAGAAAGGATTTGTCACAACATCGTGTCTTACGACCCAAATTCTGGCACTCATAAGGGGAGCAGGCCTCCGATATATACGTACCTCTTGGCTCATCTGTGTGGGTCATTCGACCTGATTGGCAAAAATCCCTTGTGCAGCCTGTCGATGCCAGTATTGTGTGCTTGTTACGGATCCGCTGAAGTTCAGGGTTCAGCACCGGGCACGAAGGATACTGCGGTGGAGACATCTTGAATGGTCGCCGATTTCAACACGGGGCAGGCATCTGAAGGAGTGAATATACGGTTGGGTAGTGACAGCCCAACGTGTCCCAGTGCATTGGGGATGAAGTCTTTTTTGGGGCAACGTTGGGCATTTTCCGGAGAGCACGGACTTGTGGAGATCGTGAAGGACCATCGAATATGCACAGATCCCTCTGACGTCGGTTGGATGGTCTACCCGGAGTGCAGGGCTAGAGTTGGTGCTGAACAAGGGGGTTTTCCGGGTCACGGTGATAGGTACAAGTATCCGTATCCTAATGCGTTTGTGACGGACTCTCATCTGGGCAGTAGTTGAGTGTTCTAAAGTCGTAAGGGTACTTGTGAGAGTCGATCGATCAACATGTCGGGTGATTCTTTGATACTCATTAATAAGATGTGTCATGGCCGTTACACCGTTGGAACCAAAAGTCACGGATAGATATTAGGTACCGAACGCCAATCGACTTTGACCCTTCTCCATCTTCTTTTGCATGGCGCCATTACTTCCTTTGGCGACCACGGACTTTTTGTTGGACCCTGAAGATGAAGCGCTCCTATGGGGATCTGATCGAGAAAAAATAGACTTTTCTTTAGCTTGAAGTTCCCGCGCCAAGTGCCAGTCTTCATGCTCCTCCTTAACTGCCATCGGAAATTTCTTTCCGCACGCATCACAGAAATACGTCGTTATAGGAGCCTGGTGGAATGGGGCTCCTGCGCTCCTCCCAGCCATCTCATCCAGAGTAATTACCGATTCGTCTTCGTCTTGCTTAGCCGGACCCGTGTCTTGTGGTGACAAAGAATCCGCTTCTTCTAGATCCGCATTCTGAGCATCGGAAAGTTCCTCTTCGTGGCTTTCTTGCCTTGAGAAGAAATGTTGAATCGCTCCATGATCGAGTTTCCGTCTCTTGTCGGGCTCATCGTTCTCCTTACCCCATTCGTAGCCATCAGCATCACGGGTACTGGGCATCATGGCTTTGGCTTCCTCTCCTCTGACCAGGAAGCTTCCTATGCCACGATTGCCGGTTGGCCCATCTTCGAAACCACCAACGCTTAGCTGTAGGTTACTACAAGGCCAAGCTCTGCCGTCTATAACAATCTGGCCGAGAAGATTCTTGGCAATGTCGAAGAGCAAGGTCTCGTCAATAGGCCTCCCACTAGGAATAGAAGCTTGGCGTGACCGCATTTGTGCGCCTTGACGATGGTGTAGACTGAGAACTTTTGGTCTCCGTTTGTTCTCGAGTACACCTTCCTCCACCAGTCTAGACTGTATATCGGCTACGAATATCCGTAGCCATCTGACTGCTTGTTCGGAGGTATTAATGGTAGGACGAAATGATTTGGCCGAGAGCATAGACTTTATCTGGGTCCGAGCGTTAACTTCGCTCGAATCCTCGCCGCGAATGATATGGTAGACCCAAGTTCCGGTGTCGTCTCCTAACTTGGATTTCAATTGCTCGATAGGTGCTGCGAGCAATTCCTTGACTTGATCCGTTCCAAATTTATTGACCACTTCATCGCCTAGTTTTCCACCCAAATTCCGAATCTTAGTGAATTTGAAACCGCCCATAAATTGCTGCACTGCCCGATTTCGTACAATAGTTTGCTGGTTGGGCTTTTTGTGCGCCGATCCCAGTTTGGCAATCATTTTGTTCCGAGCTATTCCGGCAGAGCAAGTATACTTCAGTCGCTCTCGAACAGCAGCACGTACTGAGCGTACAATCTCAGATCCAAGCAATATAGCAATATCGTCCCAATCGGGATCATCATCTTCTGTTTCTAAAGAGTCCAGATCCACTAAAGCATCTGTATTCCAATCGAGCGCTGTAGTGGGAGGCCGAGGCAGAAATTCGGTTGGGTCGTCATATGGGGCTGGACCACTGATCTCTGGGTATCTCTCGAGGAGGATAGAATGTATCTGGGATGACAGGTCCAGGAAGACCTCGTCTACACTAGCCTTCTCGACTCTTTGCAGTGGCGGTGCTGGTAGCACATCCTTTATACAGGCCAGGATCCTTCTCGACTCGAGCCGATATGGATCGAGTGAAACTTTGTGGGTGGCAATATGGGCGAAAGCATCTTTGTGGTAAGCCCACTTCTCATCTCCTTCCTTCCAAGTCGCCACATGTTGCATGATTAGGTCCGGACAAAGTTTTCTTGCTTCCGTGATAGTAATATGCCTGTTGAGGCCAAACTTCCTGGCCGGGTAATTGATCGCAATGAGGCCTTGCCATTGCTAATCCAGTGTCAGCGCTGGCTTCTGAAATAGTGTACAGCAGAGGACCTACTTGAACGGCGAGGGGCTGCTCCTCCGGAATGCATAACCGTACACCTTCGCATTGTGCATAGAACGCATCCAAGTCTATGTGGGCAATGACTCGAAGCGGACATGTGTTAGAGGAGAGAGCAAGTTGGGCGAGATGCTTGTAGGTGAATCGAGACTTGCGTCTGCGGCCCGCGGCGGGGGAGATGGGCGAAGAGGCAAAAAATGGTTGTGAGGAAGACATTGGTGTCGAGGAGGTTGGAGCTGTCGGCTAAGGCTTTTTTGGGATGTAGTTATCATTGTTGACCGAGATCCTTTTACTATAGCGCATGCAGCTTGGGAAGCCGCCGGTAATTTTTAAGTCGCGTAGTTTTAATTTTACTATCTTAGTAGAATTAAAATTTTTATTTATTTTTGTTTTGAATTTTTTTAGATTACGGCTAAAGATTAGCGGCTTAAAGAAATCTTAAGCATGAAATCTAAAGATCAATGCATGAATGTACCTAAGTACGAGTATTGACTGATGGTTCATTCAATCACACCACAAATTGCATAGACTTCGCGACACAATTTTTCTTTGGATATTCTGTTGAACAAACTGGGCAGATGTCTTTCCTCCGTAACCCTCCGCTTCTCCTCGGCGTCGCGAACATCTCGGCGATCGTGGGCTCAACTTATCTTCTCCGTTCACATCACATCTACAATTTGGAGGAGCACGAGGCTCGAATGGATGAACTGGAAGGAACTTTGCGTGGGCATATTGGCTTAATCGAAGAGGCACTGGATCGCTTGGAAGGGAAAGGTACTGAGGCAGACAGGAATAAGAAGATGTGAGCTATTTATGGCCGGATTGTTGCCAATGGACACTGACAAAGACTCCAGGAACGAGTATTATAGCAAACGTGGCCGTGATGAAAAGAGCAAATAACTTAGCATAAGCAACTATAAAACGTGGTAATTTGATCGTCTACACAAGCTGCCCGAATTGGCCATTCTTGCTCCGACCTCTCAGAGAAGCTGTGGAAAACCTTGAACGTTTCGAGGCGTTCTCAATGGTTCTTACGATAAACATGCGGTATTGTTGCTAGGCTAGGGAGATATACAGTGCATATCGCCTTTCCATTCAGAAGACCCTCATCTCCTTGATCCCAAAGGCAGCGTTTCCCAAATGCCGATGTTAGATCCGGAAATCGGTTCGAGATCCGAGTACCTCGGTATGATGTTTTGGTGACGATATCGGTGGGAACAATATCTGTTACATCTGCTCTATGTCCCTTCGTGTCGATGATGGAAATATAGCATCTTTTGGTTGTATTCATTGTTTCGAAAACATACTCGATTTTCATCTATTGCCAGTGGCGCAATGGCTCCACATAATGATATAGTCTTCTTTCATTACTCATTCTCCCCCTTCGCCCGCAAAGTCATTTGGTATCTCACGCTCCGAGGCATTGAGTATGGACAATGCGTATGCCAAAATCTGCGCTCTCCCTAGAGCTATTGGCTTACAGGACCAGATCCAACCCGTCTATCTTCCTCGCGAGGACATCAATGCCCTGGGTGTGAAGTACCGTCGGATCCCTATCATGTCCATTGGGCGCGACATTTACTGCGACACTCGCCTTATACTTCACAAGCTTGAAGAAAAGTTCCCCTCCGGCGCATTAGGTGCTCCCCAGCCCGATCAGAAAGCTATAGAGAAGCTCCTCGAGAGTTGGACGATTGATGGAGGTATCTTCGTTCGCGCAGCTCAGGCCATTCCCACGGATATGCCTTTGTTGAACGATCCAAAGTTCACGAAAGATCGAGAAGACTACACTGGGAGAAGCTGGGACAAAAAGAACATTGAAGCCATGCGGCCGGAAGCTTTGACACATATACGGGATGCTTTTGTGTTTCTTGAGACAGGGTTGTTAGCTGATGGAAGACAATGGGTACTGAAGACCGAGAAGCCTTCATTGGCAGATATTGAAGGTCTGGTTTTTTCTTGGCCCAAGGGGCATCCATGCTAACGAGTGCTCCCGGTCTAGCTGTTTGGCCGTTTCATTGGCTTCTTGAGCTAAAGGGAGCCCTTCCTCACTCTCTCATTTCGAAAGAGAAGTTTCCTAAGGTTTACGCCTGGATTGGCCGTTTCAGCAAGGCTGTATCAACTGCCAAATCGTCTGCACCAAAGCCAACCACATTGAAAGGGGCTGAAGCCGTGAAACACGTGACTCAAGCGGAGTTCTATGAGCCCGAGGGAGATGTTGACGCCAGTGATCCGCTAGGCTTGAAGAAGGGTCAAGATGTCGAAAGTTGGCCAATCGACAGTGGTTTCAAGCACCATGATCGAGGCCAGTTGGTGTCATTGACTTCGAAGGAAGTGGTCTTAGTGGCGCAGAGCAAAGTCGGAGGAAGAGATGTCAGAATTCATCATCCCAGGTGGAACTATAGGACCAGGGCTGTTAGTGGAGGAGAAGCAAAGTTGTAGATAGGTAAGCAGATGTCGATATATGTACTGTTTCTTCGAAGAAAAAGACAAAAACTCATCCTAGGTGGGCCCATCCGGGTTTTAGATCGCCAAAGAGGTCTCAAAGTGATGAAGACGAGCACACGCACGAAGCTCTCAAGGCCGATATCTATACTTTGGACGCCTTGAACCACTCGACCAAACCGTCTTATATGTTGAAATCGAGTTATTAATGAATAATATATACAATTTTTTTAAGTGACAGAGGGTGCCGCGCACCTGGAGGCTTAGCCTTCGAGTAACGTTTGATCCCCTCAACGTCTTCAAAACGACCCACCATAAACAGTTCTCAGGAGCGACTACACAATTCCCATTCCAGACAGAGCAGACGTAGCGACCAAATATTACCAGTGTCTTCCTCAGAGAAGTTCTACCCGATAACAGAATCTACCTCGAAATCCACAACGAAATTGCCTCACCGTCGTCAGCATAGCACTCCGATATACCATCTCAGATACCGGTCTTCAACTTCTACAAGAGTTCCTCGGGCTTTAGCCTTCAGAGTCTCGAGGTCTAGACGAGATCGTCTTTATTGCGATTGATTTTGATGATCGTCGAACCTCAAATAGGATTCTAGTCAAAATCTGAACTGTCAAGTGGGTATTGCCATTCTGGATAGCAGGGATCTGATCTCGCCGCCACTTCGAACTGCCATATCAACGTATGTTTTTGTCACTAGGTCACCTTCTTATTGTGCCGCTACCATTACGAAATATTTCACCATACGGAGAGCACCACTACGATATGGTGCATACTTCTTGCTTTGGGGGTTATGGCCTTTCTCTGTCTTTGTGGGCAAATGTCATGGGAACAGGCACCATGGGAACACCTGATCGCGTGACACAGCACTCAGCCCAATGGGCCTAGGGCCTACCTAGCTACAATCACTGCGGGCCACATTTTCCCACTCTTCTAGATAGATAGATCAGAAAAGCTTTCCAACCACACCGAAAGAAGCTTATGCATTGCCGCTATGCCATTGTATCGTGAGGTAGAAAGAGGAGTGATAAGAATTGAAGGCAACTTTGCAAGCTCACTTATCGGCCTGCTTTTGAATTATGACTGCCCTTGTAGAGGGTTGAGGCCAGGGTACATTTTTGATAGCTTGGCGTTACTGTGAAGCGATCCTCTACTCCCATCCCCACCTTCACCACCGTGGGCCCCTACTAGCGATGTCCTCTCTCAACCCCTACGTCGTAACCTTCAACTGTGGCCGCGAACCTATTGACCCCTCCACCTTCTCCACCCACCTCTTCTCCGCCCTCGCCAACCCTACCGCCCCCGACATCCTCATCCTCTGCCTCCAAGAAATCGCCCCAATTGCCTACTCCTTCCTCGGCGGCTCCTACCTCGTCCCCTACCTATCTCCTTTCCGCCATGCCGTTACCATTGCAGCAGCCTCCCTCGACGACGCGAGCTACGTCAACATCATCACCAGAAACATTGGCATGACTGCTATAATGGTGTTTGTGCTTCGAGATCAAACGGCGCAGGTACGGTGGCTGGAGACAGCGGGGGTGGGAGTGGGGATGTATGAGATGGGGAATAAGGGGGCTGCGGGGGTGCGGATGGGGTATTCGATCGGTGACTCTACGCTCGAATTGACGTTTGTGTCGGCGCATCTGGCTCCCATGGAAAACAAGTTGCAGCGCAGGAACGAGGATTGGATGAATATAGTTCGCGGTCTCGTCTTTACGCCCGTCTCTCCCACTGCGGTCCGGAAGAACACTGCACAGCGTCTGCCGCAAGAAAGTTCCAACGATACCGAACCTCTGCTTCAGGCATCGCCTGGCGAGGACTCCATACCCCCAATGTCAGGTCTCTACACACCGACATCCCAGCTCATCGTCGCTGGCGACCTCAACTACCGCACTTCGTCCGCAAAGCCCTCACCGGATGCCCATGTCACCTGGCCCCAACCCAGCAGCGACGCAAATGCCAAACAGCACTATTCACGACTCCTCCCATCCGACCAACTCAAGCGCGAGATGCAAGCCGGAAGAACATGTCACGGTCTCCAAGAAGCACCGGTCGATTTCCCGCCCACGTACAAATATTCGGACGAGGCGCGCTCGGCCGCAACCTCCCAACAACAGGACGATAGCGACGCAGACGGAAAGGAATGGAGATGGGCGAAACACCGCTGGCCCAGCTGGTGCGATCGCGTGCTCTACCTCGACATGCCGCCCTGGATGAAATCCATGAACCCAGCAGCGAGGGTGGAGGTGCAAAGGTACAAAGCGCTACCACTGATGGCGACGAGTGATCACCGGCCCGTAGCTTGCTCGTTCTCGATACCTGCGGCGGCGATACCGGAACCTAGTGAAGAGCAAGAAAGAGAGGCAAAGACGGATGTACGGCTGGTACCACCTTGTGGCTTAAACGTATTATGGATGGAGCAAAGAGAGGCCGCGAGAACGAAGGAGGTTATGGTGGGTATTGCGGCGTATTTGGGACTTACGTGGGAGGGTAGAGGGATGTTACTTGCGATTGTGGTTGGAGCGCTAGGTGGATGGGCTGCTATCAGGGCTTTTTTGCAATGAGTGGAGACATGGTTCTGAAGACCTTAGGAGAGGAGGACATCAAATACGAAAGATACCCAGCCGATCCACTTGAGATAGATCGATACTTGATTCATGATATAATTGTTCTAGAAATAACGCCAGCGCACTTAGAGCCTGTACTTGACATAAAGAGAGTGACAATTGCTTGAAGCGGACGAAAACAATACGCCAAAAACATAACATAGGAAAGTCGCTGTTCGTCCTTGCAATTCATCTGCACGTCTTCTGATCTGCAGTGGATTGTGGAACAATCCAATTCTCGAGCACTCTGCAACCCACACGACTCTACCTATTCTCCAACCTTCAACCTAAGCCTTAGCATCGACTTCCTTCTCGTTAAGGGCCTCAGCACCCTGGTGGATATCCTGATAGGCAGGTGGTGCCTCCTTCTCATCAGTGTCCAATGGCTCGTAAGCAGCCTCACGAGAGGTGCCTCTGTACTTCATCCATAAGAATACAATCACCTGGCCAACCAACATTCCGATGGCCGAAGCAGCCATACCAAAAGCGACACCGATCAGGATAGGTACAAAGACAATTTTGAAGGTAGTCCTAAGAATCATAGCCATACGGTGGACGAAGCCCTTGTGATGGTGATGGTGGCCATGGCTGTGAGGCTTGAAGTGAATGTGGGAGGAGAGCTCGGGGAGCTCCATGGTGCCATCTGGAAGGCGGTGAGGCATTCCATGCTTGCCTGCGCCCTTGTGGTGGTGGGGGTGCGGGTGGTTCTTGTGCCCAGTGAGCTTGTGGAAGCACTTCATACAGAAACACTTCATCTTGTGGCCGGCAGTTTTGGCGGAAGCCTTGGCTTTGGCCATGCCTGTGATCACCTTGGTGAAGACGCGGCACAAGATGGTCTCACATTTGGCATCTGGGGAGTCCGGAGAGACGGGAACGGTCTTGGTGGAGTGGAGGATGAGCTGGATACAATTAGCTTCAAGCTTTGGAAAAGGGATGAATGGGGTGGAAGCGTACTGTTCCGTCCTGTTCTTTGATGGCTGTGACCTCGATATTTTCGACCTTAATCATTTGGCCGTCAAGGCCCATGACAGTCATGAGGACAGTGACGAGAGAGTTGTCTTCGAACTTCTTCTCTTCATACTCCATGCTGTAGCTGAGTCTCAAGTTGCCGTCGTAGCCCTCCATGTTCGATGACTGGCCATCCTTTTTGCTCTGTGAAACGTAAAGGGTAGGTGGGATGGTTGGGTTGGACATAGGATAGAACGGGACGCCATTTAATTTGAGGGTTTTGCCTTCAGTCCCGAACTTCATCTCGAGCTCGCTTTCAACGTCGTCAGTCCACTCGTGAGCGCCATTTCGCTGGCTGCTGAGTGCAAATGGGCAAGTCGAGCAGTCCAAGTTGACCGTTCGGCTGTTTGTTTCGATGAAAGTTGGTAGGAAGTCGGATTTGGGTTGGTCTTCAGTGTTAATTTCAGGGATGAGGAAGGCGAGAGAGGAGGTGGCGAAGAGGAGAGTAGTAGACAGCAACATGATTGCTGTATGGCAGAATTTGAAATCAGTATGTGGTGATGATCTGGTGGTAGTACACGATGGTTGGTGGAAGGTGTCTAGTTGTAGAGAAGAGGAAGAGGAGGGTCTTACGTACTCCGCCACTTTGCTGAGGCGGGACAAAACACCCCTTTGTTTCAGTGTTGTCGTCCTAATCTGGCACTAGGCTACTTCAGGAATTAGCGCCTCTTTCCTCCTGGCGATGGCTTTGATCCTTGGATACCACGATACAAACAGTCCACATTCCACGTGCACCAACGAATGTGCTCGGCTCAGGCTTCATTGTTGATGACAACAAAAAAGAGAAGACTTCCACAAGGGAGTGACGTGTACTGTCCTTTTGAATGACAATGCGATTTGGAGAAAAAGGTTGCTCTACATAATTATCAATCTACCTGTCTCAGGTCTGTCTCAATTTGTCCGGTCTTTGTTGCAGTCGTTTCGTCGAGATAATGTCACACAAAAGCCGCAGCGTCACTAGATCAAAATCTGCTGTAACAGCGTCTGTGGAATCGCACAATGCCGTGCCCTCTCCAGTCTCCTTTGCCCATGCCTCTTCATCTTCTCCTCAAAGCATCCGAAGTCGAGGCCTCAGGCTCCAAGCTTTCAGGACTCAGGCCTGCCGAGTTGACTCTCTTGCGCCAGAGTCGGAACAAATTGGCAAAAGAATGCTTGCCCTGCACTTTCATGTTGGACTGGACAGCACATTCGTAATGCGCCCAACGCCACTTCGATCTTTGCTCAGTGCGAGGACCGTAGCACTATTTGTATCGACCCAGTTAGATGGATTTGGACCTGCTCTCATTGCTTCGGCGATGAAGAAGAACAGTACGGTAAGACGGGGAAGCGCAGATGGCTACTCTTCTACACAGGTCTGGCAGTCCAAGCCGAGTGACGATAGTGGGATCCACTGGTCCAGTACAGGATCTGGCGCTTCTGAAGATTCTTGCCATTGAGTCACTCGCAGACAAGGAGGGAGACACCGTATTCACATTCCTGGCTTCGTTCCCGAGTCGCTATGTGCTCCCACGTATAAATTCTCCACTGTGTGCATTGGCCAGCCTGGTAGACACGACCTCGAATCTACTTCTAATAGACGCTTTGAAAACAATCTGGGGGTAGTCTCTGGGGGCACGTTCCGTGAGTGCACATTTCGGAGCAACATCTCCCTACACTAATCGAACCCTGGTTTTTGAGCCGCAAGACCTGTCTCGCGCGCAGTAGGCCAGTCCCAAGTCCCATATCTGTTGTATAATCTGGGGCTTTTGCCTCAACAAGGCCACAATGACTCCTGAACGTGCAGGTGACATGATACTTTGGCGCGAACACTGTCGACAATTCCGAGATAGGTACATTAAAGCACGATGGGAAAGGTGGCAGTCGTAGTGGTAGGATGCTTACAACATCAGTACCGTGGACGACTTTTTGTCTGTAACCATACTGTGTATGGAATGCTTCTGCACATGCATTGTCAGAGTTATCTGGCCCGATGCCCATAAACGTGTAAAATAAGCAGGCCAGCAACCAAGAGTGCCAAGTCAATCCTGGAGGAAACTGCCTGCTTGCAACAAACACGGCGGAAACATGCATCATATGCTTACAGTCTTTTGGTACCGTCAAATACTCATATGAGCATAGGTGATGCGAGTACCCGTAGACGAAACATTATATCATACTGTGTATGCAATCACTCTACCCCAACCAAACCAGTCAATCCCTGTGTATCCAACAATCTAGATCAAGCTCATCATGGCCGTGAACATACCTTCTAATCATGCCGCACAGGCAACGCAGGAGGCCGTTCCTGTTTCCCAAACATGAGATCTTCCGCTTTTTTAGTGATGAGCCCGAATTGCGGCTCGACCTTCATCGCCCATACATGTGTCGCTGTAAACAAGATGACAAAGAAAACCGGCATCACGATGATGAAGGTCGTGTAGCCTGGCAATGGGTATTTCATGACAATGTAGCTCTGGTCGCCATTGTGCTCTTCGAATTCCACTAGGTGTTCTCTTGCGAATAGCAGCCACGAGAGTAGGCTGCGCATGAAGGAGCCATGCAACAGATACAACGGGAAGCTGACCTTGCCAAGCCAGAGCAACCACGGATGACTGAGACCACGGCGTATGTGCGGGGAAAGCACGACAGTGAGGCAGAGTAGCTGGGCGCCGATCGTTGGCCAGAAGCGACTAAGTTCAGCGTTTTCGGGCGACACTCTGTGGAACCATTCAAGGAGGAAATTGGACCATTGGGCCCAAGGCTGGAATTCGGAGGGAAACGACATCAAGACGAGTGCTAGGAGCGCCATTGGTGGTGCGAAGAAGGGTGAGAGTGGCGATAGACGGAGAGGATATTCAGAGTTATTCAGCTCAGAGAGCATGATGCCAACAAAACAGCTTACACCAACCATTGCTAAGAAGAGAGGGTCAGCGAGGGACATTCATTTAAACGGATGTCCGCACGGTCACCGATCCTTATACCCCAATTCCACGACCAGAACCAGCAGATCATCATGGTCATCACTCGAAATCGAGGTGTTAGGTTGATAGTCGCGAGCAAAGCCATGAATACGAACATAGAGCCTTGCAGAAGGTACATGAGAGCCCATTGAGGCTGGTCGTAAGGATTTTCTGGATTGTAGAGCCAGGTGTTTCGGATGGCATATAGAAGATCTATAATGGCCTGTCCCCACGAGGGGCTTATTCCCGGGCTTGTAATCTGCAGCCAATAGGCGTCCGAGTTTTTTGCTATTTCATATGCGCCAAATTGACAGATGAACCAGCTGATGATTGTAGCTGCGGCGGCTGGAAGAAAGAGACGGAAGGACCTTCTGAACGCGCTGACGGCAAGGTTGGATATTGCTGTTTCGATATTGCCCTGCCTGGCTAGCTTGATAGGCTTCAGCGAGTTGACGAAACCAGAGAGTATGATGAAGCAAGCAACCCAGGCAGGACCTTGGCCAACGAGTCGAAGGATAGGTCTTTGCATCCATTGTGAGGGCCCGTGCTCGCCGTCGGCAGGTCTGACTATGTAGCGGGCGAAAGCAAGGGTCATATGGCTGAACATAACAAAAACAGCAGCGATACCTCGAAGCCCCTGCCACTTACATTAGTTCAGTACGTAGTGAGGAAGCGGAGGCGGCTAACATCAGCCCAGGAGCTGTCCTGAAGAGCTTTCCGATTGGCATCTTTACTGGCCTGAGTTGGCGTCCATCTGGTCTTTTCGGCGTATGAGGTGAGCAGGCCCACCGTTGTCGACGACATGATTTATTGCAGGTGGAACATTTTGGAGCAGACGTGGTCTCTCCAGCTTCGTGGTCGCACCACTCATGGATTCAAAACAAATGCCTGGAGCTTTGGTTGTACAGGTTCGCATTAGCGGGGCACTAGCGCCGTTCGGTCAGGTTCGGACTTCGGCATCCCTTTCCGTGATCGAGGATGAATCAGTAGCAGTTGAGGCTGTTGCAAATGTTCAGTGACTCTCCATACAGTAATAAGACTGTCGTTACTGGGGGCTTCTTGGCGAATAAATGATGACTGAAGAATGATCATGGCATTGCTCCTGCTGCGCATCTCTCATGATTGATGCTCTTGATTCCCGGATATGCCTCAAACTCGTGGATCAAGTGTCTTTTGGGGACATCTTGGTCTCTCCTCCTGTGTCTTCTTCACCATCTCCTCTATATCGCCGTTACCATAAAACATCTACATCTCAAGCACCAGATATGTCGTTACGCAGAATATATACTCTGACTGTGGTTGAACTTTTCGAAAAGTCAAGGTTGTTCGTCGTGCCCACCAAAAATCAAATGTTCTCAAGCTCGCGGAAGACCCGAACATGCTCATCCTTACATGCCATGTGACATACTGGGATCGTTTCGGATGGAAAGACAACTTTGCGAAGTCTGCGTTCGATCAAAGGCAATGGGAGTATGCCACAGCTCTTCGAAGGAAGAATGTTTTTACGCCGCAGGTTAGGCAGATGGTCCAAGGCGTTGTGCTCTGAAGTCATGTTGACGATCCATAAACAGGTCATTGTCAACGGCCAAGTCGATGGCGTGGGTCACAATTCCCGAGATCTACAGGTTCTGATTACGAAAGGAAATGCATTCAGTACTGCGCAGACAATGGAGATCCTCTACATGATCCATGGTGGAGGTATTACAGTATCAGGCCTCGGAAATGAGCATGGCGTCGTCAGCGTGATACGATACGATGATATACCGAGACTATGATGGTAGTATCACGCATGGCGAGAACAACGGACGAAAATTACGACACAGTCACATTGTCAAAGATGTTACCCATGTGGGCAGCTGGAGCGGGGGTTTCCAGAGTTACGCTTTACCGCCCCTGCAGAGAGGTGGTGAGAAGGTTGCAGTACTGGTCCATGCAGGTGCAGGAGGCCCAATCATTGGAGCGGCTCGCATAAAGGAGGCAGAAGGTCTTGATTTACGCGAGGATACTCTATGAAGGGTAAAGTAACGTAGGTAGCTAGATACCTCATGATATTATTCTCGAATCCCTATGAAGTTGTGCAACTGCAGCCCGCAAGGCTAGAACAATTGAATCGGCCCCCCTTTTTCTCGCTGTTAATCGGCAGCTTCTTTTCGGCGCTGATTTTCAGGTACAGCGTGAGCCGAGCCGTGTGATGGCTTGGCCCCCATTTGCCGTTGCAGCTCTCGCCAGTCCCTACTACATACAGTGTACGGATAGGTAAGTAGAGTACGCCCTCCATGTTGAACCCTTTCGCCAAACGCGTCGTCCCGAAAAACTTACTTCTGACCTGACCCTTATCGACGCGTGTCTGCGGCAGCGACGCAGATTTTGTTCCTGCGGAGTCGCGGACTACGAGTACGACCTTTCCAATCCCGCCTGTAATATTAATTCTCCGCTAAAATGGCTGTTACACACTTAAATTCCCAAATGATGCAACGATCAGCTCTAGCTGAGCGCAGTAAGCGAGCAGGATCTTATCCATGATCAGGCTATCTCGCTGTCTTCCCTCATGTCAACAATCAAAACGCGACACTGCCTTGCTCCAGATTCATCAGAGCGCTCCATCTCGTTGGATCCGAGCCGTACCGAAGCCATCACATTCCCTAAACTCAGGGCAATCAATTAACCATCTGCTAAACGCTGGTGTTTGCCCGGGATGTGTGAAGGAGCTACGGATCTATCAAGATCGATGAGCAGCATTGCTGCCAGCTCTGGCGGAACTGACTCCAACGCAACTAATCGCTCATAACACACCCAGATTGATGCTGTGAGAGCCGGTTACACCATGACGTTCGTCGATAGTGGAATGGGAGAGCCATTGGCAGCTGCGATTGACGATGGAGTGGCACCTGGGAAGACGCTCAAGAAGAAGAAGAGCCTTACAAGACTATTCTCTTCAACTTCAAGGAGATCATCTCGATCAAGGCCGCCGTCACCGGAAGATCCACACACTCCACCTATACCACAAGTGCCGACACACTTCTGGCCCTTGGGTTCCTCAGGCGCTCCACGAATTCCAAGTATGAGCTTTGACTGTCTTATGAACGAGCACCTTCACGACGAGCAATTGGAGGGTATGGCCCAATTCGACAAGCGCAGCCCTGGAAGTCCATTGGCAATGTCAAGCACTGAAGAGACGGACAATACAAGGTCGGAGGCGACTGTAAAGAGCGAATCCGTAACAGCAAGTCACCAAATTCCCGGTACTCCGAAAGGTCACTCGACAGCACCCCTGTCAAGTGTTATTCGCAAGAAGTCAGCAGAGAAGCCTTTAATCTACCACTCGCCAACGTTTCCAATTCTGCCGAAAGAAACCAAGACTGGGCTTCGTATGCCATCTGCTTTCTCGTCTGTCACTCGAGGTCGTGGTGCTTCAGTCACAGCACCAAAACCCAAGAGCTCACCAGCCCAGCCACAACTGACCAGACCTTCTACAGCAGGTGGCGAGTCCAATTCAAAGCCAACAGGCAAAAGGAAAACTAGTGTGAATAAACAAGGTCAAGATGTGTCAAGCCCGTCACTGTTCGATTTAGAAGATTTCCCCATGAGTCCGCAGCGTCCATGGCAAGCCACATATAGCAACGACGAAGTAAGATCCAGCTTTCGGTCCGCGTTGACAACAAGCTCTAGCCATATAGACACAACAAGCACGGAGAGGAGCAGTGTTCTGACCAAGGGTACCTCGATAACGGATTCAACGATCGACCAACAGTCAAGGCCTGTCTCGAAAGTTGAGAGTATGACCGTAGACGATGCAATCGACATGTATGCTGCCGGGTTTGCTGATGATGATGACACCGGACCGAGTGACTCGAGAGACACCTCAATGAGCGAAGAGGAACGCAGAAGATCGATGAAAATTGCTGAAGCTATCAAAGACACCATCGGTGAAATGCGCCCTTCCAGACGGCCAACGACAAGTCAATCCACTAGCTCGACTGCACGGATATCGTATGATGCGTTCAAAAGAGAGTCTATCCAACCACCTCCAATAGTACCCCCAACGTCAACTCGCGATCAATATGGTTTCCTTAAAGCCAGCCATCATATTACGATCCCACAGTACGACGCGTGGGCGAACGGCTATTTACTAAGCCAAGAGAGACGCACGAAGAAATGGTCATCATACATGCGAGAGCAAGGTCTTCCAACCTTCATTCCCACCCGCTTCCCTAACCGGTCAGCGAAAACCGAGCGCTACATTCGCAAAGGCATTCCTCCAGCATGGCGTGGACCTGCTTGGTTTTTCTACGCCGGTGGCGATGCGTACCTCGAAAAACATGCCGGTCTCTACACCTCCCTTGTGTCGCGCTCAGAAGACGAGCTTTCCAGTGCTGACAAAGAATCGATCGAGCGTGACCTCCACCGCACCTTCCCGGATAACATCCACTTCAAACCCGACCTTCGTTCTTCAGGATCTTCTGCTGCTGAATTGCCGCTTCTAAGCTCTCTCCGCCATGTCCTCCGTGCCTATGCCCTTCACAATCCTCGCATCGGCTATTGCCAGTCTCTTAATTTCCTCGCTGGCCTCTTGCTATTGTTCCTTCCCGAAGAAAAAGCATTCTGGATGCTTCACATCATCACCACCGTCTACTTACCGGGTACGCATGAGCTTAGTCTCGAAGGTACAAACGTCGACCTATGGATCTTGATGCTAGCGCTGAAATCCACCCTTCCTCATATATGGGCGAAAGTGGGCGCTGCCGGTGGATCTAGCGATGATATTGATGGAAGTGCTAGGCTGCCGCCTATATGTCTCTGCACGACCTCCTGGTTCATGAGCCTCTTCATCGGCACTTTACCCATCGAAACCGTTCTCCGTGTGTGGGATGTACTGTTGTATGAAGGCAGCCGCACTTTGTTTCGAGTCGCTCTGACCATCTTCAAGCTCGGCGAGCAACGGATCAAGGACGTGAGCGATCCAATGGAACTCTTCCAAGTTGTGCAAGGCTTGCCAAGAGGGATGTTGGACGCTGGCGCCTTTATGGCGACGGTATGCCGGAGAGGTGGGGTGGGTGGTGAATGGGTCGAGGCGAGAAGATGTGAGCGGAGAGAGTGGTTTGCTAGAGAGCGGGCGACCGCGGCCGGACTGTCAGACGGCACCGGTGCGGATCATATTGTCCTGAGGGATGATGCTGCGAGCGAGAGGTCGGCATCTGCGAGAGGTAGACCTCCAATGACAAGGATGGACTCGATCTGGAGGAGGAGAAGGAAGAGAAAAGCCTCAGTGCCCGTGGGCGCAGACGGTATATCAGACGCTGGTAGAGATTTGCTGGCGCTTTGATTGCATACACGATATTATGGATACGAACATGTACACGAGGATATGACGTGGAAATATGGATGGGCATATATATATACAAATCAGGACGATCTAGACTCTGATACCAATGGACAAGGAATGGAGAATGCACCATCTATTACTGTCATTCTCACCATCTATCTATACCTATGATCCGTTCAAACCACAACCCCCCGAAAATGCCGCCAAGCGGCAGCGCCGTCATCCTCCGAAACGAAACATACAAAACCGACATTCATATTAAATTCTGTATCAATCAATCAATCAATCAAAACAAAACCCCACTACAAAAAGAACCCCATCAACACAGCAATCGACAACGCACTACCCGCCAGCTGGAGACCCATAGCCTTGCGCTCCGCGGCATCGCCGGTGAACGGTATAGTAGAGTTGGTACCGTTGATGCTGGCACTGCCGTTTGCGAACGCGTAGGGAGCGGATGGGGTCGGGAGGGTGGAGTACTAGAGGAGTAAGGTCATGTTAGCGGGGGATGCCCCTTTTGGGTGTAAAAGACAAGAAAGGAAATGTATGGTCGTTAGGGTAGAAGTGGATAGATAGTACGAGAGCGGTTGCTGTGGTGGGTTTTCGAGGCTGTCTGAATAAGGAGATGTTGTTGGTGGCGTGGGAGAAGAAGAAGCAGCAGTGCTAGTGACGAGACACAACTGCGGCAGATGACGTTGTTGAAGATGCCACAGAAGGCGATGCCACCGAAGGAGGAGTGGTCGACGGAACGGAAACAACAACCCGATTTAGGAGAGGATGGAGAAGGATATCAGGTTCATGGTTTTCTATCACTTACCGAAGAAGAAGCACTGCTCGTCACAGCCGCCGTTTCAATCGCACTCGGCACCGACGCAGCGGTTGTGGCCGGGATGATGCTCGAGGCTGTGACGCTGGGGGTGGGGATGCTGAGGGTGACGCCGACGGCGTCGCAGATTTGTTGCGCGAAGGCCAGGGTGACTAAGAAAAGGGGTGACCGTCAGCGACGAACGTGCGTGCTCCGGGGTTTGGGGTCGAAGAGGGGGCGGGGAGCTTACCCTGCTGGTCCGCGGCGGAGCAGACCGTTTCGATCAGGCTGTGCAGCGAGGTCACGAATTTGGAGTCGCCGCAGATGCAGGCGAAGTCGGATTCCGCGCAGCCCGTGGCGGAGATGCCGGCTTCTGCTGCGGATTGCTGGAGATGATGTCAGGATCATGGTGCTTCGAGGAAAAGGGGGTCTTTGAAGAGGTGGCTGTACTTACAGCACAAGTGGGGAGTTCAGTAAGGCTTCCGGCGCTGGCAAAGGGTGCGGCCAAGATGGCGAGAGCAGCGATGGAGTACTTCATTGTTGTTTCTTTTCTGTTGGAAGTGAAGGCTTCTAGTATGTTTTTGTGGTTTGAGAATAGTAAACGCGATGTTCTTCAGTGTGATAAGATCTTTTAATGAGAGTGTGGGAAGGAAGGAGAAGAAATTTGACTGAGGAGAAAGATAGAAGAGGGTCGTCGAAGCGACGGTTGCAATACATTCCTCTTAAGAGGGACTGGAATGAACGCTTGCGGACAAAGACCGAGAATGGGCGCATAGCGAACGCGAACGTCTTTATCCTCCTTGTCCACCATGTCAAGGAAAGGCAGTTTTGAGCCGCCTCTGTGGCTGCTGCCCGTTTGTTCAATGGTCGATGGAGCTCAAAGGCAGATTGGGTCTTGGACTCGTCCCGTCTTTAACATGGAAGGAATTTCGTATTGATGCCGACGCCAAAAGGCTGGAGAAACAGTGGGATTGAGGAAGTGCTTGGACAGACAGTGGAGATTTAAGAAGCTTGAGCTGGTGGCAAGTCTTCACGTTTTCGAGCGTAACTCGTCTTTCCATTTTCTCTTTTCTCGAGTTGATGAAGGGGATACTGAGCAGCATCGAAGCAAGTCAGCCATATCCATATCCATATCCATATGCACCTTCCTTTCCTGACATACTGAGAAGAGTAGATGATAAAGAGTAGAGAGTAGAGAGTAAAGAGGATTGTACGCTAGCACATGTATGATGTGGACTGGGAATGACGTTGGTAATAGATTCTTGATGTTAAAGGCCGATTTAAGAAGTGGATCTCTCGTAATGAAGCCTGAACTCGTATCTTACGATGTCGTGACCCATGACCCGTGGACCCGAAGCCACCGGTGCCACCTTCCTGCAAGTGCACGCAGATCTGGGACGCAACGATAACCATACATTATAGATTTGCCCGCGTAAACGGCTCATCCCGAATACGTCCTCACTGCTCATGGAATGTCAGCTAGCTACTTTCCGTCCCAAGAGCCCTGAAAGGTTTGCTGGGAGTAGATCTGGCAGCTATGCAGTCCTAGGTATGGCAGACGTCGTATAAATGCAGTAAGCTTTGCGACCCTTTTGCAATTTGGAGCAGCGCCAGCACAGCATGTTGACTTGGGATTGTACAGACGACTTTACTGGCTGGTACTACTATCCCACATGTCGCCTTCACTGGCATCGGACACGCCGATGGCAGAGGACTCTGACCGCTATAAAAGGGCCAAGTACAAGGGATATCTGCTCTACAAGCCACCCATCGTGCATCTTTTTGCAAATGGACACAGAGGAGCTTCAAATCAGAACGCATGGACAAGGTGTGCATCTTTTCTTAAGCACACGCTCTCGGTCACGGTTTTCCAATGATGTACCGTCCAACGGCGAGGAGAAACCAGTATACGCGTATTCATCTTCCAGAAGTAGAGACGCTTGCCGTGGGGATTCTGGAATCGAGATGGCATACATCATACATGAACTCAGCTTTCGGTTTGAATGTCGCGTGCGTTGGCATGCATGTTCTTCCCGCAATTGAAGCAAGCAAGATCTTTTGCCGCATGAACCCGGCAATTAGAAATTTCAGGGCTGGGCCTTTTTCCCAACAAGTCTTCCAGATAGTGGTGGTGAAACAAGTGAACAGGTCCTTGTAAGTTGTGGGTAAATGTTCAGTGCTTGATGGACAGCTGACCTTGACGATTGGCACACCATACTCCAAGCGGTGACTGAATTGCAAATCTCATCTGCCGCCTGTTGTTTTAATTGCGCCCGGCGGTCACAAGGTCAAGGTGTCTGCGCGAAGAAGCTCGATACGACATGTTGAGTGCTTAGAAGCGACTTGGGTGCAGTGCCACGTCAAGAAGAGCAAGAGTTGAAGAAAGTTCGGATGATGTCACGTTTTTGCCACGTGCATCGATCACACCGCTCATCGACGTTGTATTCCTTACTGAGATTTGGCGGCGCAGATCTTTTTCTTTGTTGATTACATGTATCTTCTTTGTCATGTAAGACACTGTTTTACAGGCAAAACCTTCATTCTGATCCTCGTTTCTTACAGTATCTTATATGCAATGGGGCCTTATAGCAGTCTGATTTCGAACACTCTAAAGTAAGTACCGTAGGATAGTCTCACGCGGTGCCCAAGAAGGGCCTAAGGTAAACCTGGGCCAAATCCGCCAGATTCGACCAAGACTAACCTTAATAAAGATAAAGATACGATCTTTAGTGCTACGAACCGGCGATCTCCCCACCCAGCCCAGGGGACTACTATTTTGCAGCCTAACTGTGGCGTACTACTAGTACCTACGACTGAAATCGTTTATTTGGAACGGTATTTTTATATGCAACGGGGGTCTTAATCTTATAGCGATTTGGTTTATTACAAACTTGCTGGTCGCATACCTTACCTTACCTTACCTTACAAGTACCTTCCAAGTGGCCGGGATTTTCAACAGGTGACCCTCCTCCTATCTTCCCAGCGAGCCAATCATTAAATTTACGTACATGGAAAATTCCTGTCTCCTTGCAATAATGTCCCGCTCATTGTCGCTTTGTCCCTGCTTTATGAAACCAGCTCCGCCTCCCCCCATTATTGCTTTCAGGTACCCGTTTCAACATATCTACCAAGGATACATATACCTTGGAAACTTGTAATTTGAAGTGTAGCGTTTTGCCATTCTTATGTGCGCTGACATAAATTGTCATTGTATGACAGGCTTCACTTTGCTGTTCGCCTGCAACCATGTCCATGACATAACATATGAATCTTCGCTCGCCCAGTGAGCGAGCTGCCCGAGATGGTCGGAGGCTTGCCAGAGGGTTTGGTCAGCAATAAGAAGGGCGTTACAGTGGGGTTAGACGAGGCTGTTACCTTCGAAGCTGAGGATACTCTGAAATTATGGCGAAGTATGCTACCTCAGCCAAACTTCTTCTTCGCGAGACAGCTCACATTGTCGATTTCCTAGTCTACTCGTCAGGGAATGCAGCCATTGCAGAGAATGTGGGCCAAAGACTCGAGAACTTCTTTTGGAGGATTGCGATGAGTGATCGTGTACGAGAGCGTCTAAGTGGTGCGCTGATCGGTAGGCAATTTAATAGCATAAGCCAGGGTGGTTACATCAGAACCACACCAACGCCATCGCCGCGATCCTCAAGAAGTCTAGGTAGCTATGACAGAGGAGCTCGCTCGATCACCTCTACCAAAAGTGCAGTGTCAAGCTCGCCAGCCTCGCCCAAGGCTGAACCTGTTCCGCCTGATGAGAAATTGGAGGGTCCCTCAGTCACGCCATCGCTTCAAAGTTCTTTACAAATGTCTTCAGAAGCCACTACCAAGGCAAAGGAGAACAGGCAAACAACAACCACTCGGCCGCCGCCAATACTGAAGAAGTTAAGCTCGGGCTCTAATCGATCATCAAAGAGCTCCTCTGTTTTGTCTCCAGCTTCCCGAGAAGTATGGTCTACTGCAGGTGCTGGCAATGAGGAGGCTGTCAGCCTCGACGATGATGCCATACCTACAGAATCACTTGTTCCCATCGCCGGAAAATCTGCCCGTAAATCGACTACGACACGCTTCAATGAGGAGGTCGCGGTATCGATTCCCAAAGTTTCTACTGTCTCACGATTATCCGGTGGTCGTCTGTCTGGCGAAAGCAGTCAGCGATCCGGAAGGAGGAATCCTATAGTAGTGGCCACTGCCGGTGCGAGTAAGAGAAGACCCCCTGTCATGCGGCAAAGGTCATCGCAAGCTTCCTCCTTTGGCGTCTCGAAAGACGCACCTTTGAGAAGTTCATCTTCACCAAATTTGGCTCGGAGTATGAAGCCTACTTTTACGATCACCGCTAAGAGTCCCAGCCAAGAAGCAGAAACGGAAGCATCATCGCTAAGACGATTACGAGCGGCAAGTCCGCATCCTTCGAAGCATCGCAGGGGTCGCCCCCAAGTCCACCATCCGGCGAGGAACCGGCGGTTGACTTTGGCGGTGAGGATGCGGGGGCACGAGAGCCTTCTACGAACCCAATCTCAGGACCTACGCTTGGTGAAGAGATAGCTAACGCCAATCCTGAGATATCCAAACCCCTTGTGGATCCCGAGTTCAGGTCTAAGTTTGTGGACAAGACACGACCCTCGCACCGATCGTTCACGAACATTTCCACCTTTGCACGCAAATCCACCGCAGCTGTGCCAACAGCTGCCTCGTTCCAAGCCTTAGGCATGCTAGACACAGGCCAAGGTACACCCACTGCCGGCAGGAATAAGGGCAAAGAGGCTTTCAAAAATGAGATAGTCGCGCTCAAAGCCCCTGCATCCGCGGGACCTGAGCCACCAGCCGGGACCTCCCAGCCTTTACCGAGGACGAAGGGCCAGCTTACGCTACTGCTCGAGAGGGAGCAGAATCGGTCTGTGGGTCAGGAACACTGATTTGAAAGGCCGGCAAGCCTTGATGTCATGATGGTGGGAATGGATGCAACACCAGCCATTTGAGTTGTTGTATGACTACTGTACTACTATTGTATCTTCGCAAGCATTTTGGAGTTGCAACTTGAGCGTTTCAGCGAGCTGGCATGGCATTGCATGGTGTCGTTGGAAGTTTCTCTGGGTACATACTCGTATGCTCCTTGTACTATAGACCGCTTACTACGATGTACCACTTCGCATAGCACCGTTGAATTTGATAGATAGAGTCTAGGTTCCGTGACATGATACTTGAATGTGAATGGCAACGATGAACCAACGGTATTTCTTATGTGCGTACACTCGCCAGTAACGCACACCAAGCATGTTTCAAGCACCATGCATTTTTGAGGTGGGCCTGAAATAACACCCTGAGCCTCTTACGATATGTCCTGCTCGAAAGACCCTCGGTTAGCCGATGAGAGTCGGGTATCCATAAGGTACTTTATACGTAATGGGTCTCATCCCTCATTTCACTGAGTACATCGGTGTGGCGTCCTGAACAAACCCTGGCCACACACATCTGTTATCGTAAATCGCCATTCGAGTAGAAGAAGTGAACAGGGTTGAATCCACAAGCCATGCTATGAGTTCCATTAGCGCGCTTTTCTGTTGTCCGAGCAAACGAGATCACCATCCAAAGTCCAACGGATTTTCTGGCGCATCATGGAGTTTTACGAAGGGCCACATCGTTGTCATGGCCAGGCCCAAAAGTTCGTCAACTAGGTATGGGACAAAGAAGCAGACATGCCAGGTTGCTTGTCCCGGTCTGCTTCAGCCCAAGCATGTATCCGCCATCCGATGTCTATCCTCTAATAGACTATTGTGCCACTATCTTGCCATATCAACAGGGAGATGAAGCTGATAACACCATACTACAACGCATACGGGTAATGGACTCCTGGCCGGCGCAGTCTGGGGTCGGTCAAGAATCCGACGACGGTGAGCTCTCGTCAAGTGAGGAATCTGAACGCGCCAGTGTGGACGGGGGGAAAGTTTCTTTGATCGGCCACTTAGACAGCGTATCGCTCGGATGTAAACACGTGGCATTCTAGGTAGCGTGGAATTGGCCCCGAGCTTTTGGAAGACAGAGGTGCACTCGCCGGTGAACAAAGGGTTCTACCCTGAAACTGCCTGCTAGGTACTGGGGATGTACTCCAAGCGCTAGGCCATTCGAACAGAGGGACATAGGGCCATGATCAAAGGGACCCGTGCCTGAACGCTGCTTTAAGAAAGTCGTTTATTTGCGTTATGCTTCCATGATGCGACCGGAGCACCAGGCAGCCGGCCTTCGGGCTCCAGATTGATTGTAGAGAAGATCAGACAGCATCCAAGATTTGCATCATATTCGATATACGTATCTACTTCTTGCTCTTAAAACCTGTAAAGAAAAAGCCTTTGGCATGAAGTAGTAGTCGAGTGACCTCGGTCCCAAGAAAGCGCCTAGCAACCGGTTGCCCCTCGGCTTAAAATAGTAAACAATCTTCTTTCGAACCATCGACTATCTAAAAACCGAAAATCAGACTTGACACTCCACGCTCAATCACCACACCCATCATGGCAGCAACAGACCAATCCCACAAACCTTCTCCTACCTCCCTCTTCCAAGTTTACCTCCGCCTGCGTCCTCCGCCGTCCCCCCTCGTCCAATTGACACAACAATCCCTCTATCCGCTCCTTGCGCCCTCAGAACGCTATCTCACAGTCGAAGCCCCTGGTAAAGAATCGCAAGATGGAATGCCGACACACATCACGATCCATCCGCCCAGCGACTCCCGGAAGCGAGCAGTGGAGAAGTTTGCGTTTACGAAGGTGTTTGAAGAGCAGGCGGAGCAGATTGATATTTTCAGAGGGACGGGCGTGGTGCCGTTGATCGAGGGTGTGCTGGGAGAAGGCAGAGACGGGTTGCTTGCTACATTGGGGGTTACGGGGTCGGGGAAGGTTCGTTCATAGCACTGTCAATGCGCTTGGGAGGTTGGGTTTGGCTGATGTGTGGCCAGAGTCATACGATACTAGGATCGAAATCGCAGAGAGGGCTGACCCAACTATCTCTGGATCTCTTATACCGCTCCCTTGACACGCAGACGCTGCATTCAGCAAACCATCCGTCGTTGATCGCATCCCTAAATGCCACCGACGCCTCAGAAGCCCAAATCTTCTCTGCCTCAGGCTTCCTGGACAATGTATACGGAGACTGTCTGCAAGAGCCGTCCCGCTCGAGAGCCCCAACACCCATGATGGTAGGCAATCCTTCTCGTTCGTCCCTCAAGGTCCCCCATTCTTCATTGAAGGTACATCATTCGACTGGTCCGAGAAGCCAGTGGTCGATCCTGAGTCTCGATGCTGGAACTCCTTCTCCCGAAGAAACAGACAGCTCAGTTGTCAAAGAGGACAAGGCAGCGTCTGTACCCAATGCAGAGCAGACTCCCAATCATATGAGCAGCCTTCCGTCCCAGCTCTCTGTTTGGAAACTCCCAATCCCGAGGATGACAAGAAAGCAAGCTAAAGTGCGGTTTGGTGATAACCTACAGGACCCAGCCTTTACCCCTAGCGTGCCTAAACGCAAGCTTCCCCAACGACCTTCTGCGCTCCCACAGTTCCCAGACATCAGCGACCTCGCCTTTTCTGTCGAGCCGAATGCGGAATACGCGATCCTAGTCTCGATGTATGAGGTATACAACGACCGCATCTTTGATCTTTTGTCGGTGCCAAGCAATCAGAAAGACCTTCGTCGAAGACACTTGCTCTTCAAATCAACCGAAGCATCACCAGATCGGAAGGTGGTTGCTGGCCTGCGCAAGGTAGTGTGTGGGAGCTATGAAGAGGCGTTGATAGTGTTGGAGACGGGACTGATGGAGCGGAGGGTTGCTGGAACTGGAAGCAACAGCGTCAGCTCGAGGAGTCATGGCTTCTTCTGCGTCGAAGTGAAAAGGCGGCCAAGAGGTGGCTTGTCAAACTCATGGACCGGCTCTCAGCTGACTGTCGTTGACCTGGCTGGATCCGAACGTGCTAGAAATGCAAAAACCGCAGGAGCAACGCTGGCAGAAGCTGGAAAGATCAATGAAAGCTTGATGTATCTCGGCCAATGTTTGCAGATGCAGAGCGACAGTAACGATGGTACAAAGGTAGGAAAGACTGTCTAAGTATGGGGATGAATGTTAATTTTCGGTAGCCGACCCTGGTTCCTTTCCGCCAATGCAAGCTGACCGAGCTGCTCTTCTCCAATTCCTTCCCCTCCTCTTCTCATCACCACGCGACCCACACCACGCACCATAGAAACGCCCAGAAGGCCATCATGATCGTGACCGCTGATCCATTGAACGAGTTCAATGCTACCTCCCAAATCCTACGGTATTCCGCTCTAGCCCGCGAAGTTACCGTTCCTCGCATACCATCGGTCTCCAGTACAATCCTTTCCAATACCACTGGCAGAACTCCTAGTGGTCAGACGTTGCCCCCCCGCTGCGCACACAGACGAGGCAGTAGTGGAGATGGCATTCTCAGAGATTGCTAGGCTGAATGAGGAGGTCGAGATACTGAATGTGAAATTGACGGAGCAAGAAGAGCGTAGGAGAGAAGCGGAAGAAAACTGGCAGAAGGCCGAAGAGAAGGCGGAACAGATTGAGATGGAGGTAAGGGAGGAATGCTGGGGTGAGATGGAGAGAAGAACCGCAGAGGAGAGGAGACGATGGATGGGGGCCTGGGGTGAAGAGGTAAGCTTGAGACCATACAAACGAGGTCGGAGAGCAATACTGATCAGCAACATAGGCAGATCGAAATGACGAGCACCTTGATCGCAAATTGGAGATACTTACCCAGGGTATCCAAAGTGAGCCGACTTCTCCATGCTCTCCACCATCGTACTGATCGTGCACAGTCCATGAAGATGCCATTGATCAAGACACACGCACTACCGAGCTGGAAAACGAGAATGAAGCTCTCCGTCGCAAGCTTGAAGCTCTTGAGCGTGATTTACAATGTCGATCTCCAACCAAAGCACCGCGAAAGCCTCAACTATCCAGTCCCAGCAAGGACTACGGACCCGCTGCGCTGGGAACAGCACTCTCCAAGTTCAATGGCATGAGCTTGATAGATGCAGCTGCGTACAAGGCACAGTCCCCTGGTAAAACGCCAGGGAAGAAGATGAGAAAGTTGACAGCGAGGAAGTGGGACTTGATGGACGAGAATGAGATGGATGCTTTTGAAAACCACTACTGAGTATTAAGAATTGAATTCGTTAGAGGATGAAATTGGAGTTGAGAATGCTCTGGAGCTTTGGAACCCGGCCTCGAAGACACCACCAGAAAGAGTACTCGAATACCTTGATTTGGTTTTCTTGTTTGTCGATACGATGAAATGACATATTATATTCGGAGAGAAAGTGGACAGGGATGCAAAAGGGATGGGGCGAGCTCGGGACGTTGGATAATGAAGGCCGAAAGAGCTCTTCCCCCACGCGCATAGTGCCACGAGTGGGGGGATTAAGATGAAAAAGGGTTGAATTAATCAATCAATAGAGTAATAAAATATTACTATAAAAGTCAATACCACGTTTTCTACAAATTCTTCACTGCAATACCATCCATAGCAGCATTTTCGTCATACACGAAAACAAATCACCCGCCAGCTCCGGCCAGCTCTCACTACCTCGTCATTCTTCCTACCTACGACAACAACATCATCCAGTAGCGCTTCACAATTCCATACCTCTACAACCTCAGACACTTTCATTGCACAGCTTGGTGCACCATCGATTATCCATTCCGCCCCCACACAATGTTTACTTCTCGTGTCATCGCACGCTCGCCCAAGCTCCTCTCAGCAACCGCCTCGCGCATCACATCCCTTTCCCTCTCCAAGCCAATATATTCCATCCGCCCAATCACATGCAGTACCAAGCTCTACAAGGAGGACAAGCGCACCCCTAGCGCCGCCGGACGAGCTCTCGACAATGAAAAGTCTCACGAGGGATCTTTCGGTCGTACCGATAAGACCATTCGCATTGAACACCCGGACGAGTCTGACCACCCACCGTCCAAGCCCATTCAGGGCCGCGGTGGGCTTCATTTCAAGAGAACATTGGCTTCCTTTACGCTTGAGGGTGGTGTGGCTGTCGTAACCGGCGGGGCTCGAGGATTGGGCCTTGTCATGAGCCAGGCTTGCGTCATCTCCGGCGCCGACGTAGCCATTGTCGACTTGAATAGTCAGTACCTTTCTACGTTGCCACTGACAGCGACTAACGTGATGCAGAGGAGGAAGGCGATCGCCAGGCACAGGAGCTCATGAGACACTTTCAGGAGGAGAATCCTGGCGCTGAGATGTACGTCTACGCCTAAAAGCTTCGAGGCCTTCAATGATTGACACAAGCAGCATTCCTAAAGTCACGGCCCACTACTGTGACGTGTCTGACCACGTGTCGGTCAAGAGGGTCGTTGCTGACATTGTCAAAGACCACGGCAAGATTGACCACCTCGTTACATCTGCCGGCTTCACCGAAAACTTCGATGCCATCGCATATCCGCCAGACCGCATGAAGAAGCTCTGGGGGGTCGATGTCGACGGCACCTACTTTTTCGCCTGCGAAGTAGCTAGGCATCTCATGGAGCGCAAGGTCAAAGGCTCCATGGTCATGATCGGCTCCATGTCAGGCGCCATTGTCAACGTGCCTCAACCACAGGCGCCCTACAACGCGGCCAAAGCCGCTGTTCGGCATTTGGCATCCAGTTTGGCCGTTGAATGGGCACATGCTGGGATCCGTGTCAACGTGATTGCTCCGGGTTACATGCTGACCGCGCTGTAAGCCTCTTCGCCCTGCATTCTACCTTTGACTACCAGATCTAACGCACTATAGGACGGGAAAAATCCTCGACGACAATCCAGAGCTTTTCAAGCACTGGACCTCCCTGATCCCACAGGGCAAAATGGGGCAGCCGGAGGATTTGATGGGAGCGGTCACTTATCTCTTGAGTGAAGCTTCAGGCTACGTTACCGGCGCCGAGCTGAGGGTGGATGGAGGCTATACCATCACTTAGGGACATGGATGATACCCTGCCGAGCGTGCAAATTTGAGCCAAGTGTTCGACGGGCAGTTGCGCCGCTTCAATTCAAGTCCTGCAATGGTTCCTTTCACGCGAATAATTTACGTCCGGCGTCTGGGTTTTCTGCGCACACTTAGCGTCATTGCAAACGCGATAGAGGTGGTTGGCGCAATCGCTGGGCTTTCGGCTTACCTACCGTGCAAAGGATGGTGGGGAACGAGGGCCTGAGGCTGGCGCGATACATAGATGAAAGCAATGCAATGAATGCTGCAAATTGATTCGACAGTCCAGATCTGTCACTGATGCTGCGGTGAAACGCCATTCCTAAGCAATTCGTACCGAGTCCTTTTTGCTTGTTCAGATGGCACGGAGAATAGTCACATGGTTATTTAATCGTTGACAAAGCACAGAACTCGCGTTGATAAAGATGCAATCAATCCGTCGCTCCTGCAAGTACTAATCCGACTCCCAACAATTCCAACCTCATCCAAAAGCATTTCCCTATTTCCATTCCCCGGCTAAACTGCCTCTTCCCTCTCTCCGCTCCCGCCCAACCTGAGCACGCTTCTTCCGATACCGGGCGACGGGAATAGCGTCGTCGATGCGAATGGGACACGGTGGACTTTGGGTGAAGCGCCAAAGGGGGAGGTTGCGCAGATATGGGGGGGGGGGTCTCTAGTGATGGGTCACCGTGCTTTTGGGATAGGGGCAGGGCGTTCGTTGGTGTCACTCGGTCGTCGTGATCATTATTGGGGTTTTAATCAGAGTGAGACCTTTGATGTTGTTGAGCGATGGTTTCACCATGGCTTGGTCCTTTCGGAAAGAGATAATCCTCGTGTTACAGGCGTTTTACCCGTCCTACACTCCAGCGCCTCCGGTGCTAGATGGCTTTTGCCCAGTGTATCCGTGCCGGTATTCCAACAGGATTGACTATGTCCGAGAAAACGTAAGATCGTAGGATGAATCAGAAATACTCCCCTGGTGGTCTCGGCGGTCCACTGTTCGGTGCGCGCTCATTCGGTGGAGTAGCTCTTGGCGTACCAGCGCTCGATGTACTCCCTAGCCGTTTGTTTCCTTCACTGCCCCCTTCAGTCGGCGAGGATAGCTCCCTGGATGTAGGATTCCGGGGTGATAGATTACCGCCGTAGCCCCGACGCCATCTGTCAGGATCGCTTTCGTCGCTAGACGACAGATTCGTTGGTGTTGTCCTCCTTGATGCGCTGTCTGCGAATTCCCCACCGCTCCCCTGTCGTTCCCTGCTCTGGCTTTGCGGCGACACCTGACTTGGATTGAGACCCCTGGACGTGTGCATTGATCTGTGGGGACTCCGAGTATTTCCCTGGCTGTCCTCATCCGGTGAAGAAATGTCGCTTCCAGAACGAGGTAATCGCGGAACATCCATCTGCCGTCTGCTCCACGACGCCGCGCCAGGTTGTCTTTCAGGTGAATGTGGCGAGCTGATGGGAGAGGGTCGATCACTGCCGCTGAGAGGGGATGGCAATTCGTAAAGGCCATGATCACCGGCGTACATTTCAACTGGGGCGAAAGTAGGCACCGGCATCTCTGCTCTGGGAGTCCCTTTGCTTCCTTCCATCTCCCAACCACCTCTACTTCCTTCAGCTTCGGCTCTTAACACGCCCTCACTTCCTGGGGCTTCAGCTCGCAACACGCCTCCGCTTCCCGGAGCTTCGGCTCGCATAACGCCCGCGTCCCCTTCCATTTCGGATTTTAGCTTCGCAACCATTACTAGGTCCGGATTGCTGCCCTCCATTTCCGATCCTTTCCTCATGTCCATCCCTAAATCGGGTTTACTGCCGTTCATTTCCTCTCCGAATTTGTAATCGTATGGTGGCTCTTCGAAGGGAGCCTTGCTGGCTGGCGTGGCATCCATTTCTGCTTTGTGGAAAGGGGTCATTTCATCACCTTCCATTTCCCCTTTTTCCACCTTCCTCCTCTTGCTTCGGTGCTTGATAATATAAAAGGCTGCAATTGCGGCGACGATGATTAGGGCGACAACAGCGACTATTATGCCAACTATGGCGCCAGTGGAGATTTTGTGAGAGGGCTTTATGATTTTGGTTATCTTCGACGTTGTAGCGTTGGAGGCTGCGGCAATGGGTATGATTTGGGATGGGGCGTTTGATACCCAGCTATTCTGGGAGACGGAGAAATTGTTTTGTTCATAGTTGACAATGAGGTATCTATCAATGTAAGTACTTTTTCAATGAACAATATGTTTCATGACTTACGCTTCTTGAAGGAATGTTCGTCCCAGTGTATACTGAGTAGAATTGGCTGCTTGACGTAGAGGAAAGTAATATTGAGTGGTATCGACAAATGGAGCACTGATATTGAGGTCAAAGCTGGCGTATGGAAATGTGATGTTTACCGTGGAACCGCCATTGACGTCGTTGCCGATTATGAATGAGACACTGGCATTCTGCTTTTTCAATTGGCTATGAAGGGTGTCGTTCACGAGGTATCGTTCAATCGTGCTGTTCCATTCAATGCCAAACGAATCTTCAAAAGCCTGGCAGGCTTCTATAGGCAGCCAAATGTGTGGTACCGAAGAATCGATGAATGTTAACAGGCCTGTGGATAACAGCGGGTCATTTGTTGTTGTCGCATCACTGAAAGTAATGGACTGCAACCCCACAACTACGTCTCGTGATATATCAGCTGCCATTGTGAAAGGAACATCGTTCGGCGTGAACTTTGAAGCATCATAACCCCCCAAGGTGAGGGTCCCATCGGGCTTGTTCGGACCTGTCAATTGTCAATTACGAAAGTCATTGAATGCAGCCGGGCTAGTCATACGATATTGCGCTCCAGCCGAATAAGCAAAAGACAGGCTCGGAATTTTACTATGTGCCTTTAAAGAAGACAAATAGCTGGCATGCGGGTCGTCGAATGCAGTAAAATTTGTAGGGTAGTCGGTGACACCAAGGAATCCCACGTCATAGTCTTTAGTGGCCAGTGCAGCAATGACCTGGCCATCCAAATCGTCGCTCGTATCTCCTGCTGCCCCTAAACCTAGAGTGTCAAAGCCAAAGTCGCCGCTGTCATATTCATCAAGGTAGTCCTGTATGTTCTGCTCCAAGCCTAGGCCGTAAAGGCCTTGGTCTTTCCATGTACTCGAAGCATTTATGTTGACAAGCCCGCCTCGAGTTTGCGGACATGTCGACGGATCCGTACCGATGCATCCTCCTTCTGTTTTGTTCGCTGAAATGACCCAACTTTGCCCTAAGGCGGTGGAAACAAGGACTCTGGCAGTCTGCGCAGGAGTGCCGACGTGGATATTGAAAGTGGCCCAGGGACCGTCATTGCCATCCCTATAAAGTTCGCAAATGTCTCAGTAACAGGTCGTTTAATGTCGGTGGCTATGCTGGGAAACCACTCACCACTTCCCGCTTGGAGGAACGACGATCGGGGCGGCTGTAGCGTTTGTGGTGTTGGACATGACGTTCCTCGCAGTATTTCATCGTATTCGAGGTTAGCAGAGCATAAGGTCAATCAGCATTTGGGATGCCGGTATACATGATTGTGAATATTTACAACAGCGAGAGGTGCGCAAGGCGACGTGCGCATTTTGAATAAAGTCATCTGCATCCCTCGCAGGATGCACAGAATAACATCTACGGTAGGCCCCTGACTAGATCAACGGTGCGGCTGACGAGGGTGAGCTCCCAAGCTGACGTTTCAACGATTTTTAGCTTGCATCCAATCGAGCCATTGTATTCCCTAGATTATTGACAGGGTCGCAATTATCTACACGGTACGAAAAATTGCGGTACAAACAGTAGAAGTTTAAATTTTCACTCAACTATACTAACTTTTTAGTTATCCTTTTTTCTGTTTTTCCGAGCCATTGTTTCGCTAGGGTCTATCTTTAGACGAACTGTTACATTGCGCTTAAATGAAAAGTCTCTTTTTTATTGTCGATTTGGGTTGGGGGTTTGAAAATGGCTCGGATGGTAGGGAAAGTGGGTAGACTTGTGAGGATAATCCTTTCGTCTGGGTGGTTGCACACCATAGGCTGTCGCCCTGCGTAGCGACTCTGTGTATAGGTATTCGATGTGAGAGACTTCCTTCTTGATGGAGGCTAGGCTAGGATAGAAGACCTTTTGTGAAACATTGGGAGACTTGATTGTATTTCAAGGGAGTCTGCATGGACATCGAGGCCACCATACGCCCGCTAATGTATTGCAGTATTCGTATATCATGATCCCCCACTGCCACATTACCCGTGATCCCTTGCTGCCTGTGCGTGGCACCTCTGATCACTTCTTCGCATATTGCTTGGTCCATGCTTTTGCATTCTTGACAAACTCCTTCTTGTTCTCCTTGTATTCCCTCGCAATACCTCCCTCCACAGCATCATCAGGCTGAGGCTCCGAGAGCAGACCTTGAGCAAAGCTAAGCACGGCATCAATCTTCGACGAAGGCTTCCACTCGTCCGCACGTAGCATCCCTAGACACATGCTACCCTTGTCATCATTGGTGACATTTGGATGGTAGATCTTTGTCTTGAAGCTCAGGGTAGGAGGCTTGAACGGGTACTCCATGGGAAGGCTGAGATGCAGGTTGAAGACCCCGCCCTGTGGATTATCAGTGAAGCCTTCTCGGGTTGAGTGGCAGTGAATCGGAAATTGGGAAGGAAAGCGGCATACTTCATAAGGCGAGCCTTTGGGACCGTCAATGAGTATCTGCCACTGGTGTATGTCTGCCTCGGAGGGTAGGCTAATCCTCATACCATCTAGAGGTTTTTTCTGTATATCGGCATACTCCTGAGGTGATCGTTAGCTTGCTCAAGTGCGTTTTCTCAGCCAGACCGACTTTTGTGATACGTTTCTGTGCTGTTGCCATGGCTGTTGGTCCACCGTTGAATAATGGCTTGAGCAGGTCACTGTTGATGTAGACAGCTCGCCGAGAGACTTGGCTGTTTCAAGTGGGTAGTAACAAAGAAATTGCTGCGATGTATGTCTCTGAGTTAGTTCTCACAATCACCGGATTCATTGTTGTCGAAGGCCCCGCATATTTCTGAACGGTACACACAAGAAACTTCAAAGCGCGGAGCTCGAATGCCAAGCCAAGAATTACACTACATTAAGGCGCCAGCCTGCCCCGCCACTCTTCCTCGACTTCATACGCCCCCCTAAAGGTTACCTGACAATACGTCTATTCTTCAATCCACCTCCTGCCTTTCGGGCTTACCCCTTTAGGCTAAAAATTAATCCTTCTGTAAATATTTTTGCCCTCGGTGTGTTGTAATTAAGCGCCGGATACAATGATAAAGTAAGGTAGTACCAGAAACCTCCACATTATTATACAGTAGAGAACCCTCTGTCTTCTAGCTATTTACATGTACATTCACAGCATGAAAAAATGTTTAAGGAGGTTCACTGGCTACGGTGGTGCCAAGATATTGCAAATCTGCCCACGGAACCTACTGGTTAACGGATAATAAGAGCTCTATCTACTTCATGTATATGCATGCAGTCTAGACCGGATCATGTCTTGGCACTATGTTTGTATCAAGCAAAGGAAGGAGACCGCTGAGCGATGACATGGAATAAACAATATGCAGACTATGAATGAACAAGGAATATTCCCTGTTGTGTTGGTCCATTCATCAAGTAATTAAGGCAACACTCAACAATCGTGAAAAGGTGGAAAGCAGAAGAGATATCCTTCTGTGAACCTGACTTGGCCGACAGCGTTTGCTCAACCCTGCATACACTCCTGAACCTTACCACTGTACCCGCCCTTATTTCTATACTCTTCAATACACTTAGGTTGGTCCAAATCATGGCATCCCCTTCACGAACCCATCCGTTCGGTCTCCTGCCCGCTCAGATACGTTGGAGGATATACGGTCTCCAGGTTCCCGAGAGGCTAGAGTTCGTGAAGTTCAGCAAGTCCAAAAAGTCTACGCAGCCTGCGGAATTGATACCACCTTTCATGCAGCTGATGCAGCAATTCCCTCATCTCGCTCGTGAAATGAGACTCCGGCTGTTCTCGCAACCGCAATTCGCATTCGTCTCCAGTATCCGAAACGGGCAATACTCTCATGGCTGTCAGCTCGCTTTAGAGTTCCTCCAGTCCATTCAACCGGCAGAAATTGGTTGCATCCGGAAGATCTGCTGTGACCTCGAGTGGACGACTAGAGCGGAGTACGCCGACTCGTTCTTCGAGATGCTAGCAAGATTAGCTACAAACCCTACGAGAGACATCAAGGATCTAGATTTCGAAGTGAAGCCAGCGCCAGAGGTCAAGCGCCCCAACAGAGGCGTCTCAACTCCCTCCTTCGCCTTTACTCTGCACGGGCTCCTCGGACTTGAGATCATCATATTTGTGTCAGGAACGGGCCGTCTGCCAGACCCTGTTGCTTGTGTCTCGCAGATCAATGAATTCATACAACAACGTCGCGAGGGACGCTTAACGGTCAACTTCCTTGAGCAATTGCCACCTGAGCTGAGAGTTATGGTGTATCGCCGCTTGCCACTTCCGCCGCATCATGTCATTGGGCCACTGAATGCGAACATGCCCATGAGCTGCTTGCATCTACTTCAGGTCAATCGTCGGATGAAGGAGGAACTCGTTCCAATTCTTTACGGAGACTGCGTCTTCGAGTTGCGCGCCACATCGAGCTGGCGTCACGCGAGAAAAGAGGATCCTCTCATCTCTGACCAAGCCCGCTGGATATCTGCATTCCTACGCAACGCCCATGTGACGCTCATCAAGAGGGTGAAAATAGTCCTCAAAACCCACGGTGTTCAAGCCGGCAATTACACGCCACCAATCAACACCATCATCGGTGAGTTGCGCCGTCGGTGCACCTTTCAGATTCAGGATACATACGAAGCACATGCCATTCAAGGGATTCCGATCACCTCAAACGAGTGGAACTCTGGCATCGGAAAGCGTTGTTTCCAGGTCAAGCTCGTGACACGGCGTGGCACCGAGCTGGTCGTAGAGATACGGGCAGAATGGGACAATCAGAGACAATTCGGCCTGGTGAAAGATTCACAGGAGCACGTGATACGGACCATCTACAGCAGGAGCGTGAATGGCATGCGGTCCAAGCTGGATGATAGCGGAATTGTCTTTGATGCTTGAGCTTTCCATCATATCCGCTGTTCGAGGTTCATGTGAGCACCTTAGAGACGAAAGGTAAAGACAAGCAAGGAGCACTGTACGAGCCTTGATGTAGATGTACCAGGAGGTTGTCATGGGAATCAATCTTAATGCAGCTCAATCTTCATGAATTATTCCCTCTGCAGAACGACCATGACTCCCATAAGTCCCAGCAATACCGTCTTCAGCCAAGGATGCTCCGACAGCAATATTGTCACGTATCCCACAAAAGGTACATAACCAATCACGCTTCCAATGATGTCCGTAGACCTTGTCAAATAATCCTGCCCCCTTGCATAAAGCTCCGTATCGTCCGCCAAATTGTTGTCTCCTTTCGTGAGTAATTGCAATGGCTCATCTCTGTATACGATCAGTCTCTCCTTGGAGTCCCCTGAGACCACGTTTAACTCACCCTCCCCCATATCTCCTCACCACTCTATGCACGATCGGTATGTCCTTCCCCTTCACATTGTAGACCACGATCTCCCCAACCTGCGTATCCTGCCCTCGATTCCATAGAAATAGCAGGTCTCCTCTTTGAAATGCAGGCTCCATGCTACCAGAAAGAACGACGACGATGGGAGACGGGGAATCTGTGGCGACGGATAGACCCTTCCATAGCATGAACGCTGTTGAGAGGACCAGAGCGAAATTGAGGAGCTGGGTGAGGAGTTGACGGGGTTGAAGGCCGCCGAGCATTGCGGCGGTTGGTGAGAGAGCGATTGGGGGAACGCGATGAGAGATTCCGTTGGCGTAGAGCTGGAGCTGTAGGCCTGGGTCTATGAGCGAGCCATTGAAACAGTGACGATACCTACTTTTGCTGCTGTCTTCAAGTTGATTAAGCTCTACTCTAGAGCTTTGGAAACGTTGCAGGAGTTTGCCCTCCAAGGCTGAAAGTGCTTGGCGCCAAGCCATCATCTCTTGGTGTCATGCTGCCGTTCACAGTCGTATTGGACAACAAAAACCACAGGGGTTCTACTACATTCGGACTCCGAAATAACACCGATCTATGCCTAGACAGCACCTTCGGTATCGGTTGACAACCCTCGAATATGGCCTCGAACCAGAGTAAGACACAACTACGACGGAGATACGATGAAGATGCAAGTAAGACGGAGATGCGCTGAAGTAACCTTCGCCATGCGGATCGCTCCTTCCAGCAGAAGAGGACGCGATGCACTTGCTGCATTATAGTCATTGCTTTCCCTTCTATCTGATGTCTTCCGCCACAACATTGTTTCTCTTATGGTCAACATCCTTCCGAGTACCTTTGCACCTAGCAGCTTCTCCATCCTTCTACTTTGTGCATCATTCTGATTTCCTAGCTTCTTTGTTTGACCTGCGCAGCCGCAGCCTCCAAGACTGTACCACCATGAAATTTCTACCAAGGTTGGAAACCATGGCAGAGACAACTCCTCTTCTTCTTCCTCGAGCATACAGGGTTTCCCACCATATTCCAAGTTTTCTCCGTGTCTGTCATTCACCATGGCCTTTTCTTGGTCAACAGGCACTCCTGGCTGTTCGAGCAACCTTTGCAGTGTTCTTGTCTATCGTTTTCATTTTGGACATACCCTATGGAATCAATCACACCCGGAGAGGAAAACAGCTCGCATTCGAAGCTAGCAACGTCAGCCTCATTATCCAGATTTGCTACTACTGGACCACAACGGTGGGTGTCTCGCCTCTGCGTTGCGTCAATTTGTTAAACCCTCCAACAGTCGTGGACATTGCAACATATTTTGGCACCAGATGGTCGATTGCCTCCAGAGAAACAAGCCAAGGGAAAATTTCTAGCCCAGACACAAGCCCTTTTCTCAGCTCCAACGTCAACTGACAACAATTCCAAAGAACGCTTCGTATTCTCGACCTTCTATAACGCATCTGTCACATTTCCCTTCATAGTCAGCATTGCCTATTGGCTGGTGGTATATCCTTCGGAACCTGTCCTTGATCAAGGGAGCAAAGGCGAGCGTCTTCATCACTTTGTACTCATCAGCATCACTGTGCTCAACTCTGTGATCGCCTTCCTGGAGGTGATGGTCCTGAGCAGCGTCCGAAAGCAGAAGGTACGTAGTCTTTCGTGCCAGAGAAACAATTGTCTGAAAGTTCTAGGATCTCGCCACGCAGATTGCCGGTGTCATCGCTATATACCTCTTATACGGGATATGGACGGTTTTTGGTCATTCCGTCACCGGCGAGTATGTGTACAAATATTTTGACCCCGATTATGCTGGCTGGAGAGGCGTTGCTACGACCGATATCTTCATCTTGTCTCTGACGGTCACTGTGTTCTTTGCCCAGCGGGGGCTGCACGCACTGCGTGAGATCTTGGCCTGGAAGGCAGAGTGCGATCTTTCAGGACGTCGAGAGCGGCTGACTGCCCCCTCGTGTCCCCATCACTAGGGTCCCAGTCCTTCACATCAACCGACACCAGCGTTGAATTCCACTGCTAGACTTTCGCTATCCATGTCTGCCATCCTTTAAACAACGCTCACTCAGGCCTTAGCTCTGGAGTGCCTGGTGCGGATGATTGGCTTTGTTGGATGTGCATAATTGACGGCTCATTGCTAGGTTTCCCGCAAGCCCCATATTGCATCTCTCGGGCTTGTGAGCCATCCAGTCCGGCAAATACATATCCGCTACTGTGAAATTGGCTTAGAGCAAATCAGACGCCATCCTTGGAGTTCAAACCTTTGGCTGAAGGCTTTGACGTATCCATCTTGGAGAGAGTCTGCTCGATTTTTGACCCCGAACAAGCCAAAAAATCCTTCTTAATCGCCACTTTTACCACTCATTAGTCTCCCGTTCGGCTTTCTCAGCACTTCTTTTGCTCTTAGTCTCCTCATTTAACCGCCGTTTTCACCGTACTCACAGCATTGAATGCTTGGTTCCTGACAGGTGCTGGGGCATACAATCTATCTTTCAGCAGCAGGCCAACTTGACCACCTTCTCAACTCGTGAATTTCACCAGTTCATGAAGGCAGAGTCTGGCTTAGACGGCGACGTATTGCTGTGGGCCCAGCACCTAGGAGTCCAGAGCATTCTGTTAACCCCTCTCACACGACATCGAGATCTTCACTCACTATCAATCATCAATCACAAAATCGTGGCCCTCTTCCTCTCACCTACCTCCTGATAGCATTGCTCGCATAAGCCTTGTTTTCTGTTCACTCATTGACTCTCCGTACTTTATCTACAACTCAAGAGTCCGAGTACTCGGTGTCTTGAAAGCACCTCATGCTCTTCACCTCTTTTACTTTGAGGAATCCATGCTTGTGTCGCTTACAACCTCTCTTCACCCTCTGAAGTCAACATTCATCCCACTTTTCACACCGCCAAGTTCCTCTTGAAAATTCGTTGGTGATCTCTCAAAGTGAGCTGACGTTCTGATTTGCACCTTCTCAAACCTTCTTGCTCTCACACAGGTCCTAAAAACCCAGATTGCGCGTTGACACAGTCCGATTAACATCATCACCTCTGGACTACCAGTTCCGGCGTCCAGTCTCATTCCGCCCTCGATGGCTCTCTTCAGGCATAGCTTGTCCTCTGTCAGAACCCCACTCGGCCACCCAAACATCATGCAAATTGAGATCAACGAGCCAAAAGAAGGGGATTACTTGTCTGTGAAGCAAGATGGGGAAGACTGGCCCATCCTAATCTGTGACGAAGAGATGGTGCAGACTTTCTTCACCCGTTCGCCACGGCCGGGGAATGCACGACAGGCAGACGGGACTTGGGGGAAAGAGTACAAGGCAGGTGGCCCTTCGATCAGTGATAGACGCTTCCCAGCTATCTTCCTGGGGACGTTGAAATTGTAAGTCCTCTGGTGGCTGGCTGGCTGCCTCACGTTGGTCGATTAACTCTCTCCGCTAGTATCTGGGTGCCCTTGAAAGGTCTCGAGCCAATCGATATTGACATGGGCCGAGCCATTCGAGACTCTACTTCAAACCCTTTGCTTGCGAAAGCTTGGATGGAGTACATTAGCCAGTATAGAGGGGACAAGATTGTCGAATGGAAATGCATTGATCACTGGAAAGCAAGACTCCACGCGCAGCGTCTGGACAAAACTACACCTGGCGGAGTCAAGAAAGAGGGGTTGACTGCTGGGAAGACGCCCGAAGGTCGCAAGCGCAAAGGCACGCCCAAGTTCAGATATCCTCCCGGGTACCGCAACGAGGAATCAGATGATGAAGAATCAGATGACCTCTTCCTCAAAGGTAACACCGCTGGACCAAAGATCAAGCGAGAATCCAACAATTCGATCTCTTCTGAGGAAATGGATGCTTTGTATGGTGATCCAGACCCGCTGTACCCGAGATCCTCTCAGTCAAGCAAGAGAAGCAAGCTCGATCTCTCTGGACGTTTCTCGATGAGGCCTTCGACACCACTGAGAGCCAGCAGTGGCAGGCTTGCGACCCGAATGCCTTCTCCTGCACGTCATGGAACACCTTTTCGATCGACCAACCAAAAGATTGGGATCAACGAGTAAGTCTATGGCAGTATGGACCGGGACAGTTCTGGATGCTGACCGCTTTCTCTCCCAGTCTAAACACGGTCATGATATACGTTGACAACCCACACAAGATGTTCAAAGTCAGACGCAGCGGCTTGGATGCGAGCCCGCTTCTGTTGAACTTTCTCACGCATCATCCCGAAAATGGCTGGTATATCATGTCGCCCATGCTGTCCTCCCTTGACGCGAACGACTTCCAGCCAATTGGCGAATACATTGATCGTCGCGAGTATCAGCCCAATATTTTGGATGAAGGTACCATACACGTCCGCCTTGAAGGTTACCTGGACCCTGAGATGCTTCGTCACGAGATAGTGCGCTGCGGTACGATTTACCTGGTGGCCCAAAAACTCGAGATGCCGGGCCTTCAGCATCTCGCCTTCCGCAAACTCAAGGCCCTAGCGTCTCACTACCAGGCCTTGGAGATCTTGACCGTGATCGAGTTGCTGTTTCAGATTGGCAGTCCGGAGGTTCGTCAATACCTGACGCAGCATGTCGCGGACCACTATTGGAACCTCATCCTCGCGGAGACCGAGAGGATGGTTGAGACTATGCGCGCGAATGTGGACTTGGCGAAGGCGGTCTTTGGTAAGTTGAGCGGCCAGGATGACAAGGTCAAGATGGAGGAGATTGTGAAAGAGGAGGGGAAAGAAGAGGCGGCCGATGAGACCAAGGGAGGGGGCACCAGGGGGAAAATAGAGGATCTGAGCGAGGAAGGAGAGGTTGACGGGATGAACAACAAAGCAAAAGTTGATGGTGCCGATGAAGAGGGTAGTATGGTTGAAGAGAAGAAGGAGGAGGCAGGCAACCAGACCAACAAGAAGAAGAAGACTGATGAGCCAATCAATCAAACAGAGGAGGAGATGGTCAAAAAGGCACTTCGTCAGTCTGACGAGGGGCAGACCGAGGTAGACTGGGTGGAGCTGGTGCAGAAACAGTCGGACCTTTATGAAGCTTTTTGATGATCACATGGTCTCGATGAAGCGGGCATGTTGCTTTGGAGACTGATAGATGAGTTGTCTTTAGTCAGATTCTGCCAGACGTTTCGAAATCTGTTGCTGGCATCTCTCATTGCGCAAAAAGAAATGGGTTTGGGCTTGCATATTATCATTAGACAGGGCTGAAACACTTGGACTCGCCGCTCATTTCTCGCAAGCACTATCTATCATCCAGTACTCTTGGCTCCAAAACCACTCCATACGTTTTTCACAATTTCGTAACCAGCTTCCCGGCCCCCACCACCCCGGCGGCGAGCAACTGCACCACCACGCCCATGAACCAGAACAACACTTCGAAAGCCCAATACAGCAACTTCAGCACCGCCCTCGTCGTTTTGGGCAAACTCTCGTCCTCCGTCGAGAAGATCTGCTTCGGCGGCTGACGCTTCGTCTTCTTCCCTCCCACCGTCTCCGGTCCTCGGTGCGGCGGTAGGAACTGCAGCTCGATATCCTGCCCGTAGGCCGAGGCGGAGTGCAGAGAGCGGTCCGACCCGATCGACTTTGTGGATCGGAAGACGGAGAAACGGGACGGGGATCTTTTGTCGTTTCCGAGGGACGAGCGGGGCGGGTCGTACGCGAGGGTCGGAGGCGGTGGGAAGAGGGGGCGGTGAGGGGAGGTGGGGACGGCGTGGGAGGATGGGCTTGGAGGGGCGCAGGAGCGGTGGAGATGGAGGAGGAGGGCGAGGAGGGTGGACATGAGGGTGTCGAGGATGTAGAGGGATGGGAGGGCCGTGATCGCGGGGGGGTGGAGGGTCAGTGCGAGTGTTTGGAGGGAGAGGGCGAGGAGGGGCGTGTGGGTTTCTGGGGCGAAGATTGTGATTCTCTGCGGGTTTGAAGGGTTAGGTGTGATCTCGATTGCGAGCGTTGTAGCCGCCGAGTCGAGCAAAGTCGGATGCATGAGGCAGTATTTGTTACTGTCGCTGTCCCACAGCAGCATGCTGGCCTCCTGCTCTTGAGCCCTGCCGATAGCTTCGGCTTGCAGATCAGCGCACGCTTTGCGGTCGAGCTTGTGAGCGACTGCTACGTTGGAGGAGTGGTCGAGGGCCATTAAGCCGGCTAACTTGGGAAAGATGCAGGTCACGAGGGGATCTGCCGATGTGGGCTTTTCGAGGGTTGACGTCGTGCTTTGGATGGTTGGGTTGCGGTTCCCGGGGTGGGTGCGGGAGACGGTAATGTTGGAGTGGGAGGCTTCGAGGGTGTAGATTGGGTCCGAGGTGGAGGCGTTGAAGGTGATTATTTCTCGGCCAACGGTCAAATCATCGCTGTGCGCTCGTTAGCAAGGGTTCAAGATACAGTTGGAATAGATCCGCTCACCAGCTTAGCTCTAAAACATATGTATCAGCCACTTCTTCCGAGGCTGTCTGGCCATTGGCAATGTCCCATAGGTCCAGAAGGTCTTCAGGACTGGAGAGCGTCGGTTCGTGTTCGGCATTATCTGCAGATCGAAATGGTGATTCTTTGACGTCTGCAGCCTTCAGTCTTTCTCTCTCTGATTGCAGATATGCCGAGTTAGGACGATTGTTTGCTTGCTGTGAATATGAGGGCGGACGATAGGAAGAGGTTCCTGCCACAGCCATAGCGCTTGCTAATCCAGGCACCCTTTCTATATCAGGTCGATATTGCTGTTGTGTAAAAGGTACGTTAGGGTCGTAGCGAGGGAACATTGAGCGCATTACCGGCGTAGCGCCGCTGTTACTACGGACGAGTGTTGGTGAGGTCGTACTGGAGCGTGGCAACGGTACTTCAGTCGGCGAAGCGGCTCGACTGCGTGTAGAGAACGATGTAAGAGGGCTCGGTGGAGTAGCGGGTCGCTGATCATCTGAGATGTATGCCTTAGGAGGTATGGCAAGAGGCGGAGGTTGTGGTTTTTGTCTTGGGGCTTTTTCTACTGTATCCTGCGTCTTCAAGATGACAGAAGGAGGTCCAGGGGGGAGGAGGAGGCGCTTCTGTAATGTGTATAACGAAGCCATTCGTCTTGCCCGAGGGGTGGAGCATGTCGAACTCCGGCAAGCCTGCTATCGGCTTGCTGGTATATCTTGTGCTACTTTTATGCACTGGGCGCCTCAACGAGGACATTGTCGGGAATCTTTGTAGAGCCCTTTCCGAAGCCATTAGGAAAGATTGGATGAGTATTAGTTGAGCAGCAACTGGACCGTGAGATCATGGACTCGGCCCAGAAGAGAGCAATGAGCGGAAAACATATACGAGACTGCAAGCAACTCGCGACGCAACAATGATATACCGAGCAAGAAAGAAAAGCAGCGATGACTCTGCTGAGGCCCAGAATACCTGTGTCGCACAGCGCAGTCTTCAAACAAGGAGACAAATTGAGAACCTTCACAGGTCTCACCAAAACATATACCCACCCGGCCGTTCTGCGGGCCCTTCCCACCATAGGCAGAAGGGACCATCTTCAGGGCGCCAAAGGACATGATACTTCTCCTTCAGTCTGTTCTTGAGGTTGCCAAGGAAGTAAGACCTATAATTGTATCTCACGATTCGTGATGTTGGTGCTGACTGGATGAAAGGTGTGCTTCCTTCGAGCTAATGCAGGTTCCTCGGCGCGTATTTTAGCGTCAGCAATGATTGGCTGGTGTGACGACAGGGGTTCGCGCCCGAAGGTCTTGGGTTTGAGCGGTTCAATGCACGAAGAGATAACCATGGTGTCGACCAGTCGTTGCCAACGGTGAGATTATACACTGAAATACGCCAAGACGCAAGCACGTCGAGCAGTTTCTGAACAATACAGAATGACGAGAGCAAGAACGGAGCAAGATGAATCATGGATGCACCATGGTCAAACAACTCCAGGCAAATAGTTTTGAGAACAGAAGGAAGGGACAAGAGACAGAAGACATAAGACGTTAATTGGAGGATGACTGATTGCTTCGTCGATGTGACATCCAGGGGCGATCTATTATACATGGAACGGCTCCCGAATATGACTTCGAAACATTCTGGATGTCATGCCTGCGAGAAGGCGACGCCTGCCAATGTCTCCTCCCATATCTCATGGGACTACCTAGCGAGTCGACGAAGTTCCATCCTCCGCTCCAGGCAAACCCTCCTCATCGCCCGGCTCAGTGTAGCCTCCACTGGGCTTCGCACCTCGAGTGCGCCCGCCGATGATGTTGCTCTGGTCAATGGCATCGCTGTCATCCTTGGCTGCAGCTCCGTCAACAATATCCAATTGAGGAAAAGAGATGAAGAAAGACGGATAAGGGGGACAGAGGCGTACCCAAAGTCTCATCGGAATCGGCAGTGGCAGGATCAATGGGGTCAGATACGGGTGCCTCGTCACTTTGGACGGGAATATGGTGCTGGCCCGTGCGGCTTTTGTAGTCGTTGTCCACGGAGTCGCCTTGGGGGACGTCGCCACCAGTCATATCGTTCTGCTGCTCGTACTTGTCGTCTGCTGAAGACATGGTTATGGTCTGTTAGAAAGATAACGAGGTGAATATGGTATTTGTCCTGAATGGATGGGTGGTAGGTTGTTTGATATGTGTACAATTGGATGAGACGCCCTTCTTGTACTCCATCTCATGCAACCAATCTTGGGAAAAAACCCACGTCTGCCACTGACCGCATGGCGAGCTTCATGATATCATGAATTAGCACCCGAGTCTCGTGACATCATGAAAAGGAGCTAGACACTGATACCCCTGGCCCCAACCCCAGCTTCGAAGATCTTGTTCACGCTTGTCCCTGACTATCGATGTGTTAGAACGCCTTAGTGGGTCTGTCGAGCTGTCACTATTATCTTAAACAGCATATCGGTGTACCTAACATAGGTTTTAGTGGGTGGGGAAAGGGCAAAGTGTATCTCGTTCGGACTTTTGGGCTTTCGTGTATTCGCAGATGTGGCTTTGGTCTCAAAGTAACACATGTGTATCCCTGCTAGACCGATGGTAAAGACATGCGCTGGAACTCCATGATGCACACATCGTGAGACTGGGCTCGATCAGAAGTCCGACGAGGATAGCATAAGTATGTCTTGGGTGTGTACGGGAACTTGTAGAGACTAGAGAGGCACAGTTGCAGAGTTGGTCATGAGCTCACTGTTTTTGGCTGGGTCTGATCAATGTCTTCTGGCCGTTAATATCTGGCTATCTTCAGCTAGTAGTTTGTAACGACAGTGCTAATGAGCCCCAGTTGTAGCTGCTCATCCCATGATTCATCCTGCAAACTGACTATCCACCGATATCCCTCATGGCCTTCGTGCTATTCCTCAAGAAGAAGATCCGCCCTTCCTTCCAGCCTCCTACGAAAATTCCGGAATTAGTGTGGTTCTCTTTGGGTAATAGACCTAGAAACGAGACATATCTGAAAGGCAGAAACTAGCAGCAACATGCTTTCACTGCCGAAACATGGCATTCCACCTGAGTGACGAGAGAATTCTGGAGGAATGAAGTGGCTTTGCTCCCGAAATCCGGCTTGCGGCCCCAATCTGCTACCAAACGAGAAGGATTTGCTCCTGGAAGTACGTACCTTGGCTGCTTCACTGCCCTTCTCGAACGATCCGCTCGAGGCCTGACCGCCCATGGATGCGATTTCCTTCTGTAGCAATTGTCACCAAATCTGCTGATGGTTGAAGGGCTGACCAGGGGGGGATTACCTGCTTCTCAGGATCCATGCTCGCGAATCCGCCCTCGTGGCTAGACTGACCTCCTTTCTTCGCAATCTCGGAGACTTCCTCCTTGGGGCGATTGGCAAAGTTGCCGGGGTTGGTGTTGCCGGTTGAAGACATGGTTTTGGTCGTAATGATTGAGTTGGCGTTTGAATGTGGGATTGATTTGCGAAGTGAGTGGTGGTTTGATTGATTGGAGAGATGGGAGTTGTGGTCTGTTCGGGTGAAAAAGATGAGAGTGGTAAAATTTGAAGGTGAGAATTTGGAGTGAATTTATACCACGTACGTGATGTTGACGTAATAAATGAAGTGGCGTGAAGTATCACATCACATTTCAAGCGGTGGAGTTTGTGGAGTTCAACATCAGGCAGCAGCCAATCAGATCACGAGCTAAGATTTGAGGCAAGAGGGGGGAAAGTTGTAGCAGGCATGACACGGGTAGAATTACGAAATTCGGTAGCGGTGAGGGGAATCTGACATGGCAAACAAAGATGCCATTCATGCTTGCTACATACTTGACTTTCCGCCCTTTCGGGACCGCATCCATGCAAACCCCATCATCTCGTGCATGTGGTGACGGAATGTCAATGGTACTACAGCGTCTGAGCGTCGCGTATCCATGTCCCGGCTCTTAGCTTAATTCGCGATGCAGACGACCGTGGCATGGCGGCACCGTTGCCTTGGAAATGTGCGAGATCGGCATGTGTGAGTGGTGGTGAGATTTTGGACTATCACCGAATCTCTACAATGGTGACAACGATGATGTGCTAGCACCACTTACATGGCGATTTTTTGCTTTGCACCGCTTGTGTGACGAATCTTAATCAGTATGTCACTAAGGTAGCTGAGCTTGAACTGTCAGTCTTCACCCAGTCGGATCCGTATGCGCGTTTCCTCTTGACGTCAAGGATTTCAAGCCTTCCCTAAAGCAATCTCGCAGTTCCAATGTGAGTAATGACTGCCAGGCTGGCAACTCGTGCATTGCTCAGCGCGTACGACATACCTTAGGCCTTCCTATGCTGGAACAACTCTGAAATATTCCTTGCCACATGTAGCAGCTATACCCAAGGCTGACATGCTCCCTCCTTCGGCGGATCCAATCCCTTGCATGTCAGGAATCCAAACACGCCTCTAACATGGCTTTCATCCCTCAAAGTAGGACTCGGTGTCTGCTTCGATATGCATTCCGTCTCTCCTCCATCGTTACACACCTTCACATCCGCTCTCCCAAAATATGAACCGTTGCCGAAGCGGGAAAGGGACGGTCAATCGCATGCCACGTGGACAACGCCATCTCACCCAGCAGCTTGTCGAAGTTGATTCTGCCGCCTAAAATGAGGATTTTCTGTTAGAGCGGTGGAAAACCGTTAAGTCTATTTTTCTCTCATTTCAATCGCACGTAGGGCATCATCTCACAGATACCTTCCATATAGCCTTGTTTGCAGGCATACTCCATGAAATTATCTTCTGTCATTATTGCTTCGCTACCCTTCAATAAGTCATCATGGTTCTCGCGAGCTTTCCCACTAGCTTGAATTCGGCCTGCACGAGCAATCTTACTACAGACGCGTAGTTCCTTCTCGCAGCCTCATGAAGTGATTTCAAGCCACGGCAGTCTTCGCAATTAGATTCTGTATGATCATCAAGCAGCATGGGGGCCATTTGGATCTGCCATCAATGTCTTCGTGAGTCCAGATCGTCCCCCTTACTACGAGTATCGCAGTGTATTTTGAAGCCCAGCGAAAACCGCAGTAGCAGGATGAGACGCAGATGGAGTCCCAGTGATCCGGCTCAAAATCAATTATGCCACAGCCAGGTCTGGGGGTCAGAATTCTTAGCGTTCAAGAAGCCTGCGAGAGCACTGGACAGCTCCTGATCTTCCTTGTCGTACCGGCGTGCGAAGTAAGTTTAATTTTTACCGCATAATCGAGAAAGGAAGAATCTAAATACGCTGCTCAACAACAGAAAGCATTTGTCCAGTCTGTCTGGTCGTCCACGTCTGCATCGAGCTCTTGGTTGATGACTATGTCGGCCGTTGCGCTCCAGTAGGTCTCAGGCATCCGGAGCTTGGGTATCGAAAGGTATTCATCGTCGGAGTTTTGTGAGCTTGCTTGCTCTCAAGCACCGCGAATTGCCCCTTGGATGAGCGTCTTGCTGAACTCTCACTGTCGTACAGGAACTCCATAGACGTGGGGTAAATGACGTGGATTGCATCATCATCCAATATATCAAGAAGTAGTGCGCAAGCTGTTCATTGCAATCTTGCTGGAACATTGTTGGAATCAGCAAATCCAGATTCTAAGGCGCTTGCAAGCTCGTTCAGGCGAAGGATTCTAGCGGCGAATGTAACACTTTGCAAGAAGTAATATTGAACTGATAGATCGATGTCCATAGACGTGATTCGTCCCAAAAACATATTCTTACACATCTCCTCGAGGCCCACAGGTAGCATGTCCACTAATTATTGAACGTCAACCTGGCGTGACTGTCGGAGGGTCTCACTACGGATTTGCCAGCTTCTGGGACGCCTTGAACTCAGACCCTTCCATACCTGTCCGATTGTCGCGGCGAGAGTTGACGGCCTGAACTCTTGAGAGCGTGCCAGGTCGGAGCCCTGTACGAATGGGGCGACGACCCTGATCATCAGCCGTTGGAAGCCAGCAGAGATCGCGGCCCCTCGAGTGCAACCGTGTGGAATATCAAACGGATCGATAAAGAGTTGCCCCAAGCTCCAATGAGGGTCGCCAAGGCTTGGACTGTGGTTCCCTGCTGCAGCCTACACCAAACGTAGAAAGGAACGTCATTGGAGGCCTTATAAACGGACTTTGCTGGTGATAGCTGCAGGCACCAGGACGCGAGTCATAAAATGGACCCGATGTTGGGAGATTTGAGGTTGGCCCCGCCCAACTCACTGGCTTTCAGCCCTACGGCAGTTGATTTGAGGTTTAAAATTGGCAGCACCAGCAGTACCTTAATTGCCCACTTTTTAATGCCGTCGAGGCTGGCAGGCTTCAAATTCCGTTCTGTTCTATATTATGGCAGGAGTGGGAACGAAGCCATACGGGCCAGCTGTACGATCACCGCAAGGCAACTTTTCTGCTCGCGGGCAGGAGAAAATAACACTCCTATGCCTCGAGCTCAACTATGATTGGCTTTTCGCACTACCAACCCAAAATGTACCGCAACGCAGAAGCCCCACCCACAGACAGTATACCGTCTTCCAACAACGATTGAGCCAACTTCAGCCGTACTGACACGTCACCATACCAAGCACAACCGCCAGTTGCTGACGGAGCCTCACTTCTTCCCCAGAGAACTGAGCTCCTTCGTAGCCTCATCTCGATCGTTCAGCATCTTCTGCACCGCATCCCGCCCCAGCATGCGCTTATACCAAGCATCGACGTTCGGAAACTCCGTCTCCACATCGGGCGTTGCCTCCCTCATGATGAAATCCAGTCTGGAATGGAAGGGGACGTAACTCAAGTCCGCAGCGGAGCACTTGCCGCCGACGAGCCACTCCCTATCGGCGAGTCCGTCGTTCAGAACCTGCAACACCCGACGCGATTTCTTGACATAGCTAGCGCGGGCCTCGGGGTTGGGCTCGACGAAGGCCCAGTGGAAGACCGCTTGTAGGACTGGTCCTTGCGTCGTGGTTTGGAACTGGAGCCATTGCTTCATGTGGTATCGCTCTGGCAGGGTGGTGAAGCTGATGCGTTTCTCGGGGTCGTATTGGTCGAGGATATAGTCCATGATGGCACCGGACTGTGAGGTTGGCAGCTGCTTGGGTACGGTCCAGCCCGTCAACGCTTACCTCGGCGAGTAGGAGACTTTTGTTGGGATCCTCAATGACGGGCGTCATGCCATTGCGGTTCAGCGCAAGGAAGGCCGGCTGCTTCAGCTCGGGGGTGGTGTAGATCTTGGTCGTATAGGGTACGTTGAGCTCGTCTAGGAGGAGAGCTATCTTCCACGGGTTGGGTCCGGCTGCGATGGATCAGCAAAGCGGAGAACCATGAAGAGTCTGAAAGTAGAAAGTGGCTTACGATGACCATGAAGGGTTATTGGTTGGAGAGAAGACATTTTGCTCTGGTGGTCAACCTGCTGCAATGACTGGATATTAGATGATGGGCTCGATATAGTGTTTTACAAAAGAGATGCAAATGAGTGTTGCGTTGTCCCTTTCCCGTGGCCATATATACATATTGCTGGGCTCGATCAACAGGATTGGACCCCGGAAGCCGCGGGGGACTTAGGGCTGACCTCTGGAGTTAAGGATTGAAAGCTGGGACCAGTAAACACCGTATAAGACCGAGAGCCAATTGGAAACATGGCGGTGACGGTGATTACCTATCATTTTGTGCTCCTTTGCGACGGCGGTCAAGGGTCGACAGAACAGTAGATGCCGCATAGATGTAAAAACAAAGATGCTTCCAACGTCACGGCATGGCAATCGTCCCAAACGTCAAGATTCCTCATCACGCATGGAGAGGAAAACCAAAATCGTGAAATAAAAGGTACAAAGTCTAGTCCTCGAGCATTCCTAGTGCCGAACGCCGACTTTGAGACGCAAGAGGCCGAGGTTCTGCTTGGCTGTGGTCTTGTCGGTCAGAATATGCAAAGGCACTGCTTACACGAAAAAAGAGACCAGGCTGAGGGAAGGATTCCCTCCGAATGCTGAGTTCCATGTCCGCCAAGCTTGGTCCACCATTGCAGGAGCGGACTATGGTTGCCCGAGCGAACCACGACCACGTCTTTGGGGTAACAGAAAGATGTCACATCTCGCCCGAGGACCTCTCATTCGCGGACTTCTCCCAAACAACCCACGGCAGCAGACACCCCCGAAATCGATACGCCTTCAGTCCACATATCCGTCCTCCACAACTCTCAAGCTCACCGCCACCGTCACGCCCGTCTCCGCATGACTCAACATCAACTTATAACATCCCGTCCACCCTTCTTGCGTCAACGCGAGCAATCTTCTCGAAAAATTCTCCACCAAATCCCACCCGAGCGGCTGCTCCTTGCAATAGAACATGATAACAAGGTTGTTGAAAGAGACCGTGAAGCCATTCCCGGAAGGTCCTTCGCGCCAGATGGTTTGCGAGTTGACGAGCATTGTGGAATAAAGATGACCTAGGGCCGCGGCCGCGGGCCTGATGAAGGTCTCCAGTCAGCCACACTCTTACTCAACGAAACCAGAGTCATGGAACATGTTTCCGGAGTGCGGAAATTTCGAACATATGTCACAATCCGTAAAAACGTCCAGATAAAGGAGTTCGGGGTCAGACAAGTCTTACTGAATGGGGAGGAGGGAGCCAGCCCAGGAAGTGTAGTAGAGGTTCCAGCCGGAGCCGAAGGAGAGGAAAGAGTGGTACCCGCGCCGGGCTCGGGGCTGCAGAGTGTATGTGGAGGGTGAGGCGAGTCTGGGGGTGTGATGGGATCCGACCAACACTGAGGAGGTGGTCTGTAAGGCAGCTGACCGATGAGGGTGGCGCACAACGCAGTCGACGAAAGAGAAGTAAGGAAGGGAGAGGGAGAGAGAAAGTAAACACATCAAAAGTGGTAGACGGTGCATGGCGAGCCAGTACCTCGAGGAGCTGGTGACGAGCGAACAATTATCTCCTCGATTAGCAAACGGGTAAACAATGAAACTTTGCCCCTGGATTCGTGGCCTCGATAGGTGCAGCGGGAGGGTCGGTGGGTCGTCGCCTCTTCGGCACAGCTGTCGAGGAGGCTGTGTCTTAGATCTGCGCGCTCTTGCATACTTTCGGTGGCGGGTGGCCTTTGCCGCCAGGAAACCCGCCCGTGCGTCCTATCCATGCGTCTGTAGTCAATAACCCCAAAACGGAAAGCACTTTATCACGTTAGATCATGAGAGCATTCGGGTTGAGGTGGCCAAATCTCTTATTTCATATAGCAGGTGATTACCGCAAGGGCCGCTCAAAAGCCAAACAGGACTGCTTGACAACTTCCATGGTGGCTTTCCGAAGAGAGTCTCCACTTCCGCCGCTCCACAGCAGCCAATTGACCTCTCGACCCATCATCAAGAAGGACGTTGAAGCAAACAGCTAGTCGCTCCCATGCAGACTTTTCTCTCGCCATCATCACCGCCGCTGCTAGCGATGAGATACTAATACAAAGGAAATATACGGATGAAGCCGTAGGACTATGTGTTTTCTCTCTTCTTTAGATTGGAGATGTCGTGTAGATATTGAAATCAGATGTGACTATCGGTGAAAGCGTAAATCGTTATTCCGTGCTCCCTCCTTCCGTAGGAGGTGGAAGCTCGCAAGAAAGGCGTGCGCAGGGTTGATTAAAATTGAGTACCTGGTGATCATGATCCGAAGACCTTATCACCGCAAATGGTTGGCCGACCCCAAGAATTTGGCAAGAAGTGGAGTAAAGACTGGTGCTGTGATAACGCCAAGCTCGCCGGCTGTCCTTGGGGGAAAGTCTCTCAATGTGGCCGCAGTCTGTTGAAGAGTGGAAATTTCCCCTTGGTTTGCTGTCTCAATTTGGCTCCCTCGATCCCTTGAACCTCGGCGTTGAATGGTAGCTCACGCACTCAGATGGTTCTAGGAGAAGACTTATTGGTCCTCTCCACAAAATCATCCACGTGTCTACACATAGCAACAAAGAGGTCGAAAAAACTAGGAACAAGATGTCAGCTCAATTCTCCGTCTCCACCTTGAAGCCTTGAGCTCACAATTTACTCCCACCAAGCCCCATCTCCATCTGCATGGTAGGACTCCTAATGAACCTCTTACGGCCCTGAATTATCATCTCGATGAAAAAAGGGCGAAGGCGGTGATCCGTGTCCAAGGTGTTCGCATATGCGTACCGAGCTGATCGAATGAGAACATCGTCTAGGGCACAGAATCGGAGGCCTTGCTTGATAAGAGCAAGGCGCTTCAATTCCTCCAAGCCGAGTTTTTCGGCAGCGCAATATACGACGGTATCTGTGAGCAAATAGTTACCGTCCACCCCAGGATGATATATTGTGGATGGCACGCGTCCGCGACCACCAGAGTTGAGCGTGTCCTGGGCATCCTCGAGCTCCCAGGAATGGTGGTGCTTGCTCTTACACAAGCGGGGATAGTAATCGTCCGTGTACAGGTATTCGAGTACGCAGGCGAAGATCTCGGGCAGCCTTTGGTATGTTAGTCCATCGACAGCTGTTCAATGCATGGGATATATGATCTATACGTACATATCAGGCAGCTTCAGCCTCTTCGACGAGGTCTCATAGAACTGGTCTCTGAGACGCTTGGCGAAGTAGGGCGATTTGAGAAGGGCATGCTCATAGGCAGCGAATAACCGTAGGTCAGGGCCAACCACCAAGGTGATGATCGGACTGATCATGGTACTATAGCCATTCGAGAGTGTATTAGCCTTCTTGTCCCATTGCCGGTTGGGGCGCATGGTCATACCTCCCCACCATCGGGCTGTCTAGCTTCTGCTTCGTCTTCAACTTGGAACGCTCACCCACCGACCTCTTGAGCGGTTTGACCGTCTTGCTCACACGATTCCTGGAACGGAAGGAGAACATCTTGATCGAGACCGAATGGTGTGATTGCCGAGGATTGGTAGGATATCGCAAGAATGGAGAAAAGAATGACTGCTGACGTGCGAAAGAGAATATGCGAGTGCGGTGCTTAGGCTTGAATTGACGCTTCGCGCACACGCATTGTTTGAGACCTCCGGAAGCCTCCCAGGGGACAATCCTCTCTTCTCTTCCCGAAAGAAGATACTAGGAAGGATAGGATCCCAAGGCGACTCTGCGCACGAGAATCTGTGAAGATTACTCGTGGTGGTGTATTCGGCCGGTCTTAGAGGAGAAGCGTAAGGAAGGAAGGAAAGGAAAGGAAAGATAAGATGGAGACCGCGGGGCATGGCGAGCTAATGGTCATGTGATCGAGGAAGCCTAAGCCAATCATCATCAATGCTCGTAAGCTTGGTTTGTATGCACATCAAATGCTGGGAACCTATCCAAGTCCAATTTTACACGCGAAGTTGTCGTCGTTCTTGCTGCCTGAATCGCAGCCGGCGGCAGGGGTGAAAAAAGTTCGGCAGGGGTGAAGCTTCAGCATATGCTCGCTTCACCTCGGATGAACTCTTCGCATATGCTGAACGTATCCGTTTCACCCCGAATGAACTCGGGCCGGGTCTAAAATGATGTCGGCACTTTAGAGGGGGATATAGACATATACTATATATATGCCTCAGTCTTCATAATCTACTTTCTGCTATAGACTTTATTATTAAATAATATTTAGAATAATATATATATTAATTATATAATAAAATTGTATTAAAAGTAAGTATATAATAGATTTCGAAACTATTAAGATCGAGAGATTATAAACTTAAGAAATTAGTATTATATAATAAAAGCGAAGTATATATTAAGTATATATTAGTAAGCTTTAATCTTCGAGTAGATCTTTACTTAGTAGAAAATTAATAGAATATATATTTAATAAATAAATATTTATAATAAATAGAAAACTTCGTTTTTAATTATATTTAATTATTATTATTAATATAGATAAGTAATACTTAATATTACGATAGTAAAGAAAAGAAGATTTATAAATATTTAAGTTTATATTATAATTATTAAAATGCTATATATACTTAATATTAGTAATATATATTCTTAGCTTCGCGCGTATATTAAGTTCTATTAAGTTATATATATATATATATTATATCTATCTAGCGTTAGCGTATTTTTTATATTTACTCTCTAGATTTCTAATATTTTAATATATTCTCTTTAATATATATTTTATATATACTTAATATATATATTATAAATTACGCTATCTTATCTTCTTATTATTAAATACTATATATATATTAAGTATATTATTTATATAAATAATAGTCTATAATAATCTCTAGATTATTAATATAATTAACTTCTTCGCGTTTAAATATTATTATAATAAGTATATACTCGATATTAGTAAATATTATATTAAATATATATAGTAGAGCTAATAGTTAATATAAATACTACTTAGATTTCGTCTTATAAGTTATATATATATTAAAAGAATAGAGAGTATATATTAAGTTAATAATTAGCTTACGTTATTAATATTACTATAGATAATTATAGTAGTAAGTTTAAAATATCTTTATAATATACTTATACTAAGTATATATAGATAATTAAATAATCGTAGTTAAGAATATATATTTATATATCTTAATCTTTTATTAGATATATATTAAATATATATAGTAGTATTTAATCTTAAAGAGACTCTTTTAATTATTAACGATAGGGTATTAGTCGTTATTACGCTTCATATATTCTAAATATATATTAACGATATATAGCTATTATATTATAATTAATAAGATATAATTATATAGAGTTATATTTAATATTTATAGATAATAGCCCTTAATAAGTAAGAAATATATTAAGTATATATACGATCTAAGTTTATTTATTAATAGCTTTATCGATATATTCGTAATAAGTACTACGGAGTTAATAGATATTAAGATTCGACTTATATCTATAAATCTGAAAAGTTTCTATAAAATTTGAAATTGCTAATCGCGCGTTGATCGCGAAAATTATAAAATTCGTCGGATTAGTAAATCTAATTAAAATTCGCCTAAATTCCGCCCAATTAGCAACTATAGTCTACTTTTTACACGCTATTCGCCGGTTCAGCAATTACTATTTACTATTAGAATACTATTCGCCGATTTAGTAATTACTATATACTATTTGAATAATATTCGTCGAATTAGTAAATCTAATTAAAATTCGCTTAAATTTCGTCTAATTAGTAACTATAGTCTACTTTTCATACGCTATTCACCGATTTAGCAATTACTATTTACTATTAAAATACTATCCGCCGATTTAGTAATTACTATATACTATTCGAATAATATTCGTCGATTTAGTAATTACTATATACTATTCGAATAATATTCGTTAGTTTAGTAATTACTATATGCTATTTAAATGATTTTTCCAGAAATAATAATCGCCTTATATTAATATTTTATTATTTCTATAATTCGCGATATCGACTCGACTCTATAAGTCGGGTTTGACTCGACTTAGTTATACTATAAGCTCGATTCGACTTAACTTAATAATGCTATTACTAGATATTAGATCTATATATATAAGTTTATATTACTATATCGAATAATCTATCTTCTCTATTAAAGATAAGAATATTATTATTTATAATATATCTCGCAAGCGCTAATTATCTAAAAAGGAAAACCGTCGCTAGTACGCTCTCTTATCGCTATAATCGCGTTAAAATCAATATAATACATATAAAAGCCGGTGATATATATTTATATTTCTATTACTCGATCTTAGCTCTACTAACCTCTTCTCTTAATATCTAAATTCCTTTAAAATTTATATATATTAGTGCTCGTTAAAGTATTAGACATCTTTTTTATAAAATCGAAATCGGCTTTCTCAAGTTAGGAGTTTCGGCTTTTAAATAATTATATATATAAGGGTATAGCGAGTAGTAATATATATAAATCTCCCCTATAATATCTTGCGTTAAGACTTTCTTCTAATTTATCGTATTTTTAAAATAATATATCTCGATTCTAGTATTATTATATAGACTATTAACGACTCGAGAGAACTTTAGATAATAGCCCTCATTATAGATGATGACGTTCTTTAAGTTATAAAAAATCGCGAATTAGTTTAATAGTAGTCTTTGGCGTCGAAATACTTAGCTAGATACTTTTTAAAGCGTATTAATATCTCCCTAACTAGAGAAGAGCTCGCTCTCTCTTCTCTTTCTAATTATGATATCTACATACGTATTCTATAATTATGAGACTCCTCTTCACTCGGCGAACTCTAAAAATAATTCGAAAGTTATTTGAGTTGAGAAGAGTATTCGAGTTAAGAAGAATATCCGGATTAAGAAGGGTATTCGGGTCGAGAAAGATATTCGAGTCGAGAAGGGTAACTGGGATCGATTTTGCTCGTTGCATATTTAGTCCCATTTCTAATATCCTAAGATTTAAATTCTTAATATCTCTATTATCTTATAGTATAGTGTATATTAATCTCCTTTACTACTCTATAGCTCTTATTTAGAAAATTCGAATTATAGATATTATTATATTAATTAAAGTCGATAAAGCTATTAATATAATAAAATTCTTTATCTTTTATCGACGTGGGTATAATATATACACTTCTCTTAATGCTTGCGAGGCTATAGAATCGTCGTTTTTTAAGAATTCTTAGATTCCGCGTTATTAATGGCTGCGTCCTTTCTATTTTTATTATATTATAATATTTCTAAACTTATTCATTATGTTAATATTTAAATATCTTTATAAAAATACTCTATAGATAAGTCGATCTTTATCTAAAATCTCTATAGGCTAGGTTTATTACTTCTATTACGACTAGTACTTCTCTTATTAATTTCCCTGAAAGAACCTTATTAGTATCGAAGATCTGTTGATTATATTCGTAGACCTAAGTGTAATTCCTACGCTATCTTTTTTGAAAGGGTTAATTGATAAATCTATAGACGACGACGTCTTTAAATAGGCGAGCTATATTTAGAGAATTCTCTTCGAGAGTCTTTTAATATCGAATATTAAAATAAATACGAATCGGATATCGATGTACTCATTTATAGTTCGCCTTACGTATATCGATATTATTATCTCTCTTAAATAGATAATATTCCCTCGATTTTGTTTAATCTATTCGAATAAAGGCGATTAGAGCTTCGAGAAAAGTATTTAACTTTAATTATTTAGTAACGGCCCCTATTAGTCGCCAATAACGACTATTATAATAATTTATCTATCTTATAATATTACGCTTCTTATCATCCGCCTATTAATTTTAGATATAAAGATTTAAAGAAGTTCTCGTTTTAGTCTTTTTCTCTTTCTTCTATAATCTCTTAATTGTAGATAATAACACTTCTATATCTTAATGCTTAACGAGATTATGTATCGTAATTATCTTCTAATATGCGATATCGTAATGTATAATTTATTTAATATAGTTATTATGCTTATTCGTTAGTTCGTAATACTTTTTAAAGAATTTAATATATGTCTTTTCCCTCGTTTAAGTAATTAATTCATCGAGTAGATTAAATAATTATATCATTTCGGGTAAGTAACTAATGCTATGAAACTTTAAGAAGTTAAAGTAACCTTTACTCGTCGTTTTATCTAGAGATCTATATACTCGAAAAATCTCTTTTAGCAGATTAATTTGAGCTAGGGCCGCGAGTAGATATCGGATAGTATTATTATTATAAGAATGATATCTCGTTAGTATAATAAGGTTAAAGATAGCGCGATCTATATATAGCGTATTCGAATTTAACTTAATTAAGATCGATATAAAGATGACTATTATCGTCCTCTATAGAGTTCGGTCGTTCTCTTCTATTTACTATATCTTCTTACTTAGAGATTTAATGCGTCTTAGATTAATATAACTAGAAATCGCCCGAAAGCGGGCATCGAGAAGCTTATTCATCTCGTTCTCTG